TTACAACAAGAGATCCAGATCCATTTACCAGGTACTTGTGTGTATATATAATAGAGTAAACCTTGCAATATCTTTGATTTAAATAACTGTACCTTAAATGTTAGCGATGGTATACCTTTTGTTTTCATATCTACTTCCACCATTTAACTATTCCCAAAGCTTACCTACCCATGCATTACTCATCTAACACATATTCATTATGTTATATACAAATGTACAAACCGGGTATCTTGGCTGAGGCTTACGTGGCCGCTTTGTCAAGCTGTCTGTCATATGAGAATTCCACGCCGGTTATGGACAAAATCAGCCATTCAAATAAATTACAATATATCAGTTATGACATACATATAGCTGAAGATTAGGTCAATACAATTTATTTGGTCTTTTACGTATCCTGTCGATTTAGCTATAGTCGGGCGAGATATCTATACCAGGGTTTTGCAAGTCGGCACACTCACTTATGTACAGAAATGCAAGGTAACTCTGCTTGATGTAAGAAGCACGTGTCAATCCAATATCCTATTTGCTTGGTAAGAACGGTCCCCCCCCCCCAAACACGGACCCAAATCTGTCGACCACCATAACTATGTACTAATCCTGAATTGGAGAAAAGCCTAGGGGGGGTTGTTTGGTTTACTTAGTAAAATATTCAAGGATTGAATGTCCAAACAGTGCCGATCGTGAGGTAAGTTTCGATTGCTTCTTTTGATAAATAGATAGATAGACTTGGCTTAGGATCCGAGAGTGCTACTTTAATAGAACCTATGTACGGAACGCTGACAGGCTAGCCCTACCGTAACTACTACTGTAGAACGGGAAACTATCGACGCTACATATGTCATACTGTGGACGTATGGGGTATCGCTGGAAGGTTTTAGCCAATCCGTTGTCGAGGACTTCGATCTAAATCTTACCCAGTGCCATGAATATATTTCATGTCTGAGCTTGACGATCTCTGGGCACTTTACGACATTATAGGTGGCCTTGTATATTTTATTCGTCATGTTTAGGACGTGCATAGGGCAACCCAAATTCTATTCCTTTCGTACAGAATACCTCACACCAACAGACCAAGAAGCACAACATACTACAGTCAAGCCAACGGGTAGGCACATCGTGTACATGCACATGTATATGTATGTGGATGTTTATATTAGTGATGGAGCAAGGATTAAATAGTTCCCGCTCTTAAATCCCTGAAGAACGCACAACCTTGGCGCTTGCCGTCATCCCACATGTACCTATCCGACTACATATATTTCTTCGACGAGATACCTATAAATGCCTAAGCATATGATGTCCTAGAGGTAAGATATGTGTGGAATAAAGTATCCATATGGAAGTAGGTAGCGTAAGTAAAGTCTCAAGCGTTATACCTATTATTTATATAAAAAGGGGTAGTGTTCGATTATCTACCATAACCTTGGTCATTTACTATATATATACCCAATGTATATATGATATCTCATGTAGGAATTTCTAGAGATGGCATCGTCTCCGGAAACCCCGGTCACGGTGGCCCAAGCTCGGTACCTTGATGGATCTCGATCCTGTAGCTCTCTTTTTCTTGTTTCCATCTACGACCAAGCCTACCTCTCCCGATCCATACGAGATACCTATTCCCACGAGACAACCCTACAGTTCTTGAACCCTTCTTGCGTATGTACGAGTAGTGCAAAACATAAAATGGTCGATGCGCGCAAGCCTTAACGGCGGTTGGTGCCGCGGCCACCGCATTGGATAGGTCGGCCCGCTGCAGCCAGCCATGTCTTAAGCCTACATTCCTACCTCCCATAGAGGTATGTACCAGCATCTGGGATCATAGTCACAGTCGCATCCACATCCTGGGTGCGTAAACCATGCAAAGTACACTCACACACACCCACACAGCACCCCATCGTACAGGATAGGACCGTAGCCTGCTTCTATCGGGCTTGTCTATTAATATATAATAAGTGCGTCCAGTGGACTGGCCCCCTCGAAAGCCCTGATACTTAAGTTCTTGCCCGCCAGACATGGCAGTTCGTTGCGATTCGAGATGCAAAAAACTGGCCGGTTTAGTCACTTTGAGATGCTGGGGGTGGCTTACCAGATTTTTCTTTTCTCTCTTCTTTTTCTGATCTATCATATTAAAATGCAGGGTTGGTCCTTAAATGGTCGGCTGCAGCGCGAACCAAGTCTTTTTACTTTTCGGCTCCGAGCCTCCGCACGATGTCTTTAGAGATGTTCTTACGCGGAAAGTTCTTACATTTTTATAGCTGTACATACGGAAGAGTTTTCAAGTGCGTATTTGTTGGTGCGCGCAGTACCGGGCTTAGATGTTACGCCTATATCTTATTAACTCGTTGGCTTAATCGTTTATATATATTCTACTAGCTTCTCTAAATAATCGATTTGTAAGTATATAGATTGCGAATATTCTCTATAGCAGACTAGGTTATATAGGTAGGTATACGATAGAGTGTTGGTGTAAATCACAACTGTAACTCCTATCCCGTCCCCAGTATTGTGTAGCGGTGATCGAGCTCCTTGTTCTTCAGAAGGAGGTTAGCGGATAGTAAACTATCCGTTTTCGTCGAGAATGATACCAGAATAATGCATAATGTTCACCCATTGTGAGAAACCAACTGTTAGCTACTTGAAAGAGTTGGGCATCCCAGCCCCGTAATGCATCAACATTCCTGCTGCGGATAGCCACGAGCCCAGATCGCAGAGGAAATCCTAGCAGGTTCTAAAGCTTGCTACGCAGTTCGATGGAAGAACAACGCGTATGTATGTATAGTTCACCGGCGAGCCTGCTCTAGTTCACCGCCATAGAAAAATAAGACTGATTCAAGCGGGTTGCATCCTGGCGGAAATACCCCTGCATCTCCGCTGGCAGTATTAACACTCGAGACATCCGGTACAATGACACAGGTCCATCATCATTGTCCCTGATCACTAGATCAGATCAGGACAAAAGCGGTAGCATCATTGTTGCCGAATTTGCGTCTAGGTGGCTAGGCTATAAGGAGTTTCCCCTATTTACACGCCCAGAGGCTGCTCCAATGCTGATTGGCGTCCTGCCCGCTCGCAAAGTGCCGCTTCTCTAGGACCAGGAGCCAATATTCGTCCTCAGTTACAACGTGGTGGTGACACAGCAGACGTGGTGTTACTAGATTATTCCCTTACTAGCTAGAAGGGAACATGGCTTCGTAGCATCACTTCTAAAGCCTGCCTGTCTGCCTGTTAAAAGCAGGTCATTAGTCGCATCTCTCCTCCCCCATACTATGCATGTACAACAAGCTTGGGAACCGACATATAATGTTTGTCCTCGATCACAATACTACTGCCGATAGGCGCTTTACTTTATGATGCTTATGGCTTGCTTACAGTTGAAAATTGTGAAGATATTGCCGTCACTTCCATATCATGAAGGTAGATAAGCATGTAGGACACATAGTTGAATATATTTTCTATACGTGCGTCGACCAAAGCCGTCGTACTCAGAGCCTTGACCCTTCTCGTACATGGACATACCTGAGGGGCTACGGTTAGCCCCCTGCTCCGCGGTGAGGCAACGATAGGTGATAGGTTCACATAGCACGCGAAGTTACCCAATACCAAATCCCGATGCCTATCTTACTAGCGGGGACGTCAGGGGAATAGGCGCTGTGGCGTTTTTCATTACTACTACTTCCTGGGGAACTTTGCGAACTCGTCGTGTTATTAGTTACAGCACTGGTTTTACTATGTAGGTATGTACCTATTATTACGGATAGAATGATGTGCGTTCGTGAACCTTTATATCGTCTAGTAAGGATGACAGCGCTAAGTCACATCGCCCCTGGGTGTCGCTACCCATTTCAGAGGATATTTCGTCACATCACCGCCATTCCGTAAATAGGGAATCCAATAGGAAGACCGACCGTCGTTTACCGAGTCTTCGTAGGGCTGCTAACATGAACTACATATGCAAAGGATTATTACTATGCTGGAGGCCTATGTATGGATAAGAAACCGTGGAAATGGAATACGAATCAGGACATAACAGGGAAGCGATCCTCAACGATACCTAGATCTATGGTCGATTATCGAAAAGAGTACCTCTATAACAGGCTTTAAACCCTGGAACTAAGATTCATATCGTTAATACTAAGACTTGGGTATACTTTTAAGATACTTATATAACTACCTAAATTATACATAATTGTATCTATGATAAAGACATAGCCTATAGAACCATCCTTGTTACCTACCTAACCTACCTATAAATCTGACAATATCGAAAAGTCTTCAACCCACCCCTGACCGACCACTTCATCTGAAACCCGCTTAAGGTTGCCCTTCCCATAATAGAGTCTTCTCGAATCTCATCACACATAGACGCTTCTCGGAGCTGACGATCTAGAGCGGGATGATAACTGCATAGGGGATAGGCGAGGCCAGGCCACCCAACGTTGCGGCCTTGCTCCCCGTGCGCAGAAAAAAGAAAAAGCAAAACGAACCCAGAAAATTCTTCAAAAATTCCCTATTAGGCCTAGAATATTCCTATTCATTTTTCCTTTGTCCCTTTATCCCTTTGTCCTTTTGGTCCCTCTAATGTCTACCTAAGTACCGAGGTAATCAAGTACCTTGTTGAGACTGGAATTTGTATTAGAGATAGTATCTTATATGTACCTAGGTAGACTATAGGTAGTCGGTACCATGGTACATAAAGAAGAGCCATGTGGGGATTTAGATTCATTTATTCATCCATGTTAGTTGCTACCAGGGGATCCACCAATAAGTTTCTATCCCCGAGAAATCGGGAGATTCCCGGGTCAAAGCTTTGCGGACCAGCCCGAACGGTCCGTGGCAGCTGGAGCCGGAGCGATTTACCTATCAACAATCTCATCTCTAAAAAAAAAAAAAAAAGATCGTCACTTTACTTGCTTGTATCTATGCTTCACGATCCGACTTCTAGTCGATTGGTTTAATTAACCAACCAATTGAAATATATAAACTCTAGAGATTAAACTATGGCCCCATCACGGGCACCATTAACACGCCTGGCAACAACCCTTCTACGCCAAACCACCTGCACCCGCACCACCACCACCTCCTCCATCCTTCCCCGCCACTACCACTCCTATGATCACCCCCCACCCCCCACCTCCTTCAGCACCGCCGAGCGCGCCATCCTCTCCTCCGCCTACAACCACGTCCCCGAGCATGGCTTCACCCAGCATGCCCTAGCCCTTGGCGCCCGCGACGCCGGATACCCGGACATCAGCACGAACGTCGTGCCCGAGGGGCCGTACAGCCTGATCCGGTACCACCTGGTGACAAAACGGGAGGCGCTAGCGCCGTGGGCCAAGGCCATTTTCGGCAGCGAGGGGGGGCAAGGGGAGTTGTTGAAGGTGCCCGAGAAGGTGGAGAGATTGGCGTGGGAGAGGTTGGTATCGAATTCGGAGGTTAATCATCGGTGGCAGGAGGTGAGTCTAGTCTAGTCTTCTCTGCTTAAACCCATGATATCTATATTAACCACCCTTCCACCAGGCCCTGGCCCTAATGGCCCAACCCTCCCATATCCCCTCCTCCCTCCACGAACTCGCCCTCCTCGCCGACGAGATCTACTTCCTCTCCGGCGATACATCGGTCGACCCATCCTGGTACACGAAGCGCGGCACTCTCTCCGTCATCTACGCCTCATCGGAATTATTCATGACCAATGACCGATCTCCAGGATACGGCGAGACGCGCGCCTTTTTGCAGCGGCGCCTCGACGAGACGAGCACCGTAGGCGGTGCCTTGGGCAGCGTCGCCCAGTGGGTTGGGTTTACGGCGTCGGCAGGGGTGAATGTGTTGAGGAGTAAGGGTGTTAGAATATAAGATAAGTTGGTATAATTAATTTAAGTTGACGAAGTCTGACTATGTTTGGGCGGGCTTTCTAGCCTGTGGGAGGGCAGAAGTCTGAAGGTGTACTTGATAGAAAAAACCGGTATCTACTGTACATAATTACTATTGGCAACGGTTATAGGTAGGCGGCATCTACGAAATGAGATCAAGACTACAGCGACAATCAAGTCGCAGATATATGTAATTCACATTGAACAGCTCGGCTCTATCTGTACAATATACTCGAAAAGGCAATGAAGCCAACACTAGTTTACGTCCGGACCTTTACTCTTTTTTCCTTCCCTCCCAATACCATGCTGGCACGAGGGCCTGAAGTCACCTCAAAAACGCTCTAACACCATGATTCCCTGAGATGCAACCACCGAGTGCCCTTAGCCGCCGGATGGGTGCTGTAATAACCCTACATGAAATTTCTATAACCGTAATGATAGGCCGAGTTATATTAATGGTCGGCGAGAAGCCGTTGTCGTGGATCCGTCAGCCTGATATAGTGTTAGTTCTAAAATCCAGTACATGCCATGATGATAATTCAAGAATGGGAACTTGCCTGATAATTTTGACATCCTTGTCAATCTTTGCACGGCCCTCGATGGCATTAGGGGTGATGAGAATGAATTGTTTGCCGACGGAGCGACGAGCAGTAGTAATCTGCGGTATTAATTAGCAAGATGATGCCACTCATAAAGACATAGGAACTCACCAGCATGTTTGTGCTAATAGCACGATTGACATTGTCCATGAAAACGTCAAACTCGTCGAGACATCGTAAGGGAGATCCCATTGCATCCCAAATGGCAAGAAGAAGACATATAGATGAAAACGACTTCTCTCCACCAGATAGAGTTTTCGTGTTTCGACCTGCGCTACTCTTCCTCGTTTCATCCGGCTCGACTTGAACCCGAAGCCTTTTGGCCTTGTGATCGAGAAAGAGCTCGCCTCTGAAGCCACGCTCGCTAAGAAGGTAGTTGAAGTTGCATCGGGCATGTGCAGAGATAAGGCGCTGGAATGTCCTCCATTTCCGTAGTCGATCCATCAGCGCCTTCTTCAGCTCGTCCACAAGCGAAGTAAGGTTCTTGTGGTTTCTCTTGGCTTCCCGGTATTCCTGGATTGCTTGTGAGGCGCGATTCTGAATTTCCTCGTCTGATGCGCCGAGCTGACTACGGATCTTCCTCAGCTGCTCCTTGATGGTCTCAAATTTGCGCTCGATGCTTCGAACAGTTTCCCCTTCAGGTATGTAAGCACGCTCGGCGGCGACATCACTCGCCTGTCGTATATAGTCGGCAACTAATTCCTCTTGTCTTTTCTTGGACCTTTCTGCGTCGGCTTTGCCCTCCTTCGCCACATCAAGATTTTCGTAAGCTTGATTCTTCTCGACCAGGGCTACGCGCCGAGTCTCCTCAAACCTCCTAACCTTATCTTCAGCCTTGGTGATCCTGGCTTTGTGATCCCGAGAGGCTAATTTAACCTTGCTGAATTCTTCTTTCATACCCTCTACCTCCTTATTCATCTCCCGCTTCTGCATGGCTAGCTCACCATACTGGTTGCCGTAGTGATCCTTCTGATTCATAGCTTCTTGGAGGTCATTCCTGTAACCTTGCAGTTTGTTGTCGACGCCTTCAAACTTGTCGAGCTCTTCTTCGATGTGGGTAACTCGAGCCTGGGCGTTACGCAAGTCTTTCTCAAATCCGGTTTCTTGCCTCTTGTGCTGAGAAATAGCCTGGACACAACGCTGGACCGCTTGCTGAGAGGACCTTCTGGACGTCTCCAACTCCCGATATTCTGTCCTAAGCTGCTCAAGGGATTCTTTGAAGTAATTGATCTGTGACTCTATATCCTCGGTCTTCATACGAGGTTTTTGATCATTGCTAGGCGTAACCGGGCTGGTAGACATGTTCTGACCGCGTCTCGTAAGTCGCAGTCCGTGACCCCTTTTCTTGTCGTGAAAGGATAAACACGCTGCGACATTCTCCGGCGGTTGTCTGTCAAACATGACGCGCTCTGCTTCTTCTCGTTGTTCGACCAAGATGGTTTGCTCAATGTGGTGGTTGATAACTAGTTGATCTCTCACGCGCGGGTCGTCGATTTTCAATACTCTCAATATTGTATCAAAGTTCCTATCAGGCTCCCTTAAGTTATTAATCACAGTCCTTGAACCTATGAAGATGGGACAGTTTCGGACTTTCAATCTCTCCATATGTGAAAATAACCGAGCTTGGTCGGCTTTGGTTGCAACAACGAACCCGTTAAGGCTTGCTCCGAATATCTTCTCGAGAATTGACGACCACTTGGGCTTGGTTAACTGAACATAGGTGCCTATAGGGCCAATAGGCTTCTGCGAAAATCCGCTGTCGCTCTCGATAAGCCGTAGAAGCTGGGGCACTTGCGATTCGAAACCTGCAAGCGGGTCACTGCGGTTTTGGGATAGAGTGCGTATCCGAGATTCAGCAGCTGAAACTTCCTGTCGCTTTTGTCCGACCAGGTCTTCGGACTCTTGTGCTTTCCTCTGGGCCTCATCACGTTCGCTAAAGAGACTAGAGTTGCGTTCTGTATGGGTCCTCTGCGATTCTCTGATATCTTCTACAGCACGTTTTGCGTCATCTAATTCTTTTTGTTTCTCAGCAAGGACGCCACCGTTTACCTCCTCTAGACGCTGCTCTTCTTCACGAATCTTCTTCTCGTACTCCTTGACCTTCTGGGAAGCATTGTTGAGTTGCTGATGGATGTCCCTCTCTTGCGTATGGGTTGTCTCGATCGATTGTCTTGCACGTTCGTAGTTTGCCCTCGCTTCTTCTTCTTTCTCCTTAAATTGGCCTTCTTCCTGGCGAAGTACATCCAAGGTTTCATTAGCTTCTCGGACTTTGTCGTCGATATTTTCAAGGATCCCTGTCTTCTCGGCAATCGTCGCCTCCATGCGACTAATCTCTTCTTGGGATGCTAGTATAGCGGTCTCCTTCTGCTGTAGAATGGCCTCCTGTTCCATGACTTGGGCCCAGGCCAACTGGTTCGAGTAAACCTTGGATTGTCTTCGCATCTCCGCACTTTTTGTGAGTGCGTCTCTCAGTTTTACAGCCTTCTCGCTCTTCTCTTTGAGAAAGGTGATATTATCCTGAAACGCTATAAGTCTTGTCTCATTTGCTTCAAGCGTTTCTTGAAGAAGTTGGTAATCCTGGTCAAGTTGCTCTAGCTGTGTACCCTGGACGAAGTATTTGTACTTGGCGGCAGGGGTAGCAGCATTAAGGAATTGGCGTGCATTGTCTTGAGAGAGTACATTAAGAGGGTTATCGACTTGAAGGCAGTAGTACTCAACGACATCATCTACATCGCCTTTCTTGGTCGATATGATCCTATTGGTAGTGGATTTCAGTTTGAACCCACTCGCACCAGATTTGCTGAAATATCGCTCCACGATTATAGACTCCCCGTAATGCTCCGGCTTGTACGCATCGGGACCTTGGTTCTTGATCTTGACGATTAGAACGGCATTCTCTTGACCCTCCTTAACGAAACTCCGTAGACTTCCGCCACGATTCGTCGCGCTAGCTTTACCGCCTAAGCATAGAGTTATTGCTGTTAGGATAGCGCTCTTGCCGCTTCCATTCTCTCCCACTATGAAGTTAAGCAGAGGTCCGAGTTCGACGTGCAGTCTTGTGTGGCACATGAAGTTGAAGCAGGTGATGCTTTCGATGATGGCATTGAGAGCTACCTGATTTTCGCCAAGCATATGCGGACGGCTCTTCAGACGTTGTGTTGCTCGCTGATCATCTAAATCGGTATTCTCAAGATGTCTAAAGCCGGCATCGCGCATCATCTCGTACTGGGTTGCAGCTGGTGGGCTCGGATGCTCTTCGGGCTCCTGCATCGATTCGTCCTCATCAGAGCTAGAAGTACTTTCTTGATGAGGCGTCCAAGCTGATTTCCTACTCGGACCAGCATTTGAGGTTCGGATCTTCTTTCGGCGCTGTATACAAGACGTCAGATCGCAACTCGTCGGGTGTATACTTATATGATAGAATGGGATTGTCTACTCACGGATTCATTTCTCAGACTAGAACTAGCTTGGGCGATAGTAACTTCATCTTCTTCATCTCCGTCGAATGCAGCGCGACGAGAGCGCTTCGTAGATGTGGGGGACATGACTGTTTCGTTTGCTTTATAGGTTGGCTGTACCAACTGAATTGAGGGGCTCGTCTTAGATTTTACATAGAAGAAAGCCGAATCCTCCGGGGTAAGACAATTGCTATTGTCAGAAAGGGTAGGTCATTGTGGGTAACGGTCAACGGGGAAAAGGGTATATGGTCAAACGGAGAGAGAGACTCAAACGGAATAGACTAATTACATGACAGTGTGAAACTAAATGTAATTAATGGAATTTCATAAAGAACCCTGACGCGACAATTGAGACGCGATTGTCAGGCGCGAACCCTGGTAACGTGCCCACTAGGTTAGGTATGTACGTCAGGTACTTATGTACCTCATAAGGAACCTTCGCACGCCCCCACCTGCCTTAGTTTTTTCAAATACGTAGGTACCTAGCAGGGATTTTAACGAAACCCTTGCTAATGTACCTCAGATATTAGGTGCCCGTACCTATTAGCATACACCTCCGCCAGGATGGTAACCGTTAGGGGCTCCATCCTGCCCCATCTAAGTCCCGCAGGTAACTTACAGGGCAATTTATATGAAGAAAATACGTGGTGGCCCATATAAGTAGCTTATGCGAGGCTTAACATCTTAGGTATATTTCGAAATTAACAAAAAAATAAAAAGTAAAAATTAAGGGATTTCCCATATAAAATCCCCTGGCCGCTACTTGTGGATTGTGTATAGGGCAGTGGAGCCCCTAACGGTTACCATCCTGGTGGAGGTGTATATCAAGACAGCTTCAAACAAGAGAAGAAAAAAAGGGTAGAAAGATTATCAACTAAATTTATTATTATACTTTAAAACTAGGTACCTAGGCACCCAAAGAAGGATGTTTCATATACTCAACGATTTTTTAAATAGATACCTAACTAACGTATAAGTGAGTCTAAACAAGTTCTACCCGCATAATTTCTATGATCGTATCCTAACTTCACTGATATTAGCCTTGCATTATCGACCAGTCACCTATCGACTTGACTCTTCGTCACTTCTGTCTTTGTTGGCCATCTAAACACCATATGCCTTAGGAGCATTTAACCAGAAAGTTTCTATCATTTCTAAGAGTGACGATATTGGAATAATTTACTCTTATCTTCTCGCATTTAGTACCTACTAAGTCTCGGTCGATGGATTCTAAAGGCAATATTGGATTCTCCGAGGGGGAATTCAACGAGTTCCCTAGGGGACTACCAGAAAACTGTGTGGAATATTTATTATTCGTTATCGACAGTAAACTAGAATCGCGCAATCTTTTCTCGGAGCTTGAAAATATCCGAAAAGCAGCTACACAGCTCTGCGATAGCATTGCTAAGGAATACATATGGCAACGAGATTCTTTTCAACTCCGTATTGAAAGAGATCAGGATCTGGTCTACTTGCATGGGACCACAGACTACGGAGACTCTGTCGAGGATGAATGGCTCATAGTCTACCTTCTTCGAGAATTGACCAAATCTTTTCCCAATCTTTGGGTCAGAATCTTCGACGATGATGGCGAATTTCTGCTTGTCGAGGCAGCTAACGTCTTACCAAAATGGTTAAGCCCGGAGATAGATAGCAACCGATCATGGATACACGGTGGAAACCTCCATCTACTTCCCCTGGCTGCAAGTTCGGGGGTGAAGCGACCGTTATCCTTAACCGAAGCTGTTCGATATATTAAATCAGACCCCAACTCCCTAGTGCATTCCGCATTCATCGAAGCCGAAGCTTTCTACAGGTTAGAGAAGTACCCTGGACAAATCACAGATTCGATACACCGTTCGCTAGTTAAGATACCTAGAAAGCTTGCTTATATATTGCACGAAAAGCCTTCTACTATTGCCCCTGCTATCGAAGCGTTTTATCTTCGGGATCCAGTTGCAATGAAGCCTCTCGCGTCACCTTCTGCGAAAATACATTTTCCCCCCGAGGACCTTGTAACCGTCAGTGTAAAGTTCACAAAGATACTTTTCGCACAGCTCAAGTCTCAGCGTTTCTCGCCCCCTCCGATATGGAGCGCTATATTTGAAGCTGCCGAGAAGGATATTTCTAACGCAGATGATGATCAAAAGAATTTAGCGAGCTTGGAAATGGGCATGAAGGTAACAAGCGGCTTCGAGATGCTTACTACTAACGCAGACACGAAAGATAATCGGCTTGCGCGTGAATTTGCTATGCTACTCGAAGATGTTGAAGAAGACGGGGCTCAGGTGCTTCCGACTAACAAAGACATTGAAACTTGGGAAGATGTGCACAGAGAAGACGACGAGTCTTGGCTAGACATCAACTTTGACGACTTCGAAGATGAGCTGCAAGGAAACCGTGGGCCTCGAAGCCGGCCAAAGGGTGAATTTGGCGATCCTTCGGCGCAGGCAGATTTGAAAAAGATCGTATCCCGTTTTGAGGCTTTCCTGAACGACGAAAGTGCCGGCGTAGAAGGTGCTGAATTGGAAGATATGGATGAAGATGATGATATCTCGGATGATGAGGAAGATAGCGACGATGAGGATAAAGAAGTCAGTTTTGACGAAGAGCAGTTTTCGAAGATGATGAGGGAGATGATGGGACTGCCCGCTGTAGAGCCTACGAATCCGGAGAAAATTTCTAGGACCTCAACATCCGTCGCTACACACGGTACTACTATTGAAGAAGACGAAGATGATGCCATAAGGCAATTGGCTGCTCAGATGGAAGCCGAATTAAAAGAACATGGTGCATTAAAACTTGATCCTCGGACCGGAAAACCGAAAGCAATAGAAGCAAAATATGGAGGTGATTCTAAGGGAAAAGGGAAAGCTACTCTAGAACAAAAAGTTGACAACGAAGAAGAGAGCAGTGAGGACGAGGACGAGGTTGATGTTGACTATAACCTCGCTAAGAATCTGCTAGAAAGCTTTAAGAGTCAGGCCGGAATGGCAGGCCCTGCAGGTAACATTCTTGGTATGATGGGTTTACAGCTTCCCCGGGATGAAGATGAAGAGGAGGAGGATTAATCAATTTTATCTTTTTTAATCTGATCTATAAGTTGATGAGTTTAGTGAACCAAGATGAAAAGGGGTGTGGTTTGATAGTACACACGTACATCTACATAGGAGAAAAGGTAATAGGAGTATGTAGCTTGTATCTATATTAGTGATGCCCCACTATATAAAGCTCCTGAGCCACACCGGTTTGGGTCATCAACCCCCACTAAGAACCACGACGCGACGTCACTGGGTCATTCTAAAATATGTAAGGCCCGGACCGTGAATCTGGACTTAAGATCTTCAACGTCGTTTCTGGATCCGGCTCTAAGGTACTTGCGCTTGTAATATCAAACCTCCTACGCGTCCGTTACATGGCTTTAGGAGGTTATTCTTGTGATGTCTTATCCTATGCAATCATAAAACTTCCCTCTCCGCATCCCTTACGTCTGCGACATCGTTTAAAGAATCACATACCCTCGTGCTACCTCGTACTAGACGAAACAACAAATACGCAAGCGTAAGACGAGGATGTGGCCCAGTAGCAGCGTTTCTAGCCTCCAAAAAACATACGATGAAGCCTATCTAAAGTGCTCGACAGCTGTCTACTATGAGAGCCAGGTATGTACACGCGCCGGCCAAGACCCCCTTTGTTTAGCACCGCCGGTCGACGAGTATATAATCAAGCTAATTACCTATATTACTCTACATCTAGGGGGATGAAAAAGAGGCGATGTTATGTTGGAGGAACGCCCTCGACCAAATACGGCAGAGCACAACGAATAAGAAACAGGGCAACTACTCCCCCAAATCCGAGACAGAACGTGCTTTGCTAGAAAGTTTACGCGAATTGGAGGTGCAATGCAAAGAGAGAATCGATCTGCTAGAAGCTCTTAGAATATCCCGAGAGGAGGACCCAACATTCCAGTTTACACAATCGAGCATAGGTACCGAAGGAAGCCTAGGCACACGGTCCAACACCAACACGCCGGAAAGAGGATGGATTGGTGACGGAACAATACCCGCCATAACGTATACAGAACTGTCCAAACCACCGCTTCCTAAACGACCGTCGTTCCCTTCCAGAAAGTCGTCGGAGCAAGCAGTTGCTGGACTCCGTAATGCGATACTAGACCAAGAGCTATCATCTTCGGCAGCTACACCACCTTCACTCCCCCCTTATGGTGTATCCACCCAGAGAAAGAGATCATCGAGGTCGCCTAGTCCTGAAAAGCATACGATGCGAACAACGCTACGGACAAGTAAACAAGACAAGTCTTCAAAGTCATCCCGGCATACACCAGCCAAGATAACCAAAGGTCCTGGGGCCAGTAAGGCTGCCACATTGGCTTGGAGTAGCCTCGAAAGGGGAACATCTACTGATGCAACCAGTCCGTTAAGACTTTTAGAGACACGAAGGTCTTATGAGCAAGGGCGAAAGAGTTCTGCACCAACTCCAAGACATTGGGATAGTCACACGAGAAGGCTGGTAGTCTCCCCCGAAGCTTCTAGTTCTACATCTATACCATCCCGCCCAAGTCCTGAAGCTTCGATGCAAGTTTCAGCCGATTACTCGTCTCCTGCTCCATCCTCTCTCGCTCTCGGTGCTGCATCGAGTGCTTTGGGAGCTCTAAATATTCAAGACCGAGACGAGCCTAGTTCTGTAGGAATTCGAACAGAGCGGAGACCGACCCCAAGGAAAACGGGCAGCTTAAGTTACGATGAACGAAATAATACTACCCCTCGAGTCTTGGAGTCTCTGGAAACCACCCCTAGAATAAGTTCTAAGGGTGGCTCAATAAGGAGAAAGCCTTTGACCCATGATAAGGTGTTTGAACCGAATAGCGCTAGAAAGCGAGTCGGCCGACAAATATCTAATTATGATGGGAAAAGAGAGGAAGCATCGTCTAGCGACGATCAATTTCGAGCAAGCCCTTCCCGTCGGAAATACAAGGGTAAGCAGAAGGAATCTCTCGTAACGTCCGATACTGAAGACCGGTCCACAACAACTTCAGCTGCCGAAGAAGGGGATAAGACAAAAGACGATTGGGAAAAGACGAAAAAGGAAATAATGAAGAATTTACCGGCAGGTGTAGATGAAGCAGCCGCAAAGGCAATATTCAATGAAATTGTTGTGCAAGGGGATGAGGTCCATTGGAGCGACGTCGCCGGATTAGAAATTGCGAAAAATGCATTAAGGGAGGCAGTGGTGTACCCGTTTTTACGACCAGACCTATTCATGGGCCTTCGCGAACCAGCTAGGGGCATGCTACTTTTTGGACCTCCGGGGACGGGGAAGACGATGCTGGCTCGTGCCGTCGCGACAGAGTCAAAGTCTACTTTCTTCTCTATCTCGGCGAGTAGTCTAACAAGCAAATACCTTGGCGAGTCTGAGAAGCTCGTTCGTGCGTTATTTGGATTGGCCAAGATGATGGCACCAAGTATCATATTTGTAGACGAGATAGACTCGCTTCTCTCGCAACGGTCCGGGTCTGGAGAGCACGAAGCTACGAGAAGGATCAAAACCGAATTCCTCATTCAGTGGAGCGATCTACAGAGGGCCGCAGCGGGACGCGAGAACAATAGCGGGACAAATAAGGAGCGAGGCGATCCGAATCGAGTCCTTGTGCTAGCGGCTACCAACCTGCCATGGGCGATCGACGAAGCAGCAAGGCGGAGGTTTGTGAGGCGCCAGTATATACCATTGCCTGAGGCAGAAACCAGGACTACCCAATTAAAAACATTACTAGGCCAGCAGAAGCATAGTCTTACGGATGCTGATATTGCGGAACTGGTAGACCTAACAGATGGTAATATTAACCAACGATTATATAGTATTTGTAATAGCAATACTAATTCAGTCATATAGGCTTCTCTGGCTCGGATATCACAGCATTGGCAAAGGATGCAGCAATGGGCCCCCTGCGCGCGCTCGGCGAGGCTCTCCTACATACGACAATGGACCAGATTCGGCCCATAGAACTGGCCGACTTCAAAGCCAGTCTTCGCAATATTCGCCCAAGCGTTAGTAAAGAGGGTCTTAGGGAGTACGAGGACTGGGCAAGGAGATTTGGAGAGCGTGGCGGGTGAAATCAATACTCGTCGCAACCAAGGTGGGGGTCTGTTTGAGAAGTAAATATAAATAACCGAAATGGTCGGCTGTGTATGCGTACGTAACATCGGCGTTCTGGTGAGGGCAGCGACGGGTTGGCATACGATACCTAGGTCTAGGATGAGACCATCCTTTCAGTTCAATATGATTTATGTCGATGATGTGACTGACATCTTCCTTTTCACATGGCAGTAAACTAGAGCCGTACTGAACGGTAGTTGTACATATATGTAGGTATGTTACATGTAGGTGATTCCGGTATATACAGGTTTACCGTGTGGAACTGCACTGCGGTTATCTTCCGCAGTCACAGTCGCAGTTCGATCGTCGTAGCTGTCCAGCTAGCTAGCCCGGGCTTTTGTCGCCCTAGATCATAAACCCCCTCCTCCCTTCTCCCATTCATTTCAGTCGACATCGCTCAAGCTCGTCTCGGTCCCTTTTAGCCTCTGCCTCTCCTTTTCCTCTAATCTTTTCCTCTTCTGCTCCAGCGCCGCCTCCCTCTCCTCTGCCGCGATCCTCGCCTGCTCCTCGCGCCTCAGAGCCCGACGCTCGTCCTTCGCAGCGCGCTTGGCGGCACGCTCAGCGACGCGGTCTTCGAGGGTCGGGACTGGGGGTCGTTCCTCGATAGGGGCGCCGTAGGGGGCGATGATGTGCTTGACTACGTGGCGGACGTGCTGGGAGACGCGCCAGCTGGGCTCGATGGCGATTACATCGCCTTGGCGGACGGAGTTTGCTGGGTCGTGGACTAGTTTGAATCGGGGTTCTTTAAAGAACTATATAAGAGAGTTAGCTGGCTGGTTGATTGGTTGATTGGGTTACTTAAAGAATATTATATAGCAAGACTAACTAACCTTTTGCACCCGCGGCTCCCATCGCAGACCACCCAGCTTGACTTTCACCGTCTTGTCCATGAGCCCGGCGGACACCACGATGCCGTGCATTTCCTTGCCGGCCCGCCGCACAACATTGACGGCCGCGGCTGCGACTTCAGACGCCATTTTTTGGTGTTCCACTCCAACCCCGCTAGCGATGTCTTTCGTTGTCGCTATCCAATTGGTGTGGTATTTTTTGTATCGGGCGCAAAGTTCGTGCCGTGTCGTCGTCGAGCTGCTGCTATTTCGTTCCACAATCCCACCAATGCCCCAAAATCTTTTTGGCGGTACGTACTTGGTTGGATAAGATAAAGGACTGCTGGAGGTCCATGCAGGCGGGACTGTGAAGGGAAAAGGTTCCACCGGGTGTTATCGATAGGGGATCGGTGGTAGGGCGAGATCCACATGTAGTTTAAACCAACGCCTTAACTACAATGAATCAAAGCTTCGAAGCTTCCATATAGGAGATACCTTATGTCAGAAATAAACCTCTATACTATGATTACCTGCTGACCTTTTTTTCTCTCTCAAACATATTATAGATAGCATTCACCAGAGACTAATTTTTACATACCCATGCTACTATTCGTACGCTAAATTAAAACAATCAACTAGATCAACAAGTCTAATAAAGACAGTTCAATACCCCGAATCTCATGCCCACCCCCTATATTATATTTAACCTCACTTATGTGTGCTTTTCCACCATAGAGGTCAAAATAAGAAGGTGACTGAAACATGGTTGCTTCAACCCAGCTTGTTGTCAGTACAGAAGCATTATACGGTTTCGACTTCACAATATGATAACCACTCGCCGACCAGAGTCTCCTTGCAAGAATAAGTCAGTAATCTAATCAAGTGATATCACTAACCACTCAGTTTCATCATTCATACGGCCGGATGAACGCCACGTCTACCATTTTCGGAAGGAGCGTGGATGGGGTTTACAATGTACTCTCTCAAAAGGACCTCAGCTCTTCTAGTCGAGTCGGGTAAACTATTAGTCCACCTGCCTCCTTAAGAGCAACCAAGTAGTACATGTACGTCCCGATGTTATACCATACCATTCCATACCCTAAAACACCACTAGTTTAAGTGTTCAACTTAGACAGGACGGCGATATAGTAAGCAGCTGTAGTTACGACGCTAAGTCGTAGTCTCATGTAGCTATTTGGCTGGAAAGGAATTCTTCTAAACTTACTAGAATCACGATCGTGCATATACAAATCCCAGGCCATGATACAATGTTCATGAGCGTTTTTTCCAGATAAAGTAGGATCGACAACTTCCAAGTCGAGCTGAAAGAAAAACAACTCTGAACGGCCAATAGTATCCAAGCGATGTCTCAATTATACTACCTACTGCCAAATCTACATCTCGAATAGAATAGTCGAAACCCCTATTTATCCATGTCATATCCTTCATCATAACTATGGGTCTAGTAGATTGTAGCTATTCTCTGGATTGTCTCAAGAACTATAAAGCCTGCCGTAGCGACAGGTCGGATGTCTACATATCTCCAAAATATCAAGCATTAGAATATAAATACTTAATCAGTCATTGTGAACATGAAGGCTTTCATTACTACCTGTCTAAGCTTGAGCAGCCTTGCCCTCGCTGCTGTCCCAGGCTTTGATATTTCTCACTACCAGTCGAACGTAGACTTCGGGGCAGCATATAGTTCCGGGGCACGATTCGTTATCATCAAAGTGAGCTTAAACCCCCTATATCTATAAACTAAATATATCCCCCTCGAAACTCACCAGGTGAAAAACAGGCTACAGAAGGCACCACTTACCAAGACCCCAGCTTCAGCACCCACTACACCGGCGCCACCAAAGCCGGCCTCATCCGCGGCAGCTACCACTTCGCGCGCCCCGGATCGTCCTCCGGCGCCGCCCAAGCGACGTACTTCCTCGCGCACGGCGGCGGGTGGTCGGGCGACGGGATCACGCTGCCGGGGATGCTGGACCTAGAAGGTGATTGCGCGGGCCTGTCGACCAGCGCCATGGTCGCGTGGATCAGGGACTTTAGCGATACGTACCACGGCAGGACGGGACGGTATCCGCTGCTGTACACGAACCCATCGTGGTGGTCGAGCTGCGCGGGCGGGTCGGCCGCGTTCGTCGGTACGAATCCGCTTGTGCTTGCGCGGTATGCTGGGAGCCCGGGGGCGTTGCCGGGAGGGTGGCCGTATTATACGATTTGGCAGTTTGACGATGCGTATAAGTATGGGGGCGACTCGGATACGTTTAATGGAGATCGTGAGTACCTAACGTTGCTTAATTTGTCTTTGTTATTGTTTTCTTGTCCTTTGGCTAACGTGGTGGTGTTGCAGTCACGCAGTTGAAAAAATTGGCTTCTGGCTAGTCTTTTGGGTTCTAGGTTATACCTAGCTGACTGTTGAGATCGTTGAATTACGACTTGTTCTTGTTGTTACGCTAAGAATGCTTTGTTTATCTATGGAATTCTTCTCTTGCTGGGAATAGGTACAATACTAGTCGTCAGTTTTGCTCCAAGGCAAACGAATTCTGAAGATTCTCTGTTTGATGAAGCTGCACGGCTGATATTGCACAAACCTTTAACCTTTCCTTTACCCTTTCATGTATAGGGTTGAAAGATTGCTTATCCCGAGCCATAGAATAGCCGATGTTAAAGTCTTCCTTCATCCATACAACTCTCCTAAGTGTTGAGTTGAGATAGGTATAAATAAAGGGGTATGCTTGAAGATTAAAGTGTAGTAGATACGTACCATCGTCTACGGGGTGATTCGTGATTTTTTAACATCGAAGTGCCCTGGATTGTGCATGGGCCTTGACATCTCGTCGCAGCTGTAGATAGCTTCCTAGTTGCCCGGTACCTCGTATCTCGTATCAGCGCAACGACAAGCAAGTTAAATATCCTACTTTCCATCTGTGATATCACAACCAAATAACGCAGTGGTGCCTTGGAGAAGTGGAAACTCGCTCCCTTTGGGTAACTTCAAGTTGCAAACTTTGGGAGAGATCATGGGTTCGAACCCCATAGGTGCCCTCTCTTTCTTTTTCTTTTTTTATTATTTTTCAAAAAATTTATTTTTTTCAAGCAGTTACATTTAGATATTCGAATAATATTTAACCACTAATTACTTTTAAAACTTTCCCTAGTATACATCTGAGCATACTGAGAGCCCCTTATTACTATTCTCTACGTGTTGCAGATGCTCATCATAGGTAGAACTAATAAGCACTCCCGAAACCATCTCTGTGTCTGACCTATTTTTCTGCAGTGCCTTTTTTCCAAGGTTAATACGTGTAACATCATACTAGTTACAGACATATACGAATCATATCGTACCTTTTCGTTACCATGAATACCTACCTAGATGTTCTCTATATTAGAAGGTGCTGAGCGTTAATTAGGAAAGCAGCTCGTAAGTCAAACCACCGTTACTGGGGCCACCCTAGTGGGGACCACCCATTTCCCATACAAAATCAACAAAATCGTATATTCATAACTCATCCAAGAAAATAGGTAAAAATATCAGGACTTTATATTTAAATATAGTAAAGTGTCGTCATTGTGTACAAAATTTGAAAAAAAGATTGGATCAATATTCGTGGCAAAATGATTACAAATGAACACACTAACAAATACACATACAAATTTATATGTATAGCTGTTAACAATCATTAATGCTTATAACTTTGCCAATTTATATAGTAAAAATCCCTTTTTTATATAATTGGATAGAGAATTTTTCAATGCAACTTTTGATATTAAAAGCAAGTGTATAGCTAATTTTTTGTGGAAGTTATGAGCCTTTATAATAAAGTATATAAAATTCCCATATATTTTTGAAAGTTTTTAATGCTAAAAAATGACCAAAAACAACACTTCTTACAATTTTACCACAAAATGGTCATAACAAAAAATTGGAAAAGATCATATAGGCTATTATAGTAGTAAGGAATTAGAAAATAAAGACTGGATATTTTTAGCTATTTTCTTGGATGAATTATGAATAGGTGATTTTGTTGATTTTGTATGGGAAATGGGTGGTCCCCATTAGGGTGGCCCCAGTAACGGTGCTTCGACTTAATTAAAGATTAACCTGATATATTTCTAAATAACACGGCTTTTCACGTATTTGAAAAGTATTTTCAGATACAACTAAATTTATACATTTTCTAGTAATTTTCAAGACCTGAATAACCCCCTTGTTGACTTGGTGACTATTTTTAATCTTGCCCGTTTCCTTGACAATTGATCAATAGGTGCTCTTTAAGTGCGGAAAGGCGAGAGCCAACACTAGTAATCCTAAGCTACATAGTTATTTAAAAGAGATTCCATAGACCGCAGTATTTGGCAATTACACTCTTAATATCCACAATATATCTTCGTCTTTTCAAGTAGTCATAATACATATGAAATCTCTTGGGTGGCGGTGGACTCCCATATGTATTTACTGGCTTCTTGGGTGCTTAAGGATAGATAAGGTATTAAATGCCTATGCAATGTCACATCAGTAGATTCTTGTGATGTAGATTGTGATGTTAAGCCTCTGGACGGAGTTTAGTTGGTTATGATTCAATAATCTTTCAATATAATGACACTTTGATGGAGAATGCCACATACGTAAGTAGTATCTTGAGTAGGCTTATCACGTACTAGCTAGTGATATCGTCTTAAGATTACTCTTATTAAAATCTTATTAAACCTTTTTCTATTAATCCGGGATTGTGAATAGATATACCTAGCTACCATAGCTATCTACGCTACGAGCTAATACTTATCATAAACGTCCAGGACCGGTCTCAGAAACCCCAAGAACCAATTGGGGTATGATAGATGATCTGCATTTGCTTATCAAGTCATGATATCCCGCTCGGGCATGCTGGTCTTATTCGGGAAAGTTCCGAGCCAGGTTTGCATAAAATATATACAATACAGCGGTAAACTGTCGGTTGACTTTTGTATCATGCAAGGATTATTCTCGGCCGAAGCAGTAAACCCGGGGTATGTCAGCTTACATGTATATTACACGTATATTCGGGATAACTTTCGACTATCTTTCCTATACAGGATCCTCTATACTATTAGCTCTTAGCGCCTAATATCTACATGCTAATATCTACATGCTAATATCTACATGGCCATGCTCACCGCTTAGTCAACTATACTGTCAGGGCATACTCATCCCTTCCTAGTCTAGTACGAAGCGTAGAGAAGCTATTTTAGTATAATTTAAAACCCTTGGAGCTAGCCACCTCGCGTGAGAGCATATACCTATCTCGATGCTACCATATTTGATAGCTTTTTCATACTGGAAAAGACATATAGTTGTAACGCCCAGATTATGTGGCACTATTGGTATGATTTGATTGCTGGAGCTCAGACCTTTCTTGCACCCCAAGAAATTAGAAAGCTTCCCCGCGACGGGACTTGTATCACCTGCAGAAAGTTCTAACTGCAGATAGCCGGTTGAGTTTCTCCGAAAGGCTTGAAGCTTTATTCGTAGGAACCGGGGCGCAGGCTGAGTAAGGCTCACCATTCCATCGGTTATGACTACGGGTTAAGCAATAAGCACTTCTATATTCCTTCGAATCTGACAGATCGTTTCGAAAGATGCAAGCTCGCTTCTTTTTTGCGATAACGGCTGGATGTATTATAACGTTTATTCGTTACCTTTCCGCTTTGCTTTTAGTTAGTGGATTTTAAAGATAATATGTATGGATGTTGGAGTAAAGAAAATTACGGAGTCGGAGGTCGGGCTCGGGGGTAGAGCCGATGGCTTGCATCGCTATTTCTAGTGGAACCCGTACACCGATGAAGTTCTGGTTGGTAACTGGATCCAGCACATGATGCCAGCTACGTATCCCGATTCCAGGCCGGAATGGTCGGGAGTATAAACTTGATAATGGTAGGCCATAAGTTAGAAACACGTTAACAATGTTCAAAAGAACGGTAATTTACATAATCGGAACTTATCATTGCAAACACGTTTACATATTAGTGCATAACTAGCAGTAAGGGGAGTTTGCTTTTTCTTTTAGCGTGTCTTAGTATGTACATAGGTATATCAATGTAAGAGGTATCTAAGTCGTCTTCGACTAAGATATGGACACTGATGAGACTCGCTTAGGTATGCGTTCATATTGTGCGATATCCCCGGATAAATGTACTGTCTTTTTAGAAAAACGTGCTGTACCTTTAAGCTTTCAGCAAGGGCAATTGCGAGTGGCATAGTGGGTAGTATCTGTAGCGGGGCAAACAGGAAGCCACTGCATCGCAATCCTTTATACCGGTGGGGTTCAAGGGTAGCCAAGAACGCAGGGAAGTCGTAGTCGCCTTACCGGACTCGATATGTACAAACAAAAATCCTCCCCACATCCGTAGCTTAACCCGAATCCTTTTTAACAATTTCTTCACTTCAATTCTCCCGTCCCGTCGACTACCTTTCACTCTTAGCTTTATACAACTTTCTCACGAAACATAATTATTTGTTACTACTAATCACTACATTCACTATATGCTATATTGCTCTTGCATTAACAAACTCTGCTAAGAACTTTATCATCCCGTATTATTACTCTACAAATCGACCATGCCTTCCACAGTAGAATATCGCGCTGGGAAGCGACCTCGTAAGTTTGGCAATTGCTTTTCTACTCCCTTCCATTATGTCTAAGTAAAAGGCAAGAGACGGGAACAATTCCACCTATTGCATATAGGTTGGTCCGAGCTGTGCCCTCAACTCAGCCGCACGCTTGTACTTTGCGACTTGTCCACTTGTCCACACCACTATGATATATTGGACTAAAGACACCCTTTGACCGCATCAAAGCCCCTCTGAAGTCCATACATCTGCAAACTCAATCCTCTATTTTTCTCTGCCCATCCACAATTCTAGACAACTTTTCTAACATCAATGGCTACTTCCGCAGGCACCCAATCTCTACCTCCTCCAGCTCTCCCCCAGCTTGTCGCCGAACAACATGTACCCATAGCCTCCAATGACAAGGACAGCCAGAGACTTATAGTAGTCTTATCCAATGCCAGTCTAGAGACATACAAGGCCTCCCACGGTAACGGTGCTGGCCGTGCCGGTATGCAGCGGGAGGATAAATATTCGCTTCTTAACAGCGATGAACACATAGGAGTGATGCGCAAGATGAACAGAGACATCAGCGACGCCCGACCTGATATTACACATCAGGTACGCTACAGAACTATATTTTGCTTACTTTTCAACAAGTCATTAGTCTTAGGTTGGCATTCAACATGCTGACATTGTGTTCCACTGATATAGTGTCTCCTTACCCTTTTGGATTCGCCCATCAACAAAGCGGGCAAGCTGCAAATATACATACAAACTGCAAAGGGTGTCCTCATCGAGGTATCGCCTACTGTCCGCATTCCCCGAACATTCAAGCGATTTGCCGGTTTGATGGTTCAGCTGCTCCATCGCCTATCCATCCGCTCGACCAATTCGCAAGAGAAGCTCCTTCGAGTCATCCAGAACCCGATTACGGACCATCTTCCACCCAATTGCCGCAAGATCACGCTAAGCTTTGACTCGGCCACCGTGCGCGTACGAGATTACATCCAAACGCTCGGACCGAAGGAAAGCATATGTGTTTTCGTGGGTGCTATGGCCAAAGGTCCAGACAACTTTGCCGACGAGTATGTAGATGAGAAGATCTCAATTAGCCAATACAGCCTTTCAGCTAGTGTTGCATGCAGCAAGTTTTGCCACGCTGCCGAGGACGTCTGGGACATCCTCTAAGATAGTCTCCTAAGCTGAGCCCCTCGAGGAGGAAAAGGGGAATGTAAGAGGAGGGTAGGTAGTGGAACGTATTAGGTATGAATGATAAAGCGGGTGTGCCTTGCGAAACCCGCCATACAACATGGTGGCAGACGCAGGTATCCCCGGAGCTTGGGTCTACGGGTTTTGTTCAGTCTCTGTTTTTGCAACCAAAACATCAGGCGTTCAACATGAGATCCAAGACGTTTTCGCCGTCTTATGTGGGCCACTTCAACTTGGCCCACAGCCCTCTTTCTTTGTTTCCCTTTTTTTTTATAACAAATTCCCCCTTATGCTAGCTCACCTCCCTAGTCCGATGCCAGGATTCGTGCCGACTGCGGGACAAGACAAGTGCTTGGGGCCAAAGTCATTAGACGTACGGCCCGCCTTTTACGAGGTTCTCACGGCTTAGCTGAGAGCGGACCTAATATTTGTAACAGAACAATACGTCAGCTTTACGCTGTGCCTATCAGATGAGTTCATGCGGATTAAGCTGCGGAAGAGTGAGCTGGGTATTGGAGCATCTGCTGTTAGGCCATCCGCTTCTAGGAACGGACATCGGCGTCAGCGATAAAAGTAGGCAGGGTGGAGGTACCGGTTCGATGAGGCAGCGTCCCTTTATAATCCCCTTCACTATTGATCTACTTCTAGGTAGGCATTGGATACCTTAGTCTGGTGGTGCTTGGTTGGAAGATGGATATGTATGTATTGGGGTGCAAGATGAAGATCTTATGGTTAAGTCTGCGTCTGGGGAGATGGCATTATTATGCGTCGATCACATCTAGCCATTTTGATGTCGGTCTCGGTCAGTGCTTGCGAATCTACGAATCTTCGGCAAGGAAATGGGGGGATGTAATACTAGACCTACATAATCTCCAATCATGTGTCTATGTATACCTACCCCATAGGAACCTAGTTTCAGAACCATGCAATTAATAACCAAGGTCAAACTGGGAATGCCTATTAAGAATTGATTTCTCTAGTCCTTACGTGTACCTATCCACCTCACACGACGCAGGTCTGTACATGAGTGTACTAGACATTGTGTTGTCAAGTTCCACGATGTGTAATTGTAACTAATCATAGAAACTCTAAAAATCGAATGGGGTTGTAGAGAGTCTGGGTTAAGAGTTTGGAGTAGTTTAGTAGGGCAAGTGCTATTCTGTTTGGTCCGCGGAGAGGGGTTAGTCACTTAACCTCTTTTATCTTTCTACGCAAGTTATTCCACTTAAACTGTTCCACTAAATTATTCCACATTGCTGCAAGTCTACATTCCCCTCGACCAACTTCATAAGACTTATTAGTCCAATCAGCTATTCATATTTGGATACCTATTTACTGGGGTACTATCAAGATACTACTGTTTGCTTGCAGAAGCTCTATCTAATGCTGGTAGCTATTATATATTTCAAGTTCAGCTCGTGTCGGAAGGGGATTCAATATAGGGCACAAATCTAACGTGGCAGCTCTTCCACCGCTGCCACAGTAGACATTTTTAGATTTTCCCGCCAAAAAAAATCATAAAAACGATAGTCACTTCAAGCAGCCTGCTTGCTATCTGCATTACAACATCATTGTAAAGGCCAGCATGTGCCATTCGGACTCAAGCCATCCATCTCGTATCTTTCATGGTTCAGCTGAGTTATATCTTTACGACATCAATAACCATGGATCGTGAATCTTTTTCATGGGCTATCGTGCAGATGCAGCTATGGTGGATATTCGTCTTGCCACTACGAAAACCCCGCCAGGTTGTTCATCATTCAATCTATCATAATACACGTGTATAAATGAGTGAGATAGACGCAACTAGACTAACTCAGGTATCCAGTTGCATCGGATTATTTGGGGGGTGGATCACCTTCCGGAAAATTCTGAAAGACAGGTCAAGATGTCTCCTGCATCGGTACCTAACTATCGTCTTTTTGGGAGAAGCTCGTCTATTGGCGGCTCTCACATGGATATTTCCGCCATGATACAGATGGGTATCGAGGTTGGTATATTTCTACTCATAAATTTGCTCGTTTCTCAACTTCTTTTCGTTCATCATCGTTCTAATTCTAATCATTAATCTTATTAGACCGGAGTTGAAATATATAATAAACCTCGAGTTCTATCAGCTCAATAATTTTTACTTATAAAATTCCCCTCTTGACTTTAAAACACGCTATACTTGGCTTGCATATCAAGACGCCTATACGCTTAGATTGGAATATCGACAACACTCTTCGTTTCCACCTTGTCCCACCTATTATACTACTTTCGGCTTTTCGATTTTACGATTTCTACCTTACTATTCGTTGCTCATATCTTCGGGTGTGCTCCACATCGCTGCTGGCTGGTTAGCTGCATCTCCCTTGCAACACTTTTCCATCTTCTCGATCAGTATTCGTGCATACTGCTATCACAAGAGCCAGTTGTGTTCTGAGTCACTCAGCTTCGACTACCTAGTCGTTTCAACGTCTCATTCCACTTTATCTGGTAATTTGTCACGGACTAGTAGCTCCTGGAGATATGCACGTCCTACCATTTGTCCAAGTCAAAGACCTAGCCCCCTCGGCTTCGTTCTACGCCGCTGTGGCTCAACCCCTCGGTCTCCGTTATATATCTTCCACTCCCACTTCAATAGTGTTTGGCGATAGTTCTTCATCTTCCCCCGAACCAGTCTTCGAAGTGAAGCAGAATACCAACTCGGACTCACAATTTGTGCAACCCTGTCGCCTCGTCCTTTCGGCGGGATCACCCTCGGCCGTTGCTGCTTTCCACGGAGCTGCCTTGCGTTCGAATCCTAAACTAAAGGACGGCAACTACAGCGTCAACTATTTGCGTGTACAGAACTCGGATCCAGACGAAGAGAGCCGCGCTATCATCGGCGATTTTGACGGAAACATCATGGAGGTCGTCCATGCTAATTCTTCCAAGAAGTATGCCTCGAGCCGTGCAGGCTCGACGGTAAGCCGGTCTCAATCCTCTTCTACCCAGGAAAGCAGCCGTGTCCTCGACTGGACTCTAGATGTTGGCGCTCCCCTGGTTCCTTTACCACGGTCTATCGCCGGATCCAGTGGGCCTAGCACCACGGTGGGTAGCCGCGCTTCTAGCGGCGAGTCCTATACCATGGCGCGACAAAGTGTTACGACATCATCATCAACTATCGAGACCCCACCCGAGGAGGCCCCAAAAGGATTGAATACTACCACCGTCCTGGGTGCCGTCTTCGGTCTGGCGGTGGGCGCTGCTGTCGGTGGCGCGCTAACCTATAACTCGATAATGAACAAGCAAGAGCAAGAGCAAGAGCCTATTGCGTTCCAGGGTCATGATATGCCGCCCTTTACTAGACGGTCTACATACCCGGACCAGTCTCCGAACCGGCCCCGATACTACCCTCCCAGCAGCTACAATGGTGGTCACTCGAAGGCTGGTGGTCCGCGAGGCAGAGCGATCGAAGACATGGACGACCGTGCCAGTCGTTACTCAAGCCATTACACTACCAGGAGTCGGTCGCGCGGCCGCAGCGAGGCATCCTCGTCTAGACGCTCCCTGATGGTAGACGAGCATGAGCACAGAGGTGATGCCGGATCGAAATACAGCGAGAGGCGACCAATGGAATCAGAGTATCGCAGTAACACAGGCCGGTCCAGACACGCCCCTGCCCCCGACTCCCGCGGCCATGCGAGCTCGCGACACTCGCCCGACTCGGAGTCGGACTGGCGCACGTACGTCAGTTCCAAGCACACATCTGCGTCATCGCGGCCGCGTGAGGCAGAGACCGAGACGTACGTCTCGGCTCGCACCGACAAATCGGCCGGCACGATTCGCGGCACACGGACCTCCCCCCCGCGACCTCAGTCTAAAGCCGGAACTCGGTATTCGGCTAAAGGGTCTGGAGGTAATAGATCACGGAGTGTGAAGCGTCCGGAGAGCCATGCTGGCAGCGGTTATGTAGTCTGGGATGATGATGATGCGGGGAGTGTAGCACCGAGCGATAGTATCAGTAATATTGGGAGTCGGCATGGGAAGCGGTCGCAGTATGTTTGAGCAGTTGCCTTCATCAAACATACTTTCAGTATAGTCTTGAGACTAAACGTCTTCCATAAGCGCTTTTGAGAAGCAGCTCAACACTAAGACGGCAATACGCACACGCGTTTTTTCTGTTTTTCATTTCTTTTTTTAAAGAATCTCTAGTCAGGATAGAAACACTTTTCAATATCATCCGGTATGGAAGGAGATCTGAGGATATGGTTCGGACTACGACAATAGGGCGGGGGCAAAGGACGGATATGGATATGGGAATCAGTTGGAATACGAATATATCTAGGCCTATATAAACATAATTTGATTTCGTCTCCATCTATATATATTTTTTCATCAATTCTACGCATTATGTTGGATTTTGTGGTGGCGTTTGAAGGTACATCTTGTTCGTGTAAAAGATTTCTGCTTGGGCTGGTTTGGATGATGGCGTGTTAGGACCAGACGATTATCTTTGGGATATGTACCTTGTCATCTTCTTTATCAAGGTCATCTTCTGCGTACGTACACTTCACCCTTACGCTGGGTAGATACCCATTTCATAGTTCTTATTTTGAGGTTGGTATTTCTCCGTACGTCATTGCGGAAGCCGCATTGGCTGGCATAATTACTGACCTGGCCACGGCAAACACGGCACTGGGTGTATAATTTCTTGGTGGCTCTGCACAAACCCGTTGACATCTACGTATATCAAGGGATATATTCACGGCATGTGATCCTGCGGAGGTAATACTCAGTCGTATATCCTTGGCCACGGTCTTGGACGAAGTCTCTAAAACCATATAGCTTTTATTTTATTTAGTTTCATTTTCATTTTCGGTTTCTGCCTCCTCGTTCTTTGCCACCATTCTTCTCCCTATCGGAAACCCCCGATATGTCGCGACGCGGGATCCGGTTCGCGAGTCCGACATTGTAACTCGAGCCCTCCTTCATGGGGGGATACGCCAAGGCATTTTCCGGAATGTAACTTGGTTTCTTGATTCTTGTCGAGATATAGCATCTAACATAATAAGAAACTTGACTGGAATAGGGTATTCTATTCGATCGCCTGGTGTAGCACATGTAAGGCTGCATGTACATTTACGACGTTACTATTGACTACGTCGGTTGGTGTAATATGTGGTTATTATGCTGTTAAGGCCATGGCTGTGATGTGCTTACTAGTTGCTATGTCTATAAAGTCCCCTTTTTGATATAATAGTATAAGGGGGTTGATTATACATTTGCCAGCTTGGCAGTCTGTACTTTCCTGTTCGGTGAAAGAGGTAGAAAGCAAAGAAGTCTATAGTATGTAGGTATTCAGCAGGGTCACGGTTATCAAGGCTAGCGGGAGGAGGAAGTCCATGAGTGAATACCCAGCAGGAGAACTCGAAACTCGAAATTCACATTGTGGTTATTCTAATGTGGCTGATTTCAAAGGTCTCATATATCACACCATTTGGGAAGCTTTACAGCATAGACGGGGGCTTCCATGTTCTGTCTATTGATAATATAGACTACGAAGCAATCCGCAGGTATCTTATCCTTAAACGTTCTCCCCCCTTTTTATTTTTATTATTATTTTGTTTTTGAAAATGGGCCTTGTAATGCTATCCTGTTGCCAAGATAAAATATCTCTACCGTTGCCAATATATAGATGGCTCGATTGAATGAACTAAGACTTAACTAGTCAATCAAAATGGGAAATTGTATTTCAAATTGGCTCGGATGATCATGACCTGTTGAGTATTTTGGGTACAGGGTGCTATACATATCGTTTTTTAATTGATGTAACACCGGTGAAGCTATTTAGAGGGATACGACCTCGACATTAGTTACTCTCGACGTTAAGATGATATAATACTGCAGCTTAATAAGGACTCTTATAAATGACTGATCGATTTTTTAAAGAAATCCTCTGATTCGAGGAGTTTAAGTTATGGAAAGATATTCTATTGCTTCGGAATCTAGCGTGCTTGTGCGTCATACGACTGCAAGGATATGATTTGCAAGCCGTCCCATGCAGTTACATGTGAGCTAGCTATGTAGTTGAGAGCTCGGAACCTAGCTTTTATAATTGTTGGATCAGTTGGATGTGCATTGATGATAAGGATTTCTTATAGTATTAGGTAGTCGTTTGAATCTTTAACTAATTATTAATACCTTTTTGATTGCCCTCACAATTGCATACCTTATGTGATGTGTGTTATACTGTTATGTATGTTAGATTAGTTAGTTAGTTAGTTAACAAGTGATAATTAGAAGATATGTAATTCTTAATATTTTTGCTAGGGTTGGATTTGTAGTTGGAAAGGTGGGGTAGTGGAGAAAGTGTCGTGGCTCAATTGACTTATTTCATTGGCTAGGGCCATCAAGGGATTAACCCAAACGGAACGTGTGGAGAATTACGGTGAGTTAAACCCCATTTTTCGGTTCCCACCGCTCTTCCTTAGCTCCCAAAGCTCTTCATCCGAGACTGCCTAGACCCCAAGATTCTCTTGACAAGGGGCGTACCTTAAACTTTAACATTTTAATGTCAATTGGTTTTAATTCTTTTTCCGATAAAACGTGCCTAATCTCTTGTACAACCCCTCTTAGTTCCATATACCCTCCTTTTCGCGATATATTGAAATGGTTGCGTGAAACTGTCACCCGAACATCAAGCTAGACCTTTTGCGTCCCTTTTCTTTACCTACCTAAGAGCCTAAAGAGGTTGGTAGACGACAATGGCCGAAAAGGAATACCCAGTACTGTCGAGAAGGCAGATCGAAGGTTTAATTGCAGATGGACGACGCATCTTCATTGCCAACCAATATGTATTCAAGGCCGATCCATGGCTTCCGTACCACCCAGGTGGTGACAAGGCGATCCTACACATGGTTGGTCGAGATGCTACCGACGAAGTCACTGCGTTAGTGCTGCCCTCACCTGTATAACCTTATACGTGCATTGCATTAGGATCATCTGTCTAACATGTCTTGTTACTATAGTCTCCATTCCTCCGAAACAAGAGAGCAGATGAAACGTTATCGAATTGGTAGAATTGAAGGAAGGTGGACCAACTTCATCCCCCCTGTCCAAGGCGGTAAATTCAGACCATTGTTAGACGGCGACGATGTTGAGGACGAGGTTGAGGAAGGGGACGTCATTTCTACCGGTGTGTCGAGTAGCCCAAGTTCCCGGGAGCCTTCCCCGGTATTCGATGACAGCGCAGAAGCCGTGATCCGAAAGCGACGTGGCGTTGACGGATCAGTACCCAAATCTTCATCTACATCTTCGGTATCTTCGGTGGAACCTGATGATGATGGCATGTCATACCTTGACACCATTACCAGGGAGAAAACGACTCTAGACCTGGAAAAGTATCCCTCCCTGGATTTTGATACCCAGGATGCCATCGTGGCCAAGTATCGCGAACTTGGCGAGCGAATCAAGGCCGAAGATCTTTATAAATGCAATTATTGGGCGTATGCAATTGAGGTCACACGATATTCAATCCTATTCAGCCTCACCTTCCTCTTCTTGCATTGGGGTTGGTACGTTGCGAGTGCCATCTGTCTAGGCGCATTCTGGCATCAGCTCGTTTTCACGGCTCACGATGCTGGCCACATGGGTATTACCCATGGGTTCCACACGGACACGGTTATCGGCATCATCGTTGCTGACTTCTTCGGTGGTCTCTCAATAGGATGGTGGAAGCGGAACCATAACGTGCATCACATCGTTACAAATGCACCGGAGCATGACCCGGACATCGAACATATGCCGTTCATGGCCGTGTCTCACCGGTTCTTCACATCGATGCGTTCCACTTTCTACGACCGCGTAATGGAATACGATGCCGTAGCAAAATTCATGCTCAAAATTCAACCTTACACTTACTACATACTTCTCCTCTTTGGACGCTTGAACCTCTACCGCCTATCCTGGGACTTTTTGCTTGCTCGCAGAGGCCCTAAGAAAGGACCTGCTTGGTGGCACGGCTGGCTCGAGATAACTGGACAGCTCTGTTTCATCACCTGGTACTTCTATGGAGTATTGTACAAGTCGATTCCTAATAACTCGGATCGACTTGTCTTCTTCTTGATCAGCCATATGGTGCCCATGCCAGTCCACGCGCAGATCTGCCTTTCCCACTTTGCCATGAGCACCTCTGATATGGGGCCCCACGAATCATTTCCCCAGAAGATGCTCCGCACGACCATGGACATCGAATGCCCCCAATGGTTGGACTTTTTCCACGGCGGCCTGCAGTTCCAAGTCATTCACCACTTATTCCCTAGGATTCCGCGTCATAATCTCCGCCGCACGCAAAAGCTAGTACAGGATTTCTGTAACGATGTTGGTATCCCTTACGCATTATACGGCTTCGTGGATGGGAATAAGCAGGTTGTTGGCACGCTAGCCGAAGTATCGAGGCAAGCAGCCATCCTTGCCAAGTGTCAGAAGGTCATCTCCGAGGGCGATGATCCAATTCATGGACACCATCATTAATATTTTAGCATGGTGTTACCCATCTTGTCGTAGCTTTTAATAAGCCCTGTAAATATCTAGGTAGCGGTGTCTTCCCGTAGCGGAGGCCAACCAACGGAAAATGGGATGGGGTTGACTCGGTATGATGTTGGAGAAGTTTCTCAGACGTTATGCCTTACGACCCTCTGAAAACCTAATGCAACGTCGTTGGGATTCTTACGAGAGATAATGTTCTTCTTAAACTTGGCGATATTGCAGTCGGACCATCTAACCATTCTGGATGAATTGAAAATTGATAACTTTCGGGTTCCAAGACGAAAGCATCCCGTAGCGAGCCAATACTATGCCGAGCCAGGTAATTCAAACCTAGGTCTAGTACTTTTATCTGCGACTTGTCAACTATCTTGTTAAAATTGAGCGCGGTGGGCTGCGCTATGTAAGGGTTTTTCATCCAAATCAGGTTCCCACGGTCATGGAGAAGGCAGTCAACCACGTTGCTGCCCTACCGGACGAGAGGGGGCATATGCGTGCCTGAGAGGTTGCCTTATTGTGAGCTGATTTTGGTAATTATCATATAGATTGATTTAATGCTCTTGTGCAACGCTCACTAACCCCCTTGCCTTTCCATCCAAATTACGTATAACCAAGTATAGACAGCTGAGGCCGCAGAGAAGTTATCAGTGGTGGTTTGCTTCGATTACCTCTTCTGTTACTTACGTATTTCGCGGTTCTCGGTCTCGTATAAGCCTTATTTGCTTTTGTCTTTCGGCGGTTAAAGAAATGCTCTCCTTGACAGCCGCGTGAATCCTGCGAGGTCAAAAGACTTGGCCTGCCAAACGGCAATGTGCATCGTAAATCGATACACGGCTGGTCCCGTCGGTTTCCTGCAGGAATCTGGCCCCGGCGTAGCAGGATATACCCAGGTAAGTTAGGTATGTTTGGATCCGCGGCTGCTACACAGCTGAGAGGAAGAGGATATCGTGCGGTTCTTCACCAACCAATATAGACCCCTGGATCCTATACTCTGCTCTGATATACTAGTGATCTGGGGCCGAGTACGAGATCAGCAGAAGTGCGCCTCGCATATAACCCTACATCATGTCAGTTATTCTATTGTTTGCTACAGTCTTACATATACCGACATGCTTCCTGCAGCTTCCCTTCCTTGCATGGCGCTCAAGAAAGATTCCGCGGCCAGTGACGCGCTAGAAGCTAAAGAGAAAAGGCTTGCCTTATGTGCATGGTCACGATATCTTCAGTGAAAAGTGCAGAAAAGCAAGTACGGTGTGACCCCGACGGTTGGTTCGGATTCGGGAAGGTTGATAAACCGGTCTTTTCCTGGCGGCATAGTTTAGACTATATATACTAACCTCACCTTGCTATTTCAACCTCTGACATGCTTCTTCTTTTTGCTTACAGTTTAGTCCTTCTTGGCCACACTTATTTCCACTTGTGGGTTGGTCGTTCTTCCACATACGTTTCTTAAGTCTTCGAGACGTTGATCATCACAATATGGGACCGACTAAGATGGATGAGAAATCAGCCGCGCGGATCGCTAAGTCCCGCGGGAAGACCGTATTTACACCTACCACCTCCGAACAATGGTTAAGATACTCACCACGGAGCAGGACGCCTTCGCAAAGCGTGCAGATATGGCCGCTAAAAATAACAAGGATCAGAAGGGCGACAGCTCGGACGGATCCTGGCGGAAGAGCGACTCGACCCAGAAGAAAACCGATGGTGGCCAGGAAAAGTAGAAAGGATTCGGGGTCTCCCCCGGTCCAATCAGCAGATCCATACGACTGATAGTGGCGCGAGCTCTGCTGGATAGAGGCCAGGAACTGAAGATCTAGACGGGCCCCTTTGTGATAGATCATTAGGCGCTATCTCGGTTGGCTAAAGATGGGAATCTGAGCCGCGTTGGACTGGGCAGAGCTGCGGGAAAGGACTTGTGAGTAGGTAATCATGCGGTGGCATCAGCGTTACCATCGTGGTGCACATGATCGTGGACGGGAAGCGGGATATATCGGGATAAGCCAAGCAAGGCTTTTTTTTTTCTTCTTTTCTTTCTTTATTTTTCTTTAACGTCGTATGTAGGCTTGGTAAGCTACGTATGCTTATTCGAGTATGATAGGATAGGATTTGGATAGGCTACCTCATCTGTCACGATTGGATGCTTCAAAAATTCTCCGGTCCAAGGGGGGAACATATCTTACTGTCGTTACCAAGATCAGCATATACCTAATTCCAATTTCAGGGTGGTGTTTAGGTACGAAGTACCCCAACAAGGTCGTTTTGGAAGCAGCCCAGGCAGCAGATTAAACTTGTATCCAATGTGACATACCTATCTATACCAGCTGATCGGGTCTGGGTACCCCCAAATTGATGCGGCTTACCTAAAAAGGGGATGTGTAGGCGGGATTGCTCCTCTTATACTAGTTAACGTTAGTTTTAGCTCGGATAACGTATTCATGGACAATTAAATTGCCCTTGAGTGAGAAGGCACTTATGATGTTAAGAATATGAGATGTGATATAGGTAGTATTATGAGGGGTCGTAGTAAAAGTGTATAGTAGAACTGACGAGAATAGGATAGCCAAAGAATAAAATGTGAGAGTTGATAGAAATATAACGGTGATTATGCTCCGGAAAAAATAGCAATACTAAATAATACATGTTCATACGAACTCACCAACCAAGTTGAAGCCCAAATCTGGCGCACAGCTGAATTCACCCCGCCTGTTTGACTGATAGAGCGTTAAAAAAAATTGATCCTATATCTGCCTCTTAGAAAACCTCTCACAGAATCGTGACATCCAACATATATAGTACCTATTCGTTAAGATACGTCCATATAAACTATCTAAGCAAGTAACGAACAGCTAATTATCCCAGCAGCCGATCTCTAGATAAATTGGGCTCATCTGAAGATCTAGGTAGCCAGTACAACGATGGGATTAAGTATGTAGCATCTTTCTACGTCATTGTACATGTGCAATGTCTTACACGGCAGAGGATCTACCATGGTCTTAGATTATAGCAGGCATGTATTTAATATATCTAAGGCTGGTCTTCTCCATCCTAGCAGTAATGTCATTAGGGAAAATTACCGATTCACATATCACTTGATCCACCCGGCACGCGGGGACGCGTGAAAAGAGCGAGAATCCGGTCGAAACCCGCGAATAAAAGGCTCGTATCCGCGGGTAGCCGATGGTATTGTTGTGGCTGTGGCTGTAGCGGTTAAAGGAGAAAACTCTCGCATTGGCCGGACCGTAAGATGGCTCGCTACCTATACCGTCGGGACCCTCGGTATGTTATGCGGTATGTTATGCACGCAAACAGAAGCCCATGTTTGACTATCGACTGAATGTCCCCCGGCGAATAGCCGACGAAATATACACCCTGTGAAGCCAACAGAAGCCAACATAGGTAGATTTGAAAAGATCGAACGACTTCTTGACTCCCAACGATTGAGGTTGATTTAGGCATTTGTTTGCACGGCCGGGCTACTTCGGCATGCTGGTATTCCACCCTCCCCTCCTTAATTCATCGTCGATAATGCGTTTTGAGTGCTTTGACGCTTACGATGATATCACTGCTTATACATATGCTTCGGCCGTACTGTGTCCGGAGACTTTGGGGAATATAACTTATAACTTGGTGAAGGCCGGAGTTATATACCTTGAGTACTTCACATATAAAATCATGAGGAGAAATATAGAAAAGCTAAGCGGTAATTCTGGCTTTTACAGCTGTAATAAATAACATAGAGTATTATCGTATATTATTTAAAAGGTTGGAATGAAATCAGTTAGATGTTTTATTGGCTTGCTCTCCCATGTTTTCAAATAAAGTTGATGATTGGAAGTGCGTACTTCTAAATCAAACAGTTCGGTTTTGGTAAGATTTCAATTCAAGCCGCGCCATGCGCCTGAATCTCGCCTGAATCTCGCCGTTGTCATAGGTTAACCTTAACAGCGCCTTAGGTGTTGCAATTGGTGTCTTAATGTGAACGCTGCAATAGATCCAACGTTCGTAGCTTCGAGCTTGTCCCAGCGCACTGGCTTGGGGATCTTGGCGCAGACGCCACATCTCGCTGATAAGCAAGTACTTCTGAGCAACTTCTCTAACGTTCTGCTTATGCTCTTGTTAGAATTCGGTACCTTCTTTAGAGATAAGGTTCAGCCTCGTTAACCTTTAACGGTCAGCTGGTTAGTGCTGCCCCCCCCCCTTCCTCCCCCGCTAAACTTTAATCCTTGCATAAAAGTGCAGCAAGTACCCATACATGAGAACTCCCCCATACATTTTACTTGGTACACCTACATCATTGATGATTTATCCCCCTCAGCCTTGTCATCTCCTCCCAATCCCAATACCAAACATTTACCCCCCTCTAACTCTTAAACTGTTAGGTTAGTTACCGAGTACAACAAGTCCTAATACTTTGATAAAATATTCAGACACTTGTAATCCGACTTGCAGCCTTTCTGTCCTTCTTTTTTTCTATTAACTCCATTGTCACCTGTCCATTGTCCATTTATCCAACCACTTGAATTTGAATAATCAATCAGATATTCTATCCAGCGTCATTGATGAACCACCCAACCACATTATTCGCGTACCGACACGGCACGGCATGGTAACGTGACCTGCGTGCTGAGACGAAGACGCAGCGATGGAACCTAACGTCCAGCGCCTTCTTAACGATAAGCTCTACGATAAGAGGAAGACTGGTGCTCTTGAGTATGCTTCATATTCCCTTCAACTTGTAGATGCTATCGAAATGAGATTATTAACCTAAATATAGACTCGAACGCTCTATTCGAGAGCTGGTAACGACCAAGGACTACAAGAGGGTTAAGGATATCCTTGAGCAGTTGTGTAACGAATACGCTTATGCTGTCCATCAACCTCATGCACGAAATGGAGGCTTGATTGGCTTGGCTGCTGCTGCCATAGCCCTCGGTTCAGTATGTTTTTTTTTCTCTCGTCCCGTGATTTTCGGGACGCTTTTTCTTGTCTCTCTTGATCCTATCTAACCTGTTTTAAGGAACTGCCGAGATATCTCGAGGTTATCGTGCCGCCTGTTCTAGCTTGTTTCACCGACCAAGATGCTCGTGTTCGGTATTATGCTTGCGAGTCAATGTATAATATTGCCAAGGTTGCTAAAGGCGAGATTTTGAAATATTTCAACCACATATTTGATGCTTTATGCAAGGTAATTCGATGCTTCTATCTGAGAACTCTTTTCGTTTGGCCTGACACCTATTCTTTCTACAACAGCTAGGTGCAGACTCAGAACTTTCTGTGAAAAACGGCGCCGAACTTCTCGACCGTCTAATCAAGGATATTGTCTCCGAGTCAGCGGCTACTTACGTGTCCGTGCTCGAGAGTGAACCTCCCCCGCCTTATGATGCGAAGGACTCTGAGCAGAGCGCTTCCCCTAATTCGAACCTCCCAACAGCTTTCTCACTCCCGGATTTTATCCCTCTCCTAAAGGAACGGATATGGGTTATGAACCCGTTTACTAGAACGTTCCTTGTTGGTTGGATTACTCTACTCGACTCTATTCCGGATCTCGAACTGGTTACGTACCTGCCCGAGTTTCTAGGTGGCTTGCTCAAGTTTCTCAGTGGCAACAATGCCGACGTTCATGCGGCAACACAGGCTTGTCTAGATAAGTTCTTGAACGAAATCAAGAGAATTTCCCGAGTGAAGAAGGGTATCGCCGAGAGTAGAAAGTCGAAGGGGGATGGAAAGAGGAAGCGGGAGGACTCTGTCGACAGCGGTAGTATGCGTCTGGCAGCGGATGACGCTGAGGAAGCAGGCTCTACTACGGCTAACGAGGATGATGATGAAGTCAGCAGCGAGGATGACTGGATTCCGGGACAAGATGTGCAGATTAACTATAAGGCCATCCTTGAGATCCTCACTGCGACCCTTGATTCCCCCTTGGGTAAATTCTCTTGGCTCGGTGATATGATTATGAATACTAATATTGCGATAGAGGAAGACAGCCTTCTAGAAAGCCTACGATGGATAGTATCGTTTCTAGATATCTGCCCTGAAGAAGTCTTACCATTTACTCCTAAAATATTAGCCCACCTCCTCCCAGCAATGGCCAGCGGGGTCGAGCCCATTCGACAGGCTGCGACAAGAGTGAATACATCACTTATGGAATACGTTGTCTCTCTTACAGACGAAAATGAAGTAGCCCCGGGTCAATCGACGTCACGACTATCTGCACCTACTGCTGACCGCGCAGAAGGAGCATCTAGTACACGCGCCTCTTTGTCGAGCAATCGCGAAACGGATCTACGCAGTCCCACACCAGCTCAAAACCGCAGGGCACCAACCCCTGCCCAACCATCTCAGCTTCAGCCAGACTTGGATTATGCTGCAGCAGTTAATTCTCTCACATTACTATTTTTGAATGACCACGAAGCAACCCGCGTTGCTGCATTAACTTGGCTCATCATGTTGCACCGAAAAGCACCTAGGAAAATTGTCGCTTTTAACGATGGAACATTCCCTGCCCTCCTCAAGACGCTCTCAGACCCGGCAGAAGCTGTTGTTACTAAGGACTTACAGTTGTTATCTCAAATATCTAGAAACAGCGAAGACGACTACTTTTCTAATTTTATGGTCAGTCTTCTGCAACTTTTCTCTACTGATAGAAAGCTATTAGAGACTAGAGGAAACCTGATCATACGCCAATTATGTATGACTCTAAGCCCCGAGAGGATATACCGTACTCTAGCCGAAACGATCGAGAAGGAAGAGGATGTTGAGTTTGCCAGCATAATGGTGCAGAATCTCAACAATAACCTAATCACGGCGCCGGAATTAGCCGACTTGAGGAAACGGTTACGGAACCTAGAGACGAAGGTAACTCTATTTAACCACCTAGTAACTTGGGCTGGGCCATACTGACTATTACTACAGGAGGGTCAAGTGTTCTTCGTCGCCTTATTTCGTTCCTGGTGTTATAACGCCGTTGCAACCTTCTCCTTATGTCTACTCGCTCAGGCATACGAAGCTGCGTACAATCTCTTACAAATTTTGTGAGTATTGTAAAAAGGGGGAAACATAATAATTACTGGACAATCTACTAATAGATACAAGTGCGGAGCTAGAGATGACAGTCCACATTCTTATCCAGATCGACAAGCTTGTCCAACTGATTGAGTCTCCCGTCTTCACATGTGAGTTACCTAATGTTCATCTTACTCTTGACTACATATGTTAACAAGTTATTGTCGGACTACCAGATCTGCGACTCCAACTTCTCGAACCTGAGAAGTATCCATACCTTTATAAATGTCTTTACGGAATTTTGATGCTTTTGCCGCAGTCTTCTGCTTTTGCGGCTCTCAAGAATAGGTTGAACAGCGTAAGCGCAATAGGATACTTGCAGATCGGGCCTCGACCGTATGTACCCTATCTCACTAGTCCTTTGACAACCCCCTGGCAAGGTTCAGTGGCCGAAGCCGTCTCCTCTTACCAAAGCCACCACCCTCGCTCCCAAAGCGTCCATGACACTTATTCTTCATGCGTTCTTAGTCCTGCCACTACACCTAGCGCTTCAAATTATGACCGCCCAAACAGGTTGGGGAAGGGCCGCGAAGACAATACGATACGGTGGGACCAGCTCTTGGAAAAATTCAGGAGCGTGCAAGAGAAGGCGAGACGAGCACAAAGGATGCTGGATGGTAGCAACCTCGACGACGGTCTAGACTTCGGCGGATTACGTATCACAGAACGAGAGCCCCCACGGCCTGTGCCGGCCCCGGCCGTACCACCGAAAGATTCGACGCCGCCCGCAGCGCCGCCGCCAAAGCGTTCGGGATTAGGGAAACAGTTTGGACGACTGGGCGCGTCCGTTTCGGGCAGGGGGAAACGATCGCAGCCCCAATAGAAGTGAAGTTGGTTATATCGTCGGGTTTTGCAGTCATCCATCTACGTCATCGTAGAGAGTGTGTTCTACTTACTATAAGGAAGATGGTTTTTGAAGAAGCGATTCGTTCTAGGTAGATTATTATGTCTTGTACCGAGTACTGTTATCATATGATTGTGTACAGCGAGGATAACTGAGAGTTCGAATAGATAAGTAATAATTAATGGCGTTTTTATGCGCATATTGGATTGCATTATATACTAAGATAAGTATTCCTGCAGCTGTTTTGAGGCTGGCTTGAGGATAGTATAATGATAGTATAATCTAATTTATTCTAGTCTAGTCTAGGCCTCCTCCTACTCTTCACCGGGCTCTCTCGTTCAACTAATTTCTCGAAGTCCTCATCACGCCGCTCCGTCGCGTTCCGGAGCTCGGCACGTAAAGCTTCTAGTTCAGCGCGGGCGGCGTCAATATCAGGGGGTAGGCCGGCGAAGGCGCGGACCTGCGCGTCGAGATCCTTCTTGCGGGATAGCAGGTCTAGGTATGCTTCTTCGTCGGCACGCACGTCGTCGACGGTTAGACTTGGGAGGCCGATGGTTTTTTCTAGGGAGTGGACTTGGTGAGTTAGATCGGGGAGGTGGCTGGATGTGCTCTTGACTAGGCGTTGCAGGGAGAGGTTTTGCTTCGGGAGAGTTGGGGGGAGTGTGAATATGCTGGTGCTGCTGCCGCCGTTCCCGCTGATGGTGCTGTCGTTATCGTTATGAGTATTGAGGCTAGAGTCGGTATTAGACTGTTGCAGCTCTGCGAGAAAGGTCTCGGCGCGGGCAGATTCCCGGTCTAAGTACCGCCGCAACAAGTCTACTCGCTCGATCCCGTCTTCTAGCTCGAATGCTCGGCCCTGCAGCTCGGCGAACTTGGACCCGAGGATTTCGGGGGTGGGGTACGCGACGCCTAGTTCGACGGCCATAGATGCCATGGCTTCGAGGGCTGTGGCGCCATCTTTGCTAAGGGAGGATTCGAGAGCGGAGAGGAGGTCTGTGGCTAGGATGTCGCCGTCGAGGGCTTCTTCTGCCTCTTCCGCTTCTGTTTCTCCCTGTTGCTGCTGCTGCTGCTGTTGTTTTTGCTGTTGTTTCCGAGCATCGATCCTCTCCCGCCGTTCCTCCCGCTCCTGTTCAATAGAGCGCACCTCTTCCAGCGCGGCCTCCTCAACTCGCGCGAGCTGCTCGCGGTGCTCATCGGCGGCTTCGTTCGCGGTGGCTAAGGCGAGCAAGGCTTTGAGGGTCTCGGGGTTGCGCTCGAAGGGGGGAGGTCTGGAGGCGCGGTTGGACGAGGAAGAGGAGTTGGCGAAAATGCTGCGCAGCCAAGTGTCGATGTAGGACCAGTCTTTTGCGGTGGAGGCGGCAGCGCGGGCGACGGATGGGGAAAATATTGCTTGGGAAGGGGGGACGTGGGACATTGCGAGGAAGTAGAAGTTTGTTTAGTTACATTTATATAATTAGATTGAGAAATGTGTTGAATTGGAAAATTGACTTTTCTTCTTTTTTTCTGGATATCGAATGAAGCTTCATATTTGGAGACGTCGACATGTACACGTCGAATACACGCGACGGGCAGGGATACATTGGGGATTGGTGGGGTAAAGTTGACCGGCTGCACTCCCGTCGGGTCCTATAGCCCCTCTTTCCTCTTTAGGAAATAGTTATTTGTGGCGCACGAGATCGGTACGTAGTCCGCATTGACAATAAGATTCGCGCCCGGGTTTGTTCACGTTGCCTTTAAAAGGCAGTTAGAAGTGGCCAGGTTGTCCATGCAAGGATAATTTTGTTTAGCAAGTACTTATGGATAACAGCCTAAACTAATGAACCTTTTAGGTACTTAACTAACAGATAGTGCTAGATACGCGTAGTAGCCACTTGTTAATCTTTTGTATCTTGACCTTTTTAACCTTCATTAACTTCCACGTTTCTATATTTCTCCGTGTTTCTACTTCCTACTTCTTCGTTATCTCTTCCTGTAGTACTATACTATATACCTAATTCTTTTGCTCCGGAAAACAAAAACCTGACGGCGTCCGCGCCAACAGGCAATCTAAGTCTATTGTTTGTAATCGTCTATCGCGTCATCATGATTGTTCCTCTATCAGCCCTGGCTCTCGCAGCCACTGCGCTCACTTCTACCGGTCTCGTTCAAGCCCTCTCTGCTTCGGATATCCCCTCCGACACCCCTATCTCGACTCTCCTCTCTTCGGCGCAATCACACTTAACTAAGGGCGAAACAAACGAGGCCTTGACGTACTACGATGCCGCTGTCGCTCGCGATCCAAACGACTACTTAACGTACTTCAAACGGGCTACTACCTATCTCTCGCTTGGTCGCACGTCGCAGGCTACCTCGGACTTCAACAAGGTCTTACAACTAAAGCCGGACTTCGAAGGAGCGCATCTGCAACTAGGCAAGTTAAAGGCCAGAGGTGCTGATTGGGATGGAGCTATGGAACACTACCTCTTAGCCAAGCAGAAGCAAGGTTCCTCCGAATTCGAGAAGCTGGTCGAGGCGCAGGGTGCTGCTAAATTGGCAGAAGAAGCCGCGCAAAAGGGGAGCTGGGATGAATGTATAAGTCAGGCCAGCGATGCCATCCTCGTCGCAAACCGAGCACCTAATCTACGAGAACTACGCATCAAGTGTCGATTCGAGAAAGGAGAGGTCGAAGGTGCGATGGGCGACTTACAACATATCCTACAGATGAAAGCGGGCGACACTACTCCTCATCTACAGATCTCGGCTACCACATTTTACGGCTTAGGAGACATAGAACAGGGTATAGCGCAGATCAAGAAGTGTCTGCACTCTGATCCCGAGTCCAAGCCCTGCAAGAAGTTATTGAAGCAAGAAAAGAACATTGATAAGACGTTGGCAAAAGTCAACAAGGCTTTGGAGAGGAATCAGCCTATGACTGGCGTCAAACTGTTAGTGCCGTCTGGTGATGAACCAGGTCTGATCAACGAGGTGGAAGAGCAGATTAAGGAGCACAAGAAGGCTGGTATAATCCCGGAACTCGCTCCCAACGTGTTACTGGCTAGACTAGTCGAGACTGCTTGCCAGGCTTACTACGAGGTATTACTATTACCTACTCAGATTTGAGAAAACAACAAGTCACTAACTACTTTACAGGCAAATAGCAAGAAGGCCAGCACATATTGTCAAAAGTCTCTAACACTGGATGAGAATTCTTTATACGGTCTGTTACACAAAGCCAAGACGCAACTAGACGCCGATGATTTCGAGCCCTGCATCGCAACTCTGAAGAAAGCAGCAGAAGCCAGACCGGACAAGAATAACATCATCAACCCCCTAATGCAGAAAGCCCAGGTCGCTCTTAAGCGCAGCAAGACAAAAGATTACTACAAGGTCCTTGGCGTGTCGCACGACGCGGACGAACGACAGATTAAGTCGGCCTACCGGAAGCTCACCAAGATTCACCATCCGGACAAGGCGGCCAAGCAGGGTTTAAGCAAGGAGGAAGCGGAGAAGAAGATGGCATCGATCAACGAGGCGTATGAGGTGCTGAGCAACCCAGAGCTCCGTGAAAGATTCGATCGCGGCGACGACCCGAATTCTCACGAACAGCAAGGCAATCCATTCCAGCAGGGCCACCCATTCATGTACCAACAAGGCGGCGGCCAGCAGTTCCACTTCAAGTTTGGTTCAGGAGGCGGTGGCTTTCCGGGTGGTTTCCCATTCGGTTAAGAAAGGGTAAGGGGTTTTTAGCAACGAGAATAGAGAAGATGAAGATGAATACTAAGAATTCTTGCATGCACTGGCACTGGTACTGGCGGGTTGGAGTTTGTGGAGTTATTTTAGGTTTAAAGTTCGAAGTCGAGAGGACTAGGAGCAGGAACAAGGAAGTCGAGCAAAGTAAATATTCGTTTAGTCAAGGGAGCGGTCTAAGCCATGTTCTTGCTTGACTGTGCATATAGTAGTATAAGAGACGCGATTTTTCAACCTTGTGGCTGTAAGTGGATATGGTTGTGCTTTTTGAGTAATTATGAGACTTGTTCCTAGGTTAGTAGATATATGATATAAGACATGCGTGTCGTATATTTTGTAATTGCAATTGCTTTATTGGCAGGTAGGTGAATCCAGTTGTCCACTTAGATAGGTCATCGAGATGGCGATCTCGTCGATCTGTTTAGGTTATATTAATCAAATAGTAGCTAGGTAATTACATATGTATTTGGCTTGCATTACATTGTCTCCTTACGTGTGAATATACAAGTTATATGTGTGTATTTAGGCCGAGACCGTATTACGCGTGAGGCAAATGCAGTATCTCTCAGCCGGCACATCATGACGGAGCTGGAGTTTATGGACTCCGGTGAAGGACGGACTAGCCTGGCCCAGTAAATATACAAATGCATACTGACTCTTTTATTCAATTAGTTACTTTGACTACTAGAGTTATACATTACCGTTGGTGCTAATTTACTTTATTTACACTTCGTTATATAATATTGCCTCACATACAGATAGATAATTTACATACTTAGGTTAGGTAAGTAACTATACACATCCTTCGTCTCGGCATTAAGCTCTAAGGTTGCTTAGGAAACAAAGTAAGGCCTATGTATAAATAAGTGTATAGATCAAGTCTCAAGACTATTATATATAATCTCCCTTCCTACCTTCTAAGACCGGATCCAAGGGAGAGTACACCCTCGGCGACACATCGATACCTCGGATAAGTAGCACGGGATATCACATAACGATATCCACATCCATGAACAAACAGCCACTTACTCATCTAATCTGTCATAATAAAATTCAGATTCAGAGGTGGTTCAGGCGCCAGCATCAAGGGTGACATATCTGTATATCATAGCCACAACCGCGTGAAACCAACTTTGGTCTAGTCGAGCCTAAATCTGCAGTAGATCTTACCGCTGTTACTACCAGATTAATCAGATCTCCTTTTTCCCTATAGCGTAGCATGTGTGTATGTATGATGTGATTTCTATCCATCCATCTAGCACCGAGTATCGGTTATTAAATCGTTGCTCGGGCATCATAAGCGACGAAAAAAAGATTGTGGGAATAATAAAAAAATAGGGAACTTGAGTAGAACACCGGTCCTCTCGTAAAACTCCTACCAGTATCATTCATTTCGATCCTCTCTCCAACCTATGGGGCTGGGCCTACGAGGCATATGTCCGAAGACATTGGTACGAAAAAGCAAGTTGATATGTACATTTCGATTTCAGTGTCTACCCAGACACATAACTCCCCCTCCCCTCCTTTAACAACCCGCCCCCTCTCTCCACCCGTTTTTAGAAATTTTATTCCCGATTGCTCGTGAAATATCTTTTTGCGTCGTCGCCCGGAAAAGGTGGAAACCCTCCGAAGTCCACGGGAAACAGGAAACGACCCTACGCAAAACTCCAATGGATACAGGTAAATCCAGGAAACTAATCATCTTCGTTGCATTTCACATGACGCCTGCGGGGGATTCGGTGAGCCTATAGAATGAGGCTAATGTTTTCTTGTGTGACAGGGCACGTCAGCCCAAGCAGCCCAAGTCAGACAAATTTAGGATAACAGACTTCGCAGTCTCGGGCTCGGTCTTGTACCTCGGAGATATCCTGATGGCGGGAGGATCGGCAACAAAGGGAGCCGATTTGTGGAGTCTTCATGGATACCTCAAGAAAACAACACTGGATTGTTGCCTGACTCAACCCATCACGGACGATGACGATGACGCGTTCGTACGTATGAAGTATGCCCTGTAACACGATTATAAGTATAGACGACTTAGAGAATTGGACAAGGGTATACTTACTTGGAAGCTTCATAAGCCGACCAGCAGATAGCTGTGCTCGGCATTGTGGTGACTACTCTCGGCCGAACTCCTTTAAAGAACCCACGTAGACCCTCCCGTTGGTACATTAGCCTGCAGCCTGCCATGAATCCATTCACCGACCTAAGCTCCGGGTCGGAAGCTGTACCTCGGGTTTGTAGCATAGTTTTGATGACGTCCATTGGCGTAGTTAGAGCTGCTGCAAAACCTCCTGCAACGGCGCCTGCCATGCAATGCGTAAACGGATCGTACGTCTTGCTGGGATTCATTGTTGTAGATATAGATTCGTATGCGAGGAATTGGAGGGCCGTAAAGGGTACAGTCATAGATAAAGTAGTCGGATATGAGACGTAGAAGGCCGATAAACCTTCGGTTCTGTAAACGTATCGAGCGCAGTCTGTCATAGAGCGGTACATCTTGCTCGAATTTTGTATCTGCATACGTTGCTTGATCACTATGGCCAGGGTTAGATAGATACAACCAATTAGTGTCTTAAAGGCTCAACCATACCGTCAAAGGGATTCATAAGCGCATCACTGGCTATAGTTGCGCAAGCCCCACTTGTTGCTAGAAAAAGGGTAAAAGGGTAAAAGTTAGAGATGTATCGCCGAGGAAGAGTATCAAACTAGGGAGGTTAGTAGCATACCTGCTGCTAGTGGGTGGTGTACACCAGCTCGGTTACCACCCATAAGATGCTTAACAGCCTCATATGTCGCAAAGTAGACTGCGTGCGCAGGCCCTAATAGTCCAGGTGGTGAGAAATGAGCTATATCAGTCTCTTAGGAGAACCTACCAGCTCCGACGACAACACTTGACATCCCCCGCCATAACTTCAGTACACCCTCTCCACTTGCTATACGCATAGTACTCTGTATCATGCCTTTGTAGACTGCGTTCGCCCCCACCGGGTTAAGTATCTGCATTCGCGTCTATAATATCCCTAGTTAGTATTAAGCCGGATAGTCGGATAGGTTTGAACGTGACGAACCTTGATCGCGTCAATTGGGTACATAACTGTGTGTTCCTGGCATCCTGTTAGCAACCACGGGTTAAACCCGAAAGGTAAAAGTAATCGGGCTTACGGCAATACCGGCGAAAGCGCCAGCGACCATATTTTGGGCTAGGGAGAAATTAGGGGGCAGAGACTCATAGCTAATGGGGCAATCTAAGTCAGTATCCCGTGTACCTATGATATTGGCGTCTATCATTGAGTGATAGGCCTAAATAAGGGGAAACATACTCGTACTCCTCGGCGAGTTCGACCGCTGGCTGGGCCATTTTGGCCACAGCTTCAGAGCCTTCGCCGAAGGCCTTTGGTTGAAGAGCCAGGGTTGCGATTTAGCGAGGTCGGGAAGGAGTTGGCGATGTGCGAATGTGTAAAGTAGAAAAGCTCGCTGTTAGTATTGCCCTTCGAGAGAATTGAGTTATGGGGGGGAAGCCAATGCGAGATATTGCGGACCAGCGGACCGGCGACGATGAGGATGGCTAGGAACAAAGAAGTCACACAAAGAATGCGCAGGAATTCGTGTTTGCGAATAAGAAGTATAAAAGTGAGAGAGATATTCTCTCAGGTTTGTGTGCGCCAATTATTATGGTGATGTTAAGATGTGACAAGTTGCGAATTTGTGGAAAATCTTCCCGATTCAAATACGTAGGTGAACCCGGGGTTGGTTTATTGGTACTGGTAGATAAGGTAGCTGCAGCAGATGTATTGGACACAAAAATTGAATCTCAGTAGGTCTCAGCGCATTTCGGAGCCGGCTTTGACAGGGGTGCGTCGGACGCCGTGGCCTTCTCAAATCAACCCAGCCTTAATTAGGTCAAGTGCGGGCATGGCGGACCATCAGATAAGCCCCCCCCCATGAGGCTAAGGCTGAAGTTCCATTCCAGTTTTCTATGTGGCTTGTGCATTGTCTACAGGGGGTTACTAAGTACATAAAAAACGCATTCCTACTTCGTTATCAAACAAATCTTCCGAAATCAGATGCTTAAATTAAGATTCCGTTTCTCTTTTCATTTTTATATCCAGTATGCGTTCAGCAATGGAAACAATGCCAATATTTCAAGTATTCACCCAGGTCTTTAGCTTAGGTGAAGGCTGCTATATGTTCCTTTCACGTAGAATATATCCCGTCTCACCGTAACATTTAGCCATCCGTTTGCTTCTGTATAATTGTTACCCGCTTGCTAATGTCACACTCCATCCGACCCTGAAACTACCCAGGTCTACATTTACACAGTACCTTTTCTTCAGCTAATTAAAAGTATAGTTACGTGGTAGACACCTCGTTATGAGACTTAAGCACGTTTCTAACAAGGATTCCCTTCTCTCGGGGGTATTTGTTACCCAAGTAGAGGCGCCAGATAACCCCGACCCCATTACAACTATGAAAACAAACTGTCACGGGAGAATTTCACATGGGTTCTAGAACCCTTCCATATCGACATCCTCGTCAATCTTATATTGAACCCGATCGAGAGGTAGCTCTCATATCTGGCATGATGCAACTGTTAGATCTGGGGTATGCAGTCATATTCCCGATCGATCATACTATTATCGTACGATGGTAGACAGATTTAGTATGTTGTAGTTTTTCTTTCTTGGCATTTATGAAATACTATGTATTTAACTGCTTCCTCGGTGCTTTAAATGTAGCTCTTCCCTGTCTTCCATTTAAGCGCCGAGCTAGGCATATTCTATAATAACGCTCCTTGTAAGCCGAATCCGATTGTAATAACTCCGAGGTCAACGGATAGGTTATATAAAATTCTAATAAGTACGTCATTGACTACAACCACTACCCTGATTTTACTTTATACTATTTCAAGTATTCTATAACTCTTTAATGTTCCAGTCCATCGTTTATACCATTCAGTTTATAACTACGAAGATGACACAAATGAGCTAATTAATACGCACCCACATAGATAGTGACCGATTTCAAGAGAAGGGCACCTACCTAGTATATAACGACATTGGAGGTATATGAAATACCTATACCGCTGGCTCATTTACGCCAACTTATACATTATAAGACGTAGCTATTCATGATAATACTCTAAGCTTGTACCAAACCTAGCTCTTAACACCGCAGAAAGAACCCTTTTTAGCATAATAATTAAAAATTATCGAGGGCGAGCTAGTTACACATGGCAGTTCGGGAGTATTGACCCGTGGCACATTCAGTCTAATATATTCCATAAACTCAAATTTCACAGGATGAGCCCGATGTTCTCCGGACGATATGGACAAGCTAGAAGCTGATGATATTCGGTGTTCCATCACTATCCACAAGCCACACGCTGACAGGACAGCAAATATCGAAGATGTAGTATGAGGTAGATCTAGAAGGTATGGAAGTAACTTCGTTATTCCTCAAAGAACTCTGAGCCCAAGCTGAAAGCCAGTGACTATAAACCTATATACCTTAGGCAGTTTACCTAGCACGCAATAAAGACAATAAAGCTAATTGAATTCTATGCAAATTAATTCAAGGGTCTTTTTTTTTTTTTTTTTTTTTTGAAATATATAGAAACTTGAAACGTCTTAGTTCTTACAAGTCACAGCGATTATACATTCGGATATGAATTCCAAGCCCGTTTCCTTTTCGCTACTATTCTTAATCAAAACCTAACATTAATTACCATAGTATATTATGTAAGTCAGATGCCCTTAACCTTATGACGGTGCGATTTCAATTATATGACCTCACGATATTTGTCTATGAAGTATTAATAACGTGGGGCGGAGAAAATAGTTGTGTTATCGTAGCAAGTAACTGCCTAGATACTCAGTCAAGCACCCGAACTCACAACTCGTTCTACTCAAGCTTAGATGACTCATTCGTAGTTAATGAACATGGGTATAATTATGAGGCTCTTCCGATACCGTATGCGAACTTAGAGGGCGTTAAAAATTTGCCCCTTAAAAGCGATGAAGTGGACGTATTGTACGGGATCTTCGGCATAATAATGGGACTTAACAAGTTGACTAAATTTCGGGATTCAGTTCTGATGATCGCGTGGTCTAGAAAAGTCGGGATCCCGTTCGCTCCGCTATATACCATCTCAATCAGGAAAAATTTCATCTACTCTGACCTCGATTTCTATAAGTTGGCCGGCAGATCGGGTATTCGCATATGCAAAATGCAAAATGCAAAATGGGATAGTGCACAGGGTTGTTTTGTGTATGCGTTAACTGCAGGTATGTAAGGCGGGACCTGAGAGACAGGTCCCTAAAATGATATTCTTGATTGGCCAATTTCAATTTTTTATACGTCACCGCCCACTAGGCTAAACAACTCTGCAAGGATCTAAATGGTGATTATCACGTGATAGCCCCGCGGACATTGTCGATTTTGGCCTGCTGGGCAAATTGTTTGGTAACTGAGTACGACCCTGAACTGGGGAACCGCGATCGGCGGACGTGGGGTACGGTTACTGCCAAATGTGATTCATTGCATGCTGAAGTAGAAATTTCTTCTTCGTCACAAATTCTTAAGAGGCGACATACCTTTTTCCCAACTCTGCTTTTCCCTCCTTACCTACTTACCAGAGAAAAATATGTGCGAAACAAATGGTTCTGCGGCCAGCAATGTATGTCGTCTAGTCTTGATTTCCATATACTCAAGTTAACATTTGAAATTTTCTAGGGCACCAACGGCACCAATGGTACAACACCTGTACGCCGGTCGAATCCCTACCAATCCAACCCGGGCGAGTTTTTGTCCAATGTAGGAAAATTCAAGATCATTGAGTCGACTCTTCGAGGTCAGCCGTTTTATTTACTTTGAATTTATTCTTACTTTTACTGACAACTGGATTAGAGGGAGAACAATTCGCCAATGCCTACTTCGACACGCAAACTAAGATCAACATGTACGTCATTATTGAGTCCTATCTTATTGTACTTTGCTAATATGGTTTATCTAGTGCTAAGGGTATGTCTAATCGGTTGTATTATGTCCTCGTATCTCGTTGCTAAAGCATAAACCTTGTAGCTCTCGATGCCTTCGGAGTCGACTATATCGAACTCACATCCCCGGCTGCTTCTGAGCAATCGCGCTTAGACTGCATTGAGATCTGCAAGTTAGGACTCAAGGTGCGAGCTCTAATACCTCCATATTGTGAACTGTTCAACTAACATTTTCTCGAGGCCAAAATCCTGACTCGTGAGTCATAATCAAATCAGACATATACTCCCTTACCTACTAACTGTGATTCACAGATGTTCGTTGCGATATGCGAGATGTGCAGATGGCTATCGACACTGGTGTAGATGGCCTGGATATCGTCATCGGTACATCGCATTTCCTCCGGGAACACAGCCATGGCAAGGACATGGCCTTCATCACCAAGGCTGCTTTGGAAGTCGTGCAATATGTCAAGGACAAGGGTATCGAGGTTCGATGTATGTAGAAGCTCTCCTTTAAATGAGACGCGCTAACACGGCATAGTTTCGAGCGAGGACTCTTTCCGATCCGATCTAGTCGATCTGCTATCCCTCTACAACGCCGTGGACAAGATTGGTGTTAACCGTGTCGGTATCGCTGATACCGTTGGCTGCGCCAGTCCACGACAGGTCTACGAGGTATTTGATTCGCTCACGCTATTACTTTTGTTTTACTAACTTGAAATATAGCTCGTTCGAACATTAAGAGGTGTAGTTTGTAAGTTGAAACATTACCTCCTCTAACTACGTTTACTAACTTACTTTTAAGCTTGTGATATTGAGACTCATTTCCATAATGACACAGGTTGTGCTATTGCCAACGCGTAAGTCCTTATTTAAAGCCAAAACTGTACTCCGGAGAACTGATTTGAGTATAGTTTCTGTGCTCTTGAGGCTGGTGCAACACACGTTGACACCAGTGTGCTCGGAAGTGAGTATTTTCTGCCTCATGGGTAGAGAACAGCATATTAACATGTTATAGTTGGTGAGCGTAATGGCATCACTCCTCTTGGTGGCTTCTTAGCACGCATGGTGGTCACTAGCCCCGATTACGTCAAGAGCAAGTACAAGCTCAACATGATCAAAGAGGTGAGTTCTATATATCAGTTGCTGAGAGCGTGGCATAAACTAATATATTTTAGATTGAGGATATGGTTGCTGAGGCAGTAGAGATTAACACCCCCTTTAACAACCCTATCACTGGTTTCTGTGCCTTTACCCACAAGGCCGGTATCCAGTAAGTCAATATTTCATATATTACAATAAGCCCCTGGAAACATTGAAATGTAGTTACTGACACCGAATGTTATAGTGCCAAAGCTATCCTAAACAACCCCTCCACATACGAGATTTTAAATCCCGAAGATTTCGGCTTGACGCGCTACGTGCACTTCGCCTCCCGGTTAACGGGATGGAACGCCGTCAAGACTCGAGTAACACAACTCGGCCTAACTATGACGGACGACCAGGTCAAGGAATGGTATATATCAACCTCACACCCGAACTCACAGCGAAGATGGCTGACAAAATATTTCCAGTACCGCCAAGATTAAGACGTTGGCCGATGTGCGACCGATAGCCATTGATGATGCAGACTCAATTATTCGTAGCTTCCATCTGAATCTACAAACCGCGTCGAATGGCAGCTGAACAGCACCGGTAGAGGAGACAGGGTAGAGAAGAGTGACTTCTATCATAGGGTGTATCCAAAAAGCGGCAGCATGAACAAAAAAGGACATGGCCAAAAGTCTGGGGTGCATTGCTTCGGTTTGGGGGTAAAAAGTCAACATTTGAGATAAGGCTATAACATAGCCCGTGTTGTATACAACAGGAACAAGGACCAAAATTTCGCATGATATTTCCGAAATACTCTTCGGTAATCTGTTGAGAGTTTATGCATTGTTATTTTTGTGATATAAGTATTGAAGCTGTAATCGGTTGGGATTAAACCTGGTTCATAACTTACTAATATTGATGTCCGGACTGTGTATGAGATCTGGTGTATATTCCTATTTACCACAATACTGGGACGATTCAAGTTGAGATAGTTCCTCTTGTCGAAAAGCTCGAAAGTGGGTTTAGAGCATGAGTTTCCTTTGGTCATGCTATTTATACAGATAATGAGGATGCAAAATAGTATGAGTCGTAGAATACATGAGGCCTAAGTGTCAGAACGGAGGCTCACTCTAGGAAAGGGGTAGGAGTAGGGGTTCGTTAGATGGATGGTGAATACTAGGAGCCCCTATTAACAAATTGACTCAAAAGCTACAAGCGCATAATTACAATTGTTAAACTTCCCCGCGATGGGAAGATAACTACGAATCTATGTATGTGCGCCGGTAGCCTATCGAGAGAAGTAAAGCAACGGCGGGAAAGTCTCAACTAGGGGCATAAGGGCAAGATATTGCTCAGGGTAAGATTATGAAGACAAGCGGCTGGCTGCTAAATGCGCATCATTCTAGACTTTAAAGACATTGAGAGCAATATGATCCTTGATTGAGTATCCTAAAACTAGTGTTCTATCTGTCCTTATGTATACCAGTCAGGCCTTTCATCCCTACGGGATGAAAGGCCTTTGACTGGATACAACTATCTGTTACTTGTTGTATCTAGCTTATTCTATTTCATTCCACAGACATAATAGAATTCAACCAGCATCAAGGTGAGCGATTGAGAATATTCTAAGAATTCCTTGTTATTCATTGGGGTATCTCAGGTTCTCGGACGAATATAGCCAACTTGCGGCGGTGCTCGCGCCTGAGCAAGTTACCCATACCCTAGAAGCTCATAGCTACCCAAGCTTAATAGATGGCTATGGATCCCGGTCTCTTGTAGGACGGGTAGATATGTTTTGATATACAACCACGGTGATGATAGTGGCACCTATTCTGAATGCACATGCTCGCCCCAAAAATGTGGTGTCAGGCTTTTAGAAACCTAGGGACGCACAGGATGATATTGGCGCATGAGTGAAATAGCAGGCCGATCTCTAGGACTAGAAGGAAGGCGGCAAGGATAACTACCTTACACCTCCTTCAAGCACGAGATCAAGAACCAGCAGGTGCAGCAGCACCCTTCCTCTTCTTGGCCTTGCCCTTCCTCTTGCTACGATCTCTCGGCTTCAACGTTGCCATACCAGCTTTGCATACCTCGGCGTACCTGTCGAAGAAAGCGGGGAGAGCGTCGGGCTCAACCACAGTTGATAACTTGATCTTATCTTCACGTCGTTTCTTGCCTTTCGCGTTTGTCGCTCGGATGAGCACGGGCATGGGCTGTGGGGGGTGGAGGTCGGGGAGTATGGTTTCGCTTGTTGGCTCTGGGATGGGCTGCTCGTGGGTTACTAGATGGGTGCGTTAGAAGAGCTGTCGGCTCCATATTGTCTAGCCGCGAGATTGTTGGTACTAACATCTCTTCTGCACCAAAACTATGGATCCGTGGTCTTTGCCTTTCTTCTGGTCGAAGAGCTCCGTGAGCTTGACGAAGAACTACGAAAACGAGTTAGTACAGGCGTAGACTCGGGCGTATAATAAATAATGATATTAATAGGTGCGAACCTCGTCATTGCTTAAGTGACCCATTACGATTTATAGATAATCGCATGCAAGAATTATCCAAGGTCGTAGGTATTCTAGAATAATACTGCCAACTTAACCTCGCATCCGTTGGCGATTATTCGTAGTGTACGTTGATATGTTATGTGATGGTAAGAATAAAATGATTGCAGTTCGTGCATGACCAAATAGCGATTCCCCATGGTGGGGCAGATGTTGAAGAGGTACTTCATACAAGATACTTTTGTAGCCCCACTTACCTTTACAATCCCTGTATGTACTTGGATTTTTTCTTAGGAAGGCGCATCTCATTTATATCAATGCCTACCTCATGTGAATATCGCTAAAAAAAAAAGTTCATTTAATATATTATTAACGTTCAAAGAGCAAGGCTAATAATTTATTTACGAACACTTATTTTACTCAACTTCTTTATAATCACCAGGCTCCTAAGTATCAAGAATTACCGCCAAAATGGCGCCAGGGCCAAATAAAAAACCATCGTTGCCTGCAACACTTCTAAAGGAATTAGACGCTCAGCAGTCCTCATCTTCTGTCAAAGGTGGTAGTAGGTCGGGAAAGCAGCTTTCGAGAAAAGATCAACGTAAGGCCCAACGAGTTCAGAAAAGGCAATCTCGCCGCTCGCAGCCACGCCAAAGCCAGGAAACGCGCAAGCCTCACAAGGCTTCTCAATCTAATGACTTTAATGATGAAAGTGATGGTCTAGAGGATGGAGACGACGACGATGATGACGACGGAGGTGATATGGATATGGAGGATGACTCCGAGAGCAGCGGCAGCGAGGGTAGTGAAGATGAAGAGCCGAGTCAACCAAAAGTCAAAGTCTCTAAGGCTACACAGAGCAGACTTGCCCAGGACGATGCAGAGATCAAAGACTTGGAAAGGAAATTAGGCCTGAAGGGCAGGAAGTCACTTCCTAAATCTTTCCAGGACGATGGCCTCGGCGATTTACTGGACGGTCTGGATGAAGACGGCGGGGATAATGAAGGAGTTCCCTCGCAGAATAAACGCAAGGCAGAAGCGGATGAATGGCTGGCTCAGAAAAGAAGAAAAGCTCAAGCTGCTGCCGACAAAGCTGCTGCCAACGAAAGTGCCAGTGATAGCGATGAAGAGGTTGACGATTATTTGGACGACGAAGATATATCCCTTTGGGACAGTAAATCGGACAAAGACGAAGATGCATTTGAGGGCTTCTCAGACGAAGAGCAGTCTACAACTGTGCGGCCTCTACGAGAAAACCCCTACGTCGCTCCTACAACAGGAGTCGCAAAATATGTCCCCCCGGCTTTCCGTAAGCAGTCGAGTTCGAGCAACGAAGCAGAAACACGACTTCGAAGACGTGTCCAGGGGTTGATCAACCGTTTGACGAACGACAACATGGTCGGCATAGTTAAGGAGTTCATGACTTTATACGACACAAATCCAAGACAAACCGTTACATCTGTCATCGTGGATTTAGTACTGAACTTGGTTTGCTCACCTGAAAAGCGCCCAGATTCCTTTTTTGCTATGACAGCTGGTTACCTTGCAGCAATGCATAAATCTCTAGGTATGGCCTTCAGCGCCTACTTCATACAACAACTCGTAGAAGTCCTCGACCAGCGCTATACGCAAGCGTCTGGAGATCAGTCAGACTCCGGTTCGAGGCATCTTATTTCTTTACTTGCTGAGATCTATAATATGCAAGTTGTTAGTCCTAATTTGGTATTTGATTATGTCCGCCTCTTCTTAGACCAACTTTCCGAGCTCAATACGGAGTTGATTTTGAGAATTATCCAAATTTGCGGCCCGTCCCTAAGGCGTGATGACCCTCATGCATTGGGGGACATCATTAGTAGTATTAGGCTAGGGAACACCATGTCAACTAGGACAAGTTTCATGATTGATGAGATGAAGAGTCTACAGAGTAACAAAACAAAAGCTGCAACCCGTAACAAGGACCTTGCGGACCAGCGAACCCAGATCAGGAAGCGAATCGGCGGTATAAGCGGTACTCAGGATGCTCAGCCGCTCCGCATGGGCCTTCAGGACATTCGGGACGCCGATAAGCACGGGAAGTGGTGGCTTGTCGGGGCCAGTTGGTCTGGTAACCGTAGTGGCCCCAATGATCAAGGCAAGACTTTTAAGGACCAAGAGGGGGATGACGCTGATGAGATGATGGCGGACGTCGGTGACGACCTGGGTATTCCGGATCTCTGGCAATTAGCAAAGGAGCAGGGGTTCAATACGGAAGTACGGCAACGCATATTTGTTGCCTTGCATGCGGCCACGGACTATGAGAACGCAGAGCTGCTCGTCCGTAAGTTGAGGCTTAACAAGCATCAACGGAAAGAGGTACCCGAAGTAATCGTCCGAAGCAGCGAGCGACAGTCTCAGTATAACCCCTATTATGCTCTAGTTGCTACCAGGTTCACCGGCGATCGGGAATTATCTTTTCAGTTTAGGCGATGCCTCACAACACGTCTTAGAAAGATGGGAGAGGACATTGACATCGGCGAGGAGGATGACTTCGATTTCGACGATGCGACCGATTACGACATGCGGTGGGTATACAACACAGCCAAGATGTACGGCTCGCTTGTGGCTAGCCGGGATCTTCGGCTGGCGGATATGGTGAAGCACCGCAACTTTGCGGCTCTGCATGAGAAGGCACACATGTTCTTTGAGGTGATGCTGATCTCGACGCTCCAGGAGTGCAAGCACGACAGCCTCAGGGAGGTATTCAGCGGCCTGGATGCAAATCACGCCCGAGGGGTCCAATGGTTCTTGCGGAAAAACGTGCGGAAAACAGACCTCCTTAAGGACAAAAAGGAAAAAGCAGCGATTAAGAAGAGTTGCGATGCGGCAGAGGAGATACTGAAGGCACTGGTAACAGCGGGACCATTGGGGGGATTATCAGTTCTCCGCGCTGGTTTTGTCAAAACCAAGTAGATACCCGTTGAATATAATGCACGCGTTGTTTTCACTTCAAGGAAATGGCTGTTATATGGCTCTATTTTATGGCTATCTCGTCTCATATTCAGATTACAGATTCTAAATACCTAGGGGTATATTTCTCGTAGTATAAGAAGAGAGAGATTTTAGCCTAGCGGGTCAGCAAAATAAAAATCGACGGCTACTTTCGGAGCAGCGGCATATCGGCGAAAATGAACCGCTAAGGTACCACTACCGTAGACTAACAGCTATGAGTTAATTGGGTCTTACCATCTTACCATATTATTCTATCTCGGTACCAGGCAGTAAGTATAGGATAGTACGGAAGGAGGCGAGAAGGTACTTTGATACCGGTACTTGGTCAATCCCCAACGCCCGGACCTCCAAAATTTCGAGCAACTCCAAAAACATCCGGCTCCGTCTAAATCTTTAACAGTCTCATCTACATTTATTCACCTCAACCACGTCACACCAATTGCGATATACCCACCCGCCTTTTGTTTTCCCCTCCTTCGTTGTAGACAGATAAGGTAGAACGGGCAGCCAGCCGAAAAAGTAAACACAATGCTGGCCAGTCGTTTAATACCGCGGACCGCTGTGCGATCTGCTCTCCGCCCTTCATCGTAAGTAATAGCCGAGCTTGGAGCTTTTTGAGTGAGCTTCCCAACATAACTTGCCCGCTAATCCGAATTCTGTCATTAGCCTTCCTTCAGTCGTCGCACCCCTATCGCGATGGAGAAGAGGATATGCTACCGAAGCAGGTTAATACTCCTTTTAATATAATATATTCTCTTACCGACCCTTCTTATCGCTAATTAACTCGGCGCAGAGGAAAAAGATCTCGTCATCATTGGCGGTGGAGTAGCAGGATATGTCGCAGCTATCAAGGCTGGACAGGAGGGCTTAAAGGTTCGCCATGCCAACTTTGATGCGATCATTATTCCATATTATCCACACCACGAGAAGTAAAATCTAACTAGCAATTCACCTTGTGGCTAGGTCGCTTGCATTGAGAAGCGCGGCAAGCTCGGCGGCACCTGTCTCAATGTTGGCTGTATTCCTTCGAAATCCCTCCTCAACAACTCGCATTTGTACCACCAGATCCTCCACGACACCAAGCCCCGAGGTATCGAAGTCGGCGATGTCCAGCTTAACCTACAAGCTATGATGAAGGCCAAGGACACCTCCGTTAACGGTCTTACCAAGGGTATCGAATTTCTTTTTAAGAAGAATGGCGTCGAGTACATCAAGGGTACCGGTTCCTTCGCTAGCGAGAACGAGATCAAGGTTCAGCTGATCGATGGCGGCGAGACGAGCGTGATCGGCAAGAACATCCTTATCGCTACCGGTTCCGAATCGACGCCGTTCCCCGGACTCGAGTTCGACGAGAAGCGCGTTGTCACCAGCACTGGCGCCCTATCCCTCGAGAAGGTCCCCGAGAAGCTGATCGTCATTGGTGGTGGTATCATCGGTCTTGAGATGGGTTCCGTATGGTCGAGACTGGGCGCCAAGGTTACCGTCGTCGAATTCCTGGACCAGATTGGTGGCCCCGGTATGGATTCACAGATTGCCAAGGAGGCGCAAAAGTTGCTCAAGAAGCAGGGCATAGAATTCAAGCTCGGTACTAAGGTCGTCAGCGGAGAAAATACTGGCGACAATGTTAAGCTCCAGGTGGACTCTTCTAAGGGTGGCAAACCCGAATCGGTTCGTATTGCCATACATACATACGCAAAGTAGCATATTCTAACATAAACTTTTGCAAATAGCTTGAGGCGGATGTTGTCCTAGTTGCAATTGGTCGTCGCCCCTACACCGCCGGACTCGGTCTCGAGAACATCGGCCTGGAACTCGATGAGCGCGGCCGTGTCGTTATCGACTCCGAGTATCGCACAAAGGCTTCGCACATCCGATGCATTGGTGACTGCACATTCGGTCCTATGCTTGCCCACAAGGCCGAAGAAGAAGCTGTCGCTGCCGTCGAGTACATCAAGAAGGGATATGGGCACGTCAACTATGGCGTTATCCCGTCCGTCATGTACACGCACCCCGAAGTCGCTTGGGTCGGTCAGAGCGAGCAGGACCTGAAGTCACAGAATATCCCGTACAAGGTCGGATCATTCCCCTTCAGCGCCAACTCGCGTGCCAAGACCAACCTAGACACGGAAGGTTTCGTTAAGATGATCGCGGATCCCGAGACAGATAGGCTACTAGGCTGCCACATCATCGGACCTAACGCGGGTGAGATGATCGCCGAAGCCACGCTCGCCCTCGAGTATGGCGCTTCGACGGAGGATATCGCGCGCACATGCCACGCGCACCCGACGCTCGCCGAGGCTTTCAAGGAAGCGGCTATGGCGACTTACTCTAAGGCTATCCACTTTTAAGGGGGACGGTGTGTAAATATAGAGAGGAGAGAAAGAGTATAGGGGAGAGGGGGAGGGCATGTAGACGGAGGATGAAGGGATTGACTAAAAACTATCAGGCTGGAGGGCTAGCATCGGTGTAATGGTGTACATTAATACAGCATGTGGACAAAGTAAAGTGAAAACTATCTATGAACGAAGTGTATGTGTAGTGCCTTGTGAAAAGTTGCCTGTGGAAGGAGATGAGTTGGAGATGGTATGTGTGTAAGTGCGTATGTGCTACGAGATGTTTCATCCGGTAATTGTGGTATTGTGTTTGCTCTTACGGTTGACTGTTTAAATTCTATATGGTCTAATTGGTAACTAAGCTGTCATGTTTGATAACACTGATATTGGTGTTAATATTCGGACTGAATACAGCATCTGTGTATTGTGTAGTTAGTGGTGATATACCAAACAAAGTACTGCTCACAATTGCCCTTGACTGGGTGTATTGTATTGTATGGTCTGAGTGCGGAAATTGCGGGCAATTTTGGCTAATAACGACTCTTCATCCCCTTATCTTACGAGGATGTATACAAGTGCGGCAGGATATCAATCCTATCATAGTATATCATATTATAGAAGAAGAAGAATGAATATAGGCATTATTACATTCGCTCGTTCATCATATAAACTTTTCTTTTCTTTTCTTTTCTCTATAACCGCTCTCTCTCTACATCTACGATAGTCCGTTTGTCCATCCCCATCATACCATATCAACTATAGTCTCATCTCTCATTTCATCTTCTCATCTATTATTTTCCCGGTCGTTGAGGAGCCAGTCATTCTTCTACTTTCTTTCCACGCTATCTACCTGCTCACACAACAACAATAACAACAACAACAACAACCCTATATCCCTCCCCCTATTCATTCACTCCTCCTGCACCTCCTCCGCTGCTTTCAAAGCCTTAGTAAAAATATCTACCAAATCTTCCTCCAATCCCACACTAACCCTCAGCAAATCCGGATTAACTCCAAAACTCGCCGCCCAGTCCAACTCCTGGTAATGCGCAAGCACCACATACGGCGATGTAAGCGTGAAATTCGTGCCCAAGCTGGGCCCCTTAGCCGTCTCCAGCGCGTCGTAGAACGCCATCGCATGCGCCTTCGTCTTAAGCGTACACGAGAGTAGGCCGCCGTACCCGCCAGATGGTAATTTGCATGCCTCGTAGTTGGGCCGCGAGTCGTTGTACTTAGGGTAGTAGACATTGGTGACTAAGGGATGCGCGGATAGGACTGTGCAGATGGCTTCGGCGTTAGCGTTGACGCGCTCGATCCGCGAGATGAAGTCTCGGCTGTTGCGCTCCATAAAGATAACGTCTTCGGCCCAGTACGTATCCTCGAACTCGGCGGTCATGACTTGTTTCAAGGAGGTGTAGTACCGGCTGTTGGGGTTAAGGATGATACTGCCCCCCATGACGTTGCAGTCGCCCGAGAAGATTTTTGTTAGGCTAGAGACGACTACGTCGGCGAACGGGAGAACGTTCACGTTCACAAAGTTGCCAACAGTCTCGTCAACAACAATCGCGAAGTCATATGTATCGGCAAGTCGCCTGATACGCGCGAGGTCGGGGCAAGTCAACAAAGGGTTTCCAGGAAACTCGCAAAACAGCCCAAGGAACCTCTCTCCACCCTCAAGGCGCTTCTCAAGGTCATCGAGATCAGCACTAGACCCGCGACCGTAGAAAATAGCTCCGGGCCCAAACTTCTGTAGGATCTTGAGGGTGTCAACGTATGGAAATCCGAAGTTGATGCTCTTCTGAGGTACGCGCGCCTTGAGCAGGGTCTGGTGCGTTGTGAAGATGGCGCTCATTCCGCAGGGGACTAGGTATATGTCGTCCTCCTTGAAGTTTGAGATGCCGCGGGCGTTGGAGTCCATGGCGGGTAGGGTAGCGGTACTTTCTAGGTCAATTTCCGTAGTTAGGACGCCGGCGATGCGGCGCCTGATGGCTGACTTGGCATTAGGGACGAGAGAGAGGTCGAGGTTTCGCCCGTATCGCTCTTCTAGGAACCTTGAGCTTTCGAGAGCATCTGTCGTTGTCTCGTCGGCAGGAGGGTCAAGGGTGACGGGATACTGGCGATTATTGTTTGCCCCATTGGAGCCGTTTTGAGTGTCATCAATGGAAGCTGTTCGTCGATACCTTTTCGGCCCACGACCCAACTTGTTTAACAGGCGGGGCGATGATGACGCCTTGTCCTCGGGTACCAGCATATTCTCTTTGAACAACGCATGGTAGAATTCAGCACGACGGCTAGAAACACCGTCACCGGAGTGCTGCCAGTACTGCTTAGCAAAAGGGAAAGAATCAGAAGTGCACAAAACGGCCGAGATGGACGGTGTGTCAGGCAGTCCAGCCGGGGCCTTCTTAGTCGGGTCCAATACCAAGTGAAGGATGTCGAGGTCCTTCAAAACTGATTCAGGCGCTTTGTTTCGAATGAATTCGAGACACCGGTTTGCCGTCTTTTTGGTAGGAAAAAGAATGGCCTGCTGATTGGCAGCACCATGCTTGGCGACGATGTCGCGACCAAAGGCCTGGATGCTCTTATGAATGAAGAACCTGGGGTAGCCGGTAACCATAACGCCAAGGACCCATTGCTCCCCCTCTTCGTATCCAATGTTTGACCTCCATGTTGGAAGTGAAACGCTTACGGCCTATAAAGAAAGTTAGAAATATGTTTTTAGAAATAGAAAGAGGTTTAAACTCACGTGAGCAGTGTTAGGAGGTATCGAGTCTCCTAGCTCGATTGAAGGCATTTTTTTTTTGGTATTATCTTGTTGGTATTATTATTATTATATAGCAGAAAGGATGTAGATAGGACCAGTTAATAGATTATTAGGTTATCAGTGGTGACAACATCAAGATGTGTATTTACGAATGGGTTAACTATGGGGACTAACACCGGGGGTTGTAAGCAGTTGTAAGAGGTAGTCATATACAAGGATAATTCATGTTAAATTGCTGCACGTACAAAATATAGCAGGATTCCGGGATCGGAGACGAGAATTTTAAACTAAACTTGCATCTATTAGGTACATCTATTAGGAATACGTGATTGGCTAATTTTATACATACATACATGTACATTAAGTAGTTAGTCAATACTGGTACCTCGCGGCAACGTACCTTATATATACTTACACCACACCTTGCATCACTCTGCATCTTATACTTTAGGTATACTCTCCTATAAACAATTATATCCCCCAAATTTAATGATCTTATATATATTCCATCTTACGTCATCACAAAAGACGTTCACCACGCTATCTCCCACAGCTCATCTCTCGTCCGGTTCGTCATATTAAAGTATAACAAGATGAAATTAAATAACGTGATTCTGCTAAGTGAAAATTCGGCCTTAGGCACGAACCGGCTAGACATCGATATCGAAGATGGAAAGGTTCGTCGAGTCCGTGCTTCAGAACATGTGGCTAGCGAACCTCCCAAGGTCCTACTGCCAGCCCTCTGTCACCCACATATTCACCTTGACAAGCCCTTTATATTAACCTGTAGCAATCCCCCTTCCGAGAATTATCCCGACTACTCTGATCTTCTACCTGAAACTGGCTCCTTTGAAGAGGCTTTATTGAATACCTCTAAAGCGAAGGAGCGTTATTCCGAAGAGGATCTCTACCTTCGAGGTAGCCAGCTTCTAGCAGAAAGCTACAAGTACGGTGTTACATCTCTCCGTGCTTTTGTAGAGGTAGACCACGTCACTGGGGCGTTGCCGTTGATCACAGCTATTCGACTCAAGTCTGAGTTTTCTCATCTGCTGGAGATTCAAATCTGTGTGTTTGCCCAAGATCCCCTTTTCTCTGGCACCTATGGAGAGGCGAATCGATCCGTCGTTACCTCGCTCCTCAAAGATCATGCCAGGTCGGTCCAAGCCCTTGGAACAACCCCTTATGTTGAGGAGTCGCGAGAGAAATCGCTCCAAAACATTGAATGGGCTATTAAAACTGCCGTGCGATATGGTTTACATTTGGACTTCCACTTAGATTATAATTTGTCTCAGCCTTCCCCCTCCAATCAGCCTCTGACATTTTCAGTTATCGAACTGCTTCAGAAACAAGACTGGCTTGGTTTAGCTGATAAGTCCAAAACCGTGGTTCTCGGCCACTGCACGCAACTGACTACGCTCAGCAACTCGGACCTTGAGCGGCTAGCCAGAACCATTATTGAAAGCAGGCTCCCAATCCACTTTGTTGGATTGCCTACTAGCGACATGTTTATGATGGGTCGGTCGACTTCAGCAACGAACACGCCGCAAGCGCGGCTGCGTGGTACTTTACAAGTGCCTTCCTTGATTAAGGACCTCGGCATGTCTGCCTGTATCAGCGTAAATAATGTTGGGAACGCTTTTACTCCTTTTGGAACTAGCGATCCCTTACAGCTAGCATCATGGGGAGTAGGTGTCTACCAGGCCGGAACTATAAGTGATGCGATGATGCTCTATGGTTGTGTAAGCTGGCTAGCCAAAAAAGCTATCGGCGTCGAGCAAGAAACGGGATACAGGGCCATAGTCGAAGGCCAGTCCCTGCAGGGTATGCTTTTAATCAGTAATAAAGAACACACTAGACTGCCAGGAGGCGCCAACGGCTCTGAGCTTAAGATTCCAGCGAGACAGTGGACGAGTTTCAAAGACATCGTATGGGACCCGCCCGATGTCGAGCTGAGATCAATCATCATATGAGTCAATAGATTCAAAGTTCGATATTAGTGATTATAGTTTCCACGTCTGTTCCGAACGTGGCAACTGAGCAATGTGTGAGCCGATATCTTGGGAGGTTAAGCTGCATCCTGGCTAATGCACTCATAGAGATTATGAATTTCCCCGTAAACAAATGCAAAACCAATGCCAAATTCACATCATAGAACAAGTCGAATCCGAATAGTCAGGTCCGAATATTTCCTTGTTGCGCTCGCGCTCGTTGGCTCTGACTTTTTCTTTGACTTCCTTCGGAAAGTACTCGCGAAGAAATGCAGCACGCTCGCTATCGAAATGTTCTAATCCAGCTCGCATGATCACGTCAGCTCGGCAAAGGGGACAAAATCTTTCCCCCTTTCGTGACATCTTCACGAGACATCGACTGCAGAATATGTGCTGACAATCTAGCCGAACTGGCCAATATGCAACGGCAAAGCAGATAGGACAGAGATAGTCATCAAGCTGCGGAACGACCGAAATTAAATCGTTGGACATTTGTGCACATATGTCCTTAGCCACGCTCCCTGCTAGAAGCTTGTTGGATTGAACAGTGACAGGGAATGCGCGTGAAACGCCCAGCGCAGTTCTCTTATCGAATTCTACGCGAGTAATTAGCAGGGGGTGGGAGACGCATATGGATAAATATGTTAGATACATGTAACTTACTCTTGAGTATTTTTGTCACTGCCAAACTGTTGATTTCCTGGAATTTAAGAATTTGCAGGAGAAGAGCGTTCATGTTGAGAAACCTTGTATAAGCTTGCCGACTGTTCTCAAGCTTGAGGCCGTGAATTAGCTTTCTCGACAAAACTTGATCTTGGAACCACCGGAGTTGCTCGATCGCCTGAGTGCTTGTTCTGGCGCCATGATCGTCCTCCCTAGTAGAAAAGAAGATCCGGGCGTCTAAGTATAACTCGAAGATATTGCGCCAGGTTTCCAAGTCCCCCCTCGCCCTTCGGCCTTTCGATGGTTTCGTGGCTTTGTTAATATCCTGACCTAGAAGAGCTATCTCCTTTCCCAATTTATCTTGTTCTTCCTGCTGCAGTACGTCCAGGTTGGAGACGTCGGTCTGTAGGATTTCAAAGAATTCACCATCAAAGACCAAGGGGACTTCGATCTGTTTAACAGACAACGGCTCCTCTTTTGACAATGAGACCTGCTCGGCATTAAGAGGAGAATCCGTAGGTCTAACTGAAGTATCTGGAGATGTGTTGCTAGATTCCTGTGCCGGCGAGACCGATGTTTCTCCTGTCTTAGATACCACTTTCTTCAAAAAATCTCTCGTAGACGGCGTCAATTCTGCGTCTACGGCCACGCCATCATGGAGATGGATGAAAAAGGTGAGCCTCGGACGAAAATGGTTGGAATGGGTAAGTTTTCCATCCAGGTGGTAGTAAAAGGCCACTGCAGATGGTTCCTTTTGGCTAGTAGCCAATTGAGCCAAAGTGTCCTTATCTAGTCCGAGTTCCCTAAGTTCATTTGTAACCTTTTTGAGACATTTTTTGAGCTGGCCGTAAGGAACAGCAGAGTTGACCCATTTCTCGGGAAAGCCTAACATCATTAACAATAGGGTATAAGAGGGAAGAAAGACAGTAGCTTACCTTCTTTTTGGAGGGCCTTCCTGAACTCTTGAGCGAACTTCATGAGAACTACTGAGTGCGAGGTATATGAGAGGGTTTACTTAGGGACCGGTAGAGGAAACTCGGTGCGTATTCATTAACGAACTAGATAATCTAAAAGATTAAACGGGATTGGGAAGTTATGGTGGTTAGGTATTTGGTGGATATGTGGAGGATATGGGGCACAAGAACCGGTGAGCAAAATGCTAATAAGACTAGTATTTAAGAAAATATAGACGGGTATAAAATATGCTTAGATATATAAACTGATAGATATATCCTGTTGGGGGTATTAGGTACGTAGGCGTGGATGGTATATTAGGATATGTAGGTATTTATATACGGAGAGGAAAAGAAGGGGAGAACATTTCCTGCTAATACTTAGAGAACCGAGGCGAATAGCTCCTAGTTTCTTATAGTAGCTAAAGTAGGAACGTTCGAAGTTTTACCACTAGCACCATCTTGGGTAGATGCACACTCAGCCGTTGCATAATGGTACCTACATCGATGTATCTATTTAATTGATGGTACCTTCTTGCAGGTACACATCTTAAACCCATCTTAGAGCTGCAGGTGACGAATTTAGGTAGGATATTAAGGTTGCGTTGATTCGTCTTAGAATGTAAAGTATCTGCAATGTATCTGCAATGTATCTGCAGCCTTAGTAGATCTAAGCAGTTTGCCCCTGCGTAGACACGCGACTGGTTGCCTCTGTAAGCTTATTCAAGTCTGGCCTGTTCTGGATTTTCAATACTCCGCGGTGAAGACAATCGGTCAAGAATTTAGACTTTGCTGCATACCCGTCTCTACTATAGAAGGAATTAAAGATAAACAGGTAGCTATTATCAAAATGCATTCATTTGGTATATGCTTTATTGTCACAACCTATTTTTACCTATTGTCTAAATTAATACCGGATAAAGATATACAAAGTATAAGGATAACATGACAAGTACCTAATCGATGTGGTGAATCCACCCCACTTTATGTAAGATAGAGGGACTGAGGGAGTCACGACGAAATTTAATAGAGTATCGATTTATTGCTTACGTCTTTTTACATACCTAAATTTTGGTATAAGTGAATATAATCTAAATACCAACTGCAATATCGGTTTCATATGTTAGGTACTTAATATTAACACTAATCCAGCGCAAATTACCATAGACAAAGATATAGAGAGACACAGTTAGATTTCCAATATTTTTATTATGGGCGCCCAACAGTCGTCTCATAGAGACCCCGCGGGAAACGACGCCAGCGCTGCTCCTAAGAAAACAGACTACTATGAATTATTAGGACTGGACCATCAAGCTAGCGATGACGAGTGAGCAGATAACTACCAATATACATAAAAATTACTAATATCGTATTTTCTTGTTAGAATCAAGAAGGCGTACAGAAGAAAGGCTCTAGAGCTACACCCCGACAGGAATTACGGCGACGTCGAGAACGCTACGCAAAAATTCGCTGAGGTTCAAGCCGCCTACGAAGTTCTATCTGATCCCCAAGAGCGAGCGTGGTACGATTCTCATCGCGATGCCATCCTTCGCGGAGATGACCCTGGCGAGACCGAAGCGAGTCCCGAATACCACAACGTTCGCATAACTACCGCCGACGAGATTTTCAATTTGATTGGTCGTTTCAACAAGAATGTCCCCTTAGACGACTCCCCGAACAGCTTTTTTAGTGTCTTGCGAGAGACTTTCGAAAGGATAGCTCAGGCAGAAGACGCAGCCGCCGACTGGGATGGATTTACTCCCGTCGAATATCCTCCTTTCGGCGAGTCCAAAGACGGCGATAGCGTAGCCAAGGCATTCTATGGCAGGTGGTCCAACTTTTCCACCAAGCTAAGCTTTACCTGGAAGAATAAATGGCGACTCTCTGATGCTCCAGACCGAAGAGTTCGCCGCCTTATGGAGAAGGAGAACAAGAAGTTTCGAGAGGACGCTGCTCGGGAATTCAACGACGCGGTGCGGTCTCTAGTTGCGTTCGTTCGCAAACGAGACCCCCGCTACGTAGCGAATACGCAATCCGAAGCCGATAGGCAGAAGATATTACGGGACTCAGCCGCAGCACAAGCTGCCAGGTCGAGAGCTGCAAACCAGGAGAAAATGAACGACCCATTTGCCGTTCCCGAATGGGCGCAATCTCGGGACGATGCATTACACGAGGGGAGCTTCTCTGAGACCGATGAGGAGTCCGAAGTCGAACACATAGAATGCGTGGTGTGCAACAAGATATTCAAGAGCGAAAAACAGTACGAAGCCCACGAGAAGAGCAAAAAGCACGTGAAGGCCGTACAGCAATTACAACGGCATATGAAAAAGGAGAACGCGGATCTAAATCTAAACCTTAAAATTCCCACGTCAAATTCAGAAATTCCAGTGATAGACAGCGATCACATAGACGAAGATATAGACGCTCATGAGAGTAACACCTCTGATGCACCCCATATAGAAGAACAGGCCAAGGCACCGTCTAAAACCAACACCGAACTCACGAGCTCAAGAGTAGACTCGGAAAACGAGAGCGAAGACGACGAGTATGCCTCGAGAGGCGCTGTAGAAGCACGCCTCGTATCAGGAAACCCGACCGCCTTAAACCCCTTACAAGGCAGCGAAGATCCAGTTGATGACATCACAAAAGAAACAGAAGATATATCGCTTCGAAGCAGCGAGCCTACCAAGAAGCTAGGCAAGGCCAAAGCTAAACGAGAAAAGAAGGCTGCGCGCCAAGCTACTTCAGAGCAACAGGACGATTCTGTAAGCTTCCTACCCTTATTACACCTTACCTATCACATATTACCAAGTCAAATATTTTGTTCTAACTTCTACACCAGAAATGCGTGGCCTGTAATACCCAATTCGATTCCAGGACCAAGCTCTTCAAACACTTGAAGGAAACAGGTCACGCGGCACCCAAGACAGCTGCGACTAAGCCCAGCAAAAAGCGACGGTAGATGTTTTACTACAAAGGCGTTCTAAAAGGTTGTGTCTACCAACCAGACCCCTAGCCTCAAACCGAGTCGTTCTACTACCCCTGTCTCATGACCCTTGAATGGAGACGTTACTGGCATGATTCCTATTCCTTCCCTACCTGTCCGCCAAAGTAAAAAAAGAAGAAAGTGGCTACTTTGGTAGTTAGCTACCATGACTTGCCGAATCACTGCTGTAGGTGCTGAAGATATTTACACCACCAATGGTTATTCATAATCCTCCATAATCCACACCTTAACGCCTGGCAATTACCTAGTGGTATTCTCCTAGCCAACCCGATAACATATTGCGCCTGATGATCGTTTATTCCACCAGCGCCGTGTCGTCGTCCTCATCTTCATCGCTCAGAGTTTTAACATCATCCATTATAGTACCCCCAGTTGCCTCCATCTGCGCGATCGGGTCGTGGTCCGACACGTGAATGATGGCTTTGCCCTGGACGTGTTTGACGCTTCTCCGCCAGTCCTTCCAGTCTTCTTCGTCACGGATTAGAAAGCCGATGAGCATGCTTGGATCCATTTCCTTGACATGTAGTCGTCGTAGCTTTCTCGTGTGGCAGGTGTCAATTTCTTCCTGTATATACTCGTCGGGGTCTTCATGATAGGGTAAGGCTGGTCGTGTGAAGTGCGGATCCAGATAGAAGAAGTGGAGGCCCTGGACGCCGATGAAATAATGTGATGAGGACGGACGTCCACTGCTATCGGTTAGAAGCGGACTATTTAGACATAGAAGCTTATGAACTATAAGACAACTTACCCAGCAATACCAATTGACTGCGGCATCTGTAAGGACGCTGTAAGAGCTTCCCAATATACAGGTGTGATCTTGTCAATACCCAGACGTGTACCCACTAATATCACTGTCGGATGAAAAGTTGTGCCATCAGGCTTAGCGATCTTCATGAAGTTGTCCTCGTAGACATCCGGCCCATCTCCCGTAGAATAGACGCGTAACGCCGGTTCAGTGGTATTTGTCAAGGCCCTGTCTAGTATTTAGTTATCGCAGTTCTAGCACTACTGGATCTTTGCAGGATACTCACTGGATACACCTCGCGGTCGCTGAAGGACCAAACCATTCACCAGGATATTTTCCACACGCGGAGGCGCCATGACGTACGAAATTATGTATCGAGTACGGTGCTCGTGGGTCATCGGCAAACAAGGATAGGATCTTATTCTCTTCCCGACTCGACGTACTCCTTCGCCATCCTATACACGACTTAGCAACAACGTACAAAGACTCGGTCTCGTTTCTAATAAGCTTGCATACCTCGACCAAGACGATGTACTAGTATAGCGTTCGCCAACAGGCTCTGGCCGGATCTGATCATACACCCCCATCCACTATCGGAGGCGAACCCGGTCTGGTCGCCTAACTGACTCTTGAGGCGCATCGAGAAAGATAGGGCGGAGAAAGCCTTGGGGTCTTGCGACTTGGCTATGGGGTCGAACTCGGACCTATAAGTCATCCATATTCTGGATTCGAAATCGTCGAGAAACGCGGGAGGCCAACCTCCATCTAGAGGCGCTTCGTCGTAGGCGAGGGATGAGTCTAAACTGCTAGAGGTAGAATCGGGAGGGGTTTCGGGGAGTCTAGAAGGAGCTTGGATAGCATCCTTGGCTGGTGGTTCAGAAGCCGTAGGTGCGTCTTGCTTCGGACCGATACTATTGCTACTCGTGCTACTAGCGCCGTTGTTGCTGTTGCTATTGTTATTGTTACTGTTGTTGAGCCTGTAAGCGGATCCAAGACACCAAACCGGTCGGTCTCGGATAATATCATTAGTCGGTTCAGGGTCCCAGAACAATTGCACAATGCGTCTACCGATATCAACCGTGGACCCCATGTTGAGAAATGGTAGTGTAGGTAGGAGCTCGTTACGGTGGTCTCAACGAGTCCAAAGATACAACCAAGATACTTTAATAATGATAACCTTTATCCTGCTCTAGTACAAGATAGAGCGAATATAATGCCACAATTGAAAAGAAAAGGGAATAACACAAAATATAACTCTACGCTAGGATTGTTGGGGTATTATTGTAAACTGGTAAATTGGTGACGACCAACTAAAGACGGCTTAGATGGACGAGGGGAAAGAAGCCAGGAACGGGGAGGTTATGATTAAGTTGGTTGATGGGTGATGACGGCTGGGATGGACTCTGTAGACCAGCACTACGCTTTCGGATGTTAGAAGCGCCACCATTCACCCAAGAAAGAAGTTAAAGACGAGAAATATTAATGAGATGGAAAAGATGGTATGAAGCTAATATTTCAAAATGATGAAGTTGAAACTGGTATCTTCTCAAGCTTGGAAGTTGTAAGCTGTCCGAGTTAGCGACTATCTACCTAGCCAAGTCACCCGTCAAGCCCCGGTCACTGGCCTTGTACTGTATCCAGTTGCTGCTAGCGGTCTCGCAGCGGTGGTTGGTGGTTGATGGTTGGACCTGGTGTACCTAGGTATCTATAAACGGATAAGCGGGGCGAGGGGCTGACGGAATGACTGAATTGACTGATTGAACAGTGGTGCCTTGTGACGAGAGCATGGGAGAGTCTTATCGATAAAGTTGTTATCTACGATGTACTATAGAAGATAGGTACGCTGTACCTACATGTATTCTATACATAACATTCAGGCTCATAACTGCCAGATTTATGAATAAATTACGTATTATTACTTAGCAGGCTTAGGGAACATTAGGCACTTGCGTTTGTGGCAGTGACTAGGTAGGAAGTCTCGAATCCAATACATTTAGAAATTAAACATCTCAAATGTATCCTTTTTACACACGTATTTACTTCGTCCTATCCAAGCTATAAGGAGGCACTCAATTCTGTGTCAAGTACTTGAGAGTCATCCGCTGGGTTTCAGTTATGTTCTGGTCCACATTATCGTCATCAGAAAGTTGCCCATTTTCTTTCATCCAAACCTAACTCGACCTTTTTTTTATTTTTTAAATCTCACTTTGACCTCATACAACTTTCTAACTCTAATATTGCATCCCGTGTTAAGGTCATCTATCAAACCTTACTATGGCCAAGAATAAAAGGGGCGGTGGAGGCTCTAGGTTTACGGGCCAGAGATTCCCTCGTCGTAAGAACCCTCTATTCGGAAATCCATCCGGGGAGTATAGTGGCAATAATTCATCATCAGTCTCTCACGGCTCCATGCGACTTCATGGTATCTACTCTATTGCCCTTGCTTTCCTTGGAATTTTATTTTAGATCTGATATCAATTTAGGCTATACGCTTGCCGACGAGGCTAGGAACACGGCATCTAATCGCCGCGGAGCTCGTGGCACTGACGCGAAACTGAGATATAAGCCTGTTACATTTATCAGTGCTGGTTTCATGGACCCTCTAAATGATCTTAACGTGCAACTTACCACTTCAAATGAAACGCAGGTAGGCTTAGATACCCCAGGGCAGGTGTCGGCTGCTGCGGATCCTATCATAAATACTCGACCATCTGAGGGCCACGTTTCGCCTTCGCCTGGTGAAGTGCCGTCTCGTAATGCACAGTCATCTTCCACGTTAAATACTCCTATTGTTCCAAACAAAAACTCGACAAAGGGTCATAGACGCTCTGTAGATCCCAAATCTGATCATGGCGGTGATTCCAGTGAGGAAGTCATATTATTCAAAGGGAGAGATCGCGCTCGCAGAGAGCCAATCCCTCCAAAAATTAAACAAGACGAGGCTGAGGTCGGTTCTTTGAAACTCCACGAATTGGATTTTGAGCTACAGCAGGTTATCGAAGAGACCATTCACCCAGAACCTGCAGAATCGGAGCACGTCGTGGAAGAGGATGATTATATATCTATGAGCTCTAAGCTGACAACCCGTAGAAGGCGGCGTACAGTAAATCAGAACGTTACATCAGATGAGGATGCCGCCATCATTGCAGATTATATGGCTAATATTAAGGATTGGGAGGAGGAGGAGGAAGAAGACGATGAAGCCCAGCATTTAGGAGTCGGGTCTTATGGTTTTAGTATACTGAGAGATCTTGGCGGCAGTGATAGCGACGCTGTTCCCGACGAAGTCTCTAGCGAAGACGGTACAGGCCACAGCTCAGAAGATGCGGAAGACGAAACCAACGCAGAAAATCACCGACATCACCTCGAGGTAGAGGATGAACGCATAGCTCGCATGCTCGCTAAGCAAGAAGAGCTGGGTATTAGCGGCGATGATGTCTTGCTCTTTGATGGAGAAGCATCCGACGAATGGATGACGTCCCAAGCTGCCCCGCGTCGTAAGAGGAAGGGTGATTCCAAGAAAGCTAAGATAATCCAAAAGCAAGGCCAATTTCCAAGTGCAACGCACATGGCGGATGCTTTCGACGAGCTGGACCTCATGGATTGGCATAGACCTAGTCTTAACAACTTCAAGAAGGGGCTACCAACGTTCAATCTATCAGACTCTGAGTTGGAAGAGGCTATGAGATTAACCCACCAGCGGGACCGCCTTAAGAAGGCGGAGAAGAAGAGAGCACGCGAGGAACTACGATCCCAAGGTCTACTTGGAAAGAACGTCAATCCCAATGACCTTCGAATTAAATACCTTGGAGGCATGTCATTAGATGACCTCGCTAACGAACTTGAGGCCTTCCTCCTTGGTTCTAAAGAACAGTGGGTCATGACAACGCTATTCACCTTGCAATGCACAAAAAAATGCTAATATTATCTAGACTTATTCTGCCACCATTTGACAAAGGTACCCGTAAAACTGTCCACGCTCTAGCCAACAAGTTTAAAATTAAATCGCAATCTGCGGGCAAGGGCAAGGATAGATACCCAGTCTTTTATCGATGCAAGGCCACACTCCCATTTGACCAAGCCACTTTTGATAGAACATTTGGCCGTGTCAAGCAAACCTGGTTCCCACGTGTCGACGCCAATGCCAAATTGGTGGATGAAACTAGAATCCTCAAGCGAGCCGAAGCCGGTAGTGGTAAGTCGCGCTTTAAGAGCTCTTTAACATACCGTGAGGGAGACGTCATTGGACAAAATGCTGTCGAACTAGGCGTAGAGAACAAGGGCAGAACGATGCTGGAGAAGATGGGATGGTCAAAGGGCATGGCCTTAGGAAGTGAGGAGAATAAAGGTATTATGGTACCCATTACACATGTGGTCAAGAAATCCAAAGCTGGACTTGGAGATGCTTAAAGGGGTAGCGCTCACTGGCGGATTCGGGCTAGTTGTAAATTTACTATTAGAGCAATATAGGGGATTACGACTCAGGAGGTACGGTATGCTACTATCCTTAGACATAGGTATTGGGATGCTCGAAAGGCTTAGGCATTCGAACCACGAAACATCGAGATCAAAACTAAGAATCCATCACCTCCTAGTTACATAATACTACGAATCAATGCTTCGAAGCCGTCACCCGAAGTGCGAACTAGACGGGAAAATCGAATAGATTAAAACGAAAGGGACATCCGTGAAATAGCAAACTTGTTAAATTTCGCATATTAACTAATCACTCCACAAGAAATATAGTAACAGGTTGAAAACCGGCGTGCTTGCGCACCTTGAGCGAAAAACAGTAATGGGAACACATTGCAACGTAAAATCCGAATTGAATAGAGCAAGCGTCGTGATTCGGAAACCAAGGACGTGTTTGAGTACACCGGAGTCCAACCCGAGTTGCCCCGCACATCACCTAATCAGATAAGCTCCGGTACAAATATCGCAAGACCACCGAATCTCAGAAAATAAAAGGACATAGGGACAAGGCCTTTCATATTAGCATTATTCACGATGATTAAAGACGAGCTCAGGATGTTTGTTCATATGCAGATTCATTCCGAAACCCTATCGGGAAAGAGTATTGTACAACCGCAAACCCCAGACCGTGTTGTGCGAAGACATTGCCCCCTTAATAAAAGCAAACCATCCGTAACGCATTATGAGACTCCCGTATGTAGGGACTTGATGAAAACACAACACCAAGCCTTGGCTGAGTGAGTCTCGTTCATGATGCCAAAGCAGAAAAAAGTCCCATGCCCAAAAGAGAAACCAGACGCAGAAAACCAAGCACTTATTTCGTGGATGACGAATACTTGGTGACCGCCTTGGTTCCTTCAGAGACGGCGTGCTTCGCAAGCTCACCGGGGAGGATCAGGCGGACTGAGGTCTGGATCTCTCGGGATGAGATGGTGGACTTCTTGTTGTATGCGGCAAGCTTGGAGGCTTCAGTTGCAACTCGCTCGAAGATGTCTAAATGTACATTAGTAATTGACTAAAATTTAGCCACGCGTCGAAGCGCGTAGATTATTTGACGTACCGTTGACGAACGAGTTCAGGATAGACATGGCACGGTTGGAGATACCGGTGTCGGGGTGGACCTGCTTGAGGACTAATATTTCAGTTAGTGATTGACGAAATAGAATTGGTCGAAATATCCAGTTATGACGCGTCGGATCATTCAAGTCGCGTCAAAACCGAAAACTGGTGATGCAACTTACCCTTGTAAATGTAAGAAGAGTAAGTCTCCTTGCGCGCCTTGGTGCGCTTCTTCTTCTCGCCAGTGGCGGCAGTCTTCTTGCCAGCATCCTTCTTCTCGGGCGCCTTCTGGGCAGTAGCGGGAGCCTTGGAGGCGGGCTTCTTGTCAGCGGCTTTAGGAGGCATGTTGGATGATTAGAGATGAAAAAAATCGGAAATTGGGTAAAATGGGATGTTGAGTGAGATGTAGAAATTGGAAGAATCCAAATGCTTGTTGTGCTGGCAGAAGTTAGAGATGGGAGATGGAGAAGAAGTCAAAAGATGTTTGACGGAGAAAAGGTGGTGGGTGGGAGGTCCTTTTGTATTGGCCCCGGGCGCTAGCGTGATTACTGATTTGATCCTCGTAAGGTTGGACTGATTGATCTTGCCTTGTGCAACGCGGTTGAACGTAAAAAAAGGTGCCAGCTAATGTTGCAGCTAAAAAAGAGGTACACGCCAGAAAGTACACCCCTGGGGAGCGGTGTCTAGTGGCTATCTGCCCCACTTTCTACAAGGTAACGCCAGTAAACGCGGTGGAAGCCGGTACGCGTTTTCTATGCACAGACCATGATACCATAATATTAACAGTGCCATCTAGCAGTTTGTACTTCGAATCAGACATGGATAAGCTATTCCCCAAAACAAATGACGAAAGAGGAATTGATTAAAGAATTGATATGAGCTCCAACCAATCAGATAATTTAGATATCTACGAATTTTGGATTTTATCTACCTCTCATAGCTACACAACACAAGTACCTTTTATCAATTTTTATCCATCTGCCGCAATTCATTTCCTCGTCTCCTTGTCCCCACAACTCCGTACCGGCTGTTGGCTGTTCGCATAACCCGCATAGCACTATGTAGCAACTACATCCTATCAGATCCGATGAGATTCGCGGCGCTCAGCGCCTTGAGATCGGTCACATGCACACTATCCGGCGAGGTCAGGTAGTCTCCATAGATCCGTAGCTCCCGACTAAGAACCAGATCCGAATCGTGACCATAGTGTTCCGAGTTCACGTAATTCAAAGGCCGGGCCCGTCAGATTTCGGCCAACTTGGACCTTTAGAGACTCCGTAGACACCGTAGATATCGGATCCGGTTCAACTACAATCACGGAGCCTTATTTTACTATGGATCTTGAAGCTATAAATGAAGGAAAAATGCGTATATCAATACTATATACATGTAAATATGAAAGACCTACCTAGACTAAGTTACAACTTTCATATAATTTTTGATGAAAATAGAGTCAAATATCGGATAACATCACCAGAAAAGTTAGAAAAATGCGATACTCCTAACATATTATTTAAATTTCATACAGAAGCGACCAGGATCGAAATCAGCCAGCCCAAATACATAAAGGGACAATTGGGAAACAGAACAATATGTGACGGATTAGATCAAAACAACTTAAGATAGGTAGAAAGCAAAAACTAAAGGAGTTGGGAGTTCTATGGTAGTTGCCTTGGGCTGTCAAAGCGACCATAACAATAATAACAGAATTGATTTGAAAAACAAACAATAGGTTGAGACGACTAGGCAAAATAGATAACTTTACACCATGTCACTACCTAACTGAATTTTGATTTGCGAGGAGCAAGAAAAAAATAATTTTGAAAATGAACATGAAAATCAGATGAAATTAAGGGAAGGCATTCCTGGGGGGTAAGCATGCATTTTTACATTTGGATACAGTGGTCAGAGGTTGCAAGATCTAACATCGGCAGCATCATTTCGTAGCGCAGATTATGATTGGACAAAAGTCTAAATAACGATTTAATTCGGGAGGTACACGGGAAGATACCTGGCTGTACGCGTAAATATAAGTAGATAAAATTGATTTATTATTTTCGGGGCCTAAATAAGTTTAGCAAGGCCCGTGCTTTCCAGCGAATCTTCCTTGCATTATTTTTCTGCCGAACCCGCAGCTCCCCCGAAATTCAGCCCAATGCGGACTAGGCGCACAATCCACTAGGTTTTTTGGTGGTGATCAGTGAGTGATTCTGATTTCCAGGACGCGACCAACAATACTTAAGCAAGCTCTCCCCCCACCACCACTCAACTTCTTCCTCCCGTTTCCCATCTCTCTCCATATCAACCCATTTATCAACCACAACAACAAAGCATTCATCTTCGCCCTCGCACGCTTTTGGAAGCATCAGTCCTTCGCGATCTACATTTATCAACTTTCAACTTTTCAACCCCCAAACCATCAATCAAAATGACTGGAGGCGGCAAGTCCGGCGGCAAGGCCAGCGGTTCCAAGAACGCGCAATCGTAAGTTTTTCCCACTCCCTTTTCAAGTGTGACGCGTCTTACTCGCATTTTTGATTCATCGAACGCGTCAATTACCAATATTTCTAAGCAATCTTTTCTAATATTTATCTCATAGACGATCTTCCAAGGCTGGTTTGGCTTTCCCTGTCGGTCGTGTCCACCGTCTTCTCCGCAAGGGTAACTACGCCCAGCGTGTCGGTGCCGGTGCCCCCGTCTACCTCGCTGCCGTCCTCGAGTACCTCGCTGCCGAGATTCTCGAGTTGGCTGGTAACGCTGCCCGTGACAACAAGAAGACCCGTATCATTCCCCGACATCTACAACTCGCCATCCGAAACGATGAGGAGTTGAACAAGCTTCTCGGCCACGTCACCATCGCCCAGGGTGGTGTTCTACCCAACATCCACCAGAGTATGTTTTCTCCACCCTTTAGTTTTCCGACGTTTTATCTAACTTTGTTTAGACCTACTCCCCAAGAAGACGGGCAAGCCTGGCAAGAATGCCAGTCAAAGCCAAGAATTGTAATTTGGCATCGTTTTCTGTTTTCTGATTGGTCGTTTGGGACGTTTCATGAACCACGGGGTCACGGCAGGGCACGGTTTTGCTTTCACGCGTTAGGGCTGTACATTACAGGCATAATCCATCGAGTAATGGACATGAATGAGAATATTTTCTGAACAATAATACCTGAGTCTTTAATGCATCGTAAATTTCAAACTCATCTTCATTTTTTACTTGCTCTGTGATATGATTCATTTCTATCTTTGCTTCTTAGATATACTGGGTTGTATATTTATTCAATGATCAGTCATATATCGTTTCCATTTTCGCAATGCTAGAAGTTTATGATGGTTTGTATACTCTTGCATTGGATATTTCTGGCATTTGTCTAAACTTTCCCGTATATTACGGATTCTATGTACAGATCGGCGTGATCCATCCTCTCCCAGTTATTTTGCCTTCAAAACCTAAGTCGCGGCGGAGCTATAAAGTAAATTAGCATAATTAAGACAGACCCCAATGGGATATATATATATAACACTTACGGTCAGTGTTGTGTACTGGCAAGTTCCTCTCGTATTTGGATCCTATTTGAACTGTTAGCATGCCGAATTCCATGTCTCGAGTTTTCCCTTCAATATGTGACATACCTCCAGGTGCCGTAGGTGGGCAATACGGATCAGGGTGCTTCCACGTCTCCAGCAGCTTCTCTGTTTCGCTAAGTAACGCCTATAGTATCGGTCAATTGGTATGTCCCATCTATGTAAGTATTGTAATATATGCCATACCCTTTGTTTCCTAGTGTCCGTGATGTTTCGGTTCGCTTCGAAGAGAGATCGAATATAGAGAGCTTGGCCACGCCATAGGCTTCGATGCACAGCCCAGTCGAGAGCCAGCTTTAATGAGCGGCGGTAAAGCGACCTTGGGCGTAATTTAGTTAGCGCATGCACATGCACAATATGAATAGTGTTCAATTGGCCTTACAGCGCAGCTTGTCGGTTCGACATCGTGAGGTCTTTTACTCGTCGTAGTGATAGTTGCGATGTGCGCGGCCCGGGTCATCCGCAAGCTGCTGCGGCCAGGATTTCCAGCTGCACCAAAGCTGCTTGTGCGATATATTCTCCAGGGAGGCGATGGGGTAGGAAGTTTCTACGCGCGGTTGGCGGGATGGTGTCGTGCCCGTGTCAAACCTGAAGTTGTTGGAAATCCCACGCAGTTAATTGGAACTTCCAAACAGGTCCCAAAGGTAGCCAAGGTCTCCACTTGGTCAACCAATCATCGGAGCCGGGATGACGTTTATCCCGCTACTCTTAGTAAAGGTTTTAGGTTAAGCAGTTCCACTTCCAATACATAGGTACATACATTAGGTAGGCTTATACATGTATGTATTATGAGTACCCAGATTACGCCACAGTACATACATGTTACCTTCTCTACCTCTTCTTTTCCTTCCAGCAGGGGTGTGGGAAAGAAACGGGTACATAACCTCGGCATATGTTTGTATGACCAGGTAGGTACCAAGCTAGTTGCTTGCTTAGCACCTGTGTTAGATGGTCACAAGAATAGCAGTGCGATCAATCGGTGAGTACATTTCCGATGCGCAAATATAGGTGGACAAGGACAAGCGACCAGACAAGCCTAGTAATTGCTCCGTACAATTCCATGATTTAAGAAAGCCGCGACGGAAAAAACCACAAGCTCTGCCGGAAACATGGGAGCAGCGGATCGTATCTGAATTTTTTTTTGGATCTCTCTCCTAAATTCAAAACCAAGATAGCGATTAATAAAATAACACATACTTGATTTCTTGCCATTGCAGGCTTTTGGCAGCCAACCCGCCTTTTTTTTAGTACACGTACTCCTAACTCCCATTTACTGGAGTCCTTATTCTGATTCTTCTCTTCCTTACCGTCGCCGTATCTACCAGACATTTCCCGGATATACCCGCCCTCCTCCTACGTAATCTACATCCCCCCTTTAAGATGATGTCAAGACGGCTTCAAACTGCCGCGCGAGTTCTGCGCCGGCCCATGCAGCAGCAGCTCCTGCGAGGGACAATTCCCTTGCCGCTACTCATGACGCAAGTTCGCACCTATGCCCATACCATCGTCAAAGTCCCTCAGATGGCAGAATCTATTACCGAGGGTACCTTAAAACAATGGAACAAAAAAGTTGGCGACTATGTCGAGCAGGACGAAGAGATTGCTACCATTGAAACTGACAAGGTAACCGACAATCATGCTCTCAATTCGTATCTCATATAGTACCAGCATTCTAACATGCGCATCCACAGATCGATGTCGCCGTCAACGCCCCCGAGTCTGGAGTATTAAAAGAGCTGCTTGCCAATGAGGAAGATACTGTCACCGTCGACCAGGAGATTGCAAAGATCGAGGCTGGAGCAGCGCCTGAGGGTGGTGCAAAGTCTGAGGGTGCCGAGGAACCGCCGAAAAAGGAGGAGGCTTCCACCGAATCACGCCCGGCACCTTCAGAGGGAGAGAACAAGCCAGAGCCACCTAAGTCTGAGTCGAAACCTGAGTCTAAGCCGGAACAATCCAAGCCACAGCCGCCCGCCCCTGCACCCAAGAAGGAGTCTGCACCGAAACAGTCTCAGCCAGCCAAGGATAGTTCGGCTATTACTGGCCCCGTCCTAGGGAGCCGAGAGGAGCGACGTGTTAAGATGAACCGTATGCGCCTTCGCATTGCTGAGCGCCTAAAGCAATCGCAGAACACGGCTGCGTCGTTGACAACTTTCAACGAGGTTGACATGTCGTCATTAATGGAGTTCCGCAAGCTCTACAAGGACGAGGTGCTCAAGAAGACTGGTGTTAAGCTTGGTTTCATGAGCGCATTCTCGCGCGCGAGCGTTTTGGCCATGCGAGATATCCCTGCTGTAAACGCCTCTATCGAGGGGGAGAATGGTGGCGATACTATCGTATACCGGGACTACGTCGATATCAGCGTAGCTGTTGCCACCGAGAAGGGTCTGGTTACTCCTGTTGTCCGCAATGCCGAATCCATGGATATGGTTGGAATCGAGAAGGCTATCGCGGACATGGGCAGGAAGGCCCGAGATGGTAAACTTACGATTGAGGACATGGCTGGTGGTACTTTTACCATCAGCAACGGCGGTGTCTTTGGCTCTCTGATGGGCACCCCTATCATCAACCTACCGCAAAGCGCTGTATTAGGTCTCCATGCCATCAAGGAGAGGGCTGTTGCTGTGAATGGCAAGGTCGAGGTTCGACCCATGATGTACCTTGCCCTAACGTATGACCACCGTCTACTCGACGGCAGGGAAGCCGTTCAGTTCTTGGTCAAGGTCAAGGAGTACATCGAGGATCCCCGCAAGATGCTGTTGGGCTAATCTAATAGATGCACGAAGGGGTTCGTCAATTTATTACGGTAAATGGAATGGGTCACATCATCGGTAGAGTGTATAGTAGAGCGGTCATCCTGTCGGCATGCTTGCGGGAGTGTCTTCGAATAAATATCTTTGAATAAGCAATGTTGTAATTTACACGCGCTTTAGTTGTGTTTTTGTGTGTGAATCTTCCAAGGATCGTGTCAGTCAGTGTCAGTAAGGAGATAAGTGAATATGTAACCTAGTCATAAGAATCTTCGTTACTAAAAGATTTGTTAAACCTCCTGGTTTCGAATGCGCTTTTTCATTGATGAAATCCCATTCCTTTATTTGAAAATCGTCTGCTATATAAATAGGCAGATCAAAGATGTGTACGGCAGACATATTTCGAGATAACCACGATGTCATAGGCGTATTCGTTTGGTATCAATCGAATCAGGTATTTATTAAATTTCCCGGAGACAGCTAAACTCGATACCAGTGACGTTTCATTGTCTGGGTAATATTTAATATCCCAGGTTCTGGAATGTATTTCGTTTTACATGACTTTAAAACATTTAGGGTGTAACTACGTCTGTAGTTTATGGCTACTCAAGAGCCATCTCGCTTATGAAAACAAGCGAGATAAAATAATTAGCACATACATAATATACAGTAGAAATAGTCTCAGTAAGTAATATTCTAATATATGTGAAGACTCGACTTTTGGACTAGTGTTGCCACATTTGTGCTTTTTTATAACTCGTACTCATAACGGGGTTAGATATACCCGACATAAGAAGAGATATTGTCCCAAGGCACTTAGGCTAGATGCCAAATAGGGTTATAATCATAGTGCATTTTGTGTACCTAAAGGTTTATGGCTTAGACACAGCTCCTATGTTTATCGGTATCTACCTACCACGATATTCAACTCACGTATTCTCGCTCAGAAGCAAGCCGACTACGATACAAGCCATTGTATCTATACCGATAACAATATAAATATAGATAGTCTAACATATATATTTATATAGGACATGTTACGGTCTTGGATCCGTATTTACGTGTTGAGTTTTTAACGTTGATAAATTTACATTTATGGTGAATCATTTATCGATACTTGGGGAATAAAAATCACATAGTATATTCCAAGTCGACATCTTATTATGAGCGACTTATAGACACAACCTACATTTAAATAAAAACTACGTCCCATGTACGAAATGAATAATAGAACACTAGAGTGTTAGAGGTAACTTGTATGACCTACGGTGTAGCCTCGCAAGGCTGATAGGTAGGTCAACATTGATGTTTACTATTCTCTGGGAATTCGAACTAGTCCTCGCCTTCTTAAATACCTCCTTAAATATACCGATTACTCTTTCATATACTAACTAGCACAAGAACTGGAGTTGGTACGAGGTAATTGTTGTAACGAGTGTGCTAGCTAGTGACGTGCTGCCGTACGTATAATTATAACTTATAGGTGAAGTTTATATTCCGGATATGACAAGTTGACAATCATATTGTCAACTATAATAGAGCTTGGTCGGTGTTAGACTCGTAGTGGGTATCGTAGCTTAGTATAATTTATGCTATTTCGTAGTTTGGCCGGTTGCATAAGACCAATAAATCACAAGTAGTCATTTTCTCGTAGCATTATATAACTATAGCACACTCAAGGAATATCTTGGTTCAAAACTGTTCGCATACGAGGCTTACATCAAGAATTGCCTCCAGTAAAGCATATTTTACACCCATACCAAATATTCTACTTAAAACTACACAAATAAAGAGTGATAATTTGGGAGTACTGCTTTCTTATTCTCTACCAGGATTTATTGCTAATTTAACTTGATAATCGTATTAATATTGTAACTATAATGAAAGTATTTATTATTCCTAGAGAAAAGATCAAAAGATCAAAATATCACACCTTAGGAATATTTAAACAGGATGTAGCCTATGAGCTCGCCTGTAGTAACCTTCCCGTTATGTTTATGTCGATACAAAGCCTAATATCTTCGTATCACCTGAGATGAAATTAATCCGTTCGGATATGTTTTCATGCTATATGCGGCAATCACCTGTCGGTCGATATTACGCAGCATGCATGTGAATTCAACGTTGATATATTATTCTATGTATTTTGATCGGCTCCAGCATATTCCACCCATGGTGTTAGATATCTATGGTGATGAAAAACCGTCATGACGTATAGTTAAACCTCAGGGATAATGCAGATGCTTTGCTTTTATATTCAGGGCCGATAAATCATATCATCGCGGTCAGGGCCGGTGCCAATCCATTTGACCTATTTTCTTTTGTCAGCAACGTTTTCTCTGACCACGAAGCAAGGGGGGAAAGAGAGAGGATTTGTTGCACAATTACTGATAATGCTTACCTTAGTTTGAAGGAAGTTATCAATGTACTCAATGTAATCGCGTGCTTCTTTAGGAAGTGCAGACCATTCGCGTATTTTGGCAATGCTAGTATTCCATCCTGGTAGTTCATGATACACAACTTCGATATCATCCAGGATTGATAGGTCGGCTGGGAATGAAGGTAATTCCTCGCCAGTCGTCTTATTCTTGTACGCAATTGCAACCTTGATCTTGTCGAACGTGTCTAGAACATCGAGCTTACTCAACTGGAGAGAGTCATAGTCATTGACCGCACAAGAGTACTTCAAGACGACGAGATCCAGCCAGCCGCACTAATATTACAGTTAGTTATCACCAACCCGTAGAGAAGTATATATAATAGGAGTCATGAGAGTCCGCGCATGGTTTGAAACAATTACAAGAATTACCTACTCTTCGTTTCCGACCCGTGGATACGCCAATTTCACCACCTAATTGCTGAAGCTTTGAGCCAACCTCACCGAGGTCCTCGGTTGGGAAATTTCCGGAACCAACCCTGGTAGTGTAACTATTACCAATCAGCTATTCGATCCACTAGGTGTCCAGTAGAGGGTGGCCATAGAGCGCAGGATTTGTGATCACTTACGCCTTGACAACGCCAATGACTTCCTTGATGTTTCTCCGTTTAAGCGCAAGGCCAGATATGATACCGCCGAGGCACGTATTGGAACTGGTGACATAAGGGTAAGTACCATAGTCTAAATCCAGCATCAGAGCCTGGCTACCCTCGACGAATATATTGGCATTCTTTTCCTGGGCGTCCTTCATAAACGCCACAGCGTCGATGACGTAGCTAGCAAGCTTGACACGGTAATCCTTAAAGCGGTTGATCTCCTCCTCAACATCGTATTTCAGTAGATCCCCGTAGCGCTTCTTGTATCCGACAGCTAGTTGTCGTAGTTTACGTTCGAACAGCTCCACGTTGTACATCTCGGCAATGCGTATACCGCTCCGAGCTGCTTTGGAGCTATAACACGGACCAATTCCTCGCTTCGTAGTACCGACTGCATTGGAACCCAGTTCGATTTCTTCAAGCCCGTCAACGGCGGCATGTAAATCGAAATTGATGTGACATCTGTCCGAGACAAAAAGGCGTTGACTAGCATCTTTTATCCCCTTTGCCTCGACGTCGGCGAGTTCCTTAAAGAAAGACGGAACGTGGAAGACAACGGCAGATCCAATCAGGTTGATACACTTAGGGGAAACGAGACCGGACGGGAGTAGGTGAAAGTCATAGGATACCCCATTAGCCTTGATAGAGTGCCCTGCGTTGTGTCCGCCCTGGTGTATATGTATTAGCTAAATAAATGAACGAGGGAGCAAAGACTAGGACATAGCCGGCGCAAGATGCTCCCTACTTGTCACGCACTCTAGAGCGCTGAGACAGATGGACCAACTTACAGCGGCACGGGCACATATTTGAGCCTCAGCGCAAAGAATATCCGTCAGCTTACCCTTGCCCTCGTCGCCCCATTGGCTTCCAAGGCATATTGTGACGGAGGAGGACATGTTGACCTAAAAGAAATTCGAGGGGAGGAAGACTCGGGAAGACCTGTCTAAGAAGGATGTAGGGGGGTGGAAGGGGAAGCGGAGGTAGAGACCGGAGGTGCTACCGTATAATCGCGTCGAACTCTAAACTTTGAAAAGCAATTGGTGGCCGGAAAAGTCCGGCATCGGGAACAATGGGGAAGCGCGATTTACTATAAGTTGTTCAGGGAAGAAAATCTATTTATATGGCGTGGTGTAGCGCTAGGCTACCTAAAGCCGATAATGCAATGCCCCACCGAATGCCCAAATTTACGAAATAATTCTAACTATACAGTAAAATTCTCCTAAAAACATAGCAAAATCAATTTCACGTAAGATAAGCCGATATAATACCACCTACCCAATTTATATTAAAATTAATATTATTTTTTAATAAATCTATAATTTTACGTAATTATAAATTATACGTATTTATTTTAAAATTATTGTAATTTTTTAAAATAATAATAATAATAAATAAATAAATAAATAAAATATGTTATTTATTTAATTAACGTTAATAACCCCTTTAAAATTTACTATAACTACTTTATTAATTAAAACCCTATTTTGTTGTATAAGGCTTTAAATTAATATTATCGATTTAATTTTTCCAATTTTAAATTGTTTAAATTTTTTAATTAAGTTTTTAAATCTTACCTATAAAAAAACTTTAAAAAAAACTTTAAAAAAAAAAATACCGCTATTTTAATATGATTTATAAACTTTATTTACGTTATATAAAATAGCTAATAAAATCTTTTATAATATTGCTAATTAATAAAGATTTAACGTATTTATCGTTAAAATTTTAAAAATAAAATTTAAAAAAAATAAATTTAATAAAAATTATTATATTTATTATTATTAATATTTATGCAATTGTTTAAAATAGTTAAGTAATTATATTAATTGTAATTATTAATAAACCTTACGTAAATACGATTGCTTTTATAAAGCTATAATATTGTATAATAAAAAGTGTAATATTTAATTTATTATTATTAAAAATAATATTTATAATTATAAATTAAATTTTAATTTAATTAATATTAAATATTAATAATTTTTATAAAATAAATATAATTTTAATATTATTATTTTATAGTTATTAAAAATAAATTCTTTAATTATAAATAATATTATTTATTATTTATTAGGTAATAATTTTAAATTTAATAATTTAAAATTTTATATAAAAATTGGGTTTAAAATTAATTTTAATAATTTTTTTAATTTAAATATTAATAGTAATAAATTATTTATAGTAATTTATAATAAAAATATTATTATTATATTTTATAATATTTTAAATATTAAATAATAATTTTAAAAATAAATATAAAGAAAATTTATAAATATTTAATTATTAATAAAAAAGTTATAATAATATAAAAAAATTTATAATATTAATTATAAAATTAATATAAATTTAATAATTAAAAAGGTAATTTATTTATTTTAGATTTTTAAATAATATATTAATATATAATAATATAATCTTAAAATTTTATTATTTAATAATATATATAAAATAATATTAATAATTTTATTTAATAATTTTATTTTATATTTTATATTAATTTATATATAATATAAATTAATTAATTTAATATATTATTATTAAATATTATTAATATTACTTTATTATATATTAATTTTTACATTATTTTTAATTTTACTTTAAATAAAACTAAAATTAATTTTATATAATAATTAAAATATTTAAATAAATTATAAATATAATATAAAATTTAAAAATTTATTATAATATTAAATAATTTTTTAAAAATATTTAAAAAAATTATTAATTTAATATTTATATTATTATTATAATAATTATATATATAATATATTATAAAAAATATTATTTACTATATTATTAAAAAATAAATTAAATTAATAATAATAATAAATAATTTATTATTTAAAATGACTATTGCTATTGGTACACCCTCATTTTGCTATCAAAGGCTTATTGGTACACCCTGTACAACAGGTACATCCCCACCAATTTTTTCAATTAAATCAACTATACCACATATCAACCTTTCAACCCTCATAACTTATTCAATCCCCCAAGTCAACATATATAATTTATATCAATATTTTCGCCTCAATTAGAGCTTTCTAATGATATAAGTCTCTATTGGATGCATGCGTTGTTTCAAAAGTTATTCGAATATACGTGTGTATTTGATTGAATATTCAATTGAATATAAATGCGACCGCAAAAGAGCCTCCCGCAGAGCCTCATCCAAATCCTCATCTAGAGTCTTATCGAATATATCAACCCCCATAACTTATTCAATTCGACGATTCAACTTATATAATTTATACCGTTAGTTTCGCCTCAATTAGAGCCTTCTAATGATATAAATAACAACTGGGTGCAGGCTTTCAACATGAAGTTATTCGAATATGTGTGATGGTGGCTCTTGGGGGGGACCACGTGATATCCTTTGCGGTCGCATCTGTATTAAATTGAATATATATTCGAATAACTTTTGAAATAGCGTATGCATCCCTTCGAGACCTATATCATTGAAAAGATCTAATTGAGGCGACAATAACGATATAAATTATTTAAATCTCATTACGGGATTGAATGAGTTATGATGGTTGATATATTATTATGATGGTTGATATATTAGGAGTTGAAAATGGGTGGGATGTATTTGAATGTATTAGGTGTACCAATAAGCTCCGATAGCAAAACGAGGGTGTACCAATAGCAATAGTCTTTAAAATTAATAAAAAATATATTATTAATAATAAAATAACCTTAAATAATAATTAATTTAATTTAAACCTTTTTTTATATAAAAAATTTATTAATAATAAAAATAATAAAAATAATAAAAGTAATAAAAATCTTGAAAAAATTAAAAATAAATTAAAAATTAATAAAAATATTATTAATATTAAGGTTAAAACTTTTTTTTTATAACTTTAAAAAAAAACTTTTAATATAAAAAAATAATTTAATATTTAAAAAAAATTTATAAAAATTTAAAAAATTATTATTTATATAAATATAAAAATAATATTTTAAATTATATAAATTTTATTAAAAAAAAAATTTTAATATTAAATATATAAATAATATTTTCTTTTTTAAAAATAAATTAAATTAATTTAAGGTTTAAAAATTATTAAATATAATTTACCAATATTTATTTTTACTATTTTAATTATTATTTTAATTTAAATATAATAAAATATTATAATATAATTATTTTAAATAAAAATATATATAATTATAACATTTTTAATTTTTAATATTAAAAAATTTTATAATATTTTAAATAAAATTAATTAATTATAAAATTTATATATTAAAATAAAATTTTTTANTTTTTTTAATTATTTTATAAATTTTATATTTTTTTTTTAAAATATTTATATTTTTAAAGTTTTTTTTATTAATTAATTTTTTATATAATACTTATTAATTATTTAATTTAATATTATTTTCCTTAATATAATTAATATTATAAATTTATTATATCTTAAATATATAATTATAAAATTATAATAATTAATTAATTTAAAATAATATATAAATATTTAAAATATTATATTAAATATTATTACTATAATTTTAATATATTATATAATTTAATATATAAAATTTATATTAATTATAAAATTATATATAAATTAAGGTTTTAAATAATTAAATTTTAAAATTTTTTTAAATATTATTAAATAAAAATATTTTATAATATATTATATTATATATTTTTTAAAACCTTAAAATAAATATAATAATAATATAAATTAATATATTAAAATTATTTAATTTAACATTATAATAATATTATTTAATTAATTTATAAAAATTTATTTATAAAATAATAAAATTTATTTTATAAATATATTTTTTTTAACTTATTATATATTAAAAAAAATAAATTAAATTTAATTAAACTATAAATTTTTAAAATAATTAATATTAAAAAATATTAATAATTTTATTTTAATAGTAAATTAAATTTAATTAAAAATAAAATAAAAGATTTAAAAATTTAAAATTTTAAAATATTTTAAGATTATAAACGTTAAAAAATATATTTTAAAAAGTTACCTTTTAAAATATTATAATAAAATTTAAATAAAATTGTTTTTATTAATTTTAAAAAATATAAATTTAATATAATTTTAAAATTTTAAAATTAAATTTTAAAATAAATTAATTATAATAACTATTAAATATTATTATATAATAAAATTTTAATTTTAAATATAAAACTTATTTAATATTAATAAAAATATAAAATAAAAATTAATTAATAAAAAACTATTATTATTAATTTAATTACGTTAATTTAAAATTAATAAAATTAATTAAATATAATAAATTAATAAATAATAATCTTAATAATATAATTATTTTAATAATAATAATATATATAATAATATATAATACTTTTATTACTAACTTTAATATTAATAAAATCTAATATTATACTTAATTTCCATAAATTATAAAGTTTATAAGACTATTAATAATAATTTTCGGGACTTTTTTAATAATTTTAATAACCTATAATTCAATAGCAATAAATATTTATTATACTTTTTTAATAATTTATAAGGTAATAAAATTAATAATTAAATTAATATAATTAATTAAATTAATAACTTTAGCTTTTATATTATTATCTTAATTAAATATATAAACCTATATTAAATTCAATTATAAATAAATTAATTTTTATTTATTTATTTATTTTATTTTATTTTATTTTATTTTATTTTATTTTATTTATTTATTTAAATTTAATTAAATATAATTATATAAAATTATAAATTTATTAAAAAATAATATTAATTCTAATATAAATTAGGTAGGTAATATTATATCAACTTATCTTATATAAAATTGATTTTGCTATATTTTTAGGAAAATTTTACTGTATGGTTAGAGTTACTCTAATTAAAATAGCAGGACCTGAGAAGCGAGAATCAAGATGGCCCGGTATAAGTTGTACTACTATATGTAATCTAGTAGTGTATCAAAGCTGTAACCCACCAGCCCCAAAAATAGCCAAGTCTTCGCTCCTATGACGCAGATGAACGACTTGTCATGATCAACCAAGATCATCCTAACACATCATCATCATTTCCAAAGGACAGGCATTGATTTTCATGCTATACAGTTAATCTTACTGACCGCTTAATGAGAAGGCTTACCTTAATTGAAGTCACCCTTATTCTAAGGAATAGGTATACTCTCTTAAGTCCGATACCATTAGGGTCATCGGTAAGCACGTAAAATAAAACAAGGCGGCATCGTGATAGATATAGAGAAACGCTGTATAGCGATAGATAATATATTCCGTGCCATTTTACCGTTATTAGCATTAAACCCCATCAATCAAAATCCACCCATAACCGTAGTCATATTCCGAATCATAGTAGCCGGTCCAGTAGCAAATCGTTAATGCACACAACTCTGTAGTGTTTAGCCAGTTCATACGCCGTTTTATCCCAGGAGCACCCTCGCTCGTTTGTGTTTTCTTGTCCGCTTCCCATCATCCGCTCGATCCTTTATAACGCCAATGATTGATGATCATAATGCAATTGGTCATTAGAAATTTTGGGGGTATTCAGTCGAGCTGTGTCGTGTTCACTTTGGGTAGCTTAGCCGGTTGATTTCTTTTCGCTCGTGCTTGTGGTCAGCAGCCACCTGAGTATGCTGTTTCGCGGCGAGGGCATTGATCTTCTCGCGCGCCTTGATTAAGCCGCTGTTATCTTGCTCCCTCAATTTGGCGCGGATTTCGTATAAAGAAAGCAATGTAGAAGCTCTATCAATATCTGCGTCCGGTCGCTATATAATTAATCAGCATTTGTGCTACCGCGACAAACAAAGGGCACCTTTGGAAAAACACACCTCTCCTCCAAGAGGACTGCCAGGCATAGATGGCGATGCCGAGTTTGTTCTCGTCAATGGTGGTGTGAGCATACGACGGCCAAACTTGTCCGTCATGCGACTAGCTGGGGATGACACCCTGCCTTCGGGGACGCTTCTTGGCTGTTGCTGTAGGTGTTCCTTACGGTCGAGCGTTCGGTTGACGCTTACCAAGTTTTTCGCGGCGGGTTGATCTTGCTATAGGGTAGTTTAGGTTAGTGAGGGGTATTCTTGTCAAGATGTGGCTAGGGAAAATGCGACGAGAAACACATACAGCAGCTTGGAGATCATTGAGATCTGCTAGCATCTGTGCCAGCTGAAGAGCTTCCATATTGTCGCGTATAATAAAGATCTTTCAAAATTGATAATATTTTCTTAGATGACGTTTAAATTGAGATTCGAATCCGGGGAAAGATGAGCTTGCGACTTCGTGGAACTTAGATTACGCGGACAAAGTTATAAATGGCAGGCATGAAAAGGAGATTGGTCTTGTGATGATATCAAGGTGGGTTAAGGGACTTTTTGCAGGGGACATGGAGAAGGTGAGAGAATAAATTATTTACATGTAGGCAGTATAGTTATTGTGGGGTATACTTTCCCCAGGTCTGGACCCGGCCAGTCCGACATCCAGAAGTCTTACAGCGACTCCCCCCACGCTGTAAAAGTCCACCCCAGTGAATATCGTAAAATACCAGGTAAATAAGATGTGCAAAGTACGAAGTACATTAGGTGTTTACCGCCAAGATAAATGGATCCGTACCGAGAGAAAGGTAGCTTTTTCTAGTGGGGCCTATATGTACTAAGGGTACCTAATGTATGGTACTGTAAAAAGTACCTTAGGTACCTACTCACAAGTTGCATTTCATTCCAGGGCTTTAATTAATCCCGCTAACAGCGACACGAAGATTATCAGAGCCGAAGATCGGTAACATTTGGAGGAGTTTGGACCCCGAAGGATCAACACCATTATCGACTCCGCATACGGTTGCCGAACAAGCTTTGACGTGATATAAGGCTCACACCTTCGGATCACTTGTATCTAGTACAGCCGGAACGTTCCCCCGTCTTTTCACATTAGTATATGTAAGTCAAGCCCGCAGGATCTGAAATCCTAAACGTGCATTGCTGATTACCTATCAAAGACAATGAATGTTTTCCGTCGCGGCATGGCGTCGGTGGCTTCTTTAAAACAAGCCGGTAAGGTCGTCTGCATCGGACGAAATTATGCGTGAGTGCGCCCACTATGTAATCATCCCGCAGTACGGGGGGTGAGGCGTCGTGTTAACATTATTACATATGCGCAGAGACCATATCGCCGAGTTGAATTCCGCCAGACCGAAGCAGCCTTTCTTCTTTCTGAAGCCTACTTCCTCGGTTCTGTTACCCGGAGCTGGTCCCGTTATCCGGCCTAAGGGTGTTGACCTTCACTATGAGGTTGAGTTGGCCTTGATCCTGGGCAAGCAAGTGAGAGATCTTGCAGCAGATGATGAGAAGGGCGCTTTTGACGCTATTGAGCGTAAGACTTTTTTACAATCTCATGATTTATGGATTATGGATTATTAAATGAAACTAACCAACTATCGAAGACTATGCTCTAAGTATCGACATGACAGCAAGAAACATTCAAAATGAAGCCAAGAAAAAGGGCTTACCTTGGTCAATCGCCAAGGGCTTCGACACCTTTTTACCGATCAGCAATCTCATTTCCAAATCGGCAATTCCTAACCCTCACTCCATAGATATCTACCTTACTGTCAACGACAATGTCCGACAATCGGACAATACCGAGCTCATGCTTTTCCAGATCCCAAGGCTATTGAGTGACATCTCCAAGGTTATGACTCTTGAGAAGGGCGATATCATCCTCACCGGCACACCGAAAGGTGTTGGACCAGTCGTACCCGGTGATGTTATGCGGGCCGGTATTAAAGTCGATGGCAAGGAGCTCGAGGAGAGCAAGATTGAGGTCAAGGTTGAGGAATCAACTGGCGCATATGAATTTGCTGAGACATGACGTGTTCCTCAACATGAACTATTGGAATCTAGCGAGGTGATCTTCAACATTATCTCCCAGACCGCTCCAATCTGTACATATTGATGCCCAGTATATTCAAATCATGTCTATCAAGACAATATATACCACAATTTAAAAAGACCCCTTTTCAAGGCCAATGCATAAGCGTTGCATAAACTCCAAACGCACCAATCCAATTTTGCTTATTCCAAGTCCCTATACAAAAGAGAAGAGAGGAATTAAATCAAATGCAATTACGAGACATAGCCAATCTACCTACTCTACTCTCCAGGCATACCCCATCGTATATTCCGATACTGACTCGTCGGGTAGTGGAGGTTATTCGGCGTCTCGTCAAGCCAATCCAAATGCTTCGACATCGTATTAACCAGTCCCCGCGCGCCGCCCCTATCACCGCTAGCCTCCCAAAAGAAGGCGCCTCCAAGGCGGCGCCACTTCAGGTACTGCGCCTTGTATGTCGTGCTCCGGACATCGTCGTACGAAATCAGTTCCCTGGCGGCGGCGTCGTAGCTGTACGTCGCCTTCGCCACGTCGTCATATACGACCTTGGCCCCGGGCTTCGGCAGGTCCTTGAAGTAGTAGACCCCCGGCTGCGGGCCGCCCTGGCCCACGCTCGTGTAGTTCTGGCCTAGCCCGGACGTGCCCTCGAAGGCGCGCCCGTAGAGGGGTAGGCCGAGCAGGATCTTCTGCGGGTGGATGCCTTGGCTTTCGTAATGCTGCACGGCGGCGTCGGTGCTAAGCCGTTTCGACTCGGCGCTGCTTTCGTAGGAGAATACGTTCGCTTGGTGCCCGCTGACGGTGTCCCAGCTTCCGGAGTAGTCGTAGGCCATTAGATGCCTATTGTTGTTAGTATTATACCATTATATAGTTATAATAAGATTGGGAGTTAAGTAGAAAAGGGGGCAGTATAGGATTTACCAGGAGTCTACGTATCTATTCATTGCAAACAAGTCCAGTTTTTCGTAGTTTTGCGGACTAGCGGAACTTGCCACGCTGATGGTGAATCGGTACCGTATACCGTGAAGGAGCGCGTATCTATCGAATGCCTGTCTACAAGCCTGAAGTAGCTTGACGAGATTCTCCTTTTCGACATCGTTGGCGGGGTATTCCCAGTCAATATCAATACCATCGAAACCCCAATCCGTAACGAGCTTCACAGCAGAAGTAGCAAACTTGTACCTCGCAGCATCGGTTGCGGCCGCCGTCACGAATTTAGGTGAGAAGTTCCACCCGCCTATTGAAAGGAGTACCTTGAGGTTCCGGTTCCACTTCTTGTGGATGTATAGCTGCTTGACGGCACCATAAGCGTTCGCAGTACGATTCGAGAGTGAATCGTCTGGGTAGCGCTTCTGGAGATCTACGACGGGGTCTGAAGACTTCACTGTTCCGTCTGCGTCAATATCGGCGAAGGCATAGTAGATATGCGTCAGCTCAGAGACCGGTAGCTCTTGAGGATGGAAGCCCGAGTTAACGCCCCTGATATGACTGTTAGCTATAACTTTGGTTCAGTGTAGGGGTATGCTGCCTGACCAATTTGTGAAGTAGGCGCCATTCTTGAATCCTCTGAAAGGACCAGGCGGTAACGGCGGAAACCCGCCGGGAGGAGGGGTGGGCTTTGCTGTTGATGATGTGGTCGGGGGAGCGGTAGCGCTCGTAGTGGTGTTCTCAAACGGTGCTGTAGTTGACGAAAGTGAAGTCGAAGGGGCGGGGATGCCTGTGGTGGAATTTCCGAATGGAACTGAGGTCGACGATATTGTGGACGAAGTTGAAGGAATAGGGATATTTGTAGTAGTGTTTCCAAACGGAACCGAGGTTGATGATATTATGGTTGAGGGGACAGTAGCACTCGAGGTACCATTTCCGAATGGAGGAGCTGTAGTTGCTGTAGTTGGGGTAATAATAACATCTGTGGTGGTATTCCCAGGTAGAGCTATAGTTGATGAGGTCGAAGGGATAATAATACTTGTAGTGGTATTCCCGAACGGAGCTGAGGTTGACGAAAGTGTAGTTGAAGGGAGAGTAACGCTTGTTGTGGCATTTCCAACCGGAACATCCCAGCTACTTGTGATTCTTGAGCTTGAACTCGCCGTCGTAGTTGAATTAGTCCATGGCACCTTTGTACTACTAGTCACATTAGACGGGGCAGACGTATAGATGGTCTTAGTAGCGAAAACCGTCGTTGTCAAGAAAACAGGATCACAATCAGTCCGTTCTCCTATGCCAGATACGCAAGCCCAGAAGAGGCACTGGGCGAGCCCCCATGAAGAGATCTTCCGCATATCGACTAAGAGAGCTAACAAGAACGAGCGAACAGTCTCTTAGCAGCGTTGTAACTAGACTAACTATAGGAACCAAGACTCCAGCTCTTATATAAGAAGCCCAGGAAGTAACGCAAGTTTGTCACTCTTCACCATCTTGGGCGTTCATCGAGCCTAGACTCGATGTGAGCCTTTCCACCGAATTATATGGAGGCAAGCTGGTGCCATCTCAACTCATCGAACGCGTCACTTCTAATAAAAGTTTTACTTGTCCAATGGGACATCTTGGAGCCCAAGTTTCATGAGCAGGAATGCAGGACATTCTGCGGGATATCGATATGACCCAGGTCTTTAGCCTGAGTGTCTAAGTGGTCGTTTTCGGTCCGTGAGGAGGGAAAATTTAGAATAAAATCTCCTAAGCTATAGGACGTATAGTCCGTCTGGAGAGGCCGCGCAATTCTACTAAGATTTTATTGGATATTTCCTTGGAAAAGCACGCTTGACAAGATGGGGCCTGCACTGGGATGGTCCGGGAAAAGAGACGGACAGGGGGTATTGCTGTCGGTAAAAGGTGGGTTAATATCGAGCGATGATACTGTTGGTTCCCGTTGGATTGCAACACTCGATCTGATGCAGGCACATGCCTTACCGGCGTAGACCACGTCCATGGCCCGCCGTTATTGTACGAGCATGTGGTAGAAAGTAGAATTTCTCAGGAGACTTCAGCTTAGATTCTAGATCGATGTACCTTTTCTTCTTCTCAATGCTACCGTAGCAAGATTGATCCCGTACCAAGGACGGGCCGATAGCTTAATAATAGAAAACCTGGTGTCAACGGTGAGTAATGAGAATATGTGCCAAGTCTATAAACACTATTAAGGAAACGTTGCGTGAATGCAGTAGGGTTGTAGGGTAGTAATAACCAGGTACGCACGCAATTGCGGGAAAGGCGTCTTACGATGGGTCACTTAGAAAGAGGAAAATGTAATGAGCTGATATTATGAAGCATCAAATAAATTGTACTTAATAGTGAAGGTGTGTAGATCTAATATATCGCACATAACTATCACAACTACCGTAGGTATGGATAGGACAGCATCGGGACTTGATTATCATAACACCACTGCGATACTTTCCGGGAAATATGTTATAACTAATATTATTATTGGCTTAAGTTCCAATTATAAAAGGTATGGTTAATCCCCCATAGATGAGGCTCTTAAACAAATTCGATGCAGTCTATATATGCATTTGCTATGTTCATAAACTGAAGTAGACAAACACCGAAATCCTGCACTACCCGACGGTCGCATTGATTGGGTTGGGCGAGATTTTAGTTGCGGGTAGATAAGATAAGTTGCCGCAAATCTCCAGCAAGCGGCTGAACATAACGCTAGAACTAAAATACCAACTAGCAGGAGTAAGTGTATAACTAACTCATGAGGTTAATAGGTATTGTCTATTAAGAAAGAGGCTTCGGGAAGAATAAGAAGAAAACTTCAAGTTGAGAAATCGGAAGATTTCCTAATGTTGTTAAACAATAGAGCAGAATGCTGTTTTCGGAACTATTAACTACCTATTAGTTAACCTAGGTCTATGTATATTTGTAGTTTGTACCTCCTCGTGCTTCTTTCCTTTAATATTTACATTTAACGGATAGGGTTGTGCTGTGTAACAAACACTTAAACCAATAGAAGATCATTTTCTTTTCTATCATATCTCATCTCACCTTCTCAATAGCACTGGTCTGCAGTTAACTTGGAGTGGGGAAACTGCGCCTCGTCCGGGCCTCAAACAAGGCTCCAAGCCTCCTGGTTCCCTCACATCACCTCACAACAACCTAACCTACATATTATAGTTAATTCTCTTATGTTGCAACCGAGCGAGCTGCTCAACTACTCAATATATATCGTCATTGTAGCAGCTCTGCAATAATGGCAAAGCATGACTACGTCCGGCGAGACTCCATTCTCACCCCGAGCGACCGGAGTGAATCTCCACCGCCAGCTTACTCGCCCTGTCCGGTAGGATCCAGCTCCTCGAGCCGTCCTTCACCCTCAGAGCAGACTCCCCTGCTCCAGACCAAGATCCAAATAAGACAAGTCCACATCAACATCCCAAGACCGTCATACACGCGTATCGGAGAGTGGTTCATAGTGATTTTAGTTTTCGTCTTGTTTTTCGGCCTCCTTGCTACGTTTATCTATTTAATCCCGACCATTTTTGGTTTCATCAAGGGCATATTCGTAGCCCCACCCCCTCCTATTCACGCCATTGCTATTATAGGTACGTAAATAACTCCCTAGACCTACCTACCCTTTTTACAAAGGAGATAGAAATCTAATACGAACTCAAGGGGCCGGACCAGCTGGCATATGTGCGGCTCAGGATTTATACCACAAGGCTAATGCTCGGGGCATCCATGTCAACATAACTATATTCGAGTCCGCCCCCTTAATCGGAGGCCAACTAGCTCTGAACAGTTCCACCGGCAGTCAAGTCTTTCCTTACGATGACCCTACGCAGGACCCTATCATCGCCGAAGACATCGCCGGAACCGGCTTATTATGGGGTAACCCGCTGTTTTCGAGGACATCGGAGAAGACGCTCGGAGACAAGGTCCAGACATCCGAGGCGGGTAGTCAACGGGTCAGCTAGTAAGTCTTTCAAAGCTACCCAAGAGCCGAGCATATCGATGCTAACCATCCCCAGCTTCAACGGCGACCGCGTCATCGCGCAGACCACTCGTCCCTACACCAAAACATCATTCACCGACTGGGCGGGGTTAATATTCCAATACGGCAGCTCCGTCTGGTCCGCCGGCGCCATGGCTAAACAAGGCGCCGAACTAGAAGACCGCCTCGTAGACGTACCCCTAGTGCCGGATCTCGCGCAACTCTTGATTTCTCTAGGCATATACGACTACGCGAAGAAGTCCACGGGAAACGAACTTAACGACCGCGGCATCGCCGGCGGCTACGTACCCGAAGTCCTAGCGCCGGAGGTCGGCCGCGTGTACTCGCAGAATGTAGGAGATATCAGTGCCCTAGCACTGATGCTCGCTTCGGGCATAGAAGATACTGCGAATGCGTATGTGGGTGGTGAACTCCTCGACAGGCTAGAGATGATCGTTAGTGCGGTCGGCGCAAACGTCCGAGAGTCGACGGAAGTCCACGGCGTCAAGTACGCACAGATCAACGAGGACGAGTCCGCTTGGCTTGTACAATATGCAACCCCATCAGGCCGTCTGCAAGCCGAAGCATTTGACAAAGTCATCATTGCCGCCCCGAATTTCGACTTATACAGCGCTGCTTCCGCCGAAGACGTCGAGGCCGCTTCGATCCTGACATATCGCACAGCGTACGTTGCGTTCTTCACGGTGCCGAGACGAATCGATGCCTACGGCTATGTAAACCAAGTCCTATTCCTCGAGAACGCCCTTGGAGGCGTCAGGGAACTAGCGTTCGTGAAAGATATTGTTCGAATTGATGACGACGACAGTAGTACCGTTGAATACCTGTACCGTGCCCTGGCGGACAGCGATGCCGTGGAGCAGCTGGAACAGCTGAATCTGGGGATCACTTGGTGGTATCAGGAGAAGGTAAGCAAAGCACTATCAGACCGGCTCAATAGTCATATGCTAACATGTTTACTAGCTTGAAAATGCCTACCCCTATATGTACCCATCTAGCCGATTTCCACCATTTAAACTATCCGACAAAGGCCTATGGTGGACGTCGGCCATCCATACGATCGCGAGCACAGTAGATACGAGTTGTCTAGCTGGAAGGATAGTTGCAGAACAGCTTATTAACGATTTGAAGAGATAAGCAAGATATGAGTAAGAGATAGGAGTTGATGATGTTCCAAACATCTAAATGCTGGATAATTAACCATGAACCACGTAGCCATTAATCACCACAAAATGTATATGTTTTATGAAATGAGAAATGAGATTGATTCCCGTATCGCCTCTATAGATTACAGAAGTCCTGAGTACACAGGTGACGGAGTCCAAAAAACCAGATGATGCTTTTTTTCATTATCGCAAAAAACGGACTTTTTTTCTCCCCATTGCCATTGCCTTTGGATCAACGCAAAGCCTGCCCAACCTATCCATTTTCGCCCCTTAGATGCTGCGCTCAATCGTACACCTGTGTCTGCGTCGTCTCCTAAGATTATGGTTTACATACCAAGATTACCTAGTCCTCATTTCATCTCACCAAATTTTCACCACCTTATTTGGCAAAGTGGAGATCGTATCCGAGCCACTTCCGTCGGAGGACTTGGTCCACGCTAAGGCCGGGGTAACCGTAGGTCAACGGCAGGAAGAAGTACCAGCCAGCGAAGACTAAAGATAGAATAACAATGCATGCGATCCATGCCGGGACCATACTCTGGCCGGCGAATCTCTCTCGGGCGGTGATGTGTCGCCGAGGGCCCGGAGCAGGCTTCTTGCCTGACTTGACATCCTCGTAGGACGGCTCCTCCGCAGACGGCTCGGCATTGAATACAAATTCAAGCAGGGAACCGACGATAAGGCATGACGCGAGATGAGCAGGGAGGTAGTGATGCAAGAAAAGCTGACGCCCCATAGTGAAGAATGGGAAATAATGCGTGGCCCATGCTAGGAAAAAGAATCCAGTAGAGTTATAAAGACGAGAACGGGTACCTTTGAACTAGATTAGCTATTGAATAAGGGCGGAACGACAGAATTTTAACTCACGATGGTCTAAAGCATCGATACCGCGGCGTAGAGACATCTGATCAGCACCAACGATACCGGCATAGACGGCAATCAAACTGCTAGCAATCCACCAACCGATAGGGTTACCTAGGAAGTAAATTTGCTGGCGGGTCTCGTTCTGTGTCCAGAAGCTGACTCCCCTCAGTAGGAATGGCCATTGGTACGGCTGGCTAGCATACGGGTGACTACTAGTCAACTGGCTGTTGTGCCAGAACATCGAACGCTGCAACTCGAACCACTTCCTAAGGAATGGTAGAGTTTTAACCTGGCGCTCTTGCTTCTGTCGGCGAGGGGAATCAGCCGGGGCAGACGGAACATCCTCCACGATCCAAACATTCGAACTGGGCGCAATCTGCTTGTTTCCGTTGATCTCCTGCTGCTTATGTCCCCACTCTGGAAGAGGTTTCGTATGTGTCCACATTGCGACTTTGCTAGGGTTATGGATCAACTTGAAATGGCTAGAAACACTCTTAAACTCTTGGTTGGGTTTGCCGTGTTCGATTCTGACCTCAAAAAGAGTTTCCGCTGAGCGACTTCCATACGCGTCAGCCAAAGGTACAGTAGTGAATTCCTGATTGGTAGGGAAGTAAGGAGAGGCAACGTCATGGGATAACAGAACTGTATCCGTCACCAAGTGTCGTAGTCTGACGAGCTCGTGGTTCTTGACGTGGCGGCCCATCTGATGATCGTCGGTGACAGGGAGAATTTGCCAATAGTTGTTAGTATCATTGTACGGATATCCTGTTACCTGTTGACCTTGGCTGGAAACTCGGCCATCATCGTAGCGGAGAGGGTATTTCGCATCGTGGCTATGAAGATAAGCTTTGGTTTCTTTATGACGTATAGTAATGGTGTCGTAGTAGTCAATGCCGATAGAATTGGCTAGCATGACATTGTCAGATAACGTCTCCTGGAACTCGGGGGTCATGAAATCATCACCAGGACCAGATCGCGTCAAGATAGCAAAATGAACCTGGAACCAGAATAGGTAAAATAGGAAAGGAATAATAATCAACCCGAGAGCACGAGCACCGAAGTGATAAGCGAATTCTCGAAGGTCTAACGCGCCGCCGGGTCGTTTAATGTCGAGTAAATCCCATAAGTCGATGACGACAGCAGAACCAATAGTGACAAAGGCAAAGAGTCCGACATACTTAGTAGAGATATCGCAAGAGAGCGCGAAGCCGGTCAAAATGAGCCACTTCCACCATTTACGACTAAAAGACTCGTGTCTCAGCTTGTAGAACTTGATGTAGCATAACAGACTGCATGCCATGGCCAACACAAGGGTAGCATCAAGTAGAATCAACCTGGTCTGACCGATGTGGGCGTTATCCAGAAGAACGAGACCAGCAGCGACGATACATGCCGGAAGACTATATCCTGATTCCCACATGATAAGGTAAGTCACCGAGACGGTCAACGAGCCGAGAAGTGCGGGCATAGAGCGAAAAGCCACATAAGGGACCTTGTTCGCAATATACGAATCGCCGATGTTCTCGAAGTGAAAGTGCCCGTCATATCCTACAAGCCATCCCATAAGGGCGAAGAGAAGTTTTCCGAACGGAGGGTGGACATCGAAGAAATAAGTTCTCTCGAGGTAAAACGAAGCGAACTAATTGGAAAAGCAAGAATAAGCTGGTGTCTTCTATATGCCTTCTACTTGAAGCCTAGTGACTTTAGTTGCAAACGGTCTCTACTTACTTTACCGAAGTGAACCTCATCGAAGACAACTTCATTCGGGTGGCTAATACCCCAAAATCTCGAAATGAAGGCTAAGACCGTGATCACGGTCAGAGCAACCTTGTAGTCCCATTCTGAGTGTTTCTTGGTGATCTTCTTGTTTGCCTTGACAAGGCTATCGAGCTCCGAATCCACATCATCAGAACTACCATTCTTCTTTTTAGAAGAACCGGGGACATTCCGCTGACGCAGAGTGCCCTGCGGAGTGCCCTGAGGGGGTGTCGACATGATATAAAGGAACGCAGTTTAGAATAAATTGATGTTTAGAAACTATTCGGACCCGATTGTTAGTAACCTAAGTAAGTAGGATATTTCGATGTGGGTGAACACGTCGCAGTTGACGTGTTACCGCCACATTACAAGAGTTGTAATAGATGTTAGGTAGTTAGATGTAGACATATATTAGGTACTTACAGAAACAAAGAAAAAGGTAAGATAAAAGATTACCAACCGCACGGCCCAATTAGTAGGCCGAAAACTGCGATTGTTGACGCCAAAGTCGTCGAGAAGGATAGAAGATGATGATCAAGAAGAAGTGTTTAAAAAGTCGGCCCTCATTAAAATCTTAGTTAACGCAGGGGAAGCTTCAGTCGCGCAAGCGTGCGTGTGTTCCACTCTATACTACCATGTCGGTACCTAATATGACGGGTACAGTGGTATTGTACCTTGCCTAGCTGGGGCGGATAGGGGTTATCAAGTTAATTTTGGCCACTTGGCAACACCTAAGCCTCACGCCCCCTTTTTTTTTATAACTCACGGTGGGCTGAGCCGTATGTACATAGTGAAGAAATAACTAAAGCTTGTGCCGAAACGAAACCGATCTCTTACGGAAATTTTATCGATAACCGATCACCGATCTCATCTATCCGTTCTATGTGGAACATTTACAAACATTGATACCGAAAGGTGCAAACAGTAACTTTTCTACACCTGAATTCCATATATGTAGATGTATCTAATACATGCATCAGATTACCTGCATGTACATTACTTAGGTACATAAATAGCTGGAGTATAAGGTAATGTATAGTTAGACGTAGATAGGCTTGCATACAATACCTAAACAACCTTGTTTAAGTAGGATTAGCGCTACTCTGACCTCATCAAAGGTTACGTACTGGAAGTGTCTCATTTATGTACCATCCATATATCTTCCCACTTAGAAACGTGCTCACGTAGTACGGAGCTTGGCAACTTCCCCCCCATCAAGAGCCGGGACGCCGAAGTACGGAGAGGACTACGAACCCTAAACAACTATAGCTTACAAATCTCCACTCATTAAGAACAATTACAAAGGCATCAATCGGGTTATTATTTATATATTCTAGTCTATATTATATTATAGTCTAGCTATGCCCGTTGTTCTTCGAGCATCTCCAATTCGAGTACTTCTCTCATCTACAGTCCGTCGCAGCTTGATTCCAGTTTCGCGAACACCTTTTGTCTTCCGAGCTTCAACCCCTATCCGCACCATGTCTGATATCACTCCGGTTTTCTCCAAGGACGCAGCGCCGCGTAAGTGAAAAATAATATAATATTAAAGAATAATGTGAATAATAACTAATTTATATATAGCTGCTGGACCTTACGTATGAACAAGATGAGTTCCAACATTTAATTCACTCAGAGAGCTAACAGGTAGTTATCATAGTCTCACGCCATCAAGACGCCAACTGCCATCTACTGCTCCGGCCAGATTCCTTGTGACGTCAATGGCAATCTCGTGGAAGGCACCATTGGCGAGAAGACGGCAGTTTGCATCTCTAACCTAAAGGCCGTCCTCACAGCCGCCGGTTCCTCCATCGAGAGAGTCGTCAAGGTCAACATCTTCTTAGCTGATATGTCGCTGTTCGCCGACATGAACAAGGAGTACGAGAAGTGGTTTACCCACAAGCCCGCCCGCAGCTGCGTAGCCGTCAAGCAGCTGCCCAAGGCTGTTGATGTTGAGATTGAGTGCATTGCTCTCCCATAGGAATTCCCAGGGGCAATCAAAAACTTGATCTAAATACATTGGTTGCATTCACCTGAAATAAGTCAGGAGCTGCCGTGATCTCAAGGAGTATGAGTCATACTAGCTATCCAGACAGAATCATGTCACTAAGAAATAAAAATGAAATGAAATTGAAGGCACTTCAATCAAGTCGGGACCTAACGCTCTTCGTTAGCGACTTTTCTAGTACCTAGGTACCTATATTTACTCTACTTATCGGCAATGTGAAGGTTAATTCGAGGAGGTATATGTACCATACGTACCTGCCAAATAGGTATCTTCGTCATCGTAAGGGATGTTGCCCGGCTCACTTCCCATTCATCTTCCTCAATCGTGTAGAGATCTGGCGTCACCGGGGGGTCAGGGGGGGCCATCTCCAAGTCCCCATATGTATACGGCAAGTCCCTCCAGCCCCCAGCTTCACTGACAGGCGATGACGGTCGATCGGTACCAAACGAAAACGTTGACATGTCGAAATCGGGCTCGACGATAGAGGTACCGAGGAGGCCACTAGGCCTTCTCGCCGTTTCTTTCGGCTTTCTGAGCTGCAGCGAAGGTAATCCTGAAATGTTAAGCCTATTCCAACAGGTAGACCTACTGAAATTGTACGCGATTATTTCGGGAAGACCATATTTGGCTACGATTTCGGCTTGCTTGCAGATCCGATAAAGTTGCTTGACCGAGCGGATAGTTGGTTCCCGGATTACGAGCTGTACTTCCTCTGTGCCTTTCGTCTTGGGACGTCGACGCATTTGATTTTCTACGCGGTCACGTTCGTCGAATAGCCTCGCTAAGTCGTATGGTGAGCCGGAATGAAGATAGGCGAGTGTTTCTACCATGCCGTAACTCTGAGGTATGTAGTCCATTGTTATGGTATGGGCGCCATGTGCGCTATTATCTCCCCTGGATGACGAGGCATCCTCATGGCTTCCGTTCTTTCCATTGTCTTGGCTTTTCTCCTTGCACCCCTTTCGGTCTAGCAACTTTTTTATAGTCTTCATTTTAATGATTTCCGTTCTATTTGAGTTTTCAACTTCAAAGGCGATTAATAGTATAAATAACATCTCTGATTCATGAGGTAGTGACAACTTCATTACGAAACAGGATGCTTGCTTCTGACTGTTCGAAAACGACGATTAAGTCAACAAAGGTTTGCTACTCCTCCGACGGCCAAACATCTACCGCTGTTCTCTTATATTTCCTATATTTATGTTATTATCTTGTTCGAGGATCATTGTGGTAAGGCAGGGGAGAAAGTAAGTCTACCTACTCAATACACTCCTCTCTATATGGGTATTTTAAGGACCGTTAATATCGATATATTCATAGAAGACATACGAGAAATAAGTATTATGATTATAAACCAGCACAGGTTTCCACTAGTAAGTCAACACTAACTCAACTCTTAACAGGAAACTTACGCGTAGGTGCTATGGGCAATGGTGTTCTTAACTAGGGGAAAGGCTAAATATGGCAATACCTGAATAGATGCTGTCTCGGGACACAGTGACTAGTTAAGCTACATAATGCATCAACACAATAGTTATAAAATTAGAATGGAGATTTAACATTGTTCATGTATGAATTGGTTGTTCGTTCGTAGCATATAATCATGCGTCCTAGCCAATGCTATTGTCAATTACTTCTGAGCAGACGATTTAATAAAGCGCGCTTTTACAAAAATATCAGTCTACTTGTCTTAGTTCCACAGTGATTCTCCTAAAGTCACAAAGACACAATAAAAGAGAGGACAAAGAATACCCGCTCACTAGAGTAAGGGGTCACTCCTGTTGACTCATATAAACACATCACAAGTACATTCACACCCTGAGAAAGATCTTGTCTGGTCGTACTTTCCCATTCTATTTGATTTCCACTCGACTGAAACTACCAAAGCAGTGTTTAGCATTGTTTATTGGTAGAAAAGTAGTATCACTTTTTCAAGCTATCTGGAATAGCATTTCGATTCTTACCCCCCTATTTCTTCGTTCCGACAAGAACGCTCTAGAAACACCGAACTTTTGCCAAGTCTAACCAGTAGAAACTTCACGATGTGTTTAGGTATATGCCCCGATGACTATAATGACAACAGGCAGCGGAGAGATCGGCATAGATATGCTCATCTACCACGTCATGAACGTTCTGCACGTCGGGAAGCCACTCGTGCGGCTCGGAACTACGGGTGGCCGGGCGACTATAATATGAGTAGCTCCTATAATTATGGGCAATCTGGGAATAGGGACTCGCACGTCGAGCCTGGACTTATGGAAGCTTTTGTTAGTCTCCCGGGTAGCGACTTCCGTCGTGTATACGACCCGGAGCGCACTCGACAATCTACCCGGGACCAGCCCTATAGCCAGCCTTCCCAGTACCATACCCATAGCCAGCCTTCCCAATACCAGCGCCAATACCAATCCCAATACCAATCCCAACACCACTACCCCAACCACCCTAGCCGCGCCGCCATATCGGAACACTCCCGGTTGAAGAACGTCCCGGGCGGGAGAGTAGAAGTCCATCAGGACATGCATCGACACGGAAGTATGCATGGGAGCATTCATAGAGTAGTCCGCGAACAACCTAGGACATCCGAGACTATGAACATGAACCCGCACCGGCACCAACAGACATCCCGGGGTGTACGTCGGGTTTCTGTAGATAGTAACGGGGTTAGCGATATTTCTAGCGACGACAGCGACGATAATATCAGGAGATTTACTCCCTCGCCGTTAGCTAGGAAGGACTATGATCTCTACTCCCGTACGGGATATGGCTATGGACGCCGGGGTGCGTTCTAGAGTAATGCCGCGCGCGCTTAAGTATTGTGAGTCTTCCCAATAGTACATACTACGTAGAGAAGATATCACTATCACTATACCCAGGCACGAGTATCGAAACAAGAAATGCCTGTTTTAGCGAGCATAGGTAGATAATGGATACGATGGTTTGTTTTCCCCCACGCTTAACTAGACTAGAGATATGTCGCTTGACTTTGCTCACTGACGATAATGATGATCTATAGGTGAGCAACAGCGAGGAGGAATCCAGGGTTTAGACGTAGTTACATATCGTAGTATAGCCATTTGACATGGTTTACCTGTTAATTTGATCTTGAATTCGTAAATTTTATTCGGTACCGATCTGTAAAGCATCTGCCTAAGGTTTCTTTGCATAGTGCTCACCCATGTTAACGTGATTGTACATAATAACTAGTAGATTTGCGCGTTCAAGTTACGTATTCCATGACGAGAGATCTGAATCGAGATAATAAACCCCAGCTCAGGCACCGATATTCTACATTGACGCGCAGGTGTGGTCAAAGGCATCTAAATTCCGGATAATTCTATTGGTCAGCGGTATCGTCGTTATGGGTCGTCAATATTGATCAATTGATAGGGCTGACGACCATAGATAGACGACTTTGACGATATAACGTTATAAATGTGACGGTGGTACGTGTCAACCAATCGTCGCCAAGAAGAGGGGGTAAAGAGGTAGAGAGAGGGCGGATCTAATCTTAGGACCCTGTAAATCTATCACATTTTGCAGGAACTCTAGGACTGGTAAATCTGCAGACAGGTAGATAATAAGCTGCTGTTGGGGATTTGCTGCATGAGATAAAAACCAATGCCCGTAAGCTCCCGAGATGGATGAGTCAACGAAGAATGCTGCGGTGTCAACACTCTATTCGATCCCGCTAATTTCGATGATGCGATTCCTCCATTCAGGGCGGTTTTCGCAATCGGCAATTCGACCACTCATAGTCTTCCAGACCCTCGTTACTAAAACATTACTAGGTATATGCATACTATTGTAAGCACTTACCCTACCTGTATGAACCTTGTTTGCTTCCAGTTCTGCAACTTCTACTCCAGTGCTTCTTGTAGCACAGAGAAGTATGCTAGCCTTAATTGTGGAGATTTCTGATTGGAAGAACGATGGAGAAGAAAAGATGCAGGCGATGCAGGCGGTGCTGTCATTGTTCATGTGCTCCGCTGAATCGATAAGAAGATCAAATCAATTGTCGATCTGCACCTTTCTAGTGTAAAGACGGGAATGACCAATCTCGCAGATGCGATTTAGGAGATAATACCTTGGATGTACCTAATGTATTATACGCGAAGTCTTGAATTTCGCATCTGCGCAAACCACCTACCCCTACGAGAAGATCCGAAAAGGACGCGGACGGGATTTTACAACTGTTTTTAATTACCGGTGAAACGCCCTACTATGTACAATAATGCTATAAATTGACGTCACAAGATAGGGATAAAGTAGCCGGTCGGGGCAATTAAACGAGACATGACCGAGCCGGATAGACTGGATACTTTTAGGCCGGTACCGAAAGGTGTTGTGTGTGAATAGGAAATAAGAAAAGGGGTCCTCGGATACATAATTAGCAACACAACTACGAAGTATGTAACAATCGATTAAAGGTCTAGTTCTTTTTACAATAAAGCGATATGAATGAACACATGCTCAATCCGAGTTTATCGACGTTTCTTGCTTTATTGTGAATCGTCATACGACCAGCCTGTCTCGAAAAGTAATGGCGCAGTCTTGGCATTTCCCTCCAAATTTAACACCATATAATATATGTAAAGAAAAGCATAAAAAAAGATAATAAAAAATAGAAAAAAATACCTATTGACTTTTTGGCTTTTATTGTTATTATAGGTATTTTTTATAATTTTATTGCTGCAGAAATGGTGGAATTATAAGTATATTAATATGGTATATTAAAACGTTATTAAAGATGTATGTTTAAAGCTATATTTCTAGCGTATTATTATCCTAATAAAAAAACTAAAATGATAAAAAGGTATAATGGCCTTTTGCAAATAAAACGATGTATATTATAATTTTATTACTATTTATTTTGCTTGTATAACTGGTAATTCTTTAAGAAGGGTTAAATGCCAAGACCGCGCCATTACTTTTCGAGACAGACTGACGACATGGGAGTCTTCCTCCGTCTAAAGGAATGAATGGTGGCCACAGAAGAGCGTGGAACCACTCGGTTCTTAAATACGCTATGTGCAAAGTATTATTCTGCGCATTAGGTATTATTAATAAAGTATTCCAAGGCTTAGCGCAAGTCCAACACAGCTTGTAGATCCTGCAGGCCAGCGTTGTTAATCATTACATATGTATGTAGGTAGGTATGTATGATTAGGTATGTAAGTATCTTCGACCTTTCTTCTTCCGATCTCTATTCTTACTTGTTGGCGTGTTCCACAACTCTATATAACACGAATGAATATGGTAGATTGATATATGTTTGGTATGAACCGAACCGTAAGAGGTGAATTTCTTATACGTGTCCTTCTCTACATATTGTAGTATTTACACATGTAGGTAGTTCATAATGATGATAGTCGAAACGTGGGTAGGATGTTAGATTTGGCAAGTGGCATGATTTATGAGAGACATTCCGGATCATTGGGAGGAACATTGAATGTTAGAATAGGTATGGACCATGTAAGGTATGTAGTGTAAGCGAACTATGAATTAACTATGGATTAAGAAACGGGTCGCGTCCGCATATCCGGTTTAGCGCGAGGCGTAGATACTTCCTAGGCGCAGTAGCTGAGTTACATCTGCCCTAAAAGTACTCTAGGACTTTTGGCTAGTATCCCGTGTTAGTACGGAAGTAACGGAAATGTTAGTGAATTATTTAGCATTAGGACGAATGATAGCGGGTACTACCTAGCCACTACTTTTAGAACCATCAAACTCGACTTTGGACTTGGCCTGGGAACTTGACATGGGTAATCCTTGACAGTCCCCATAGAAGACGGCTGCTGCCTAAATATCTCCATCCTTTTCACAACGACTTCCCATCATCTCAAACCCCCAAGAGCCCTTACCCTTCTTCGACTCTTCGTCTTCGTCCGGCGCCTCTTTTTCCTCGACCAAAGCGACCAAAGCGTTCCTTGCGCAGCAGGCTTATTAACAATTCATCAGTTGTATATTTCTAAGGCTGCCATATTTTGTCCTATCGTGTCCTCTTTTATCTTGTCCTATCTGTTACACTTTGGCTACGTAAGTTAGCTTGTGAAGAACGAGCCAACTTCTCTGCTCAAGTTGGCGAAACATTGTCTATTTCTCAACTCAATTCTGTCTTATTTTCCGCGAAACGCGCATCGGCACAATATAGTCCTTCCTATCTTTCTACGCATGAGCTCATCCGTTCCGTGAACCCGCTACTCGTGTAAGAATTGTCCTGTCCTATCCCCCGGAGGTGTCCTTCTAGCCCTACCACATATATATTTCACTTTCCCGTCTCGTCCGAGACCCATCGATTGACCAATGTCAAGCTGGCAATTGTGATATCTTTTTCGTTCCTCAGGCCATCTGAGACTCGGTGTGGGAGGATCCTTGTGACTCATATGACTGCTCAGCCTTATGGTGCATAACTGTGCTAACCGGTACCGTGGTCTTTACAGAGTTTAGAGCAACGATATTATCGATCGCCTCTCGCCTATCATAAATCTGTTCCCCACACCCGTTATACCGAGTCATCATGTCCTTCTCCAACCCTCGAAGGACCCCGGTGACTCGCCCGGACTCAGGTCCCGGCAATGGTTTAACCGTTAAGACGAACCTAACCCTACGGAAGGGAGCAACCTTCCATTCTCCTGTCACTCCTCCGACTAGTCCACCTACTGCTGCTCCATTCAGAGTACCCTCGCTACCTCGACGCTCTCAGACCAGTCTTGATGATGTTGTCGATGCTCATGTTCGTCGTGCTGCCTTAAATATTGGCAAATTCGAGGTGACCCTGTCGGCTATCAAGGCCGAACCGTTATCTCCTATAAGTCCCTTCTCGGACGACTGTCTTCCTATCCCCAGAGGTTTCCTGGACAATACCTTAGTAGGAGACACAATGTCCGAGGAACCGACTGTTTTCGAGCCGGAGCGAAGGACTTTACGTCCTCGCAGCCGTCGCTCTTCTCATCACCACGAATCTGATAGTGGGTTGGGAACATCTATTGCGTCGACAAATCAGAAACGAAAGGAGGCCAAGTCTTCTGGTACCGGCGCTTCAGCTATCACAAGGTCGGCCACAGCGTCTAAGTATCAAAATACTCAACGTCTTAGCTCGCGTGCTAGGAACCGCATCTCTGAGCATATCCTGAAACCGTTATTGGGTGAACCTTCACTCAAGGAGTTTCATCCCATTGTCCTTGACTGTCCCAGAAGGATCCAGGAGGACCAGATCGTTTGTCTTAGGGACCTCGAGAAGACACTTATCTTTATGGCACCAGTGAGTCAACTAATGAAAGACCCTAGCGTATGTGGAGTTACTTATCGTTGGTTGTGCTTGAAGGGGACTGCAAAGTCTGTTGAACTATATCGCGACTTCTGCCTCACTTCGATCCGATGCATCCAAGCTACCGTCGAATACCTTAGCGACCGAGAACAAACCCGGCCTCACGATCGACCTTACAACAGCGGTTACTTTATCGATCTTGTGGAACAAATTCGCCAACACGCGCAACAGATGCAAGAGGCTCGCAAAAGACAGGACGCTGGAGAGGAGCTAGACGAGATGGATGTTGACCCGTATGATGCCCGCCATGACCCTAATGGTCGCACATATGCTAACCTGACGGACAGAACTGATGAGGTAAAACTTGTTGGTGGTCTTACAACCAACGGCCGACCAGCGGAGTTAGTCCGCGTAAAGAAGAATGGCAAGGCTATCTCTATGGCTACCGGAATGCCTGTTGAGGACCTGGAAGAAGAAGTAAAAGGCCCAATCCGGTTTAAGCGTTCAATGAGCGAACAGGCCGAGGATGAAGAAGAAATCATGCGATCCATGGCTCGCCGAAAGAAGAATGCCTCGCCAGAGGAGCTCGCTCCTAAAAAGTGTGCCCACCCGGGTTGCAGTAAGGAATTCAAGCGACCTTGTGATCTAACAAAGCATGAAAAGACGCATTCTCGTCCTTGGAAGTGTCCCATTCCTACCTGCAAATACCACGATTATGGCTGGCCTACTGAGAAGGAGATGGATCGACATGTTAACGATAAACATTCGTCAGCTCCTCCCATGTTCGAGTGCCATTTCAAGCCGTGCCCATATAAATCCAAACGTGAATCCAATTGCAAACAGCATATGGAGAAAGCGCACGGCTGGACATACGTTAGGACCAAGACCAACGGTCAGAAGAAATCAAGCAAAGCTAGCAGTTCTGCCCAACCTACACCTCTGATTAAGAGCTTGCCCACCCCGAGCAGCGAGCAAACCGACCTCGTGATGACACCACCTGATGATTCTCTATTTGGTCACTACAATAATGACCATGAATTCCCGACCTACCCGTCAGATCAGGAGTTCAATGCCAGCTTATATGAACACCAACCGTTTGACGGCGATATCCAACTGGAATATTCCCCAGTTGACAATAACACGCCTTCTAGTGCCGACTCTGACCAGTTCAACACTTTCGAAGACCTGAGTCCCGAGTTCACTGGTCAATTCGAAGATATCTACGGTGCTCATGTACAAATGCCTACACCGACACACTCGGTTTACAACAAAGACATCAGTGCTTTTGCAAACTTCGCAGTGGATGCCTGCCAACAGTTTTCCATGCCACAACTCTCAACCCTCGGCCAGGGTAATCAACTCATGTTGACACCGCCGACTATGGTGGACGAGGGCTTTGAAGACTTCCAGCCTTGTCACAACCAATTTGGCCAGGATTTCGCCCTATTTCCTCCCAGCACGATGGATAAGTCGAGTGATTTTACTCTTTTTGGAACTATCCCACCTAGTCTTGCTGCTGGTTATAGTCAACCATCTTCTCAAGATTTTAACATTGAATATTCATCTATGGATTGGACAGCATCAGACTTTCAAGGCTTTCCGTCCAACTAGTAGTTTGGGCCGATTGTTGGATGAAAAACAATGTTGGTGAATTGTGTGCTTTGCATACATTCTTATCAAGCTGGTTGTGTGCCAACTCTTGATGATGTTACGATGATTATGAATCGCGCGTATTTTGGAGCGAATTTAGGGAAAGTTGATCCCAGAGAGAGAATACCTTTAGTGGTTGAAGATTACGGCATATGTGCTGAGGATTTAGGGTTAGATAGAGAGCGCTCTGCTTGTTACACCCTGTGTACAGATTCATATTATTTGCATTAAGTTTAGCTTTGCTGATATGTCTACGGATGTTTTTGATATGGCAAGGAGTGATCTCGGAAACAACATAGCTAGGGAATTTTGCAGTCTTAGTTGCAGAGTACGGAGATAGAGAGAGACATCTCCAATAATGAGAAAAAATTCATCTACATAGGTGCCTAGGTACTTATTTATTCCGAGATAAAGCGACTGGTTCTATTTCTAAATTGCCCAATTCTATGATGAGAAAATATCTCCTAATAGTTCAGTTTGGTACAGTTACCTAATCGAACTGGTGGAGTCGTGTCCAAGCCGTTTGTCTGGCGGTTAGCAAAAGCCCCGCTTTTTATTTTAGACTGGTTCATCCATGTCGAAATTTATTTGCAAAGGTTTTTTTTTCTTTTTCTTTTGCTTCTACTCTTTACATCTTCCATCTCGATATCCGAACCTCATTCCTCCACCGTCTCCTACTTTTTATCTATCTACCTAAGTAGGAGACTCCATTCCTCACTCTAGCAATAGGTAAGCTTTCTATATTTTTCTTCTTCTACCTGCTATTATTTGCTTTTCTTCGTACGTTAGTTACCTAAGGTATCTATACATACGTACGTACACCGCCGCCATTTGCTATGATGACCCCGACACCGCAAGTGTCGAACCTTACCTCTCAAATTAGGAAGAGCCGTATGAGACCGTCTTCGGGGACGGACGACTGTTTTTTTTCTTTCCTTCCCTTTTTTCCCTCTTGGAGGGGAGGGGAGGCGGGGAGAGGCTGGTTGTTTGTTCTCCTTGGCTGAACCGTGCGTGTTCCCGCGTTCTACCTGCTGGCCGTATGGGCGCCGCGCGTGCATCGACACGTGCTGCCGCGGTTTTTTGCTCGGTGTCGGTGGGTGGGCGTGGGAATGCCGCGGGGAGGTGGGGATGTGTTATGCTTAGATTATTGGTTTCTGATGCCTTGGCGGGCTTTGTGCATGATTTCCTCCTGGGTTGCTTGAGTGTTGGTTCTTGGGAACTTGGAGCTAACCTCACGATTCTAGGATTTTACCGTTGGTATCTTTTTGGTAGCAAGGCAGGTGGATAGGCACGTATTGGACGGGAATTTTAGGTCGGACTACTGTTGGTTCGTAGGAGTAGGGAATGGTTTAGGTCACGTAGTCTCAATTAAGCTCTATATAGATATTTTAAGTAGTTAATGATAGGTATTAACCTAGTCTATGCTAACTTGGATTCGAACCTCAAACTCCCTGCTTCTATGATATTATTCCCTTTTTGCCGGCCGAAAAAACGATAGACCTATTACCAGAGATTTCTTGAACGCCATAGACCGCACCACGCTTGGATATACAACGATCGACTCTAAACATTCGATCAACTTAACCAGTAAAGACGTGTTGTTTGTTAGGCCTTAATATCCTTTATCCAGTCCGCGTGTGCGATGTTCTCCTGGGAATCCTTGACCATGAAACTGCAGGCCGTGGTAAGCTTAATACCAGACATAAACCTAGAGAAATAGAAAATTATTAACTTACTTATACCATAGTATAGTAGGGCCGATGGTGCCCAAATGCCATAGACTGTGCGCGTCCAAGACTCCCCATAGTGGTGGGAAGTCTAGCAGCTCCAAGCCCATAACCGTCATAATCCACGCGACGGCGATACCAGGCCAGATTGCCCACGATCGGTGGGTCGCGGACCACCTCTTCAAACTGAAATAGCTCCAAAGACTGTTTTGTAGCAAGCCCACAATTACATTGGCGGCCATATTATACGTATAATTCCAGCGCCACAGCTTTAGGTATGCGACATGCGCGGCATATAAAGCGCAGCAAGTGACGGTCCAAATTCGGAGAAAACTGCGGCGGCGGGGCGTGGGGCGATCGAGGCGGAAGACGCGGATCGGGGTGTAGTACATGCCGTAGAGGACGCCAGCGCCAGCAGCAAAGTAATCGAGTTGCTCGGTGAAGCGGAAGTCGCGGGTATGGAATATGGCGCTGAAGATCCACGTCGCAATGCCAAAATACGCGAACATCTCGTAATACCGGCGCAGCGGATACGCCGCCGGGATCGACCCGCGGACCTTGGTCAACCCATTATGGTGCGCTATCAGGTTGCCCAGGCTAAACAGCACCGAGAAGGGCTCCTGCATTCCGAGAAACCGCACAAACGGCCATTTCCCATGAAACTGCGTTATGGGCTTACCCGCAGCCACGCGACGCTGGGTCACAATGTGTTGGCACGTGTAATCGCATTCCTGCGGGCAGGTCCAGAAGAGGAGTCGAAGGTGGAGGGCTGTGAGAGGCGGAGAAGCTCTAATGTTAGCCCAGATAGTTTGGAGGCGCGGTTCGCGGTTCGAGCTTCTCGCGGTGAGAGGTATAACTAGGTTACATACGGATGTGGGTAGGGTTATTATTCGGATCGCAATTCTCACGGGCGCAGACCTATATATTTATTTAACGGACACCGTCCGTGTTAGTCAACTTTTTTTTTTTCCTTTACATAGATCGACGGTGCCGATGACCCGGTTCCTCCAGCCAAGTCGGCACGTCATAGCCGTAGCCCACGTATAAGACACGTTAGGTAGGAAGGGTATTACACAACGAACCTTGACGCATTCCCGGAACTCGGGTAGCCGATCGCCGGTGGAAGCTTCGGCGGTGCTCCATAGCAAGCAAACGGCGACGATGAGGAGGGTCAGTAGCGATTCTGGGCGAAGCATCTTGAGTCAGACTGCATTGGGTCTTTTTGGGGGGGAGGAGCAAGAGAATTGGAGAATGCGAAACAACAAAACTCTCGGGTTTCCCAAGCAGCCCGGATGAGAAATCTGTCCTAGGCAGCCGGGACGGGCCTGTCAGGTTTTCTGATTGGGCGCCTTGCTGGCGGTGGATGCGAGTGCGAATTGAGGGATGGGTTTTTTTTTTAGGGGGTTTCGCGGTGGGGTTTGGGGGGTGGATTGCGCCGCAGAAAAAATAAATAATAAACCCCCTAATGGCTAACGGGCAGAACGGGTCAGTGAAAGGTAGATCGTCATAGCGCGATTGAAACGCCGCTGGGTAGAAGTTGGATCCGCCAAGAATAGCAATTGACGTATTGACGTCTTGTATCAGTACCCCGGATTCTTGGCTGCAATTTGGTGCATCATATGTACCGGTAACTTCCTTACTAGGTTTTATTAACTTTTTTTTTAATCTTCAGTGACGTTCTTTTTAACGAAACGTTGGGGTAGCTTCCTCGAGCTTTACTAGCTCAAAGCTATTCCGAGGTAATACAATGTTATTCTTTCCTTGTTATTTCTTTAACGAACTTGGAGCTTATTAACTCGAAACCCTATTGGCGAATTAACAATTGACCTTGTATACTTCTAAACAATCATAATAACAACAAAGTTATGCGCTCTATATATCGGTAAACGAAGTGATTTATGATATATCAAGAACAACATAACTAGAGGCCGAACCCGATGTCTCCTCGATTAACAAATTCAGCCTGCTAATATTATATTTATGCGACAGCGACAGTTCACATATTTGCAATGAGAATCCAAACGTCTACACGAAGAACAACCATAGAATAAACATATTTGATATTTACTACCTAGTAGTTACGGCAAAGTAATGATCCAGATTAGGCCTGTTGAAGCTTATGAGTCGCAATGTCTACTATTTCGGTATCTCATATTACCCGGAAGACTCCCCTCCGCGGGCCATTATAACACCGTCTGGTAGTTTATATCACGTTTATATGTCAAAGTTCGCCGTGCCTCAGTTCTCTCATTCGACTATTTAATCATGTTCTTCTTCTTTCCTAACTAGATCAAATTCATAATCTAGAAATGAAGTTGTCTCTGATTCTTCTGTGGGCAGCAAGCGCTCTTACCTCCCCTCTCCGCCGGGGTGCTGCAAAGTTATCTCCGGTCACGCGCAATGGGACCAGTCTTTTGGTTGACGGAAAGGTCTGGAAAATGGTTGGGCCAAACGTCTACTGGCTAGGTCTTGACGAAAATGTGACACCGCCAGCTGGGGAGCCGTTTTATGCTCCTACCAAAGCCAGCTACCCTACCAAAGAGCGTATTACCGAGGTGATGACAACTGTACAAGCTCTGGGAGGCACCATGATTCGCGGGCATACCTTGGGTATTAGCACTGGGAACCCCCTGAGTGTTGTGCCCGAGCCAGGAGTAGTCAACGAAAAAGCCTTCGACCCAATCGACTGGGCTGTCTATCAAGCAGGTGTATACGGTATCAGGCTACTGATACCGTTAGTGGATAATTATGTTAGTTCATATATCAGAGAACCTGAATCGACTATAAGCTTATATCTCGATAGGACTATTATCACGGAGGAAAATACAACTTCCTTCGTTGGGCTGGTTTCGACCTAAACCAACGACGGGATGAGAAAAACCCTCTAGTTCAGCAATTCTACACCAATGCCACTATCGTCTCTACCTTTAAAGACTATATTAAGACGATCATAACCCACAGAAACCAGTACAATAACCTTACCTTTGCCGAAGATCCCACAATTTTCGCGTACGAGACGGGGAACGAACTCCTCGGTCCCGTATGGGGTGATATGAATTCACCAGCGGACTGGGTTCAGGACATCGCCAAGTACGTTAAGAGCCTTGCTCCGCAGAAGCTAGTAGGTATGTGAATATATAGTTATCTCTATATATATCTCGGTAGTTTATGCTCATATATTCATTCCCTACAACCTTGCCCCTATATTCTAGCTTATTCGCTCAACCATCAATTCTAACGAATAAAAACTAATCCATGCAGTCGACGGGACCTACGGCATCAACAAAACCCACCTAACCATCGAAGAAATCGACATCTTTTCCGACCACATGTACCCTGTCGACACCGCCAAGCTGCAAGCAGATATCAAACTCGTTGAAGCTGCCGGGCGCCCGTTCTTCGCGGGTGAGTACGACTGGGTCGGCGGCAACACCGCGAACCTTCAGTCCATGTTCAAGATCATCGAGGAGAGCCCTGCCGTTGCTGGTGATACTTTCTGGAGCCAATTTGGCCACAATGCTCCCGACTGCAAAGTAAGTATTTTCTTAAATTATCCCACGACTATTTATTATCGCCATAAGAAACAATGCTGAGTTTGTTACAGACCTACGTAGACCACAGCGACGGTCTCGCGCTTCAGTACGGCAACCCGAAGAACACGGCGAATCAGAACAGCCGTATTCAGCTTATTCGAAAGCACTTCATCGCTATGAGCCAGGGCAAGGAGATTGCGCCGGATGAGGCTTTGCCCGAGGTGCCGTGTCCGGCGCCTATATCGCCATCGTTTCGTTAGGGAATTATCTTTAGCCTATGATGATTAGGATGACGAGGGGAGCTTGTGTTGGGTGGACACTAATTTAAACTGTCAGTTTGTTTAAAAGGGGTCTCTTGCATCCATACAATCACAAATTTGAAAGAAACTATGAAAAACTACGGCACTCATGACAAAACCTAAGAATATTTATGTGGCCTTAGATCTTGGAGTAGGTAACCTAACCAGGGAAAATTATTTCCCCCAGAGTAGAAAGTGATGATATAAGCCCCTCGCCCCTAGCTGAGATGAGCGGCGCAATGTGCAAAAAATTATAAATCAAAACGTCAAAAAGATATCGGTGACTTATCATTCAGCTATAGCTATTTTTCGTAAGGTATGTTCATAATACGTAAGAGCCCGCTTCCTTAGCCTTAGTTTCTTAACGACCCCCCCTAAGACCCTTCACACCAAATTTTTGAGAACCCCGAACTTGTCTACGATACATCATTCTTTCCATCGTGTATCCCTACCTGCTATTAGATAGAACTCATACGAGCCACTAGCCTCCGTATGCCTTCACTATAGCGGCGACCTTGTTCGCGAGCTCGTCGGCCTCGGATCTCGTAGCCGCCTCCGCGTACACTCTGCATGCATTTTCTGTCCCGCTGGCCCTGGCGAAGGAGCGGGCGTTGGTATACTTCTTCACAACCTTGTCGATTTCGTCCTGGCAATGTTCCGGGTGGCTGAGTTTTCGCTCTGCATCTGTTGTTCGGAAGAGGTCCTTGTTGCCAACTTCGACGCGGACGAGACGGTTAGGAAGATCCTGGTACGTCATGGCCCAGTCTCTTAGCGACCACCCCTTGTGTGCCAAGATAACCTCCACCATGAGCATATCCGATATCGCATCTCCAACTGTCTGGTTGATGAGATCTCCAAGGGCGCTGAGAGTCTCGAGAGCGTCCTTTTGTGCGGGCGACTGGGGTTCCTTGGCCTTGAACACTTGTAGGGCGTCTTGAGAGAAGAGGACAGTGCCGTGACCGTTTGCTTCGAAATATACGCCAATATCATACGAGCAAGCGGCGTGGTGAAGGTGCTTGACACCTGTAGGCGTGCAGATGACAGGAATCTGTAGATGTTGCTCGACATACTTTGTGCTTGATCCGTTAGCGTAAGCGGTCTGGACTAGACCGATACGAAGCTGACCCTCTAAGCCAGCAGTGCGGATAAGGTCTGCAATGAACGATGCAGCCAACGTCGCAATGCGATCTCCGTCAAGCATGAAGAAACCAGTATCCGGGTCGATCCAATAATACATGAGGCGGTCCGCATCACCGTCTAGAGAGCACCACCTCTCGCCAGGAGCGGGCTTGGGGGTTGCCGGTGCTCGCTGTCTAGTCTTGACGAAGTCGGCACCGCAGTCCAGGTTCAAGACTTCCGGACGCAGGACATCATCGTTGGCAACCCTAACCTCCAGGCCTGTCTTCGAAGAATCGTGATGCTTGAGGAGCTCACTAAGCTTCGGACCACCAACACCATTGGCACAGTCGACAGATAGCTTCCCAGAGACCCGTCGTCCGCGGAGTGCGCGATAGAAGGCTTCGACAAGTTTCTTGTAGTACCCGGTCTCGCTGACCTCACCATATGAGCCAGGGGTTCCGGCAGTGTTGATACAACGGGTTAGATAGTGGAGCTGAGGGGTCGTGAGGATCTTGAAGTCGGTGTAGGCGGTATTCGTAGCAGCTAGAGAATCGGCAAGGGCTGTAACGAGTGTCTTTCCCGAAGGGCGAGTGTCTCGACCGGCAATGACCTTACCGGAGGAGGTCAGGTCGATCTTGAGGGAGTCGGCTAACTTGTAGAAGTAATCGACAAGCTCTTCGTGGCTTGGGGCGTTGACGAGGTTCGTGGCATGTACTTCCCACTCTTGCTCAAGCATATCTCCCATGGGATCAACAATCTTGACACCGTTATCCACAGCAGGATTGTGACTAGCGGTGATCATTACGCCGATCGTTTGGCCGTTGAGTTTACGACTCCGAAGGGCAGACAAGAGTCCAACTCTGAAGGTGACGCCATCTAGAAGGTCGGCATTCATACGAAAGCCTGCAGTACCATATTTGTACACTCTTCCAGGGACTATATCGTGCTTTTTCGAAGCGGCGAGGATTGCGTCTCGGTCCATCTTCGGAGGGGCTGATATTCAGTCTCTAGATGCGATACACAGTTGATAAGGTATATTTTTTTTTTGTGTGATTTGAGATTTGAGATTGTTAAATCAACTATGAATGCAAGACACCTTTAACTTGAGATGGGGTTAAGGGTTTAAATATAAGGGACCAAGGAGTTAATTTAGGTAGGTTAGGTAGGTACCTTTATAGAAATATGTACGAAGCTAGAAAAGTCCAAGTTGTTAAGATGAACATCAAAAGTATCGAACGAGAAGTAAGTAGCCTAATACGAGGTAGTAACCCCTCCCTCTCCCTCACTAAAACTTAAGTACTCACCACTAAGTACCGTTAGTACCTACATAATTTTAGGTACATATCACTAAGTATATAATGGTATGGGCCCCGCGCTAAGAGAATCTGACGTTACCCGAGCTGCAAGGTTTAAGAACCAGTCATAGAGCCAGTCAGAGCGTAGCTACCAAGAAGGTGGGGCCTAGTAGTGGCTCATGAGCTCCAAGCTGAAAAAGGCACCTCTCAGCCCTTGCAACCTTACCGAGCTTTGTTTCCCCTTACGTCCTACTATTACCTCATTAGGCATCGTTTGCTACACCTTATTTGCAGAGTATTTTGCTGGTTATAGTCACCTGATTTCGCGATTGGCGTATCTTCTCTTAACGCGCTAAAGTCGCGTCTACCTTCTTGGATTTTGTTACTCAATTGGCATCACCTTCAACAACCGAAATGCCATCTAATGAGCCTTGTGCTAACCCTCTCCTCCTAGGATGGGTGGGGGAATGGGTTGAAACCGCTCGCGACCAAAATTCGAAGGGACTTTTAATTTATAAGAAGGCATATGTCGCCCTCAAGGCATGTCCGGTAACCTTCCAACATCCTTCTCAATTACAACAATTAAAAGGATTCGGTCCAAAGTTATGTGATCGCCTGACCGAAAAACTGAAGGAGCACTGCTCGGATAATGGATTGCCTATGCCTAAGCGTCCAAGGCAATCTATTATTCCTGGCTTGGCTAACCAGGGTGACGAAGATGGGGATGATGCAGCAGAAAGACCACCTAAGAGACGAAGGACGAAGCCTTACGTGCCAGCTCTCAGGTCTGGCGCTTATGCCATAATTATAGGTTTGGCAACGCTTGAGGAAGGTGATCGTAATGGAATGACAAAGCAACGATTAATCGAGGCGGCTCAACCTCATTGCGATGCATCATTTACCGCCCCTTCTGACCCAAAAAGCTACTACACGGCTTGGAAGTCTATGACGACTCTTGTCGAAAAGGATCTCGTCTATGAGCGTGGTAGACCAACTAGAAGATACCATTTGACTGAGGAGGGATGGGAAGTGGTACGACGGATTCAGCAAACAACAAACCCTGATCAACCTAGACCAGCTGCGCCAAGAGTAGAGCCAGATCTTCGAGGAGTTGAACTTGCTCCTCTCCCACGAGTTGCCAATAGGTTCCCATCCCTAGAAATACAAGATCCGCCCAGGAATGAATCTAATTATTCCGATGTTGTCGCTAATGGCGATCTTGCATCAGGAAGCTCAGCATTGCCGAATTTTAGGCCAATTCGTCTTGCTCCCGGATCTTTTGAAGTGCATTTAGTATTAGACACGCGCGAGGTCCGGGCAAAGACTGATAGAGACTATAGTAAGCAATCTCCTGCTTTGATACTTATTACACTGTCTAGGTTAAGAGCGTCAAATCTGATTTTCTAAGCAAAACGCCTCATTTGTCGAGCCTAGGAAACGACTACTGACCTAAATCGTTGCAGTGCAAAATGAGCTGGCAAAGAAAGGCGTTAACCCAATAATGCGTGCCTTAGAACTGGGTGACGTTCTTTGGGTAGCCAAATGTCACGATGCAAACTTCCTTCCTCGACTTGGCGCCGAGGGAGATGAAGTTGTGCTCGATTATATCGTAGAGAGAAAACGGCTCGATGATTTGATTGGAAGTATCAAAGACGGCCGTTTCCACGAACAAAAGTTCCGCTTAAAACGATCCGGCATTAAGAACGTCGTTTACATCGTTGAAGAGATCTCCATGGATCCGGAAATATTGGATAAACGCGCAGAAATGGTGCAGTCAGCCATTGGGTCGACACAGGTGGTTAACGGCTTCTTTGTGAAAAAGACACAGAAGATGGATGATACCATTCGATATCTCACGCGGATGACTATGCTGCTAAAGAAGCAATACGAAAGCAAACCACTGCTCGTTATCCCCACCGAAATCCTCACCGCGCAGAATTATCTCCCACTACTTGAGCATCTTCGACAGAAGGACCCTACTACAGGGCATTATATCACCTACCCAGCATTCGCATCTTTGGCGTCAAAATCCGACATGATGACACTGCGGGATCTGTATCTAAAGATGTTGATGTGTACCAGACAGGTCACTGGAGAGAAAGCGCTCGAGATCCAAAAGAGGTGGAAGACACCTTACGACTTCGTAAAGGCTTTCGAGAATTGCGGTAGCGGGGAAGAGGGCAAGAAGCGCAAACGCGAGATGGTCTTTGAGCAGATGGGGGGTCTGTTTGGACGCAAGAAAATTCCCAAGCCGCTCAGCCAGAAAATTGCCGAAATTTGGGCCGACATATAAACCTGTCAATTGTTATGTTGAATCCGAATTTGGAACCAACGACTTAGTACACTAAGACACCATTATTCGTTGTTAGTATCTCGAGACAACACTACAGCTTATTCTCCATATCGGTTACTAGGTTTAGTCTTTTTTGACACTTGGCTTTGACGAGAATAGGATTATTCTTCAATACGAATATGTCATGGCATTGATCATTCCCAATACTGGAGAGGTACTTATCTGACTGCATCGAAAGTGGACATATATATCCTTGACTTAGGCATCCTGGCGTTCTTAGGTCCATCAATTAATATTCGTTTAGATCTCGCAGACGTAGATGATATCAACCCCCCTATTTTTATTATTTTATATGTCATCAAATACTTCAACAGGTAGTTGACCCTCCAACCAATTCCACCCAGCAGCTAGTCAGCCAGTCCACCCAAAACCCTCACGAATGCCCCCCCATAGCCTGCGCGACCAAACTCTGCACCACCTGCTCCAACATGGGCTTAACCAACAACTCGCCCTGCGCGCCCAAATACCCCGCCATGCTCTTCTCCGCATACTTGGCCAGCACATCCACCTCCAGATTGACCGAGTCCCCCGCGACCTTGCGCGCCAGCACCACCTTCTCCTGCGTATACGCGATAAGCATGATCTCGAACCAGCCCTCGGCGTCGTCCACCCGCGTCACCGTCAGGCTCGTCCCGTCGAGCGCCACGTACCCCTTATGCACGACGTACTTGAGCGCGTCGAGCGACGCGGGCGCCAGCCGCACCGTCAGCGCGTTGCCGTCCGGCGTCACCGACACCACCGCCGCCGTCGTGTCCACGTGGCCCTGGACGAAGTGCCCGCCCATGCGGGTGTCGGCGCGGACGGCCCGCTCGAGGTTGACCGGCGAGTCCTTTTTCAGATCCCCTAGGTTCGTCAGACGCAGGGTTTCGGGCGCGATGCCCACGGTGAAGCACGGTTGCTTGGTATCAGAGGTGGTGCTGAGGTGAGTCGCGGTTAAACACACGCCGTTGACGGAGATGCTGTCGCCGAGGAGAGCGCCCTCGAGCAGCGTCGAGGACGGGGGGAGCGCGATGGTCAGGGATGTGCCGCCCGTTTCGTCGTGGGGGTTGAGCTCGGCGACGACTGTGGAGGGCGTGGATATATTAGCTACGTCTCTATCCCAATCTCAATTCACTCTCCAAAATGCATAAAGAAAACTATAACAAATACAACACTATATATATATAAATAAATAAATAAATATATACTCACCGCCAATCTCCTCAACTAATCCCGTAAACATGATTCCTAAAATACTGTCGTCGATTTAAGGGGTCTTGTAATAGGAGAGACTACCTAAGGTAGGTAAGGATTAAGGTATGACTGTTTCTGCTTGTCGCAAGAATGACGTTGTTTTCTTCTTAGTTTTCCCACCCCGCTATCACATGTCCGATAGGTAATAAATAAATGATACCTAGACGGAATATGTTCCGCGCTAGAGAAGGACCCTTGATTTGTTAAAAGAGGAAAAAAAGGTAAGTAGAATCCCTGCGAGGATGAAAATTTATTAATCGGGATCTTATACTCACCAGCAGCTTATGTTATTGTTCTAAGTGTCTTACAGAGAAGTATTAATTTAAATATTAGGTATAGCTAGACCTGGTAAATAGGTACTTATTAGCTTTATAGGTATCATGCCGGCTGGTCCGTAGAACCAACATCACAATAAGATATAAGCCAATTAGTTACTTAAGCCGGAGAGTAAGCAATGCTACTTATTCGGATTATAATCAAATTATAATCATAAATCACGGTAATACAGTATCTATCAAGTAGGTATATTTACGACTACCTGAGCAGTGATCCTGACTGACCCATCAACCTCTCAATCATCACCTTCTGTAGGGTGACGTCTCGAGGGACGTGTAGGAGTTACTATCTATCGTAATCTTCATCAGTCATTATGTATGACCCATGCCATACAATTATTCCAAATATAGTTCCATTTCCTCGCAGACGGCAGTTCCTCTTCCCTCTTGACCTGAGGAGAATGACTTTTATGCCTCCCAACGCCGTACAGACCCCGGTCACCTTGCCATGCCATGATGCAAGGCTATCGAATTGATGCTTTGCAGCTTGTCGTCCGCTTTGCAGACCCTGTCTACTAGTTAAGGACTGGCCAGCCCGAGTCCTGGTAAGCTGCAAGACATTGTAATACGGGACGTGTCCTTCAAAGATTCATCCCCTCTAACACATCTTATATTCGCAAGCCCCGACAGCAGACCGAGTGCTATCTTGGGTCTCTAGGTGGTAATCAATCTTGATGTCTAGGTCACGTCGGTTCTTGTCGTTAGGCCTAACGTCCAACTTGAAGCTAATTTCTTCCCCTTGCTGCACCGTCAAGACCTGGTTCAGGTAGAAGACGGTCTGCTTCCAATGAGTGTACTTGGTGTGAGGACCAGTTGAGAAGCGGACGGGCTTATGGCATGCCGTAAAGTCGATATCGAACCATGCTACAAGAGCGTGTATGAAGTCGTCACGTCGAGACGTCAACTTGAAGGGTATCGCGAAGGCTAGATCAGCCGTTGTGCAGGTGTAGAGATCAAGAGTCAAGACTGCGGCGGGGTCTGTTACAGCCGCTTTGATTTCTACTGTATCAACGAGAGGCTCGGCGAGGGCAGTCTCCTTCAGAGGCGTGTAATCAAACCCGTAGACATTATCCCAGACTGCAACCAGTTAGCTTACTTCTAATAGGATCTTGCGACACGGAACTTACATCCAATCTTCTCGTCCTTGTATTCGCCATCCTCAATACCGCAGGCGAAGATAGTAGCCTTGTCCGGGAAGATTAAACCATCCTTCTCGAGGAACTTGTCGCGGGCGTACAAGACAGTGTCAAGCATGCTCTCGTAGAGGAGGAAATAGCCCATCCATTCCGAGATGATAATGTCTACCTTGGGAAAAGGCAGCTCAATTTCTTCCATCTTGCCCTGGATGAGGGTAATCTTGTCTTCCATGCCATTGACCTTGACAATCTCCCTAGCCTTGAAAATGATGGTTGACATATCAACACCGATTACGTGCTTGGCTCCAGCTTTGACAGCGAACCTAATCGGAAGGATGGCGTATTAGTTTAACTGGGTTAAAAGTTACTATATGGATTTATAGTAGCTCACATGGAGAGGATAGCTGTTCCGCAACCAACGTCAAGAACAACCTTATCCTTGAAGAGGTGCTTGTTCTGCACGATGGCATTCATATAGGATCTTGTACGGACTTCATCTTTCTGCGTGGGGCGACAATGGATCGTTAGTTAAATAATGATTCTTGAGGTGGATTTAGTTGTATGAATTCAGAGTACGCACCAACATTTCCTCATGAATTCCTGGATTGCGCAAGATTTATATTAGTAAATTATCCTTCGAAGCGTCTCAAATGGTAATAGATGCATACCATGGTGATTATAGCTGTTGTGCGACAAGCATTAGCAAGAGCCTTATCTCGCGGAGTATATCGCTGCTAATATTCTAGGATTCTAAGATTCTAGAATTTTAGGATCTAGCAATACGCACAAGAAACTAACCTATTAAAATAATGCTGCTCAGAGTGAGCCATACTCTTGAGCTGCTGCTCTGCAGCTTCAACATCCATCTTATCGGCAGCCATCGTTAGGAATTTAAGATGTGAATGGACCGAAGTTGAGGTTGAAAGTATGAAAGAATGAAGATTGGGCCGGACGACACCAAGTAGTAAGGTAACTATATTTTTTTTTTTCCCTTCTTTTCCTGCTTCTGGGAACCCGCTGCAGGGTAACTAAAAAACTGTAGTACAACGGATCTAGACTTGAATCATACCCCACTTTTTTCATCTTTTCACTGTCTACGCGCCTAACGCGTTCACCGTTCTGCCGCTTTCAAAATTTACCCCACCGGAATGGATAAATGATGCGCCTATCAGATATTTAGTATATATGAGGTAGTAAGTACCTAAAGTACCTATTTTAGGGGTTAAGGTTAGCGAATCTTCATCCGCTAAACCACCTGTAGAAATTCAGTTGAAGACCGGGACATACTTTAATAGATACCTCTTTTCTTTTTTTACAAGAAAAAAAAATACTCTTCGCTAACTGATTCATACCTGTCTTAGGGAATAATATATCCAAATATGAGTTATCAACAGGCTGTTTCATATACTTAAAACAGATATCTGAATAACTAGACAATGAACATTGCCTCAATCCCAGACACTTCCAACACGAACTAGGTAACGATATACATTTGATTATAGCCAACGATATCCCATTCCCATGTATCAGTATTCAGCGTGATATTCGTGGGATTAGTCTTACCTCCCCTCACTATAATACAACTGATCAGTAGTAAGTAAGAAACAAGACAAAAGGGGGGCACTTACAAAACCCAACCTCAACACTCCCTCCACCAACCGGCCTAGCAAGCTTATTCTCACCCGCAAACACCGTGAAATTCGCCAGCGGCAAATCCCACGCGTTTCGGGATGCCACGCTCGGCGACCCGTAATACCGGGCATCTAGTTTATCAGGGGTCACCGACAACAGGAAGTAGCCGCGGTAGTACCCGTCCTGCCACTGCAGCACCGAATTATTTCCCACACGATACTCGGCCTCGGCTCGGCCCGGCGCAATCAACCCGTTGAACCCGGTAGAGCTGACGGCTGTTCCGGCGAATTCGACGCCGACGGAGCCTTCGCCGGTGGTTGAGTCGTAGGGCTTCTCGTCTAGCCAGGCTAGGTCTGATACCCAATTTTGATGGCTATCGCCGGCCAGGAAGATGGTGTTAGTGATTTTGTTGTCGTAGAGGTGCTTTAGTGTCCGGTTTCTGTTTGCTTGGTACCCCTAAAAGTATTATATCAAAATCAAGACCTAACAATACTCCTTGTCGTAGATAAGTTCCCAACTTACATTCCAGTTGTCGCCACCATAACCATAAGACTCGACAATGTGCGAGAATACGATCTGATTGCCAATTATACGCCAAGTCGCACCTCGGTCTTGAGATTTGGACAGTTGGTTATAAAACCAATTCTCCTGGTGAGAACCCATCAGTGTTCGCGAGGCGTCATTCCGTATAAGGTCGATATAATTATCGTTCCAGTCTTTGCTCAGTTAACAGTAACTCTTGAATGTTACCTTTTCTTCGGAAAGTACCGATACTTACCAAGCGAAGTAATGCTTCGATCATAGTTCCGAGTATCGAGTACGATAAAATCCAGGACTGTATCGCCAATAGTTAGCGTTGTGAAAAGGGGTCGGAATTGGGGTTTAGAACTACATACGATTTCCCATCTGAAAGTTCCTCCATACCCTTAGGTTATCATCGAGGTCGACTTGGCTTTAGAAATATTAGCGAAACATCAACTTACGACCTTAGACCATCATATACTCACCGAATAGGCATCCACTCGAAATAGGCTCTCACAGCATTCATCTTCCGCTGGTCTACGCTAACACCACCGTCCTTATGAAAAGAATCTTCGGTGTTGTTCAAAGCGCTAGACCCATCTCGATACCCGTTATTCGAGACCTCTACACGAATAGTCAGATAGCCCCAATCATCTACCTATATCTCATTAATCTACTTACCGTGGTCGTCCCAGGTCGCTATCCAGGCAAAGTTCTGGGAAGCAAGTTGAAGATCCGGATCCGTACGATACTATTTATTATGTCAATATCCGAGTTTAGCTCGATAGCACCAAGTAATTATATACCTGCCCGTGGCGAGTTCTGTAATCATATAGACTAAACAGATACTTGGGCGGCGCATGGGCTCGCTCGCCCTTTGCGTTGCCTTCGTATATGTAGTCACCGAGATGAACCTATTCATATTAACACATGAGGGACAAATTGTCTAGTTTCTGCACTTACTATATAATCCTGCTCATCCTTCCGCGCGGCATTCCCGTAGGCATTAAAGTAGCCATTCGCTTCCAACCCGTCAGAAGGGCCCCTATACGAGTACACGCCAAAGTAAAACACTCACGATAATTACTACAAGAAAAGACAGCAAACCTCAGCTCCGGAACATCAACATCCGCCAACGGCGCAGTCTTCGTCCGCCCAACAGAACTCGTCTTGCTCGACCCGCAGATGGTAAACTGGTAGTTATACGTAGTAAACGGCTGCAGCCCCGTCGCCTCGACCTACATGCCATTAGCCCGTATCCCCAACCCAACAAGAAGAGTTCCGCAATAATAACCTTAACGGTATAATCAATATCACTAGTCGTATACGCATCCCCCGTAGCCACAACACCCCCATCTCCACCCCCAGTCTCATTCGACCAAACCCTCCACTCCACGCAAACCGGACTAGCATCCGCATCGATATAAGTCTGCGTCTCGTGACTATACAGCGGCACCGGCCCCTCGACCGTAACATTGCTCCCATCCGAGTCCAGCGACGGCGCAGCCCGGGTCCACAGAATCACGCTATCGGCGTACGGGTCGCCAGACGCCACGCCATGCGTGAAATCCAGCTCTTCCGGTGCAAACGCTACAGCGCCGCGCTTCATGCTACGCCGCGAGACGTGCGGGACGTCGATTCCGAGGCCAGCGTGGCGACGGGAGGGACTCGCAAAGTTCAGATTGCTGTCGAAGCTCGCGGCTACGCGGGGGAGTAAAATCTCAGCCGCGAGACTGAGCGCGAGGATCTTATTCATCGTGGTTGTGAATGGATTCAGTCTTCAAGCTTAGCATGATACAACTTATATAACTTGAACCCGATTTATGTATGTATATATGTCTAAAGATCAATTAAAGCTATAGTATATCTATTTATACTTTATCCTATCAATATACCATGTGCTCATACCTACCTCTTCTTACGAACTACAAACTGTGCGTATAAGCCATGTGGGGGGTATATACATCCATACATCCATACATATGCATACCTACATCAAGCCAAAATCAAGGAATTTCATCGAGAACGGAAGGTCAAATCGATAATCGCTGCAGACGCCCCAATAAGCAAAAAGGTAACTGCGATGGCACAGGATAGTGCTACCTTGAGCCTCCTACGAGAACGTGTGTAATGGCGCCCTTCCTATTGGCCAGGACTTATTGCTCTCATGCAGCTTCTTCGATCCCCGCTGGGCTTGAGAAAGACGTGAGGTCGTCGTAATTCGGTAGGTACCGAATCGACAGGGCGTAGGTAATACCTAGGACTAATTACAGCCCGAGCTTATTTTCCAAGGCAGAGCCGCATTAGGTGGTAGTCTTATATGTACGAGTGTAGGTATATAAATATATGAAGGATGACTACCTAGGTATTCACCGAAAAGCATGAGACTAATCAGCTACTAGAAACATCTAGATATAACTAATATATATAAAACATATTACCATTACTAGCACTTCACCCATAAAAGTATCAGTGCAATTCATCACTAACCCAACTAACCACACCACCTCTCGTGCGGTTCTCTCCAGCGAACGCCAAGGATCTCGAAGATCTTCTTCTCGTCCCGCCCCTCAAGCAGCGTCCCTTCGTTCACCTTAATATTCCCCTGACCTCGTAAGACATTCCCAAACAACCCTCTTTGATTTAGCCGCATGCCCTTCTTCTGTGCCAATAACCGTATTGACCTATTGAATATGTCGTTTCCGGTGAAGTAGATAAGCGCTGCGCCGAGCTCGGTCTGGGGCACGAGTAGAATATCTATACGTCTCCATATAGGACGATATTCACTTCTAGGACCAGGGAACGCACTCTCTGGCAGCACACAGCAACCGTGCCATTTACTACCACCGTCGGTATCGTCGGCGTCACCATGGTGAGCAGCAAGCGCAATAGTCAAAAACCCTTCACGGGTTAATGTATCGACTAGCTGGTTCAGAAACGGAGTTAATTGGCTTGTAGAAGATGTGCCCTTTTTGGTCACAATCAAGTCGATATCGCCGGAATTATCAGCTCCCCGTCGATAGCTACCTCCAATAATCAACTCTACGTTGTGATCAATGATTGCGGCTGTTTCTTTAACACAATCGGCCAAAGCCTCTACTTCCTGTCGTGGAATCCGGGTATTCAAATCGTCGAAATATTCTAACCCGATTTTCTGGTTGGTATTTAGATCGGCTTTGTTCTTTAAGTCGTCTAGCGTCCGAAAGCCTTGGGCAACCCATTTGTGAGCCTGAATTTGACCTACACCATAGATCTGTAGAAACAAGCCTATGATCTTCCTTTGAGGGTCATCAAGCGCATACTCGAGTTGTCTTAGTCGGTTCGTAGTGACAATCTCCTCGATCTTGTCTGCAATTCTACCAATATTAGGCAGAGCGCGTGCTTCTTCAGCGGTGCATATCTTCTTTGATTGTGTTCGGAGAGTGGCGATAGCTAATCTATAAGCTCTAATACGGAAATCATCGCCGGTAAGTGTATGCTGATCCAGCATCTCTTGAAGAACCTTGATTGTCTCCGCATTGGGATTATTGTCTGTATGGTCCTTCGTTCCGCCCTTCATGCAGATGAATTTTTCTTGCCAAGCAGGATTTTTGCCCTTAGAATTGCCCATGCTACTCCTGGTTCTCCTTTTCCACGGCCTCTTATCATCCGAGCTGCTAGAGTCTGAGAGAACCTCAATTTCATCTGTTAATAGTGGCCCAGCAGGATCGTCGTCGTCCATTAACGAATCACTAAATAGGTCGCTATTACCCGTGGCTTTCATCTCAGATATACACTGTGTGAGTTCATCATCCACACTAGTATCAGCTGGCTGCTCTGAAAGTGGTACCTCATCTTGTGCATACGCTGGCTGGGCATTACCAGTGACGCCTTTATTTTGTTGCCTCTTGGAAGATGAAATCAGGGCAATGCTTCTCTGCGAAGAGCTCTGACTACGCGACTGGGTGCTTAACACAGGCGAACGGGGTCGCCTCGCCGACTTCCTACGGCTTGGTTTTAACTCGAGCGAGGCATCATCATTGTCTAAATGTGACAGTTCTGTTTCGTCTGCTGGTTTCTCAGCAGGCGTTGGAGTCCCAGAAATCTTATATTGGCTCTGGTTGGGATTTACGATTACACGGTGCTTAATGCAGTCAATGGGGTAATTTTCATTGACCAGCACCTTTTCTGACCACTTAGGGTCGTCTTGTAGCTGCCGCTCTATATCCGTATAGGTAAGCTTTTTATCGACAATTATATGCGTCGCTTCGTCTAGCTTCCTGCACCACCTATATGATATTCAGTTAGCCGATCGGTGTGTGACTATTTTCGGATACTTGCTTCTAACCGCCGGGAATAGGTTCATTAGAACGGATACTTACATGACACCGTGTTCCCTAGCTTTCCTGATCTGCAATCTGCGCACCGGGTTGATATCGTCATTAGGGATGTAAAAAAACGAGAGGTCTTTGAAAATTCGGCGTGCCTCAGGGGCCAGTTTCAGGGGTGCTTCCTTCTTACGTTTTCCCATCCTAACAGAGGGTGAAGGATCACTTTTAGGGCTAGAATGTATGGTGAGAAGACTCGAGTGCATAGAACGTGTTGTACGACGTGGTGGCTGTCTAGTAGCTGCAGCTGCAGTCTCAGGCACAGTCTTATCACTAACGGAAGTGCTTGCCTGTAAGCTTAGACCGCCGGTTCTTGACTTATTGCGTCGGGGAGTAATAGCAATAATTTCTACCTCGGGATCGCTGTTGCTATGAATGGGGTCTGACGCCAATTCCATAGGAGCAGCACCGACTTCCCTTGGCGCAGTGAGAGAAACATTATTGGAAGTAGTTGGCGCAACAGAATAAAAGGCTTTGGTCTTCTGCCTATATGCCTCCTCGTCTGCACCCAAAATATCATCATTTCCATCGTCATTCGTATATGCTTCGAGGCGTTCAAAGAATGTAATCTTTTCTTCTAGCTGGTTCTCCATTGAGTTAACAAGAAGAAAGACGGAGTATTGTTGATGTCCGTTTCGGTGTTCCACGTATGAAGACACATTTTATGAGTGTTGAGTGCTTCACCAGATTTGTACTTGTTGCAACTCGACAAATTCATCCGGTAGGCATCAGCTGCTAGGCGCATAATCACTGGTTGACTGTCTTAAAATGTGTTGATTGGTAAATTGATTTCAATTGAGAGGCAAAGCTAAAATCCCTTGATTTGCTTGATTTGTTTAGTACGCCCCTCAATTACACCGGACATGCATTTAAATAGACTGGGTACGTATAATGTACTTACTGTAATGAGCCACTTATTCACAAGATCAAGTACCCCAGACGTATCGTGAATTCATATAAATACATTCCATATTTGTAAAGGGCAGATATAAGACTCAGGCTTCCTAAAAGGGGTTTACAACAGGAATAGTGTGTCAATTTTTATTATTATCATTCCCCCCTACATTTCGCCTACATGAGAAAATTATGTATGTCTTAGATTTATTAAGTATTTCCATACTCACAGTCAGCATGGAGCAAGCGAATGTAGGTAAGCTAAATACTAATATCAGGGGTATATATGTAAATAGGTCAGTTAATCAACCTTTATGCGCACACACTGCATTGAATTCCATAACGCCTCCCTAGATACTACATGAACGAGCGAGATATTAGTCGCCAGTCAATACCATAGTTTTTCCATACACGTAGTCCCAAATACATAGTAAACCAGGATCTCATCGTACAAAACCAGCCCCTTATGATGGTATAGGTGACTGCGACTGCTGTCCAGCGTACACACGCGGATCCATCAGGGGAATACTATTCTTCTCTCGGGGGTCGAAGGAAGCCCCGGCATCTGCAGAGTACCGGCTATTTGCTTCGCCTTCGATGTCATTTAGCAACTCCCTAGTAATCTCCACGTAGTCGTATGCAAATTCACCGATCTCTGCATCGTCGATGCCCAATATTTCGGAGTTCTCGGTCGTTCGTAGTTGGAGGCCCGGGATCAAGTTTAGGATGAAGCAGATTATGCATGTGCCGACGAACGAGTAACAACCTCCGCAGATGGAGTCAGCTAGTTGGTATGCCAGTTGGATCCAGTGGTGATTCACCCAACCGCCCTGAATTTGCGTGTAGCCATCGAGGTGAGCGATATAGTCGGCGGCGAAGAAACCCGTGCAAATATTTCCTACAAAGCCCCCAACAGCATGCACGGCAAAAATATCCAAGGCGTCGTCGATCCGTAGAAAAAACTTGAGCTTGGTAGCGTAGTTGGCAAAGCCGGCCCCGAGAATTCCGTAAATAATTGCAGCCCAAGCAGGAACAAAGCCTTTCAACGGTTAGAGATATCTACGTAATATGCAAATTAACAACTGACCTGAACCCGGTGTGATCGCCACCAGACCTGCGACAACCCCGGAGCAGAAGCCCACCGTCGACCATTTGCCCTCTAATCTGTAATCAAGCACACACCATGTAATGCCGCCGACACATGCCGCCAGGTTTGTCACCACTGCGGCCATGACGGCGCGCAAGTTGGCTGAGAGTGCGCTACCGGCGTTGAAACCAAACCAGCCGACCCATAGAAAGACCGTCCCGATGACTATGTGAGTAACATTGTGTGGTCGGTAGTTTAATTCGTGCGTTCCGTGACCTCGTCGCTTTCCAAGCATCATCGAATCTACAAACTCACGTGTCAGCAATAAGAACGTAGCAGCTCCTAAATGAGATATATTCGAGGGGTGTAGACTAACATGCAAGCGCAGCTGTCCCGGAGGCAATATGGACCGGTGTACCACCAGCGAAATCGAGGCCTCCCATCTTGTTCGACCATCCATTAGGGTTCCAAGTCCAGCAAGCGATCGGATCATAGATGATCGTGGTCCAGATAAACATGAAGATGACGCACGGCAGCATTCGCCCCCTTTCAGCAACGGCGCCAGTCGCGAGCGCCACGGTTATGGCCGCGAACATGCCCTGGTAGACGGCAAAGAGCAAGTCCGGGACCTTCGAAGAGCCAACTGACGGCTGGGCCAATACATTTCTAAACCCGAAGTTGGACAAATCTCCGATGTAAGCAGATGCCGTGTGCGAGAATGTCAACGAGTAGCCCCAGAAGAACCACTGAAACGTAGTGACGGCCGTTGCCATGACGGAGAGCCATATTAGTGATAAGGCCGATTTACGTCGGGCAAGACCAGAATAGAAGAAGCTTTAGGATTGTAAGCTAACGAACGCCCGTGGCGGATATAAGTTGGCTGTAGCGCGGTTTACTTACCCAACTCCCGGAATCATGAGCAACACGAGAGCTGTGGATGTTATCATCCACGCCATATCACCGCTCTATACTCGCGTATTAGAGGCTAAATCCCTGAAAATGAGACTCGGCGAAGTTCATTTACTTACCTCGTACCATATATTCAAATCCTCCGTTAGAGAATCTCCGCCAGTAGGACCGCTGCCATTGTAGGGTACTTTAATGATATATCCCAATGCGTCAAGATCGATGCCATTAAGTACGACCATTTTTGTTACGTAGCCCAACGAGGGTCTCGGGAGTTGACTAGAACGAGATGATCGAAATGACTATCAGTATTACACATAAGGAGGGAATAGGTTCAAAAGAGTGTGAACAAGTTGGATGGATGCCGTCGGGAACTTGCAGTCGAGGAAAAGTCGAGGCGAGGGCTAGATCAAGTACGTCAAGTTCCAGCCGTGATTTGATGTGGGCCAAGGCGAAGTTAATGCAAAGTATGCGTTATTCAAACCCCTAACCCTTCGTAGTCGGGAAAAAGAAGCAATTCAAAGACAAAAGTTCAAAGACAAGCATTCACTCTCGTTCGGGTCAATCGATACGCCTATCAAACATGTCAAATTGGAAGCAGGGACGCCTACGGATTAACTCAAAAAAGAATAAGAATTGAGGCTTGTGGGCTAGCGGTCGAGGCCGGCGGGAAATCAATTTTTTTATTGATAGCAATCCGGGCCCCTTGTCGTACGTATGTACAAGCATAGAATGTACACAGGCGTCTGATGATATCCCATACCAGATGGGAGATTAGGAACAGCCACTCAGACAAGGGCATGACCTGCAGGTTGCAGGATCTGTGCCCGCCTCAGATCGGTGACATACATACAACATACATACAGTGGCAGTAACTAGTCTGCTAACCTAGTATGTGGTAATGTGGTATGATATGGTATAAGCTAAGCGGTAGCCAGCGATTTCGATATAAGCAGGGATTACTCCGACATGCCCGGCAAAGATAATCTAGGCTGCTTCTTGTTCTTTCTAATCGAACGTTGGGCGCGAAAGATAGGCTAGCCATCCGTGACACTACATATCCAATATTAATATGAGCAGCATACAGCAACAAGCTGAACTCAGTGGTGGCAACACCCTCGAATCTATTCTCTGGTGTAAGATTCGTCACCTAGGTGTCCTATCAGAGAGAACCGTTCGAGTGAGCCAGCCTCTTGTACCGGAGTCATCCGAAGAATCGAATGAGAAAAGGGATACGAGACTTGGTTTTGGAATACATAATTTTTTTTTTGATAGATGATGAAGTATTAGGTATTAGGTTAGTTGGATGCCCAAACAGGTGATCGATATTACGATATTACACAGCAAAACAAGTAAGAGAACAAAGATAAGCAAAGAGCAGGGTCCACATCAATCGGTCTACTATTGGGTAAGGCTCAGTAGTGGGGTGCAAGTGGGTGCAAGTGGGGAAAGAGTTCCCAGGGAATTGGGGAAGTACATAAGGTGAGGAGTAGGGGGGTTTGGACTTGGGCTGCTTGGCACATTCCGTCTCGAGTATGGATCTCGACAGGCTCGAGTCTGGTACATACGATAAGGTTTAAAGATAAAGTGGACTTCTATCGGAGCTGTACCCCAAAGTGCAGTTTCTGGTTTCCGGGTCCTTTTGTTATTAACTGAGTCCTCTTATTAACTAGGTAGGTACATATTCTTAATCTAAACAAGTACCTAACATACATCATATTCTCAGTCCTTACCTTAGGTAAGGTTAGGTATTAAATGATTTACATGCAAGTCAGTCATCATTCTCAGTAGTTAAACTAAGTACATAACCTAACATAAAGTGCCCAAGGTACATACATATATGTGTAGCCTGCCTTATCTCGCATCTCAAGGCGAAACGTAGCATTCCTACTGTAACTACGTAAAGTCGCAGAAGGCCTGACGTGAAGAACGAGCCGTGTCAGCTGCCACGGCCAACGGTCAGCCATCGTGTTTCCAGTCCCCTGGTACATCTATTCAGAATCTCCCCACCCCCATATCGGGAAGGTCAGATACCGATAGTCTATGCAGTACCGATATATCAAAAGATGCAGTCTAACAAAGGCCTTGTTGATCTTAGTACCGATAAGGCTAATACTTCGTGAACCATCTAGCTTATATTCCAATTGGGCGGTACTTAGTGTTACTTGATACATTATAGAATTAGTCAACTGTCTTAATGTCTTAACATCATTCAACCACCTACGTGATATTATTATCCGACATAGTTCCTCTTCAGAGGCTTCATACCGCTGTTTAATTAAGCCTAAGTAGCTACCCAGCTAAGTAAAAGATCACCTGCAGAATTGAGACTCTGGCTGCTTGATCCGATACAGGCTACTCCATTGAACGCAAAGTCTCAGTATCCCTTTGATAATAAATCTCCGGACATAGAGGGGCTATGAATACCGCATGCACCCCCCTATGGTGTTTCGCTGGTGTAAGACAACGCCTCACCCACGATACGACGCTGCGAGCACTGAGCTATTCTCAATCTCAGTAAAACTTCCGTTGCTATTCATATCATAAATAACACAGAACGAAATGAGTTATATTACTTTGATTTCGTAGTAGTACTGCCTATAAAATCTAACACTATCCCCCTGGACTCTGATATGCACATATTTCAATTGACTACCTTATCACCAGCAAGCATTGTACAACATAAACATATGTACGCGCGCCCCTTACTAAACACTCAAGCCCAATATACGTATGTGCGTATCATTTACACTAAGCACCACGGCTTGCCTAGATGAGCTGTAGCCATCTCGATTGTCGAGTCTCGATAATCATATCGACTACAATCGATATATCGGGGCACCTTAACTAGATTAAAACATAAGAGAAATTATATAACAGATGATATTTATGCCCAGCTCTTCAAGGTCAAGAAGAAAAGTCCCGTAGACTTTATCATGAGAGGGATAACCCCGCTAACACACCGTCCAATCACAAGTAAGCGCATAACCGCAATAGGTAGGAGGCATACAATTACCTTGGGGTCCATCCTACAATCGAGCTACTAGCTACCGCAATAGCTAGGGATCGTTAACTATTCGCTCATATATTTTAGATATATCAAGATCCACGATACTGGGCATCTTTGAGTGGGTGGAGGTGTACATTAATTATTAAGAGTACCTAGCGAAATAGCTACCTAATGGTCGAACTACATCAAAGTCTTCTATTAGACTTGTTTTCAAGTGTGCTATAGGAAATCGACCAAATAAAACATTACCAACTCTTTTTGTACAAACCCTCCGAACACATGCTAAAGTAAGGTGGCCTAGTAGCCCGTTTCCTTACCCAACTAGATTAAAATGTGTTTCTATTTTACCCCATTCCGAAAGCATATTCTCCGACTCTGGTGCCTTGACCAAGGAGCTGACAATGTTGATGCTGAGTCCGCCTATATGGCGAGCATTGATTACCGTTCCATTCGCAAGTGAGACTCGTACCTCGAGGTTAGATTTCAGGAACGGCTCGGCATCTTCTGCATGCAAGCTTGATATTTTACCTGATGTTACCATATGCATCAGGGCCGAGGTCATGGGGATTGTTCCCGTAACCATCCGATCAGAGGTGCGGCTGTGCACGCTTTTATGAGCGAAGATTCCGTGCGTGCCTACTAAGTTAGGTGCTACTGGCCATGATGATGGGTCGGATGGGACGTCCCCCAGGAAGAGATGGATTGAAAATGAACCACCCATCGCATGCTTGTTCACTCTTATGTTTGCAATCCACTCGCGATACTTGCCATCCCTAAAAACCGCGCCCAGGGAAGGTCTGCTGGAAGACTGGCTGTTCCAAGATATGCCATTCGCTTTATACGACCCTCGGTGACTTGGATGCTTTGTATGTCTGCTGCTGTGTCGCAGGCTTCTGTCCGACCCCATGAATATAGAAGCCGGGCTGAACTTTCCATAGAGCTTGTTGATCGTTGCCACAAGTTCTGAGCGATTCTTGTTGGCTACTTCGGGGTAAGTATAGCCGAAAACTTCATGATTTCGTACCATATCAGCCGTCCAGAAATCTGTTTCGTTGAAGAAGAATGGTGTGAGGGCTGTCTGGGAGTTTTCTACCTGCCCGGGAGATGTCGTATGAGAAGAATAAACAGCAGGCTGGGGGACTACGTATGTGTTATTGTAGAGGTGTTGCCACATAGTAAAGATCCTATCGATATTGGCATGATGTAGCCAGAAGAGTGGATCAAATCCGGAATAGGCTATGATGGCAAGATGCCCGTAAACACCTCCTCCAACTGTGTGGATTGCGTCGTGAAGAGATTCAAGAGAGTCGTACGTGCCATTGTTAGGACCAGGGATCCAAGCTTCGTTGCTGAAGGTTGTATAGTTAGGGTAATTAGAAAATAAGTTGTATAACCGCTGCTGGAAACTCGGGAGATGGACATCTAATGCGTGTGCTACGAATGAATTATTTGAAGTTGCATTTGCACTATTAATCGGACGAGGTGCTCGTTTTGTCTCGAGCCATGTATTATACTATGCAAATTATTATCAGCATGCTATCTTCACTCTCAGGGGAAATAAACATACAGGGAAATCCGGAAAGGTTGAACTATTAAATGGCCTAAAGACGTAGCTGAATAGGGGGTTGGAAATAGTCTGAACGCCGTTTGGCCCGGTCACGTTTATGATCGGCGAAGCACCAACGCTTAGAGGGAGGACACTGACTCCGTTCGGGGGGACGGCAGCCCAATCCCAGTACGGGATCCGGAAGGTATCTGCAGCTTTTTGGAACCGGTCTTGAAGTTCTGGTGGGTAAAACGACGCGATAAATTGAACAATGTTGTACAAGACTTGCTAGTACAGGCAACGTCAGCAGTTTTTCTAGAAAATCACGATTTATAATCAAAGTATGATGAATCTTTCCAATATACCTCATATAGAGCAAGATAAGGTCGATGCCAGGGAGGAAACAGAATGGACACATGAGTGCAATACCCGCTATGTTCATTTCCAGGCGTCGGGTCGACATCAGCCCATGTTAATGCAGGAGCTCCATGAATTCCTATGGCGAGTTAGAATATAGAATATAGACCCAATATTGCCTCTTGAACGCGTACCTGTGATCTGGTACCACGAGAATTGTGATTCCTGGTCGGTGAACTGCATCCAGCTAAGGGCTAGGAGGTACAAGTTCCATTTGTCCTCGTCATTTTGCAAATCTCGGATATCTTGTCTCAACTGCGTTTCCCCATTGAACCGAGGAGGGCCGGTTACGATAGAAGACTGAGACGGAGCCCTTTTTCGCAATCGAAGATCAGCGGTAAACCCATAGTCGTATTGCCCCGGCTGGACGTTAGCAATAACTATAGAGAATAGTAGAGTGAAGGCAAGGCAAATCTTATGAACGGACAACATGTCGGGCTCTCATGTAATTGGAGCTTCTTGGGAAAGTACGGATGAAGCCGGGAATCACAAAGGAGACACAAAATAGAGCGGCAAAACAGTACGACGCATGTGATTTGGGATGAAAGATATTGTTGGAGGTGCTAGGGGAGAAGCAGTCAAAAGACGAGATAGGATGAACTTGTCTCCCTAATAGATGTGAGTAAAACTAAAGGGCCTTAGGTTAGGGCGGTCTTTCCATACAATATGAAGACGGAACGATGCTTTGATTAATAAAATGACATTGTAACGGGAGGAAGTCAAAACATTCGGATACGCAGCAGAAATTTAAGGATGTATATTTTTGCAAGTACCTAATCTACATGTACATACTTAGGGGTCGTAATAGCTTATATTGGCACCTGCATCTTGCCTTAGTGTGGGCTAATCTTGGGAAATAGCGAACTGACGCGATGCGATCTCGCGATTGCTTCTTTTGCCGACTACCGTCCTCTTACAAAAACTGCCCAGGTGACTTTCTCGGTTGAACCATGACTATTTTTCTCCGAATAGTACTTCCCCATGCATCTTCAAAGTAATCAAAACTTCTAATGTATGAAATACCCATCTACCTAGTTAAGAACATCTCCCGAAAAGACGGCAGGACGCACGGCATTTACGCAGATATGGTATATGATACACGGTGGTTAGCCGTTCTGAAACTAGTTTAGTCCTAGCATCGGTTACTTACATTGCTGCCTCTCCCAATCTTCACCGCCGTCCTTGAAAAATCATCTGAAGATACTGCAGAAGAGAAAAAGCAAGGTACATTATTTAGAAATTTTATATTGAACTTCACTGTGTATCACTACCTAACTGGAATTATCCATTTTAAACCCGAAACCGAAGACCCGAAGCCTTTTAACTCCATCTAATGCAACTGACACCTTTTAGATTTCATCTTTCACGGGCTCTACGCGGCCGCAACGACGGGTGGGAGGGCGTTTGCTTTCTTTCCCGTAGAAATCACGTCCCATTTCGCATGTAACAGCGGGCCCTTTCGCGGAGCATCCTTCGGGTCGACTCGGTACTTCAACTTAACACCCATAGCTGCCAGTTCCACGTCAAGGTACTTGAGAGCGCCGGGAACTGCTACTTTCGTAGTATCTTCACCTCCGATCCACTGGTTCCCTTGTCCGTCTTCCCATATCTCACCAGCTAGTTTGGTTAAGTCGACATCCTTGATCTGATCGAGGCGAGTCGCGCAATTTCGGCATCGGACGCTATTCACTGTTTTCTTCCTACCCACAAAAGGAGAGACTGTAGGTTGTATCGATAAGAAAGAGCCACATCTACGGCAAATCCACGATGGTGTATAATCCGAGCAGTTGAGAAGACGGTCTTGGAGAAGGAAGGCTGTGCCGTGTGCTAACAAAGCATCTCGTTCCATTTCACCAACACGAATACCACCACCCCGTTTTCTACCTTTAATCGGTTGACCTGTCGTAGCGACTACCGGTCCTGTCGTTCTTACTTGGTACTTATCGTTGACCATGTGACGTAATCGTTGGTAATACACGACACCAATGTAGATATCTGCGGCCAATTCTTCCCCAGTAATTCCAGAATACATAGGTTCGTTTCCGTGATAATTGTAACCAGCTTTCATGAGTTGATGTCCGAAAAAGTCGGCCGCCGTATTATCCTCATCAAAACGGAAAGGAGTTGAGTCTTGTGCGAGGCCATGAAGTGAACCTGCCTTTCCTGCCAGCGACTCGACGAACATACCGATTGTCATTCGAGAGGGGAAAGCGTGGGGATTGATAATGACATCGGGTTGAATACCAGACTCTGAAAAGGGCATATCGATAGCCGGCCATTTCTGCGAAGCGACACCTTTCTGACCGTGGCGAGATGAGAACTTATCGCCGATGACGGGTGACCGAGGAATGCGAAACTTGACCGAGATTGTTTGAGCAGGCTCGTTGCCTTGCTCACTGCCGATTAGTCGTACCTCTTCGATGAACGCTTGTTCCGAATCCTTGTATTTCTCGTACTTAGTGACACCATCTCGATTTACTAAGTTACCACTGTAGTCTGCGGAGACGGTGTGGTAAGCAAAGACGATATCACCTTCTTGAACCATTCGTCCGACATATGGGAGTCCGTCTTCATCTAACATAGTTTGCGTCCATGCCTTGACGACGCTGCCTGGAGCGAACCCGAACATTTTAGTCACGTTTTTGGCTGACCTTGTACGACTTTCCTCCTTGAGCGTGTACTTTTTAGTCTTGTAAATGGTGCCATGTCCGAAGCCTCGTTCGTGGGCCGACTTATTTAGAATCATAGCGTCGTCCATATCATATCCCGTATAGGATATCACAGCGACAACTGCGTTTGTGCCGTTGGGAAAATTGTCGAAGCCGTACGCATTATGAAGTGGAGACCTGACAATAGGTGTCTGACCGGTCTGGAGGCGATACATCTTGTTGTCTGTCCGGTATGCGAGTGACGTTCCTGGAGTACCCATCGTTTGCTTACCCATCTGACATTGGTACATATTTCTTGGAGATTGGTTGAAGTCTGAGAAAGGTGTCATATTTGCTAGGATCGATAGAATATTCGTAGGGTCGAATTCAACATGTGTCGATTCTCCCGAGACAACTTCTTGCTCCGTGCAAGCAATAGACATATATGGCTGTTCTAAAGGTCCTACGAAGTCTTCCTTCGCTAACGGGAGGTACTTGGTTGGCCTCACCATTCTAGCGGGTTCAGAAGACATGTATATTCCAGGGTAGGATCCTCCCTTGGACGATGGTACGTGGCCGATTTCGAGGTGCACAGGGATTCCGTGAGAGCCTTCAACTTTCCAGTATCGGAAAGTGTCCGCTATTCTGCGCGACTCAGACGGGTGGCACCAACCAAGGATCCTACCATTTAAGATAACGACTACACTTTCATCTGTCGCGGCAGACGAAGTGTCAACGACGCCAAGCTCGGCGGCTAGCTGTGGGATCATTGAAGTGTTGACAGAACCAGTCATGATCTTGCATTTATGTGCAAGATGGTTAAGTAGACCACAGGGCGAACCATCGGGGGTATGAACAGGGCAGAGGAAGCCCCAAGACTCAGGTAATAACTTTCGTACCGTCGTAGTCTTCAGCTGGGCGAAGAAACTTCCTCGATGTACCATTCGAAAATGACTGATAAAACGAAGGAAGTTGAGCTTCTCGGCAACGACGGTAAACCCTGATACTTGTTGTAAATCTAGACCGGACGGGCTTGATAAATTGCCAGTAGATAAGAAATATTCCAGAGCATTACCGACATTTTCGTTAGTCTTTTGGAATATCTTGATAGGAAAATCCTTGGAAAATTCTTCAGAGGTAAATGACCTTGCAGGGTACCTTCTCATATATTCTCGTAGAGCACCGCGAAGTCCAACCGAGAGTAATTCGTCCAGTCGTTCTTTAATGATCATGCCGTATAGAAATCCACCAAGGAGAATTTCCTGATTTTGGACCGCATCAGGATTATCAACCGAGCAGTCTCCAGCAACTAAAGCATAGAGCTTCCTGATCATGAATAATAACATACGGAACTTGTCCGAATCTTGCTGCTCCGTCACGTTGATATTTCCTAAGTGGACCAACACGATTCGTCGCAAGAATTCGGTACCTACCTCGTAGTGCGATAAAGTATCGGGCACTCCTAAAACAGGTCGAAATTTCTCTCCGAGATACGCTCGAGTCTGCGCCATTGTATAGATTCCATAGGTCTTGTAGGTTCGTAATAAGAGCTCAACACGATCCGTGAGAAATGTATTCTCGGTGCCTTTTGAATCCGGAGCTCCAACTAGACCTTCAAAAATCTCTCTGTCGTTCGTCTCTACGAGTGCTTTTAAAATCATCATAACTGGGACTAAATATTCGTTCTTTCGCCAAGAGAAGCGAAAGGTAACATTGCCATCGTTTAGATAATGGAGAACATTCGTTTGCGAAGTTTCATCCGGTCGTACTGATCTAAGTATGATACCGTAAGGAGTGTAGGCAGGACCACGGTTGGTGAAACTCGGACGGTTGATGGCTAGGGGGAAGTTTCTTCGGTTGACCAGAAGAAGTCGTATAATCTTTTCGATGCCGTTCACAACGAAATAACCCCCCAGTTCTTCTGATTCCTCTTTACGTGCGACCAATTGCGCCGGGCTGTTATCTCTAAGGTGGCAATAGGCCGACTATAATACAGCTTAGCAAATCATGACTTTCACGAAAACATAATAATGACAGTCTAGCAGTCTTACCTTTACCATAATCGGCAGTTGGCCAATCTCTCGGGTGAATTCCTTCGCATCGCCATCGTTTATTCTGTACTCAAATGTGGCAGAAAGCTTTCCTCGGTATGATACATGTCGTTCTCGACACTCGGCGGGTAGAATCTCTCGGTTTTTGACCGCAAACTTATTGGTAGGCGGGAGTTGCGATTTCTGAAGGTGTATTCCCTTGCACTTGATCCTTAATCTGTTCTTCCCAGTTGGCGGAGCGCGGTCGTCTCCATCCAGAAACAACCTTGTGCCAATGTCGGCCAGTCCCTTCGCGACTAAGCCATTGTCGCCAAAGAGAGCATCGAAGGACTCGATATGTGGGTTAACGGCCTCCTGCAATAAAGGATACGCTGATCGATCTGTCGGAGGATCCCTAAAAAGCTTCTCTCGGCGAAGAGTGTTATACTCGTGGTCCCAGTTCGTGTTGGTTGGTTGTGGCGCCATGATGATAGATGAGGGATATCCCTGTGTTTTGACCAAACTTCAAGTCTCACTTCATACAGAGATATAATACAGATTGGCGCCCAAGGTTTGCGCGTAGTTAGGTCTTCTTGAGGAAGCTCAACCCCTCGGTTTTTGAGACTGCTAAAACAAACGGAAAGAAAAAAAAATCCTTATCGGCCAAAATATTTCACCTGATTTCCTATCGATAGATGTTTATCAGATGAGCTTGGCACTATGGGGCCTTGGAGTGGGCCTTGGAGTACGCCTGGATATCGGCATTGAGGGTACGTATCAAATGTCATCACTGCACAGTGCCCCATCCATGGACGTTGGTTTAGGCAGTCCCTACATAAAATGGCGGATAGTGCCTACACTACGACTTCACATTTACAATAGGGCCACCTTCTACATGTTAGGTCCATAGATGTACTATGTACACGGATAGCTCTTTTTATTTTTAGTCTTACTACAACCTACCATAGACATTAAGTTCATTTCTTTTTGTCTCCTTCCATCTTATTTGGGAAGATTTTGCGATCAAATTGCCTATCCTACTATCTCATAAGAGAGCTACCTAGCTTACCATTACAATAGCTATACCTTATTGAGTTAAGAAAGCTATAGGTATTCTGGAACCAACACAATAGTTCTGTACTATTATTCACCTTGGATAATTCTCAACCACTCATCTCATCAGGAAGTACGAGGTGCGACGTACATGGTTGTTGTCATCTTGCACCGGTCTTGCAGCCCAACCGACCTCTTAAGTTGTCTGCCGTGCATACTTGCATCCCGCAGGCTGCCTGCCTTGGTCTAAGTCTGAATCCGTCTAGTTAGTGGAATTTGGTAGGGTACATAACTTTGGAGTCTTAGTCCTGGATTTTATTTTATCAGCTACCTATTTACTTAACATAACTACCTACCTAACATACCTAACATACATCTCCTACCTCTGGGCTGCTGCATCTGACTTCGCTTGAAGCCGTTTATTGCCTGCATCTTAGAAGGCCTGACCGCTTCTGGGACCTCAAATTGCAGCCTACCATTTTCGACTTGGTTCTTTCGCTGCAAACAAGCCGGTCTCCGTCCAGTGCTCCGGCTACCGCCACCAACGCTTCCTACTCGCACCGTGCTATCCAGAGCTGAATTTACTACGATATCGTGCCAAGAAATCTAGTTGATTCGGGTCTATTCGATATCCTACAACTACGTCTCAAGAGCGAGGGGTAACTTAATAGAATAGTGTTGGGCAGAGCGAGCTTCTCGGTCCAGCAAAAGAAATACGTAAGGCATAACTAGCCCAATAAGCTTAGCTGCTGATGGTGGTGCTGCTGAGTGTGGGGGAACGACTTGGATACCTTACCCGCCCGAGCAGGTGACGGGTCTTCCGAGGCGGCCAGAGTAGCAGTTCGGGAAACCCCTCGAGGCGTAAAGCTGCGAGCAGAGCAGAGTAGAGCAACGCAACTCTGATTCCCATTTTCCTACGGTGCTCCACTACAGAAGAGGGCATAATAAGCCCCTTACCTTTTTTCGTTCTATCTCCGTCCCTCTGTTACGGCATTATATTCTACCCATCAACCGTGGGTTTGTTAGATAAAATCTCACATCGATTTTCATCAAAGCTACAATACAAGTCTAAGCAACCTGGAAACTGGGACCTGGGATCTTTAGGTGATACCTCCTCCAAGGTTGTGCATCTACGAAACGCTCGCAACGGGCCGGTCAATAGCGACTATCTTAATTCCCCATACTCGCGGCTCCAATCCGTTCCCGCTTGTTAAGCCCTCGTGCGGCGCGCCCATTACCTATTTCTCTCGCTGTACACAATCACTGCAATCACTGCAATCACTGCAGTATCCATCTACAGTGCACTAAGCTCAGATACATTTTAACCTATTTGGACTATTGTGGTTCGAAATTGACTGGCCTTGTCGAAATAGACGAATGAAACCCCAGTCTTTCTAGCCGCTGTCGGTTCAGATGCAAGGTCGGCCTTCTATCCCTCCCACCTGGTCACGTCCCAGTTGAAGGCACGGGGCATCATAAGTTCATAACAGCTTGTGCGATCTTCCGTGGTGGGGAATTGTGACCCTCCGTCCAGGCGTCACCGTTCATCCCGCTTCTATCTTTCATCAAATGCTGCATGTACCTTTACCACCGCCAGAAAGCTACCTTTGATAGATCGCATTCACCGAACGTAATTTTGCGACTGGGGCCGACTCACCCATTGTGAGCGCTACGAGCGAAGACATCGCGGCTCATCCTCATACGAGACATTTTTATTCCTATTTTCAGCAAGCAAATCGCAGCGCAAACTATTTAAACTTATTGTTTGAGACAAACCCCCAGTCTCTTTCGTCCACCGCGTTTTCCCAACTGGCTTAGCCTTGCGTGGAGCTGCAAAATATCTTCGTCATTATTATTTTTTACGATCCTGGCGATCCTAGCAATTACGCCCTTTGTTACTGATTAGAGAGAATTATTCCCGACCTGAACACGATGGCAGGGTTATTTCGGAAGGTGTACGACTGGTTGCTCAGGACTTTCTGGTGAGTTCACGAAGCTACGCTCAGCGCGGGGTCGCAGGATCACAGGGTCGTGCTGTTGCTCACCGCCGTACCTGCGTATGCATCTGCATCACGACGTCGCCGTCTCTTGCTAAAGAGTGCACTTTACTGATGATTTTCTCGCTAGGGCGACTGAGATGGATGTCACGATGATAGGTTTGCAGAATGCTGGGAAGACGTCTTTGCTCCGCGTCCTATCGGTAAGTACCCGCAGCCACCAACCACAAATCTCTTGAGCATTTGCTAACGACCCTTTGCTTTCTAGGGTGGTGAATTTACGATCGAGTAAGCACGAGACCCTCGTTAATGACTTTTGAAGATTTCGTTATACCGCGGGATGTCAATTTGGCTGTCGCTAGGTCGGCTAACAAGTAGTGTAGCTCTATTCCCACCGTCGGTTTCAATATGAAGCGCGTACAACGTGGCCATGTGACACTTAAATGCTGGGACTTGGGTGGTCAACCTCGTTTTCGGCCAATGTGGGAAAGATACTGTCGTGGAGTAAATGCGATCGTATTTATCGTCGACATCGCAGATCAAGACCTGCTGCCCATGGCTAAGGAGGAACTTCATTCCCTTATGTCGCAACCTAGCCTCGAAGGAATCCCTTTACTAGTGCTCGGAAATAAGTCCGACTTGCACATCAAACTTAGCGTGGATGAACTCATAGATGCTCTAGATCTCAAGAGTATAGGACATCGCGAGGTTTCCTGCTACGGGATTAGCGCAAAGGAGGAGACCAACCTAGACGCCGTAATTCAATGGCTTATGAAATGGGCCAACAGATAAACTCATCTTCGCCGCCCACAGCACTTGGGTTTTCATCGTTTTATCCTTTCTCCCTTCTCCCCCGGCTGCTAGGAAGAATAAGCTTGCTGCCGGGGACACCTTCCTTCGCCGCTTCTGCGATTGTGCGGATGCATTTTGACGACGCTAATGATATCATGGGGTGTAAAAGACGGTTCAGCTTCCGGCCGGCGACGACCTAATATATAAACCATCTCTCGCGAGCTTAAGTTTGGAGGTGACTATCGTCAGTATGCCTTCATCTCGATTCTCACCATCCAGTATTTTTTCTTTCGTTTCTATGTGCCTTATCTGCTCGACCCAAACACTGCATGGTTATTGGAAACGGAGTCGACGGTTTCAGAACTCGACATGCTAGAAGGGTCAGGATAGCCTTCACAATACGTTTTTTTTTCTCTTGGTCGGATCATCACATCAACGTTTAAGGGGGAGGTTTTGACAGTGAACATTGGTAGATGTTCGAATATGCAAGGAAGCCAAGCAAGGAAGCATCGGTGTAGTTAGGTGCATTTATGACCAAATCAATCATGACTTGACGACTTCACTAAAAGCCCATGAGAATGTTTAATAATACCATATGTGCATTGCTTCAATGTCCTTAATGTTTTGTAGGAGACGAGTAGTTGGCAACATTTTTGAGAGCGCGAAGAAGATGCGCATAGGGCGGCGCTGGGGGGGATAATCCTTAGTCGCCCTTGTAAAATAAAAAAAAGGTGTGACACGAATGTGCTGCTCGATATGGCGTCTGTCGCTCGACAGGGACTGCGGCTAAAAAGCCCAACTTTAACAGAAATAGGAAAAAGAGAAGACACGATAATCGGATACCATAGTGGATTGAGATGATTAGTAGTAAGGAAAGAGAAGAGAAAAAAAAGGGAGAAAGCATTGGTGACAGGAAGAGGTGCAGGAAAAGAGATACTTGAAGGCTACACACAGACCACATTTGATGCGATGATGAGTTGGCAAACCCTCCAGCGTCTCGACGATGGGAGGGGATTGATTGGTTCACAAGGCGACCATGAACAGCGCAACGTGGACTTCAGGTACCTCAACAGGGAGCATGTGGGTATGGATTTGGTATGGATTGTATGCATTTGACGAAATGTTGTTGCTGGTTACCAGTCAAGTGGTTGTTCATCTACATATAATACTTGCATCTAAATACGCAAGTAATACATCTAATACGGGTATAAATATCGTGAGTAAGTCATGTACCTTTTTTTTTTTTTTTGTGATGCTTTTCTTTTTCTTTTTCTTTCTTTTTTTTTTTTTTTGTGATGCTTTTCTTTTTCTTTTTCTTTCTTTTTTTTCTTAACTCTTAAAACGGGCGAGGACTGACTGGCTACTGACTGGCTACTGGCTGGCTGGCTGGCTGGCTGGTAGCGTTGTGTTGGAATGGGCAACATGCCATGGGCCCATGATATGAAATCTACGGAGATTTTTGACGTGGCCGCATGTCATTAGCTAGCCGGATCTGCTGCCCTCCGTCCCCTTCAACTTAGCAACTGATCGTCCATCTCGGGTTCTAGACTAGCTGAGCGCCCACGAGTACACGATATTTGTTCCTTTTGTAACTCCGGCGAGACTAGCTAGAGAAAATCCAAATACTCGATGCGTTCGTGTTGAATGATTGCAATGTTGATTAGGTTAGGTATTATCCATGTCCCAATAGGTATAGGTAATATCACAACTTGTATCGTGTGCCGAAAGTGGTATGTATTAAGAAGTCTCTTTATTTAATCTAGATTCTAATTTCTGGACGAGGGATGAAAACCCATGCACTAACATATATAATAGAACTACTATTATAACAGATCAGGAAATAAGGATGATCTTAACAAACCAATTTATCAGAGCACAAGAATCGAATATGAGTTACATACCTAAGTATTCCTTCAAGCTGAGGAAAGGTCAGCATATGTTGAAAATACCCCGCGTCTGGCATGTCAGGAACCGTCAGAGAAGCCAGACAGATCGGCTACGTCGGTTACGCTTGGAGCACATACAAGATAAATGTCGTGCCCGACGCCCACGTTGTCGAGGTCATCCGGGAGAGGTGATGGATAGTAGGTTAGGTTAAGTAGAGATATCAAAAGTAATGCGCCCACGAGAATAATCATGCGGCGTGCTCATTTACATATTAGGATGATATCCAAACAAGTTGAGACGATGCGAAAGAATTTAATTTGTATTATCCTAGTATCATTCGGACTCTGAATACTGCGTATTTCTAAGACTAGGATACTTAGCCTTGATTGCGGAGCATCGGGATTTATTCGTCATCTTCCAAGCCACAATTGAACACCAGCAGGTGATTTAGGTAAGATGCTGCGATGTCGCTAGTATTCTCGATATTTGGAATTAACTTCCATTTTCTATGTCGCAATAGATTCACTTTAACTTTAAAACGCCCCGGCTAGTTGGAAATTATTGGATGGGAAAGGCTGAGCAAGTAGATACGCGTATCGAAACTGTAAAAACTTGGGCTGAAGTTGTGAAGGTAAGCAAAGAGTACTTTGAGTTACTAAGATAATCGTTACACAGCCACCGCGAACGCCATGGTATGACCTTAGTCCTAGTACCCAATCCAGTGGCCAAGCAACTTATCCCACTCAAAATCGGTAATCGGCAGCTTCCAAGCCATGCCATGCATCATGTTGCGTGTTCATTGTCTAAGGGTCATTTTTTTCAATAAGAAGAATACTAACGACGCCTTTTCTTCCTTCTGTTCTCCTTGTTTTCACATCTTTTAAATGTTTTTTAACATTTATTATACTTTCCATCACACCTAATATTAACATACAAACCCGCGTGTCTTCGTCCCCACGTAACTTTTACATCCACATCACGCAAGCAGAGTACCATACATTACGACCCGACGTCACTTGGCGTCAGCATATCCTTGGCAACCAACCAACCATTCCTCTTTTAGACAATTCCAAACGAACAAGCTACCACTACATTTAGAGGCAACCGAAGCTGAGCTTTTCGCAACTTCATAAATTCACACTCCCGAGATTGCGCATCGTTTTGTCGCAACATCAATAGATACCTACACATGGCACCGCTTATCGATCTAGTTAGCGCCCAATTGGCGGGATTAGCGAAGCGGGACGGAGTCTGCAGAGACAATGAGTACTATCGATATGGCAGGTGTTATAGCGCCTGGTACTGGTATGGTCGATGGATCTTCGCCGCTGTAGTCATCGCTCTCATCATCGCCGTTCTATTTTATATGATGTAAGTACTTCCATTTGAACCACCAGTCAAAACCACAGTATCTAACAAGAATCACAGATGCGTCAACTCCCGTCGTCGTAAGCGTCGCGGTCTCCAGCCTATGTACGGTACAGGCTGGATGGCTGGAAATGGCGGTCCGAACAACAACGCAGCATATTACAACAATCCTCAACCAGGCTACGCCAACCCCCCTCCGGCATACGGAGCGCCACCCGGCCAATCCTTCCCGATGCAAAATCAATACACCGGCACTACCTTCTCGCCCAACGACGGTTACTATGCTCAGAACGAGGGTGTCCAGGCGCCCAAGAACGTCTACAACAACGGACACAAGGACGACTACGCTCCTCCCGAGGGTCCCCCGCCTAATAGATAAACTAGTAGCGGAATTAGGTGCACGAGCAATATCAATCGAAGAGCAAATGGATCAGATACGAATCGGACATACCCTTATTGAGGCTGGTGGTTTAAGGCGTTAGAAAAGGCCCTATCAGTTAATTGTTTTCAGTGTTGGTAATGAGGATGGTTGGCAAGGGGAAATATGTATTACGTCTAGAGCACTACAGAATTTCTATTACGAATGGAGAAGGACATACGTCTTATTCTCTTGCATTCGCCTATATGGATTACTTATTCATACCTTGACTATAATGTCTTCTAAGTTTAGGCTGTTTATGAGGTGCTTTAATCTCAAGGCTACTATTCAAGTACGATAATTTGAAACGAGAAGTTCTTGGTCTTATGAAAATCTCGTTTGCCGTAAAAAGTGATGGACAGATGTAGTCTCTAGTCTAGGACGAGAGGAAGTCTATTACAGTCTACCTTCTCTACCCTACAGTCTATACTTCGATGTTCGTAGAGGTGAGAAATATAGAAGCTGTGGAAGTTACAATAAGAAAATTCGAGAATCATGATAGATCAGAATTAGCTCAGCTCAGCCCAGCTAAACCTCAGTCCCACCAGAACTTTGAACCGTCGATACCCTAAACACGGTCCCGAGTTGTTTATGTAGATAAGCGGTCTCGACTTTGCAGCAATTCCCACAGTGGGGGGCTGCTGCATGCGCGAACCCCGCAAAACCGTTTCTCTTGTCACACTGGTGAATTCGAGATGACTCCACATCGAAGTGCTAGTCAAGGTGCTAGCTGAAGTGGCCGCGAGTACACTATTTCAGCTCTGCTATATAATTATGTTGGTAAGCAGTATAAATATATGATAAAAAATAAAAAAAAAATACATATCTACTTCGTAGGCAGGCTCTTTGTACGAAATCACCATAATATTGCTGGGGCGCAGCTGCACAAGCGCCTGTATGACCTTCCTAGCCCAGGCGCAGTTGACGCCAATGTTGGAAAAGAACATAAGATGCACCAGTCGATGTAAACAGGAGAAGTTCTATTGTCACTTGGCTGAAACTCTGGGCCTTTTCTCTATTGCATCATGGTCCATCAATTGGCACTTATTTGGTTATGCCATATTGAAATGTTAAATTTAGGTATATAGAAGATATACCGTTTTATCGAGTCTCTAAGAAAGGTGCCAATCACACTAGTTACCACTAACTAGGGGCGTATTGGAAGATCGCTTTGGGCAATCTTCTCGCTCTAGTGGCTGCGCGGCCTGCAGGCACCATCTAGCGGACTTAATTGCGACTTGTCCCTGAAATTGCCGTTCTGCATTCGCGCCCCCCACATTTCCAGGGACCGACCTTCGCCTCGTTTAACTGCCCTTCAGATTGCGCATTACAACATTGAGCAAGCATTTTTTTCCCAATTCCCATCCAGCCGACTTTCGCAATTCTCACACCATAGGTTGGAATTTATTATTTTATTTTATTTTGTTTTATCCTCTCTCGTTTCTACCCACATGGTTTAGGCATGTTTCCTTCTCATGCCCACTTCTTTGTTTTTTCGTAAGATATACCTAGGTGTATCGTTCTAACGTTCCTTCGAGTACCTAACCTAACCGATTCGCTTTGATCCTTGATCCTTTCATTTTTTTTTCCCAGGTGGATTGGTTGACTGTCAGGCTTTGACGTGTCGCATCCGCCAACATTCATTTGAAAATACATCAATACGACGAGGTTGCGGGGCGAGTTTTAGTTACGAGTGGATTCAAATCGAGTGATTCACGAGCCGAGGAGACGACGATATTTTGGTAGTTTGCATTGTATTTGCGGCTGGACGACTCCCACGGGTTGGGGAACATACGACTCATACCATTATTCCGTACCATGGATCTTTAGCAATCAACGCTTCTTCATCCGATCATTTTTACGAATAACCACAAGCTTTACTCTGACATTTTTATTCAACACCATACGGCAGAGGTAGATATTGGAGGATTACGCAATGCCGCACGTCGGCGTTTTAATGGAGCGTAGTCTCCAAGAACGCAGCCTCAGAGATGCGTTCGCGGATCTCTTCGCGCGAAGCGCTATCGCTGCGCTGGGCAAACGGCAATCTCTTGAGTCGCTTACGGGTGGAAGTTCTGACCCTAGAGTTGCCTTCTCCAGTTGGGATAACTGTATGCAGGCCAATATCTGCAAGTACGATTAAACCCTACTCGAGATATTCCCGGTTTGAAGAGACTAACATCTGCTAGGTGGCCGGCAATTGCCGTAATCATTATCGGTGGTCTCATCATTTTCTCTATCATTTGGTGTATCGCGCGATGCCTCTGCTGTGGACTTTCGTGCTGTTGCGAGTGTTGCTACTGTCTAAAATGCTGCGGTGAATGCTGCGGATGTTGCGATCCCCCTAGAGGAAAACGGAACAAGTATCTCGACGAACCATTCGTTCCACCGAACCATGAACAGAACCAGGCCTATCGCTCGCAAGCGCCTATGACACCAGGATTACCCGCAGCACCTTCACCTTCCGTTCCTCAGTATGCTGTATTTGACGACGGTAACAAGAAAGATGCAGACGCATTACCTGCGATGCCAAGCTGGGAGGGCGCGAAATCACAGAAGGTTTTGATTGAGGAAGAACCCGTCGAGATGGAACCATTGAAGAAGCCAGAGAATGTCCAAAACAACAATTCTTTCCCCATGAGCAACTTGCCACCGCATACGACTACACCAAGCCCAGTTTCTCCCGAAAATAGAAACCCCTACGGACCACCACCAGCACAAGGCGGACCTAATGGGTATATGGCAGCAGCGCGAGCTGGCCCAGATCCGTATTCTGCAAATGGCCAAGGTTATGACAACTATAACGGTTATAGTGGATATGGACAAGCTCCCCAAGAAAATATGAACCAGGGATATGGCATGGCAGCTGGAGCAATGAGGACCCAAACACCTCACCGTGACTATAATAACGGTTATGGAAGAGGTGGGGCTGAGCAAGGTTATCCCCCCCAATCGCGAACCCCGAGACCCTACAATGACGAGTACGGCCGCAGTGCCAGTCCTGCGTCGTACGGTGCCCCGCCTAGCTACCGTACTGCACCGAGCAATAACGGATACGGTAATCCCTCGCGAATGGCGTCTCCGGGCCCACAAGCAGGTTATGGCTATGGTAATGGCAATGGCAACGGAGCTCCATCTCGTATGCGCACTCCCGGTCCCCAGCCAGGCTACGATTACCCCCAGAGGTCACAGACACAAACACCCAACAGCTACAACCGCCAATACCCCCCGGCACCCCAACGACAGTATTCAAACGACTCTACCCGACCGTTAGTGCAGCCGGCGCAAGACCCGTACTTAGATGAACAAGGGCAGCGATCGCCCATCCAGAACAACAGCGGCTTCGACTTCAACTCTGGTTACAGCCGCTCCGAAACTCCTCCTGCGCAGACGCAGACGCAGACCGCAAATGGAGGAACTGCTTACCCGGGTTACCGCACATACCGACCCCAAGGGCAGCCCCAGCAGGATACCTGGAACGGAGTGTAAATACGATCAGCATAATAGAGTTAATTCTGCTCGTTAAGGTGTACCAAAATAAATCCAACCATAGGAAGTCCGACTAATACACGAATCGGACGGGCATACGCGGCGATCTGATGGGATTTTGTATTCAGTGACAAAGAAGGCGTTTCGGGACAAGGGGAGGGACGATCATCTGCATAGCATGATGGAATTCAGATATAGAGGTTTGCCGATGCTTTTGCGATTTACGATTTTGCAGTTGCGCTTGAAGACCAAAAAATTCCGCGGCCGAGTCGTGTGCTTATTATAGGGACAGACAGATGTACTAGGATACCTACCTGTAAATACGAGCCTATATAGGCTGGTATATAAGGGAATGAATTCGTTTCACATGCGTGCGGGATGTTTTTAAATAAATTAAATAAATTACGAAGTGCAAAACTACTATCGTGTGTGTGTTGAAAAACGCTAGAAGGGGGAGAGAAATTCTAGAACGTTCGTTTATGGGTGAGTTGTTTGTGAATCTTGATTAGTGAATTCATACGAAGCTACCAGTCACATGCAGCATAATAAGACAAGGTCATTTAGGTATTAAGCTCTTTGTTCCAATAAAAATGTCGTGGTTCATATAAAGATCCTATGATCTAACATAATAGACGGGTATCTTGTTATCGTATCTAACAAGAATCCAGGCCAGAAGGCAGTCTTCAGATCTAGCCAGATCAGGTATCTAAGCCAACACCTATGCCAACGCGATGCAGATGAAAATGCAACTGAGAAGCCATGCAGATATCAACATCCCTCCGGGAAAACCGGTAGGGTCCAAATACATTACATCTTCCCCTTTCCTTCTTCCTCCACTTCCCCTTTTCTCAGGGCCAAATTAAACATTACGCAACAGCAACACACCAAGGGATTATTTTCCGAGCCCGCCCGACACAGCCAGTGATACGTTGCAGTTCTTCTCCTTGATCTCGACCTCAGTCGTATTTCCATCATCATCAGTTATTATGTGAGTCGAGGTGATATCACAGTATCCCATAGGCTCGCCAGCTTCGCTTTGTGCTTCAGCGCTGGATGGCACTTCCCACTGTTCCCCGAGAAGAATGAACTTGCCGTCCCTTGTAACTATAAAGGGCTCTTCTTCGTCGCTTTCTTCCGCTATTTCCTTCTGTTCACCCTCCTGCTTATCCTCTATCTCGCAAGGTTGGCCAGCGCCGATATTACTTTCGTCGGATTCTGGCGAGGGTGTGCAATTGATAGTACTTCTGCTGGCTGTGCTACTACTTCGACAACTTCCAGCAGTCGCCTGTGTCGTCCAGCTACGGCTACCGAATGTAATACCAGCCGAATATACGGAATCGTCATCGGCTCGGGGGTTATTGGATCTTTCCCATGAATAACTTCGCTCCTGTTCATGAGAGTAGTGGCGACGTAAGTCTGGCGACCTACTGCGCCCTCGGGTTTCCTCGTTAAGAGGGGATCTAGGATATTCGCTGCGGCCGGCAGACCATTGCTGCCTAGGTTCTATGCTACGAGGTATCTCATACCCATTTTGGTAGTGACTCGTGTTATGGGTGAAGTTGGGATACTGCGTTCGTAGAGGTCCGTGTGTCGTGGGAGAGTAGTATGGATGATTGACAGGTGGTGGTAGGCCGGGGTACTGGTAAGGCTGGCCCTGTGGCCCCAAAGCGTAAGCTTGGGGGGATCCGAGAGAAAAATAACCTCTATCTATGATCCAGGGAGAATGTGGATATGGCGACTGAGCAGAATTTCTCATCCGGTAAAGAGGAATTTGTGCATAGCAAGCATGGCAGTATCCACCGGCGAATTCAATATCGCAATAGGGGCTATTTTGGTATCGTATATCCAGTGATGCTCCACACGAACATAAATAACCCGAATAAACAGAATGACGAGAATAACCATAACAACCCGGAACGCCCATATAGGCTGGGTTGGTTGTAAAGTAGGACGTCATTATGTTGGTGCTTTATTTTCTTGACCGTTGTTGGTGGTCTTAACGTCGGAGAAGCAACAACTAGTCGAGGATGGTTTCCAGGCTGAAGGAATGATGTCTAAGATGTCTCATGTAAATTAAATGTGGTAACCTTGAGTACATCACAAGGTTGTGAACAGATAGTGCGAGACAGTATTTCCGGGGAAGGTATAAGTGAGACCTTTTCAACAAGTTATCTAACTAGTAGATTCTAGAAAGAAGTAGGTTTTATTATTGACTGAGCACCTCGTCCGTTGATGGGGTAATAATGACGAGAGTTGAGTTGAGTTGAGTTTAGCGGAAAGTGGGATAATGTTGATGAATGAGTTCCCAAGAGGTGTGAGGTGTAGAAGTTGAGGTGTAGAAGTAGAAGTGTAGAGGTAGGGAGAGGTAAGGGCAACCGCAACCTCAGGTTCCGAAGTGATAGCAACGGCAGTCGCGACCAGAACCAGTGGGTACTTGGTAAGAGCGATGCTTAGGCGTGACTGCTTTTTGAGTTTCCGAATCGGATCAAAATAGAAAATTACATCAAATGAAATACCGTTGCCAGGCATAGGACAACATCAGGTATTTGTATTGTCGGGGGACCTGATCTGAGGAGGCCGTTCGTAGAAAATATCCCCCTGTCTCCTATCCGAGCAACCTGTAGGTTCAATTCATATGAACCTTGAACAACAATTCAGCCACCGTAAAGTATGATTCTGGCTTCAGTCCGAGAATTAGGCAGCCCTAAAAGTAAGTAGTCCCGTATATCAACTAGTACGGGGATACTAATGTTGAACAAACAAGTCAGCACGGATTTATACTCCAGAGATCAGGACGTGTGTTATGTCGCTCAGGCCGCTTCAAAGTTAAACGGTTCACGGTCCGCGTCGGATTGAGCATGTTAAGTAAGGAAAACTATAGGCAGAACAAGCAAACCAAAGCTGCACCGGCTACACCGTAATGGAATATTGGTGGAGGTGAACACAATACTCAATACTTCCTATTCGCCGTAGTCGACTCCAGTCTCACCAGTCGACAAAGAAGCGCGGTAGGCAACACGAAGGCCAACTAATAGTTACCATATGCAGCTAACATTTCTGCATATTTACTTCTGCACATTTCCGCTAAGACTATTGGCAACCAAACGCCTAACCGATCCACCGTTATTCCAGACTTTACCGCTTCTTGTAACAAACCCAACCATATATTATCCATATCTGAGATATCCAAATCACGACCGTACTAAAAAAAAGATTATAGTTTGTATATCATAACATAGAATTTGCAAACAAACACTGTATATTTGGCCAATGCTAAAGTTCAAGAAAAGAAAGGGAGCCCACGTTACTCATGAGGAACTAATTCTTTAGGTAATAGTTTTCCTCTTTCTTGACTCCTGCTGCTTCCTATTATAGTTTGCCCATCCAGGTCCGGGTCGTATTCTTCACGTCCGCTATCCGGGCCCTTTATGTCTGCCTTCTTGAAATTCCTAGAGTTGGAGAGCTTCATGCTTTCATTGCTCTCCCCGCTGATCGATTCGTCGTCACTTTCGATAAGCGCATCGTCAAAGGGATCTTGTCTATCCCCGTCTTCCGATGGAAGACTTTCGTGGCCAGGTTCCTTCAACTTGATAAAACTGTCGATAATGTAGTATTGTATCGCATTCATGATAAGTGGGAATAACATCATGACGAATACAATCTGTACGCGCTCGTTGCCTTCGGTCCATCTGAGCGCCCAATCTCCTACGCGTGATATCCATGGTAATATCAAGAATATAATGAGAACGCAGATCTTCATGCCAAACAGGCCACAGAAGTAGATGACAGATTGTTTTAACCACCACCAGGCGTTAGGTGGGCTGCCGTAGTTGCCAGACTGGATTGACTCTGGCGGCTTTCCCCAAGGAGTATATGCTACGAGGCCTGTGAAGACACGGAGGAGGATGATAAGAATAGGGATACCAATAGTAGTCTGCCAGCTTGTTAGATTCCCTCATTTTCATGAAACGTAAACATGCGCAAAGACTTACATCAATAGCCAAATTCAATAGGTAAAATGAACAAGGGTTCGGGACATATTCGTCCTCTCTTCGTAATAACCTCTCTGCCGTCTGCACGGTAACCGGATCCAACTTCATAGAAAACCGACCGCTTGTAAGCATCGACATAAAAACGTTCGCGATGTGCACCAAGACCGATCCGAACACCTGTTTCGATACATCGAAGAACCAGATCTTGACGGGTCGTTGAGGCCTTTCCCGCCACCGCTTGTAAACGAGAGATAGAAGCGCCAGTCCACCTAGCGCGAGTTGTACGATTAAAGCAAATGGCCCAACAAGCTGGCACTCCCCCTCCCCGCCATGATCATCTTCAGGACCGGGCATGGTCGTTGTTGCAGCAGCTGCTATCGCCGTCGCGGTGGTAGTAAGAAGCGAGGCCACGTCGTTGGTAGCAGAAGGGAGGTCAACTCCTATAACTGCATCAGGGGTAGCGGTGACTATTGCGGATGAGGTTTCGTGTACGAGAGAGGCAATCGTGGAAGAAAGCGACATCAACTCTGTGCTCAAAACACAGGTCGGGCGATACGAGGTAAGAAAAGGGAAAGGAGCGAGGATCGACGCCTAGGATCCAGCCAGGGTTCGTTTGAATGGGAGGGATTACTGCTAGAAAGTTTTAAAAAAAAATAGCTTCTATGCCAATAATCCAAATTCCAACAAAGATACAAGCGTAATTCAGTATTTATTACTGAACAAGGAGAGGGAAGAAATAAGAGAAAGCGGTTTAAAGGTTGAATGGTCTGATGAGAAGTGAAGAATGGAGGCGATTGTAGGAGGTTGAGATGGTAAAATGGGAGATGGACAAGCCACAAAGATCAGCCGCTCAGCTTCAATCCTTTTAGCATACATAGGAGCCTCTATGTATGATGCCATGGCGCAGCAGCGAGTCGTTTAGGCTTATAATTCGGGAGACGTACGGGGTAGGATCTAGGCTACTGCCTATCTAAAACCACTAGCCTCCCCCACCTAACCTATGTGGTACAGTTCAATGTTCCTTTAAGCGTTAGGTACTTTAGGTACCTTAGGTAGGTACCTTCTGCATTACTAGAACCTACCCGTTCCAAGTATTTGGTGGTATATTTTAGGTACATGTAATTAAGGGGTACTTATTTATAGGGACTCGCCAGCACTGACAGGTACATATAAGTATTCCGTACATCAGACATCATTTTAACTTTACCAGATGAAGTTCAATGTAGATTTCCAAACCGTCAGTTTGCCTGAAGTAACCAGGTCATCTGCAAAGCATAGTTTAAGTTTAAACATCTTACCTTACCTATCTGAACCTAGACTCATTAAGTGCGTCTATCGGACCATTCCAATACCACGTGTTCTACTTTCCGTTTGGTCTTATCTATCTACCTGTCTTCCAATTAAAGATAGACTTCACGTAGTACGAAGGTGGAGGAATAGCCGAGTGATGGTCATATTACAGGCTTAGCAATAATGGTCACGAGAGCAAGTTATGATTATAACTTCACGTTGAAAAAGGTTTACGTACGAATGCATTAAACTAGGATTAAGACACGTCCTTGGGAAAATCAATTCCTGAGGTCTTCTGCATTCTCAAATTGGAGTGGAAAAGCCTCAAACCATATGAATAAATAACATATTCTTCCGCGCAATCACAACGCCAAATAACTATGTGGCATAAGAAGTATGCCACAAAACCATCGAATAACCATGAATCAATCTGACCAACGTCCACCGCGTTCCATAGGTGTTGCTAATGAGCGACTCGCAATTTAAAGGGGTGGCACGCCTAGTAAAAAGCTAACACTGCGCCTTCGCGAATTATTGTATGCTATGACCGAATGCCCAGACATCCGCGCAGATAATCTGATGATCTGTACGATACATTTAAGTCATGCATAGCTTATTCGATTTCTGTGGAAGGATGCCCCGCACGAAGTTCAACGCGATCTTTCGTGCGTGTCGGGCGACGTCGTCTGGCCTACTCTTCTTATCCTTCGCCACCGATGTCGGCTCCTTCTTGATCGACGTCGTAGTGGAGGAGGTAAAGCTCGAGCTAGATGTAGTAGAAGCTGGAGAAGACGGGACTGCAGACGGAGCACGGGCACGGGTCTGGAGCCTGTCTGCAGGCCCGTCTAATTGTCAATCGATTCCATGCTTCATCTTGAGCTGCGCTAAATTATCCTTGCGAGCCTGCAGGTCGTCTTTTGACTTGAGGGTCTTCTCTGGTTGATGCCATAGAACTATATAACATATTAGAGACAATATACAACTATAAATGAGAGTTGATGTGATGATGGGGTAAACGTACCGACGAGATATCGGTTCTGAAAGTTGTAGCCATTTAGCTTCTCGAGAGCGTTCTTCGCATCCATGACGTTCCAGAAGACAACATAGGCGGTTCCCTTTGCTTCGACTGAAATACCCTGTCGAATTTGACTGCAATGATAGTTAGCAAGATGATTTTTGATACCCGATCAATATGGGAACGTACCGAATGAGTCCGTCCTCACCGGGATCAAAGAGTTTCCAAAGCGCGTCAGAGGATACTTCGTAGCTATAATTTCGTTAGAGGAAATTCGGGAATAGAGTTCAGAGGACTTGTGGTGACGTGACTAACTTTAGATTCTTCACGAACAAAATTCTGGACAAAGAGGTTAGCAGGTGTATTAACAGTTGGCACGTAATACCGGAGGCGAAAGGAATTAAATGCGTCGACTTACGGGAGCTGCTCGGGGGCAATCTTGCCGGCGCGACTCATATCTTGATGAGGCAACTATTTATTGTATTCTCGAGACTCTGATGGTTGGTTGTTGGATTGTTGGTCCAAGGAGGTGGTGGTATTGATGGGGTGTTTTAGGATGTAGTCAAGATTGGCGAAGAGGCGTGTGCAGCTTTTGGAGGAGTCAATCTGATTCTGGGGAGTTTCGCTCTGGGCTACGGAGCAAATCGGATTAGGCCACGCTAAAAACCGAGCCTTGAGAAAACACGTGACTCAATGGTGCCTTATCAGATTTCACCGCTTAGCGACCGTTTAGCTGTAGGTAGGTAATACTTACCTCTAATAAAGGGAGACCGCTTTGTGACCTTGTTACACAACGCTAGTAATCAGTACTGTGTAGAATTAAAGAGCGACGTTAGTCTCGTGACGCATAAATCTGGTAGTTACCGTTGACTCGAGCAAGAATTTGGGGTTTAACTGTTACAAATTTATCATACATTAACCTTAACCATGAGATTCAAAATCCCATTACTCATAACCAATGCATTTTAGAACGAATACGGAAGCCTCGATGAAGTGGATAGATTTAGTGTTGCTGTTATCGATGCACTACATAATACACAGTATACATATGTTGTGCATTGTCAAGCAGGCGGGTTTGAACGACCCTGTTACGTCATTTGAAGGACACCTAGTCGCTACATACGTCTCACTGAAGGCATTTATGAAAAGAAAGTTCGTACTAATTTTATATAATCTACATTACCTCATATGTAGTTCAAAGACAATACTACTACCTCTACTCATGTTAGGTAATTTCTCATTCCCCATTTTCGATACCGAAAGAAATGTAGTCAGAGAGATATTATTTTGAAATCCGAGTCATCTTAGGGATTCCTCCGAGCTGCTCTCCGAAACCGTGCTCCGAAGTTATCAAGAGTGGCTGTAAGCTCCGATTACGCCAGGATCGATTACAATAAAGGTCATTAACTGCTGGCGTTGATAGTAACACAACACCTCCAAAATATTAATTATGTCGGACAACGCGGACCGATAGATTGCTTTGTGATGGATATGAATTAGATAGGTGCCTAACCTACATATCATCTAAGTGGATAGAATGTACTCTATACAGGTATAATATTATAAGTACATATTGTTGAACCTATGGCCGAGGGAATGTCCGTATTTAGAGGTAATTGTAATTATTATATATATATGAAAGGCATGGTGCTTTCCAATTGAGGTTAAGAGATTAGGTAAGATAAAGGTAAAGGTACCTAAATATATTGCCCCGGTTAATGCACCTAAAAGGTCGTTTTTAATTAACCTTTTTCCCTTTCCAAAACTCAAACAGTAACACCGTAGTAGATGATGAACTTACACATGTCACGGCCTACATGTAATGTATTCGTAGAACGTGGGAAGATAACGCCCCTGTATGTAAAACGGTAAGCAGGCCATGGAGACGTCCCCTGCACGTTTAACGGATATATTCACCACTTTGGATTCTTCCGTTATTTGATATCTTGATATCTATCAATTTTGCCGGAATCACGGAAATGCCACCCATGAAACCAACCAAGGAAAAATGTGGCTTCTTCTGAGGCAAGGCGCCTCGAGACGTTGGCTACTAGTTGTCGTATTTTCCGTGCTTTCAGCATTAATATATGATCACTATCTCCGATCGACAATGGCTGAAAAGAAACCTAATTTTCTGATAATCGTCGCTGACGACTTAGGGTTTAGCGATACATCTCCTTATGGAGGCGAGATCGACACCCCTAATCTACAACGGTTAGCTAACGAGGGAATTCGTATGACCGGTTTCCACACAGCTGCATCATGTTCTCCTACGAGAGCTATGCTTCTGTCCGGCACAGACTCACATATCGCCGGGTTAGGTGTAATGGCGGAGAAAATAGTAAGTTCTAATTGTAGTAAAAGTTGTTACGCCATCTGTCTAATATATTTCGGTTAGAAAAAGGCCCCGGGCATCTTCAAAGATAAACCTGGCTACGAAGGATACTTGAACTATCGTGTAGCTGCTTTAGGGGAGATCCTTCAAGATGCGGGATACTTTACACTCATGAGTGGAAAGTGGCATCTAGGCTTGAAGAGGGAACTTGGTCCGCATGCGAGAGGATTTACCAAAGTACTTTCTACCCTTCCTGGAGCTGGAAACCACTTCAACCACGAGCCACAGTTATATGACCTTAAGGAAAAGCCGTCAGCTATCTTTAAGGGCGATGGGATATGGATGAAACATTCAGAGTTTATCAACGGGAGCACAGATCTACCTAAGGACTTCTACTCGTCTAACACATTTACGGATTACTTCTTAGACTTCTTAAAGGAGCGAACAACGGATGAGCGATCACAGCCCTTCTTCGGCTATCTCCCATTCACAGCCCCACACTGGCCACTACAGGCACCACAAGAAATCATCAAAAAGTACCATGGCAAATATGATGATGGTCCCATCGCATTACGAGATCGCAGACTCCGAAGCTTAATCGAAAAGGGGCTCGTGCCCCCTGATGTTGAGCCAGCTCCCATGCATATGCTAAATACCAGACCTTGGGAGGAGCTATCAGACACAGAGAAGAGAGAATCATCTCGAGCCATGGAGGTTTATGCGGCAATGGTTGATCTTATCGATGTGAACATCGGCCGCGTGCGGTCTTATCTGGAAGAGACAGGTGAGCTTGATAACACATTTGTTGTCTTCATATCCGATAATGGGGCCGAAGGACAACTGTTGGAAGCCTTGCCCATCTTGGCTGGCTATACAGTAGAAGATATCGTTAAGAAATACTACGACAACTCGTTAGAAAATATCGGTAACTACAACTCCTTCGTGTGGTAAGTTTAGTTTATTTAAAATACTGGCCATTTATTTGGATTAATTAGTTAATTAAAAAAAGGTACGGGCCTCAATGGGCTGGGGCCTCAACAGCTCCAGCGCGCGGGGCAAAATCGCACTCAACCGAGGGAGGGATTCATTGTCCTTGTATCGTCAGGTATCCGCCGGCGCTAAAACGGGGCGGGCTGGTCACCAGTACGTTTACGACGGTTATGGATATCGTTCCAACCATCCTAGACCTCGCAGGCTTGAAACACCCGAGTCCCGTTTTCCGTGGGCGCGAAGTGGTCCCTGTCCGAGGAAAGTCTTGGAGACCGGTTCTAGAGCACCCAGAAGACGAAACTATTCAGATATATAATGACACGGATATCGTTGGCTGGGAACAGCTTGGAATAGCGGCAGTCAGAGTAGGAGAATGGAAAGCACTATTCCTCCCTCCTCCTAAAGGTCCTGGCAAATGGGAGCTCTACGACTTATCCAAGGACCTCGGCGAAGTCCATGATCTAGCAGAAAGCCAACCGGAGAAGCTGAAGGAGATGCTTCATCATTACGAGACGTACTTCCAAGAGACTGGTATGTTCGATTCGTACACTATGTATCAGGAGGCGTTGAAGCAGAGGAAAGCGGAGAAAGTGAGAGTGAAAGTGGACACCGATCAGTAGTATGTATACATATCCAGAGCATTGGAGCTCAAGTCAACTAACCTATTCATCAAGCAGTCCGCCATATGTTTCAATCATACGCCAGAGTCTGGCTTTCGTACAGGAAAAGTTTCACAGCATTCTAAAAGGATACTGGGGCGAGGAGTAGATAGATCTCTCACGAGTGTAGGTAGGTCTCGGATAAGAACGAGAGAAATGGCTTCTTACTATTTAGGGAATTTCTTTTCTGTCACTGTGTTCGTTTACTCGATGCTTCTGGTAATTGGTGCTATAGAGTGTTCAAAGGCGATATAGCGTGTTACCCATGATATCAGCAGGTCTTTTGTACATGTTCGAGAATGTAAATACCATTAAGATTTCAGCACATTGGACTGGTTCCATGCTCTTAATTGAGTTATGGAGTTGGACCTTTCCCACTTGGTTGAGATGTGACGAGTCAGGCTAAAACATCCTTATACTTATTAATTTCACGGCCTATGTAGGCCTCACTTGATTAGGGATCCTTTTTAATCACTCCAAGTTAAGAAATACTTTACTGGGGACTGGACTGCTCGGATTCTTCTATAGCACCTGTACTTATGTGAGGTCTATTTATATTCCCCGTAACAGGTAGCTATATATATATATATATATTTAAACCCTTCAAATAACTTGTTAACTATATTTATATCGTCTATAAGTTTGCTAACAGAGAGCTCTTATAGAGGTAATCCGATTCATTCCGTTAAAAACAGCTTGTGCATATCATTGATAACCATTGTAAGTATTATCCGGTATCGAATTTTATGCTACCACGTTAGTCATATTTATATAAAAGCTGAAGAAGCGCGGGAGACGCTCAAAGATAACCTTAGACCACACATGATCATACACTAGGTCTTTGGTTAAGAGGGGATTTTTACGTGGCCTACAAGGTTGTATCGGCCAATGCTGCGATGATGTCCCTTGCATCGCGGGGAATGGGAAGGGGAGAAAGAGCCTGTAGATAGTGATTGGTAGGTCCCAATTAAGCTGAACTATGACAACTAAATAACTAATTGGATTACCATCATAAGATTCATAGCAGATATCTTTGAGAGGATACGAGTTGTCTTGGGTTTATTTGTATTCATACTCAGGCTGTTCATACTTGTACTTACACGTGTTCTACCAGAGAGAGGTTGCTCTGGTGTTGCCTTAATAATGACAAACAGAATTAAAGAGGTCCGTTACCTAAATGTACGGTGTACGTATCGTGTAAGTTAGAGATAGCAGGTACGTATTGTTTAATGATTACCCAATGAGGTAAGCACATCTTTGTCATGTTTTTAGGTTAGGTACCTAAGGTAGGTACCTTTTCGTCCAATGCTACCTCATTAAAGCACCGAACTAAATCCGCTAATGGGAATTGAAGTTTAGGCATGTTCAGGGCAGCCCTAGAGGACCCCTGAAAGTTGGTTGATCCGAGCGGATAATCCGCCATAATCCGTATCACCCTCACATCACCTTTAATAAACAACTTGCCTAAGCCAACATGCAATACCTCCTCCCTTCCATCTCGTTTCAATTCCCACCCAAATCTCTTTATCTTCGTCTATAATCGCCTCTGGACTTTCTATTCTTTCCCCCCAAGGCCCAAGCGAAAAACTGTCGACGTAGAAACCTGCATCTCCTCTCCAGGGTCTCTTCAGGGTCTTGTGTGCTCCACACAGCCTGCAGATGCCATCCGTAACGCCCTTCGAATTACCCATGCTCTCCCCGAGTAAGAAGAGGAGGCATGATGACGACTCCAGCCAGGTGCAGGTTCAATTGTACGACGACCCGCAAATATATCCTCGTCAAGTCCGTATCAGCTAACCACGAGTCCCCCATACCAGAACATCCCAACACGAGTCGACGAATCTTCTATCTGCCATCAACAATAATGAACGCTTCATATTCCCCACATCGGCCAGAGGTGCTGCTTCCCTGCTGAATATGCCTCGGAAGATGATACCTCTACCTGTGAACAAGAGATTCCGGCTTGTTAACGACAGCGATGGACATCTACATTCACACAACTCCTACTCCCATGCGCACCCCGAGTCACCGGCGCCTACACCATCGCCACAGCACACCAAACTAGGCATAAGTCTCAAAACAGGGCCATCAAACTCGCAACCTCTTCTAAGCCCCTGCCACATCTGCCACCGGAAACCCACCAAGAAATCCGACCTGGACTCCTTCGCTGACTGTCTCGGCTGCGGACAGCGGTCCTGCTTCGTATGCCTACGCGCGTGCCGGGGCTGGCTCGCATCCTCGGAAGAAGATGACGACAGCCTATCTGCATCGTTCACCATGCAGGATGTAGACGACATCACCCCCGAGTCCTCCCCCGAGGCAAACCAGAAGCAAAGAAAGGGAAGCGGTACCGGGCCCGACTCGAGCTGGATCGGCCGCGGCCATCGGGAGCTGATCTGTAGCCGGTGCTGCGTGGAGCGCGGACCCGAGGGCGACGTTGTGTGTTTGGGGTGCTTGGCCGGCATGGAGGGGGCATAGGGTGCCTCGACAGACGAGCAAGACCAAGAGCAAGAGCAAGAGCAACATTAATTAATTAACCACTCGTCATTCAAACGAGACTATCACTCCAACACCGGACACCAAGTACGATAGCTGTGCGAGCTTGGAAGGAAGGAAGGAAATAATATAATTCGGTACCGGGCGGGACGGCACTAGGGAGAGCCCTATCTGGAGGGCTCGCGGGAACTTAAGGCATGGCCACGGCGCTACGGGAACATCGCATCGCATCGCATCGTATTTTAGCATATGACTTCGCAAGATACCATTCATATCCGCAAGCCGCGGGTGCGTTTATTACTTGCCTTGGAAGAGAGAGAGAGAGGGAGAGAAGAGCGTACATAGCATACTTGGGTTTTGGTATCTTACCTACCCACCTATTGTAACTTATAATAACTTTAGGTAGTGTCCAGCCTAGGAAGTTGGTCAAGTAGCACGACCAACTAGGCGGGACGGAATGGAACGGGACGGGACGGGGTAAGGCTGTTTGTATCGGCACCCGCACATCATGTAACTAGTAGACACTCACGAAACAAGACGACTTTGATGACGACAACACAATTTACGTATAAGTAACATAACGCATAATGCATAGCACATGGCACAAGCGAAGCTGGCTGTATTTACCTATGCTAGGAGTTACCGCTGAGTCTACATAACATTCCGGCCTAACTTGCTGGCTGGCTGGTTGGCCGTAGTCCATTATCTAACTACTATTCATACAAACAACATATCTCGCTTCCTTGCTCCTATTTAACTCTCTAGGGGTACGTCTAGTTGTATTGCATGTATGTAGCGGTCGAGTTGAACTTAAGGTTGCCCTTGATAACTTTATCGACGGCGCTCAAGAAGTCCTTCTCGGACGCAACCTTTCTCCTCGCGCGGATGGCGAACATGCCCGCCTCGGTACACACGCTGCGGAGTTCGGCACCCGTGGCGTTGGGGCATAGACGAGAGATTAGTTCCCATCGGATATCCCGCTCGACGGACATACTCTTGGCGTGGATACGCAAGATGTTAGCACGGCCTTCAAGGTCCGGTAGCGAGAACTCGATCTTTCGATCGATTCGACCGGGCCGCATAAGCGCGGGATCTAAAGTTGAGGGTCTGTTGGTGGCAAACATGACCTTGATGTTGCCGCGGGCATCGAATCCGTCTAGCTGCGTGATAAGCTCCAGCATAGTTCGCTGTACTTCGTTATCACCACCGGCTCCGTCGTCGAATCGAGCACCACCTACAGCGTCGATTTCGTCAAAGAAGATGATGCAGGCTTTCTTCGTCCGGGCCATCTCGAATAGCTCTCGTACCATCCTGGCTCCCTCACCGACGTACTTCTGTACTAACTCACTACCGATGACTCGGATAAATGTAGCGTCTGTTCTGTTGGCGACGGCTCGCGCGCAGAGGGTCTTTCCGGTACCGGGGGGGCCGTATAGCAGAGCACCTTTCGGGGGGTCGATACCTAGGTTGACGAACCGTTCGGGCGATAGCAGCGGCATCTCGACGACCTCTCGCAGCTTCTCAACTTGCTCTTTGCAACCGCCAACATCGCCGTAAGTAACATCAGGCTTCTCCTCGACTGTCATCATAGTAACGCTGGCATCGATCTTGGGGGGGAGTGGTAATAGGATCTGGTATTTATTTCTGTCAACGCCGACACGCATGCCCTCTTCGATATCGGTGGGAGATACACGCTCGCCGAGCTGGACGACGAACTTAGCGATTTGCTTTACGTTGATGACATATTTGCTCTTGGTCTCGTCTTTCTCGTCAGCGATGATCTTAGTGCACCGCGCTACCTGAAGTGGTTGCTCTTCTGACATTCGCTGACGGTCGGCGGCGACATCCCACAAGTGCGGCGGCGCGAGGCCTGTATCGGACTCCTTGACTCCGATCTTCTCGTCCACGGCCTGTTGTTTCTCCTTAATCTGTTTCTCGAGGTTTTTGAGGGCCGTGCCATAGGGTGCTGCTCCGTACGTCTTGAGGACTTGGATATCTCTAGATATGAGGTTAGATTCGACGTAAGGTGGGAAGAAAGGGAAATTGGGCTGAAACGTACTCGTCTGATAAGGGCGTGATCTTCTTCTCTTCTATTTCATCGTCGGCGAAGTTCTTCTTGTACTTCTCCCAATTTGATCCGGTGGCAGAAGGCTGAAGTACCGTTAGCTAGAGACTTGGGATAATAAACGTAGAAATCGTTATACCATCTTCTTAGAGAGCTTCTAAAATTAAGAAGCCCGCTGACGTTGTTATTATTATTAGAGAAAAGAGGGAATTGGTGGGAGGAGGTGAGGACGGTGGTTATTTGAAAGTTGTGTATTGTTCGTTGGGTGGACGGATAAATAAATGGTTGATGGAAATGAATATTATGAAAATAAGGCAAACTGGAAGTTCGCAAGGTCACTGATTGATGATGAACAAATGTGGTTGCATAAGCTCCTTCATTGCCTAGAGACTTGCAGCTTCTAGATAATAGAGGTACGTACCGAAATTTATGCTATATCTGGTTAGTGGATAAGTAGCCTCGCAGCTACCCCGGGAGCATTTTGCATTTTATTTGTATTAAGCACATGTACCAAAAAAATATCACAGCCTAGGCGGGGAGCTTTTATCACGTCTCTTATAAATCTACCTCTTTCATAAATCGTAGGCTAATATTTTCGTCTACCCCTACGACAAAATTCTAGGATTCTATATCATTCGGAATTCAGAGTTTCTAATAATAGGAAAACCTCTGTTTATTAAAATATCGAACAGCTAGATCGTCATGGCTACCGCAACGCAATCCCCCGCTGGCGCACATTCCAACGCTACTTTTAGAGTATGACCTCTATTTCTTCAACCCAACTTGCAATCTCGGGACTAGGGATTCTTGTATAACTAACACGTAACAGGATAAGGAAAAGCCCATCGCCGTGCGGTCTGCAAACATCGTCGCTGCCAGAGGTATGCATATCTCTATACATCCTTCCGGAACACTTACTAAAGCCCAACAGCTGTTGCCGATGCCATCAGAACCTCCCTAGGGCCTCGAGGAATGGACAAGATGATCAGGAGTGGGAGAGGCGAAACCATAATCACAAACGATGGAAACACTATGTTGAAGAGCATGTCTGTCATGCACCCCACGGCCAAGATGCTTGTCAACCTCTCAGCAGCACAAGATGTCGAGGCAGGAGATGGTACGACATCGGTGGTAGTTATATGCGGTGCCCTGCTCGGTGCGGCAGATAGATTATTATCAAAGGGCATCCATCCTTCAGTTATTTCCGAGTCTTTCCAAAGAGCGGCGGCAGCGGCAGTTCAGATTCTCCACGACATGTCGCAACCTGTCTCCCTAGCCGACAGCGCCACCCTTCTTCAAGCAGCGAATACATCTCTCTCCTCAAAGATTGTCTCTCAATACTCAGGCTTACTCGGCCCTATGGCGGTCAACGCGGTTACAAAAACCATCGATATCAAGTCAGCGGACAATGTAGACCTGAAGAACATCCGAATCATCAAGAAGGTGGGAGGTACGATAGAAGACAGCGAGCTGGTAGATGGAGTGGTCCTGAACCAGTCGGTCATCAAAGCAGCAGGCGGCCCAGTGAGGGTGGAGAAAGCCAAGATCGGCTTGATCCAGTTCCAACTAAGCCCTCCCAAGCCAGATGTAAGTCAACATGGATAAAAGTCTCCTGTCTACAGTTTTCTAATTACGTGTATAGATGGAAAACACCATTCAGGTAAATGACTACCGTCAGATGGACAAGATCGTCAAAGAGGAGCGTCTTTACCTTCTTAACCTCGTCAAGAAGATCAAGAAGGCCAAGTGTAACGTGCTTTTAATTCAAAAGTCTATCCTACGTGATGCTGTCAATGACCTCTCCCTGCACTTCCTTGCCAAGCTTAACATTCTGGCGGTCAAGGATATCGAGAGAGACGAGGTTGAGTTCATCTGCAAGTCTACCGGCTGCAAGCCCATTGCAGATATCGATTCCTTCACTGAGGACAAGCTTGGAACAGCCGACCTTGTCGAAGAGGCTCAGTCTAACGGTGCACGGATGGTCAAAGTCACAGGCACGAAGTCGGCGGGAAAGACGGTGTCTATAGTCTGCCGTGGTGCCAACAGCTTAATTCTGGATGAAGCCGAGCGTTCGCTCCACGACGCGCTTTGCGTCATCCGCTGCCTGGTCAAGAAGAAGGCTCTTATTGCTGGTGGTGGTGCGCCAGAAATTGAGATCGCGGCTCAACTCTCTAAGCAAGCACGCTCACTTACCGGTACAGAGGCTATCTGCTGGAAAGCCTTTGCGGATGCTTTGGAGGTGATACCTACAACGCTAGCAGAAAATGCCGGCTTAAACAGCATTAAGGTGGTTACGGATCTGCGACATAGACACGAGATGGGAGAGAAGAATGCAGGTGTGAGCATCAAGAGTGGTGGTGTCAACGCGAACATCGCCAAGGAGAATGTACTACAGCCATTATTGGTGAGCACGAGTGCTATCGAGCTGGCGGCTGAGACGGTGAAGATGATTCTTAGAATCGACGACATCGCATTGACGAGGTAGTGTGGTCTAAGACAGCTAAAATGAAATGTACATGATAGCAATGAAATGAGACGTGATGAGATGACATAATCAGGGGTATAAATTCTCCTTGACCTTATAAGATCGTACTACGGGTAAATAGGCGGACTAGGGAGAATTATAGTAAGATTTAACTAAGCCTAGTAATATCAAAGTGATGCAAGTTTTCTACGATGTTATAACATTGCGATTTATAATCTATCTATAATCCATCTATAATCTTCCTATAGTGGAATTATAATCTCCTTATAGTGGAACTAAGGGGGGGTTCGATTAGTCACTCGGCCTCGGATTTATAGTCGCTCTCTCACCATTCCCGATTAACGGGTCGGTTAGAATGAACGGGGTCGGAACTTGTACACTAGTTATCACGGCGGTGAAAATGAACAAGCAATTGCGGGGCAGGGCAGGAGGGGTTTCGGCTTCAATGGCGTCATTTCCGCGATAGTTGGCTAAGTCGAATTTGTGTACCGGAATAGCATTTGGATGTAACATCTAGGTAAAGACAGGTACCTAAAATAATAATAGGGTACCTAATCATTAGTAATTCATGTCGGGGCAGCAGCCTTGGAGCCATAGCTCTTTCGTAACTTTTACTAAGGCTGTTTCTGATCAATCAAATCCTGTGTAAGTTCCTTTTTTTTTTTTTTCTCTTCCCCTTTTCTATCTAACCCTGTTTTCCAATTTTGTATGTAAATTCCATATACTACCTATACGTATCTTCACTCGGCCGAGTCCGAGTCCCGGAGCCGGAGGAGGATCATCCTTCGACGAAAAGAGTCCCCCTATGAATGTCTATATAAGAACCGCGTCCACCCGCTTACTGGCTTGTAGTTCTGGAAGAAGAGCTGTAGCACCGCAGGCAGCAGTCATTCCTTCGCATTTACAGAGTATTCGGAATAATCCCTTGATCATACATATCCGCAACATGGCGTCTATCCCTACTACACAGAAGGCTGTCATTATCGACAAGACGGGAGGCCCTGAGGTCCTTCAGTATAAGACTGATATTCCCGTCCCTGCTGTCATTGATGGTCAGATATTAGTTAAGAACGACTACCTTGGTGTCAACTTCATCGACACGTGAGCATCTTCTTCTTTTTTCTCGTTCCTCTCATTGACAGTCTTATATATATATATATATAATATACTCTGATACTAACCAATGACACAGATACTTCCGCTCAGGCCTATACCCAGCACCGCAATTCCCGTACATCCTCGGCCGTGAGGCAGAAGGAACCGTCGTTAAGACAGGCGGCGGGAACCTATACGGGTTGAAGGAGGGCGATAGAGTTGTCTGGTACGTTCGATCGTCCATGTCTTGATCCAGACCCCGCATTGCGACATGTGATAACCCCGCCCCCTGAACCCCTATTCATCCCACCACCACCACCACCACTACACCATACATACACTCTCCTGTCTGATATTAACTAATACCCCTCCAGGCTCGGCGAAGGCGCCTACGCAGAGTACAGCGCAGTCGACGCCTCCAAAGCCATCAAAATCCCCACCGGTATAGCGCCCAAGATCGCCACCGCCGCCATCCTCCAAGGCCTAACAGCCCTGACCCTAGTGCGCGAAGCCCACCGCGTCGAGAAGGGGGATTGGGTTCTCGTCCACGCCGCCGCCGGCGGTACCGGCCTCTGGCTAGTGCAACTCTTAAAAGCCATCGGCGCCAACACCATCGGGACCGCGTCCACGCCCGAAAAAGTCGCCCTCGCCCTCAAGGCCGGCGCCACCCACGTCATCAACTACAGCCACGAGGACGTCAAGCAAAAGGTGTCCGAACTGACCGGCGGCAAGGGCGTTATCGCCGTGTTTGACGGCGTCGGGAAGTCGACCTTCGATCTGAGCTTGGAAGTCGTCGCGCGCAAGGGCTCGCTGGTCTCCTTCGGCAATGCGTCGGGTGCCGTCCCGCCGTTGACGATTGCCCGGCTAAGCGCCAAGAACGCGCGGTTGTTGAGGCCTACGCTGTTTAACTATATCGCTACGAGGGAGGAGCTCGAGTACTATACTAATGAGCTATTTGGCTTTCTTACCGGCGGGAAGATTGACGTGCGCATCCATGAGGTATACCCCCTGAGCGAGGTCGCGCGTGCTCATGGCGATCTTGAGGGTCGGAAGAGTACGGGGAAGTTGTTGTTAGATCCTTCGAAATAGGGAGAGAGGGATGTATATGATGGGTTGGAGGAGATACCTAGTCTTTCGTATGTAGCATCATCGCAAGCCAATTTACTCTCGTGAAAACTATTGAGTACCTATGAATTAAGTCTACCTTGACAAGATCTTGTGTTTTATTCACAGTTATGGTATAGTCACTAGACGTCTCCCCCCGTAACTATCGCTAGAGCTAGCTAGGTATCTACAGCACGACGTAACTAACTGTAATATTCGCCAAGCTAGTAAAACCCCAAACCACAAAATGTCAAGGAAACTAGCCGCCGAAGCAAACCAGCCCCGGCTTGCGGCCTATTTCCGGGTATCCCTCTCGAAAACCGTGACAATAACAAAGACAATAAAGCCTCTACATCGGGATCCGGACTCTCCCACCAAAAAAAGAAAAAGGGCGATAGATAATACATATCAACCACCACGCTGGGGTGCATAAACAACCCGCCTCAGGCGCCCTAAGTAAGCCCCTAAACTAAAAGTGCAAACCGCACCGCCCCGCCCGTAGGAAACTTTTTGTCTTTCGTGACCCTGAAACTCCGCAAAGGAAACCCATGAGATATAATGACCAAAGAGGACAAGCAGAAGAGGAAGAATAGGTAGGTAGTTATATTGTCAATTAAGTAGCATAGCAACGTAACACAACGGCTACGCAATGCTTATTTATTCATGAGGTATCGTTACCGAGCATCGAGTGTACGTGGATGAGTTTGGGACCATGTTCGCTGTTATATCGTTAGTCTTGATACTTTTACATATATACATACATAGCAGATAGGAAGAAGAGAGAAGAAAAAAAAGAAAAAAGAACTTACTTGTAATCAACACGATTAAGACTCATTGTGCGCTGCGCCTCTAATGTCTGGGCGTCCAAATTATGGATACAATACGCCAGACGGGCGGCGATAAGAGAACCGAGGAACATGGCCTCCTCGAAGCCGTTCTTAGTCCACTCGGCTAAGTAGGCAGGTAACGGGGCCACCTTAATACTTGTAGGCGTCTGGGCGTGAGAGTGGTGGCCGTAACCAATGTCGCCGGAAGTGGAACCAGGAGCCTGTACCGTGCCGGGCACACCCAATGAAGCCGTAGTAGCGGCTTGCAGGAGAGGGTTTACCGAGCTGGTAGTGGGAAGTTGGCCTGTGAAAGAGCCAGTGGGTGTCTGAGAGCCGGTTCCACTTGGTGTTGCCATGTTGGAGGGCAACTCCGAGGTGAATATGGTCGCAGTGCTAGGTGATATCAAGTGACGAGCAGTAAGCGTCTGAAGGATATTCTCCTTAAGACCTCGTAGGCGACTGCCATTGCCGACAAAGACAAGGTTGTCCCAGCAACCGGGTCGCTTATAGGGTTCATCAATGCTCTGAATTGCGCGATAGATAGTATCGGTGATTCGGTTAATCTCGTGACGGTCTGCGAAAAGGAATCGCTCCAGACCAACCTCAATATCTCGTCGTACTCGCTTCGTTCTTCGCTCCGTGTTAGTAGCGTTAGCCACAGACTCTACCACCTCGACATTGGGATCGCTAGTACCCTCGGGCTTAGCCTCGGGTTTCGTCTCTTGATTGCTAGGCGTAGCATCAGCCATGGACACATCAGCCGCGGGCGCATCACCATTTGCGGCAATAGCAGCTTCTGGTTTAGGGGCACCGGTCGAGATAGGAACTTTCACGTCCTCGTGCACCAATTCCTCATAATGGAACATGTTGGTTTTTCGCCTGGAGTTGGATAGGCGAACTGGCTTCGCCGCGGCAGGCTCAGCTTCTTGGGCTTTAGCCAGCTTCTTCGACTTCGCCTTTTCAGCCTTCTCCTTCTCCTTTTTAGCAAGGAATTCTCGCGTGTTACCGCTAGTAACGATATTCGCCACGTCTAGAACTCCTTCATCGATCTCCTTACCCTCGACGATTCCGTTCTCAGTCTCACCCCCAAATGCCGTTACAGGTTTCGGTGGTTCTGCGGGCTTCGGGGCTTCTACACTAAACGAGGCACCGCCGGGAATCTGGCCTGTTGTCGGAGAAATATCGTCCGTAGGAAGCTCCATGAGTTCATCCAGGTCGGTGGCGTAGGGGAGGACTTCGCACAGAGGACTCTTCTTGAGTTGCTCGGCCATTTCGTAGTTAAACCCCTTATCTTTTAGAAGTGACAACAACTTCTGTGTAAAGACCTCTCCACCTGATATCTCTCGTACCGGGTTAGGATAGCCTAAGCCCTTCTCGCTGACGATGAGATACTCGTGGATGCAGGTAACATCGACTTTCTCGTAGCCAATGTCAACAACCGTCATAGTCGGCCACTTTAGGCCATATTGCGCCGCAACCGCGCTGTGCAGTAGGGATAGAGCAGGAGTCTTAGTCTTCTCAAATACGTAGCGCGCGATAGTTTCAAGATCAGGTCGGGTCCACTGTGGTGATGCCATCATCATGATCGGGGTGTTGTGATATGTGGTAGTGAGAAGACCATGTACGTGGTCGAGAAATGCTAAGAAGGCCGTCATGTTAACAATGCGACCACCTTCCAAAGGGTAGATTGCATCCTCATTGCTATCGCGATCTTCGACATATTCCCATTGATCCTCAGCTTTCTCACTGCCTGCGCTTCCCGATGTGCTAGCCTTTTTGCGCTTGTAAATGCGGTAGGGAGTATATTCGTTAGACTCGGGATCCTTAAACATTCGCGTGGGAATGCGATGAGCAGGCGGGGTAAGCTCATTGCAACCGAGCTGAGCCATAGTAGTCTGACTACCGGGACAGACGACGAGGATTTGGTCCTCGCGCCACTTACCCTGCTGGCTCGCCATATTGAAGAGCTTACGAGAAGCCTTGTTGGTAGGAGTTTCTTGCTGGCGTAGGAAGGTTCGATGCGATGCTCTAGTATCTCGGGATGTTTTTGAATGTAAATATCGATTGGATATGGAGAGACGGTTATTAAATTGACCGTTATTGAGGCTAAAACCCTCGTCGACTACCGGAGTAGGATGATCTAAGAATGGTTCAAGAATTGCTCCAAGCTCGCGCGTACCAACGCGTCTAGTTCGACTTCCATTCTGAGACTGAGGCTGAGGAAGTCTAACCTGTGGCTGGGACCTGGAAGAAACATTAATCCATGCTACATGCCTAACATAATAAGGTAACATTGGAAGTGGAAACTCACTGTAATCGGTTGGCATCGGCAGGACCCGAGGCTGTGGCTAGTGCGACTTGGCTTTGGCCTAAGGATCGATTACGACCTCGGCTTCTACCTCTGCCCTTTCGTGAACGTTTTCTTCGCTGCATTGGAATTGAATTCAACGATAATTTATTTCTATATCAAAATCATAAATCCAATATTGATGGTGTTTAGTTAAAGTTTGAAGAAAATACGAAATACGAAATCGTCAATATGTCGTTGCTATGCAATAGAAAAAGATACGAGTTACAAATAGCGATAGGTTACAAGCACATCTACGCATTCACTACAGCAGGCAAGTCACTGTCGTCGTCGCTAGGGCTACCATAGGGATGCATTGTGGAGTAAACTTTCAAGAGCTTACATATGTCCTATCACTGCTAGCTTCTAAAATAGCTGCCTGTTAAGTTACTCCCTAGCATATATGCCTGGATAATTCACTATTCCTGTCCATAGTAATTCCCATAGAACCTATTCCTTCGACTCGTACACATACGCATGCCATTCCTCTTCCCAGTTTGCTTGATGATTGCAGATTGGTACAATATGTTAAACAATAAAAGTACATATCAAGGGTATTATTCAGCTCGAGTAGCCCACCTCGCCCTCGAGAGACTTGTCTAATGTTGATCGCAGCGCATTGAGTATCGTGCAAGATAGCCTCATACCTATAACCCGATCATTCCTTGATCATAGTGGTATCTCATCCTTCCTGTAATCGTTCCTATGCTTTCCCAATAACTCCAAAAATTCCCATGGTTGTGACTGAAGAAAAATGTGAACATTACACCACGCTTACGCAACAGTGACAGAGACGTCAGGAGTAGCCTTAAAGCCAGTCTGCTCCTCTGTGCCTGTTGATGTCCCGGTCATGATCTTCTCTCCATAAGAAGATCTATTTCCTACTTTAGAAGAGCGGCCGTTAATGCTCCCAGATTCTTGAGTAGGAGTGGCCGCGTGCTCAGCATTCTCTTTAACCTCGTGTGAATCGCTAGCCTCATTCGCTATCGGTATCTCGTCCATTACTGCTGCATGCTTGGTAGGGTCTTCTTTGGCCCTCGGTGTAGTCGCTTCGTCAACTTCGCCTTCAAGTTCAAATTCCTGTCTAAGTGGGCTGCCCATTAAACCATTGACATCTCCCATCTGGCTTCTCGTGCGAGATGTACGGGCAGGACTTCTGAGCGGAAGCGGGGGTGGCACTCTTGCAGGAATGTTAACTCGAGAAGCTACCATCGCTACTCGAGCGGGCGCCTGGGCTGTAGCAACTTCGAAAACAATGGCGTCTTCTTCCACGTCAGATTCGTCCTCCTCTTCCTCTTCAGCTTCCTCTTCAACTTCCTCTTCTTTGTCGCCATTGTTATCATTACCCTCACCTAATACCTCATCGGCCACATTACTACCAATGTTTTCGGTGTGCGTACCCGTACCCGTACTCTTCGTGTCTTTAATAACTTCAACTTCTAAATCATGCTCATCTTCCTCCTTAATAATCGTCGTTGTTAGCTCATCGTCCAGATCTGGGAAATTTGATAAGCTCCTCAGAGCACTGATATCAATTTTAGTATAGTCAACCTCAACAGGCTCCTTCGCCAGCATGACGTCTTCAGTTGTCTGTGGTTGGTTCCCATCTTCGCTTTGGCTTTGACTTGAGCTTGGGGTTGTCTGAGGCGTTGGGAAGTTACAGGTTTGTGTGCCGGCATCGGTCATCTGGCTTCGTTCAGTAGCCATCGTTCTACTGGACATATAGCTTCCCCTATTGCTCCGTGACAGATAGGTATCCATACTTTGGCGACCAGCTTTGGGAAAGAAAGGGCTCGTCGGACTAGGGTTATATTCAAATTGGCTGCTATCGGGCCTTAGTCGTGTGCCGGCTTCACGGATACCCATACCAGCCATCTCGAGAGCCATGACACCAAAAGGATCCGGATCCTCGAAATCAGGAGCTCCAAATGTTGTCGACGGGGCTCCCGAACTCGGAGATTCGATGGTTGCATCTCCGGGTGCAGAGGAAAGCAGGTCAACAAGGGTTGTGTCATAGTCCGTTCTTCCTTCGGCAGCCTTGAGCACTTCGGTAAGAGGTCGCGTTTGGGGTAGACTTTGGTTGATATCCCCCGCCAAAATTTTCGCGACACTGATTTTCATTCCATAGAATCTCTCATTCTCATCAGCCCGCTCGGTTACGACTATTCCGTCCAACTTGACCTCTGCACTTTGTCCTTTCGCTTTTACGTACGCAATTGCCCTATCACTCAGATCGGCCCATGTGACATCGTTTTCAAGGAGACCCACAGCCACCAGAGGGCCAGTGGTTAGACTGACATCGGTACCAAGAGTTAACCGTGGCTTTGCAAATGCCTCGAGGACCGTAAAATTGTTAATAACGAGAACGCAATCATAAATATCAACGCCAAAAACAAATCGCAAGCTAGCTGTCTGAAGCATTAACCCAGACGGCGGAGACCATGTTCCATCCGTTTTGCGGGCGATCAGAATGCCGCTGCCGCCCGACCCGGATCCGGAACTCCATATTCCAGATCGCATCGAAGTAAAAACCGCAAGCCCTACAGCATTTTGTAATATTCTTGGAGGGATCTTCTTTAGAAACTTATGTGACGATTGTGTACTCGAGTAAGTTGACGGAGTCCCCGGTCGGTCGTCTGGGGTTGAGAAGCCATCGCCTGTTGATAGGCGTCAGTTACAGGATATCCCTTACTTGCGGATACGAACAGTGAGAACATACTACAGAAGGATTTAAGAATGCGGGCAGCCTTGTCGCATTCCTTGTCTAAAGTCGCGGGTAGGAAAATATCCCTACTTAGCCTCGACGTGCTAAGGCGGCTTACAGGTGAAGGGATCTTGTCGGCCCAGCCGCGGACGAGGTCGACGCTATTTTTTCGAGTAATGGTCTTGTTATGGCCATTGCTATTACCAATGACCGGTGTGCTCGATCTATTGCGATCCCACGGGAGGAGGGCGGAAACTCGCTGCATCATTAATGGCTAACTGCAACTAACAAACACGGATCGTCACCTTCCGAAGGAAAGACGAGTTTGCGCCCTTCGGAGGAAAAGGCAACCTTTCGTCGAAAACAAAACTACAGCAGGTCGTCAAGATCAAGGACGGGGAAGTCGGATTTGCTCATCAGATAGGCGCTAAACCAGCGGCATTGAAGAGGGAGAGGATATGGTATCCAGAGGTTTGAGTCGGAACGCTTAACGAAGGGGGGACTAGGAAGAACTGACGACAACTCATGCAAAGGTTGGTAATGGTAATGGTAATGGTTCTGGTTCCTTTTCTCTGTTAGATACATACGATAGGCGGGCTGGCGGGATGGGCTAGAGTGAAGTTGGCTGCAGACAAAAGTGACGTTTTGACTGGGCAGTCGACCTTCAAGCCGGCTTAGGATGCATGCGTAAATGCATGTTTAGTGGAGCTAAAGATCAAGGTAAGGTGACCTAGGGTCAGGTAGGCGCAATTTGTGCAGGGTAGGACAAGAACAAGACAGGCTAGACAGGGAAGCGCAGGCACGCCCGGCAGCACCAAACGGCCAGGGGTAAGAAAGAGACTTTACCATATTAGGATAGTTTGCAATGGCGGGGAGTAATAAACGGAGGGTTGCCGCACTACCGGTTCGGTTTTAATGAATTCAGGAACAAAACTACAAATTATTTCAGGTACCTACCTGCCTACCGCACATATATTGTGGACATACCGCTACCTCGGTACCAAGTAAAAACGGGACTGGCCTTTCATTTAAGAGGTACGCACATATATAGGTATATATAACAGTTATTTCCAAGCGCATTAAATCTAGAGTCCAAGCGGGAGAAATGAATCATTACGGCGTTATGATATGTATTATATACCGTGTCTTGGTAAGCGTTGTTAGGTATGTACGGAATATGGAATGTGCAGAATATCAGATGCTCTTAAACGATCTCAACTTAGACCTTAGACCAAAAGCCAAAACGTAAAGTTTAACAGATACTAATACCAGATACATAACCCGGTTAAGAACCTTGGAACTTAAGTCTAATATATATGAACAAACGTGGCTGCAGAAACTCTATGATACAGCGTTACATGTGGTTAAAATAGAATACAGTATGTATCGGATTCCACTTTACACGGTTCAAGGATCTCGGAAGACATATTAAATGAAACAAGTAAAAACGCCTCCGTACGTACTTAATGTATTACATATCTACCTAATGTATACCGATTTATTTTAGTTAAAGCTTTGAATTAAGTACTAGTTATGCGATCTCTTAACTCATTACAAGCGAAAGAAAGAAAAAAATTACATGTAATTAAGGATCGCCTTACCTTATCCGATAATTTCTAGCCGATCTTCTCATCGTTGGGACTCGGGAATTCGAGTCGATCGACAAGGAAACCCTGGAAAAGCCTGGAAAAAGGCCAAAAAGGCTACTCTCCACACCATTAAGTCCTTCGTTGCTTTGTTTTTCTCAACTGTCTTCCTCGTTCTATATAGGTTGAGTCCAATCATGCACTTTTACGTCTCCGTACATGTGTGGATCTAAATAAGAGGTATGTATGTTGTGTACAGTAGAAATGTTTTCGATGACCATGTCCTTTCACTTACACCAGTATCATCATCACCATGTAGGCTTTGCTGGCTCGTCAAATGTCGGACTGCCCTACCGCCTCAAACGTCTGTGGAGATAGATACCATGTGCATCCGCGGCGTTGGCATAAAAATGACACCGCCAAGCCCGCCCAAAATCCACTGACACATGGGCGCTTGCAGCATTGCAGCTTGCACCGATCATGAGCACGACATGAACTGATCTCTCTTTCACCCCTAGTACGTAGTGGTGGTAGTGGAAACCAACCTTTAGGTACGTTGACAAATCCAGTTATGAGGTGACAATGGGCTCGTAAACGGGCGATGGCGAGTAGCGGCGATGATCTCGCGGCAACTTATCAATATTGATCCTTCGAGAAGATAGTTTAAATATTTTGATAAATACATAGGTTAGTTATTGTAACTGCATGTACGTATATACATTAGGTACATACATATGATACGAAGTAAAATGTACGTTCTGGGGTTAGCGGAACAGAGATCCTTTCAATATATTTTAATATGCTAAAATTCCCAGGACCTCCCCCGTGCAGCTTTGCTGCGCCAATGCAATTTATTCGCGGATATCAATCTACCTACATATTCTACTACTGCATACTATGGTAGTAGGCTGAAGTTAAATATACTCAAAAGAGTTATTCTCATCTGACTGCAGCTTTCTATATTGTTACGATGACGATCAATCATGTGCCCTCCATCACCTGTTACGAGGTACCCCATTGGAGCCCGTGCCATTGCTATGTACTCGAGTGATACGAGGTTCGAGTTCGTATGCACGTACAAAATACCGTACGGCTACTGTATATCCATAAGCACATACGCAAGTAATTATGTACCTAACGGTAGCATGGATGTACGAAGTACATAAATCTATTTGGTCCACATATCTTGCCTACATACATTACAGATTTCCCAAGCCGTTGGAAAACTTCTTTCCGAATTGAAACAAGGCTACCCCGGTCTATACTCAACGGACGCCAAATTGGTGCGAGGCGAGACCTGAGAGAAGAAGAAAAAGAAGAATGAAAAATATTTTTTTTCTTCTTCTTCCAAACGGGCTAAGAAATGTTCCCCTGTATTTATTTATTAGTTAGTTACTTGTTAGTTAGTTCGAGCTAAACCTCCGATCTGAACACAGGTGGCTGTATCACGTTGCGCCCTGCTTCACCGAAAGAACTTCGTGCAGCACTACTCTATGTACCATCGCCGACCAAAGCGTTCAAAAAATAAATATCCGACTACCTAACTTACACCGCAGCCTCCAAAAATACGCTGTAGTAAGCGTAGCGCTCGCGAGCTAGCCCACTCCTAGTAGTATTGCATTACCCACCCTGCTGCACGCCTAACTTAGTTATATTCTAATGTTAGTGTTTTTGGGGGTTAAACTTGTCAAGGCTATCGAACTTCTAGACCCTAAAAACATTAACACCGGCGTTTACGGAACGAAAGACCTGACTAAGCGGGACCCCGAGTGCCATGCACGGCCAAGGAAGGCCGGTAGTACGCGCGGCATTACCGTTGATTTCCCGGGGTTTGGCTATGTCCAATGTAAATTAATAAACTCCACGAGCCCTCATATCCATGACAACCGTTGACTCCGCTACTTCTCTACATATTTAACCCCTGAATAACCCCTATATCCGGCCTTCTATAGAACAGGCCGACTAAACTTGGATGAAGTAGGTATGACGCAAGTAGTGATACCTATTAACTATATGTAATTAGGGATTAAAAGTAAAGAGTTGCTTAATTATTAAGTTCCAACTTGAATATAGTAACAAGTTACCTTCAGGATATTTATAGAGTGAATAGGACCATTAAGAATACAATCGACAACTAATTTGCATAACTACAGCTAGTTAACCGGGAATTCGAATATTAGATGAAAGTATCGTCTTAAAAAAGCCCCCCAAAGACCAATGTCAATCTCAAAGCTATCCGCATAGTTGTTACTCAGCGTAGCTGCTCACCGCTTGATGGTGATATTACCAAGGCTTGGTGACTAGTTAGATTAGTAGCTAGAACACAACGGAGTAGCCGAGAGGGGCAGAAGGGGGAGACATAAGGGATTGTCCAATAGAATTCCAGTTACAGAATCTCTGATAACTACCGAGAGGAAAGGCATTGGTACCTAAGTTAGAGAAGCATAGAAGCTATTCGTGACTATCTTTCCTATTGACTGCAGTTTGACGATACCAGTTAATATGAAGGACAGAAAGATACCAAGGAGATATACAACCCACAAGTATTCCAATTAATAGCAAGTCAAGGCAAGTACCAGCGTAGGTAGTTTAGTTAAGCAGTCTAATCTGGGATCTTCATTCAACAGTCTATCAATACGGTACAATCTGCATACTCTTTCTTCGTCGAAACTCTTATCGTCCCCGTATATCCCTCCCCCTCCAAAATACCAAAAAAGAAAACCATACACCACTCTCGTATACCAATCCCCGCCCGTTTAACCAAGATGATAGCAGCATAACATTATTCGTGAAATAAACCCCCCGCTTCCCTCCCTCCCCCGAAGAAGCAAGCAATTTGGACAAGGTGTATAAACGCCGAAATGTGATGATTGATATTTGCACCTGGCGGTGAGTAAGACTGGTGCGAGCCCTCTATATGTGTTCCCCACCCCTTCCGTCAGAACGAGATGATAAAAATATTAGAATAAGAAGAGAGAGAAAAAATAATGAGAAAATGTCGTTCCGCATGCAATAAATAAATAGTGACCCGTCCTTGTTGCCCGAGAAGTGAAAGTCGTAGTATGGGTATGATACGATATGGTAAAATCTCCCAAAAAAAATAGTAATAATAATAATGAATAATCGCAGGAATACAAGCTATGCTCCCTCGACGCCCCTATAACCCGCCGTCGCCGCCACATGACCACTCCTGGTTATGCAAGAGTCCGTGGTGATACAAGTTGAAATCGAGGAACGTTGCTCGTAACGATGACAAACGCGGCCCGTGATCTATAAGCCGTAGCCGAAATAGCCTCTCCGACTAGTAAGTCTGCTGGGCCAAGGCAGTCCCGGGATATGGGCCTCCGAAGAGGACATACTGCTCGAACGGGAAGCAGCTGATAGTCTTCCGCGAGCTGCGCACCCATTTGGGGCGGGGCACCTCCTCCCAGTCCTCGTTCGTCAGGGGGTAGAAGTTGTAGGCTTCGTGCGAGGGCAGGTCGTGGTGCTCGCACTCGAAGATGCCCTCGAGATGGAGGCGTTCTAGCTTGGGGATCTTGGCGCGGAGCCCCGTGAATAGCGACTTGAAGTTGCCCTCGTACATATGGATGCCTCCCAGCGACACCTCGAAGGGCTTGGCGAGTCCGCGACCGCCGAGACGTAGCCGGCGAAGGGTGGCGCCATGCCGCGCGAGGAAGTACTTAAGGTCCTCCTCCTCACACGAGACACCCTCGAGCGTCAAATCCGTGAGCTGCTTGTACGTGAAGTCGTAGAACAATTCACGGAACGACAGGGCGAACTTGGAATTCTCGCTAGAATAGGGGTGAAATGCGAGTTTCAGCTTTCGCAGATTCGTCGCGAGCTGTAGGATGCGACCGAGTCCGTTGACGGCCTTGAAAGCTGAACTAGGACCTTGCAGTCCCGACGGGTCGAGAGTTAGGTTGAGGGTCTCCAGACTACTAAACGACTGGGCGTGCATAAACCAGTGGGTGCGATGGTCCTTTGAACGGAACAATTCGAGTGGAAGTCGATCCACCTTGAAAGAGGTTAGAGGGACTCCATGGAGTGAGGAGATGATAGCATCTAAGTTGCTATACGTCTGGGGTCGATCCAGCTTCCTGCAGCTCGGGTAGTCAAAGACCTCCTTCAGAAGGTCATTTTCAAGAGGACATTGGGTGAAAGTAATCTCAAATTCCTTAAGATTCGGAAGAGAAGAACATGCTTCTCGAAGATCGTCAGCCCTCAGATGCAATGGACCAACTGCCTTGCGCCCCCTTTCGATCCTATCGAATTCCTGCCTAGCCGCTCCCATTAACTCATTACGGTGATCTGGAGGCGTGACGAAATGTTGAAACCTAAGACACCATGTAAGCAAGTCCAATTGCATAAATTGAGAAGAATTGGGCCAAATATCGGCCTATAGTATGCATATAGTATGCATATAGTATATACATATAGTATACGTGGCTGTCGTATTCGCGTAGACAGCATTATGATAAATACTTGTGTGCAGAAAATGCAGTCTTGGCGATCCAAGATATGATGATTTGAGAATTTGTGAAATATTAAATGAAGAGAAGAAAAAAAAGCCTCTTACCATGAAGTGCTCCATGCGTCGTAATAAGATAACTCGCCGAGAAATATGCAAATTGATGTGATGCTGCCTCTCAATCGGTCGTGCAGCGCGATGGAGTGTAATCGGTCGATATCATTTCTCCAACCGACAGCGGTGAACCTGGAAGATAGCAAGAATTCATAGCCTACATCTGCTAACATGCGAGTGACCTCTCTCAGATTCCTAACTGACTCGGGTTCGCAATGAGAGAAGACGAGTCTCATAAGCTCAACTGGCAAGGTATCCATAGGGAACGGTATGAGGTTGTAGATTGTAGATATAAAAATATAAAAAATAAAAAGTTGAGGTAGAGAAAAATAAGAAGTTAACCAAGACTGGTGGACTGAACTGCTAGTGGTAGTAGTGGTGGTGGTGGTAGTAGTAGTAGTAATAATAGTGGTGTTAGTGGTGTAAGACGAGAATGGGTATAATAATTTCCAAAGTCCGCCAGTTCGAAGAGCCTTGAAAATGAACAAAACGCCGTTACGGAGTGAATTCTAGACGAGATTTCGAAAGAAAGAAAATACAAAACCTCGTAGGCGTTCCCGAGGAATTTTTCTACTTGGAAATGGCGGTTAGTTAATAAGGCACCAAGAACGGCCGGAGCTCGTACTCAACGAAATGGCGGAGAGGTCGATGTTTGGTGCATTTCCTTTTCTGCAACAAGCCTTTCCGAATCTAGGACAAAGGAAAAAACCGCACCAACTATCGGTGAGAATGAGACACACATATACAATGTACTGAATGTACTAAAATTTCATACTTTTCTACTTTCTTACGGACAACAACATGGAACTAAAAGAAAAAAAAAATTTCTATCCCCCAAATGTTTCGCTGTGAATGGGTCCCGCTGAACAACCCAGCTCAAGGGGCTGAAAGGATTTCTTCTCAAGGTGAGATGGCGGTAAGGCAACCCCCTGTACAACAATGATAGATATTGCTGGGTACGGTGAAGGTGAAGGAGAAACGACGAAACTTTAGAATACCTACGTATAACTATAGGTATATATGTAATACTATGCATGTATATGTATGTAATAGTTGGAATAGTGCGAGAAGATCCCGGCATCTAATTGTGACTACTGTGACTCAAAATCTCTACCTACACCTACATACGTAGCCGGGCCCCCTCCCAGTGAGTCCAGGGCTGCTAGGTTCCTGCATTAGGCCTTCATAGGCACCGTCCTGCACCGTCCTGGGTCAGTCTAGCATAAACTTGGCGGGATTGTACCGATCCCGAGCCATGATTCGTTCCCTCAACCCTGGCTTGATTTAGCGGGACGATACAGCTCAGCAGTGGCGTTTTTTTTTCTTCAACGTTATCTTCGAGCTGGAAAGTTCCCCCCTTGCATTTGTATTGTATTTGGAAAAAGACGGAAGACAAAGTGCGAAGAATCGAACACAATTTTCTTTTCTTTTCTTTTTCATAGTTAATATTTCTTTTTTCCGCTTTTAGTACCTTATGTAGACACGGGAGCTGAGTCCTAAGTCTTACGTTTGCTAAGCGCTTTTGAAATTCATGTGCTCGTGTCCCAAGTAAGAAGAGCCTTGTACCACGGTCTGCTCTCGAAATTTTAAATACAACTTAACGAGCTCCAAGCCATTGGGGGCCCGAGTCATACTTCATAGCCTGCCGTGCCTTGCCTTGAATATAGCGACTTTGTCATCATAGAACAATATCTCACGTAACCGAAGCCGTGCTGCTGACCCTACTGTATCGTCTTCTTGTAACGAGTCCGTCTCAGACTCAGCATCATCAGACACATCAGTCATGTCATCCCCAGCGTCCGCCGCTCCCGCATTGACGTTGTCCTCATTCTCGTCATCATCTTCATCATCATCGTCGTCCTCTTCCGTCTCTTCGTCAGCCTCACTGCCGTCGTCATCATTGCCCTCGTCCATATCGATCACGATAGGCACGTCTTCATTGTGATTCCCACCCAGACCGACATCAGAACTGCCATTGGTACCGTCGCCTGACCGAGTCTCTAGTATCTCGAAGCATTTACTGCCTATACCTACGTAGCAAAGCTGAATTTCTGTTCGCAGCGTGATAATGTCAACTAGCTGGAGAGCAAGCTCTTTAGGATCGAAATTGCCAGATATATACCCTAATATATGAGTCAAGTGCAGAGAGCGAAGCTGTGAAACGTTTGGAAGCCGTTGGAGGAATGGATGCTATAGGTGTAGCACCGGTTAGTGTTCGCCATCGTTGCTATTGCGGTTAATTTAGGCTGGAATGTGTGCTTACCCAGTCCTTATAATCAATTGCCACAGCAAGTTCTCTAAGATTTGGCATTCGCCCGCTGGTAATGTAAGAAATCATTTCGCTACTAAGCACCCAACTTTCCCACCGACGGCCCTCTCCCGACTCGTCCGAACTATCGAGAAGGAGCTTCTTGAGGCTTAACCGATGACGCTTTATCGCGCCCTTGAAAACTTGGTCAAGCTTCACGGCTGGATGAGGCGCCCGCCGTCGGTCCTGCAAGAAAAGTACCTCTAGGCTATTAGGTGCGAGAGTTTCCTTAATAAAACTAACCAAGGTATTGGAAGGAATATTGGTATGTATGTGCTTCAATGCCAAGTGATACTGAGTTGGTGTTCCAGGGGGTGAACCATGGACCGGGGGTGTAGGGTGAAATTGTCTTTTTAGGGTCCTCCAGAGGTGTTCAACAAACATGCAATCGAGAATCGTAAGACTTGTCAAGACGCTCCAGTCAAAAGCTTTTGTGCAAACCTGTATTGATAGCGGTACCCGTTCGAGTTCCAACGTCTCTAATTGGAGCTTTCCGTCAAGACGCTTTCTTTCCGTAAATGATTCATTGCTGCCCTGACCTGAAACCGTAGAGACACCGGGCCGCTGCTGATTCAGGGGCGGTATTTCTCTGGGCGTTGTGATATTCGGGTGTGTGAACGGTGAAAGACCACCGTTAGAACTTGAGCCGAACCCGCCTCCAAATTGCGCCTGTTCCGAGGTGGGATCAGTCGAATCCTTCGTCTGAACTTTTGTGATCGGCTTTCTTCTTATATCATATATTCTGCCAACCAGTACCCCGAGGACCCCCCCTAGTCTCCTTTCTCCGATCTGACTTTCTCCGGGCCAACGGGCATCATGATCAATTTGCTGCAACGTGTAGCTATCCCAGGCCTGCGCAAAGTCTGCCATACGAGCTTTCTGCGATATCCCGATTCGGAGTTCTCGGAGGTAAGATCTCGAACGCTCGATTAGCACTGATATCTCATCTAAGTATGCGAGCTCATCGATGTCTAGAACCGTCAAGCTTTTGAGGGGTGGTAGAATGCTGAAAGTTGGATACTCGACGTGACTTTCCGAGTACTTAATTGGCTGTGTTACAGACGGATGGAAATCACTAGGCAGAGTATTGCCGACAGGAGTCACTGTACTTCCAATAGGAACAGAAAGAGGCGGCAAGGGACCTTGGATCGGGCTAGAAACGGAGGATGAAGCATCTTGGATCTCGGAATTATCGTGCCAGCGAACCCAGACCTTCTCCAACTTAGATTGGCCCTCTGGATAATGATCTTGGAGGGATGCTAAGGCCATGAAAACCTCAGATAAAACCCCTGTAGGCATATCCCATACGAATGTTTCCAAGTTGATCATCTTGCCGACAGCTATTGCCACCAATGTTCCTAGCATCTTCCCGCTCTCCTTAGTGACCATATACTCGGATGTCCAGTCCTTAGGCCCGTTACCGAGGGAGAATTTACGAGTATATCTTGCATATTGGTTGTTGGAAAGCCTCCCAGAGGATTCCAAGTAAGGTAGAGAGCTCCCTCTCAGCCATCTTGCCCGCTGAGCAAACTTACTACCTAGACACAAGGTTGCGAGCCCATAGGTCAGCGCATCGACGTTTTTACTGTCGGACGGGGGAACAGTATCATCTGGCCAGACTATATCGAAGCGGGCGTAAATATGAGGTATAGCGAGATAATAGAGTGTGGAATTCGTTAAAGCTAACGATGTTAAGTCGTTCGTGTGGGTCACCTAGCATGCAGATGTCAGTAGACCTTACATAGGACCTATTCATAGGTGTCTCCAGCTTGCCTCCTTAACGATGAGCCTCAAAATGTCGACCGGAAGGTCGAGAAGCTGTAACGGCCTAGGCTTGGATTTTATAGCTTCCCATTCTCGGCCTTTGCCTCTAAGAAGTTTGGATAGGTTCGGCACAGGCGGGTCGCGGATAGGAATATCCGACGATGAAGATTCCGGCGGATACTGACCGGACTCATGTCTCGTTTGCGGATGCGAAATTAGAAGGTCCTTCAAGCTGGCGTGGCTTGAATCCGCGCTGCTAGCCATGATACTTTGTTGATGCTCGCCTTGACTTACGATATCGCTTGAAGCTAAAGACGCCCTGAAGCATCGAATCGCATGCTGTCAGCGAAGATGGGTACCGCCAATTATTTATATCGGGGCTTTAGATATTAGATGGAAATAACTAGAAGACAGTATTATTGCGTCGCGCGAAATAGATGTTATACGCAACTCCCAGCTACTTAGTGAGTAGCAACTAGTAATATGATCGTCGCTGGAGCGCTGGAAGAGCTATGCACTACCTAAGTGGGCAAGTTAATATTTGATAACCAATGTACCGTTTCGTGGGTAAGCGATTCAACAAGGATAGCAGTGATTTATTTAAAGGTATAAAATAAGAGCCTGGAGGGTGGCTCTAACCGTATGTCGTAGGGTAGTGATTGTGAAAGAGGTATGTATTTCATTAGTTTCAACTCAGGCGAGGCTTGCATCTAAGTTTCCCGTACTTGACGCCTTTAACACAAGAACCTCTAAGTGGATTTTAATTGGTTTGTCGCATGGGGTAGGCAGGATAGGCGTGGGGCACATGGCGCGTAAAACATAAGGTTGGCACCTAACTCAAAAGGGATCTACGAAGAAATACAGCGGAGGTACGGTAACAACCTATCGATAAGATATCTAATCTTGGGTAGTAACGTATAATATAGATATCAATATGGGCTTCAAAATCCGGAAGCATCTTATTGATGATATAGAAATGGAGTATATATTATGTAGTAGATTCTATTGGATGGGATCAAAGTTGGCTTATCATCATTGCTTCATCGTTACCAAGCTAATTTCTTACGAGACACAGCACGAAACTACACCACGGTTCATATGAGAGGAGAGAATTCAACTATTCCTTAACGTATATTTCGATGACATAGCTTCTTTATAGTCCTTAGACCCTAACCTAAAACGATCTTCATACCTATAATTAGGTAGTTATTCGTTCTTGGATTTAAATGCCTACTTGACCACTAACTTAAATCGTTTAATATACCTAGGTAGGTACATACATATAAGTCAGCATATAAACTATAAAAATTGACGTCGCACTGATCAGGCATACCTGCTGCCCTTTTGAATTACACTAGAGGTTAAAGTCATGAGGGACTAGAAGCTGCCAACCTGAGCCCCTCCAAAGCCCCGCCTCTTTTGCATGTATATTGTACCTCCCCGCGACGTTTATAGGTATTTACAACAGAGCATCCGCTTTCTTTCTCCTAATTATTCTCCGGTTCTTCCCAGCCTCTTTATTCTTGGGTTTTTAGCTCATAAGTCTGTTTTGGTTGTTACCTACGACTTATATTTGCCGTCAACTATTTTATTTTTCCGTGAGGAGCTGATCAAGCTTTGGACTAGGTAGCTATCTCCGACATTATATAGATTTGGTACCCAGGTAGGGAACTTTACCTTTCTTGCCCCGCTTGACTGTTTCCCGTTTCCCGTTTCCCGTTTCCCCCATCGCGCGCTTTGTGTCGTGGCTAAATCGATTAGCTAACTCGACCAGCTTCTTGCGCCGTGTCCTATTCATTTGTCTATGACTACATCGGTGACTGCCTAACAGCACACTGGCCTTAACTCAAGTCAGTCCAAGTACTCATCGGAGCTTCTAGTCTATTGCCATCTCCTATTTAAACTAACCGCCTTCCGAAGCTAACTTTACAACCCTCTAGATTAATCTAGGCCACACAAGAAATTGTATTTACTGTCGCATATCGATTCAAGCCCGATAACACTTGTCGCATCTATAATCCGAGTTTCGTTATACGTTGGAAAATATGGCAGGCTTCGTAACAGATCTCTGGGAATCAATCTTCACTCCCGGAACGACTCCAACTCTCCTCGTCGCTACCAACGCTACATTCGCTTGTTTGCAGCTCGTACTTCTTCTCTTATTAGTCGGAACATATAGTATTCACTTCGTTATACTCTCATTCCTGTGCGGGGGGCTTTGGTGGGCTATCAACTGGTTCGCAGCCGAGTTGAGAGTAGCACAAGCCAAGGAGGCCCGGGACAAGGCACGTTCCGAACAAAGAGCAGTTGCACAATCCTCGGACGAAAGCGAAGAAACCGAAGTAGAATCCGCTTTCATCGCAAAGGGAAAACCTACCACAGGAAGCAAAGAAGTGGAAATTATAGAAAAAGCGGGAGACCTGAAGCTTCGAACGGAACTTTCGTCCGGAACAAAATCTAGTGTTAGTACGGAGGATGAATGGGAAAAGGTATCCGAAAATGAGAACGAGAAGGACAAATAAACTATGACCTATGACCTAGACGAATATAATTATATACGCTTGGGTATGAGGTGGCATTTGCACGAGCATTTGTAGCGAGGTTGGGTCAGTAGCATCGATACCTTTGCATTTCAATTTCAGAACTTCAGCGTTGATTAGCATCTTGCTCTCCTCTAAATCTGCTAGCATGTTTATAGATGAAGGGATATTTCATATTAGATTTAGCCGTTTGTCAATATATGCTTATCAGTCAATATTTGCCTGGAAATAGTCTAACATATAGAATATATTTAACTTATCCATCCCTGTTCAGAATGCAAGATTGAAGCTTTCAACTACAATGAAAATGTCAGTATAATAGTAATAGATACAAAGGTACTTCTGCATGTACCCAAGTACCTAATCGGGAAAATAGCTGTGAGTCACGTGACTGTACGGAACCTGCAATTGACGGCCTTTAATTTTCACTACCCTAGAACTTCGCCTTGTAACCAAAGCTCACTAAACGCGACTGTCCGACCTTAAGCTTCCAACCAAGAATCCGAAATACAAACCTCAAACCCCATTATCTCGCAAAACACGAATAATCAGCTAAGATGAAGCTCGTTAGGTAAGCTTAGCCTACTCCCACACGGCGCATAGTTGTGTGCTAAATCAAGTATTCACAAAGCTACGTCTACGGCTCCGGTGCTAATCGTGATGGTTTTCCAGGTTCTTGATGAAGTGCGTCAACGAGACGGTGACGATCGAGCTGAAAAATGGTACGCGCTACACTAAACCCCTTAATTAGAAATTGGATAGAGATGATGTTATCTTGCTATACCGTGGCTAACGACGGCACTATTTAGGAACAATCGTGCACGGCACAATCACGTCGGTCTCGCCGTTGATGAACACCGCCTTACGAACAGTCAAGATGACCGCCCGCGGCCAAGACCCCATCTCCTTGGACACCATGAACATCCGCGGTTCTACGATCCGCTACATCATCCTGCCCGACTCGCTGCCCTTAGATACGCTCCTGATCGATGACTCGGTGAAACCCAAGAACAAGGCGCGCAAGGAGGCTGCGGATAGAGGTATCCGGGCAGGCGGGCGTGTTAGAGGACGAGGACGAGGCCGCGGCCGTGGACGGGGTAGACCGTGAGAGGGAGAGCCCTAGTAGCAAAGCTTTAGGAGTATCGGTGATGCTATATTATAGCATACTTGCGCCTCCGAAAGGACAGGTCAGGACAGATGGAGGAGGAGGAGGAGGAGGCTACGTTACAGGTTTAGGCAAATGTCATGAGAGTCAAGTCGAGAAACAGAGTACGGAAGACAAGTTGGTGGGCATTACTTCTACGGCGTTGGGGGGTAGGCAAATGAAAACACAACACACACAGACACAACCATGAAAGAATGGCAAAGCTGGTATGGCTCCTTTGCAAACACTACTTAATTTTTTCTTTCATGCCGAGCTAGCTGAAAGCTCACGAGAACCAAACAAATAAAGTCCCATTGGCAACCAAAAAAAAAAAAAATCCTCGTCCTGCGTGCTGTTACCTAACAACCTACTCTGCCCAGATCCTGATGATCTGCAACTTCTCCCATCCGGCCTGCTTCCCACTAGTCCCCACTGTCGCGACCTTCCACGCTTCTCCGAGGCCTAGGATCCGCTGCTTGACTTCGTCCGGCTTGTTCTGCGCGCACAGCAGGATATACGCACATCCCCTGCGAGAAAGTACTCGGGGCAAGCTATTAATCAGCCGGTCCGTCGTTTCCATCCCATCTCTACCGCCCGCGTAGGACAGCGAGAGCATATACGAGTCGTCGTCAAACGTCGGCTCCGCACCCAGATGCGGCAAATCCGCCTGTCCCGGCTGCTTGGGCAGTTGGGGCGTCGGCACGTACGGCGGGTTGAAAATCAAGACGTCTACCGACTGGTCCCTGACCGGCGCAACTAGGTCCCCCTGGAACGCGCCGAGAAAGCTCCCGTGCGTCGTCGTCGTCGTCGTCGTCGCGGCGGCGTTTTCTAGTGCGGCTTTTTTCGCCGTCTCGCTTGTCGCTTTGCACGCGTACCCGTTGACGTCGACGGCTGCTGTCAAGACGTTCCGCGATCCGAAGAGGACTTGCGCTTGTGCGTTGACGAAGGCGATGACTACGCCCGACCCGGGGCCTACCTCGACTACCAGCGGGACATAGCCGTCTCCGAAGCGGGTCTGGAGGAATGCTGTCTCGGAGGCGGAGGACAGCGTGTCTAGCAGTAGGAAGGAGTCTTCCGCCGGCTCGTATACTCTCTCGTACGCCACGTGTGAGGTATCGGGCGTGGGCAGCATATCTACGCTGTGTTAGTCGTTGAAGCAAATCCGGATTATGATGGTGAAGAGATACAGAGTTAGGTCGAGCTAATAAATTTTCCTATCATAAAAACTCAAAGCACGTGATATGTTTGTCTTATATGGTGGTAAGACAACGATGAGTATGTATATTGATTCTAGTTTAATAGACCTCGACGATGGCTAATAATTTGTTATGTGCTTAATACGAGTAGATGTAAACCTGGTCATGACTGTAGCCATTTATTTGCGTGTCTAGTTTCACGAGAGGCTTCACGGCCGGAGCCTATTCGCAAGTACCCTTCACTCCGCCTAAGCCAGTATTACTATTGCCTAGCGGTCGTGAGTTGAGTCGAGTTTGATGTAACGTAAAACCGGTACTTGGTGTTGATAATAATATCTTGGTAGTGGTAATCCAGAGAGCTATTCGGCGATTAGTATATAGCATTCGACCACATCGTAAACAAGGGCCATAATATCCAACATACATACCCATAAAGCAAACGCAGCACTCCCTCTCCCTATCCCTCTACGCCTAATATGCGATACGCAACTCCTTTTCCAGCCACACCCGCGCACCTCACATAACAGCGCACTCGCATCCCGGATCGTATTTACTCGGGCCGAACCCCCAGCGCCAGCGACTCTTAATATCCATGATCATGCGAGTCATGTTTTTGTCGTAGCAGCCCGAGAAGCGACAAGCAGGACACAAGCCCGTCGCGTCAGCAATGCTCGCGGGCTCGCGCGCGACGCCGTCGCCAAACATGCTGCACGTGTTGAACCCCATGCCTGGATAGCACGGCTGCCAGATCTGCAGCCAGTGGTGCCTGCAGCAGCGACTGCGGAAATCTATGCGATGTTAGTATATAGGTTAATATATCGAAAACACACCGTATAGACGGGAGCGGCAAATGCAATAACAGCTTATTTCAAGGGAATATACATACGGATCGTTCTACACATGTCTCTATTTTTCGCGGCGTAGTGTGTATTGTTTAGCAAGTAGAGTCACTTGTAGATATATGTAGGCTAGGTAGGTAGGTATAGATGTAATTGATATTGCTAATAGATGGTACCTATTTGTCTAATATCAGGTTTAAAATATTACTCAAGAGTTATTATTTGCCTAGTAAAGAAGGAAAGAACAACTACCTACTTCACGATAAAAAAATATGGCAGGGACATTTCCTTCGTCTGAACTTAAGATCCGGAGTGCAGGTGCTTGTTTAACCTAGACAAACACTTACACACACACGTCCATGTGCCTGCCAATTCTCTCGTTGTTCAATTTACACCACCAATGGAGCTAGATGTATTAGTATAATTTTTTGGTGGTATTGTTCACAGTGCCTTTTGGGACGATAACTAATTCGGACCACATATTTCGTATTTGTTCAAGTGTTAAACCTCCTAACACAGTATTCGATATATGCTATTTAAAACTCTCGATTCCGATTTATACCCCGTTTGCTCAAGCTATCTCGTATGTAGGTACACTTTTATTAATTAGAAGGGTTTAGCCGTACTACCACGGATAACTACCTGGGTAGATAAGTTAAGATATTATATCCAGTTACCATCATCGACCCTCTGCTCCGAGGTGTTTCCGGCATTACCATCGCCACCACCACTATTCTCGTTACATAGCCTTGCTAGCATCTCCTCGATCCTCGAGGCGGTGTTCTCTAATGTGCCTAAACGGCTTGATAGATCCTCGATCTCGGACGATTCACTCATGATGGAACGTATCTGGTCTGTTAGCATCCCATATGGGGCTATAGAATCCCTGCGGCTCGGCGTTTTAGGTGGTGGCGGTTGATTCGACTCGTTGTCTTGGTTTTTACTCGACTCTACTAGCGTCGAACTTTGCTGTCGAGCAAACTGTCTTCTGATCATATGATGTGTTAGCTCATCGTCGACTGCAATGTCGTGTTCAACTGAATCCGGTGGAGGAATATCAAAAACAGCCTGGATGTCCCCATGGCTTGTTATCCTCCATTTCTCCCAAAACCAGCTCCGGGAACGGCGTTTCTTTGGTAGCTGTTCTGTCGGGTATTCCACCAATTCCGTATCTGACCATAGGAGTTGCCTCTCGATCCCGGCGATGAGGAGTAGTACCGGTAGATTGATTGCTCTGACGGTTGCTACGTGAATCTTGTGGAACCAACGAGGACTGACAAAGAATCTCATCGGAACTAATACGAATAGGGCAATGATGTTAAATGGAGGTTGGTAGGCGAATATCGCGTCGCTTTTCACACCCTCGAGCGTCAAGACCGCTTTTCGAAACTGGATCTCGGCGGTAGCATTGGAGACAATAGTACCAAAAGTATTCGAGAGCATCGAGACCAATATTGTTAGGAATAGTGTGTTACCCAGGAACGCGAATGTGACCATCAAGGTCGGTCCTAGAAGCCAGTGAAATTCCCCCTGTAGGGCACAATGTTAGGGAGGCAAGCAAATAAGCATTTCCAGTCTCACTCACAGAACGTGAAATACCAGTGCCATCCAAACCGAACCAAATCCACAGCATCCATTTACTGATTGTCCTGTGCATAGTTAGTCTATGAAGAACTTATGCAATTGAAATACTTACACGATATTGTGGCGCCCTTCTGCGAGCCATACCATAGAGAGCAGGAATCCACAAAAGCACCTGGTCGTCATCAGTCTCACGTAACTTCATCGGGTAGTAGCGTGTAGTGTGCTTGGGTATACGAACCAGGCTGCCAGGGCCGTAAGCAGAGTGAAGTCCGCCATCATAGATCGTAGAGATAGGAACACTAAATTATCCGATAACAAGTTGAACGCTAGCCGAGGTACGAGCACTGGAGCTCCCATTGCAAGGACATCAAGGGCTTGTTGGCCTGGTTCAGGCTGCCCGGTTCTCCAGCCGTATATTCTTAATATCAAATATATCCAGTAGACCAACGCGAACATGACATCCAAGAACGACCAAAGATTTTGCGTGTATACGTTCCTGTTATCTTCTTTAGCAGATAAAGACGTTAAATGGGCAAAGTAATTTACCATCCATGTGCCAGGATCGTTGCAAATTGATCAAGAACCCAGCCGAATGCGTATATCGAAAACGCCATCTCAAAAACGCTCAAATACTCCGGGTTACGCTCAAGCATGAATAGGAGATATAAGATAAGGAGAATAATGAACTGGGTTATCTCCAGTATGTTCCTCGTGCGAGGCACTACTAGCCGATACTGGTTAAGTAAGGGTGCCTCGCGGGGTTCATATAACGAGATAGGCTTTAGTTTGTATCGATCCGGTATCATATCCAGCTGCTAGAGTTAGCAATCATATAGGTCACTGTATAGGATTAATTTATTATAAGAGGATTGTCTGCTGGAGGATGGCGGATAGCTTCGATCGAAATAAAAGATTTTTGTCACATACTATTATCCTATTAGACTCAGAAAAACAAGAAAATAGGAAAACCAAGTTAATGTAATGAAGTTGAACCTATCTCATACATACCAAAAGTGGTTGGAGTATAAATGACTTGTCCAATATAGATTGCGTTGACACTGATATCTGTAAGTTTCGTAACAGATTCTCAGCTGGAGAAACTTACACTTTTTGACAATGTGTAGAACTGAGAAAATGCTTGCTACTACTTAGGATAGCCACCTCAAGTGCTGGTAATGTCCTATTTTGGCTCCACGTAGGACCAAGAAAGGCCTCTTCACGAATCTCCTCTGGGGCATTCTGAAACGGTCCAAACCCAGTAACCAGAATTTTGGCTAAAAGAAGGAGTCCTTCCGAACCTGGATTATCGTCGCCAAAACGTCTTAGGATCCGGGTAGCCACAAGCTCACAGAGGGTAGCCCGTGTAAAGTGAACGTTTTGTCTATTGGTCATATGCTCCTGCTCATGGAGGAACTGTGAGCGGTTCACGAGCAAACAATAAACTACTTCGTGATTAGTTATATTTCCATAGTCTATACAAGTAGGCACTAGGATGAAATATAGTATACAAAAAACTTAGCGCAACAAGTAAGTGCACTTACCGATAGATATATCATCCTGTTCGTATAACTTGTCTACTAGCGGCCGGACAACTGAAATATTGAGCCGGAGGTCTGTTAACTGCTCGAGAGTGAGAAAGTCTTCAACTATGCTAATGACATCTCTTCGTATCCTATGGATATTTGTATACACCGGCAGGTGGATGTGGTCATTCGTATCGTTACCGAGGGGTGGTTCTTGTTCTGGCGGGCCAAAAACAACACGACTTAAAAGAGGCTGGTGTTCAGACTCCTGTAGTCGAAGCGCCCGCCGACGTGGATTTAACATGGTGACGCCTTGAAATTAGCATTCAAAGGAGAAACCCAAACTTGCACTTAGTTCATCGGGTTCCAATATCTCGAAGAATCCTAATTGCCTAAACCAATGGAGGCGTACAAAATAGCATCAAGCTTCACAGCCAATGATTGCGGATTCTACTTAATTAAAGAAAAAATAAACCTCTTATAAGATGCTGCGTGGTATCCGATTGCCTGTTCGTGGACTGTCGTTGATGTAACTCCGAGATGTTGTTGTCGTTAGGACGAACTGAGGCTTAAATGTGCCCTGGGTTCGTGTGATAAGTAGGTATATAATTTTCGTGATGAATACCATATAGGTAACAAGCTGATTTAAGAAAATATTTACGCTCAAATTGACATCCGTCTTCGAAAAGTAATAAAAGTTGTTAGTTAAGCTTTAGGTGCCTAACTTTGACTTGGGATGACTTGGTTATTTGTGTTTTACCTTTGAATTGTTACTTGAGCTTTACCAAACTCCTTCTTATTGGTATAGTTTTAAGTTTGATATTATTGATAGCTGCACATTGACGTCGACGGGGCTTTTTGTTTCACACATGCAAGATGCAACATCTGACAGGTTGGATTGCCTATGTAGGGGCTAAGGTGGCACTGCAGCAAGCAAACCGATAAGATAAGGATAGCTTTTGCTCCATTGGGTAAAGCCCCAAGGCTGCCGGTTGTCGATCGGTTTTAATCTTAGGGGACTTCAAATAAGCAATAGTTTTTACTTTCAACCCAAGGATTGGTCTCTGACCTCTCCAAATCACAACTATAATGGTATGGCCTTTCACCTCTGCCTCTGGGAAAGATGGTGATTCTTCGAGACGACCAGTCTCTTGGTCTGACAGTTTAAACGGTACCGACTGGCAACATTACAAAGACCCTAGAAATTGGGTCCCGACTTTGCTTGTAACGACAACCGTTGTCGCCTCCTTGCAGATCTACCGTTCATACCTACGTCGAATCCCCGGTACTATTCATATCCGTCCGAATTTTTTCAGGAAGAGAAGCATCTTCGGTCAAGTTACGAGTGTCGGAGATGGAGATAACTTCCATTTATACCACACACCGGGTGGTCGTCTAGCGGGGTGGGGATGGCTACGAAACGTCCCGGTCAAGAGGGTAGAGTTGAAGAATAAGACGGTAAATTAGTCATGATCCTATTTGACTGCTCTCTATACCTAACTCTTAAACAATTTAGATTCCTATACGTATCGCCGGTATTGACGCACCAGAAGGCGCCCATTTCGGACGACCTGCCCAACCATTCTCAACGGATGCTCTCGCCTGGTTATCCGAATATATACTTGGGCGAAAGGTTCGAGCAAAGATCTACAGACGTGACCAATACGATCGTGTCGTCGCTACCGTATTTGTAAGACGGTTCCTTATCCGTCGTGATGTTGGCTTGGAAATGTTGAAGCGAGGTCTGGCTACAACATACGAGGCTAAGAGTGGTGCTGAATTTGGTGGTCTTGAGGAGAAATATAAGGCTGCAGAGAGTAAGGCAAAGGCTGCGAAGAGAGGGATGTGGGGTGGTAACCCGCAATTCTTTGAAAGCCCTCGCGATTATAAGACCCGAATGGGTGTAGGGGAATCGCAAAATAGCAACACCAAGTTATGAGATATGAAATCGTTCAATCGTTCAATCGGATTAGCTCTATCCGACTTTCCTACTACGTCCGGGTGACTTATGCTATTGAAAAAGCGACCAAAGGAATAAAATATCTTAATTTGTGAAATGGGTAAGTACATAAGGCTTAGCCTTAAATCGTATATTTGGTCAGCCACTTAATAGAAAACAGAAGGCGGAGTTGGAAGGAGTGCATATAGGATGAACCAACCAATTCTATCCGATCTACCTATGTGCGGATCTCCGCCTTCTCCCGGAAGATCTTGTGACTGGTAAGTATGGTGATGTTTCTTCAGTCCCGGACCACGGTTATGTTAATGTATCTTGCATCCCGCATCTTGCATGTTTTGACGAATCCCCCAAATTCCGCATACTTAGTTCCGTGTCCGTAGTCTTGAAGGATTGGCATTTGTTATCGTTATCTTCCCGTTGATTATATGATTAGGTAGGTACGGTATATATGCTCGACGTTACGGCGGCGGCAAAGCAATTACTACCTACATATAAAAGATCCTATGGGTTAAAATTGGAAGGAGTTGTTGCTGCTTACTCTATCATTGGCTAGCTTTTCGACGCTGGCGATCATCTGAATGTAAGCCTCTAATTACCTTTTTAGGAGGTATATAGCTGAGGTTATGTATGTATCTATTCTATTGAATTGAACTATATGCAACGTGTACATATGGTATAAAATTTCTGTTCTCGGGGATGACAATCGGCATTTATACCATCTTGTCAAAGAAGCCGTTAAGCTACATAGTACAGGATTAACCGGCGTAATGATAAGATTTGCATAATAAAAACACGAGAAAACCGCTCGTGAGACTTCGCTCGGATAAGATTCTACCCTTGGCTCTCTTTTAACGGTTGGACGATGAGACTAGACTAGTTACAGATTGGGAAGACGAGATTGTGGCTTCCCTCAGGAACGATCCCTGTAAGCCCCTTACGGACACATGTGGAGCGTTGTGTGCAATGGAAGCGTGCCGTCTGCACAGGTGAGCTAAGCTGGCTAGGTTGCCGTACCTAGGCTTTCAGCAGAAATTACGCTACTGCAGGTGCAGACCCTCCCAAGCCTCTCCCTTCTTGCACATTTCGCTCTAGCTCTTCCTATTGTTGCACGCTGGCCGTTTTTCTCACCCATTCGACGTTCGATATTCGACAACGAAGAGGCAGAAAACACCAAAGAGTATTGTCACTCCTTTTACCTCTTTATTACTCTAGGTTAATACGTGAAGTGTGTAACAATATATTGTTGCACTATTCTCGCCCGTACGGCATTTTCTTTTTTTTACAACAGTCGTTTCTCAATTTTAGTCACTCGCTCGCGTTTTCTGACGATCCAATCAATACTTGCCTCTAAACCCCTGATCTGAGGACAGCATTATATCCGGCAGACTACGTTTGACGGCAACAAGTTCTGGGACAGTTAAGACACCAAGTACGATCGCGTCGTCACTGCATTCGCTCATTTTACCACCTAAAGGGATTTATACAGCATCTCCACGTCGCTCGTTTCCGAAGAATCACCGTCAGGCACATTTTCAAAAATCAGCCCTAACATATTGGGCTAAGCCAGTCCCTGTCGTTATCAAATTCCTACTCCTGGGCACTTTAACCAAGCAAAAATCAAGTTAAAGAATCCAGTTTACGAGACTGGGATCCAGTGGTGGCCTAGCAGCAGCAAATCATTACTTTTCCTCATTACAGTAGTACAGTTAGCAGTACACATCACTCGTCCCAAGGTGGTACCATCGGACGACCGTTGCATTGTGCATTGGTATCATTTGAGAATTGGTCAGTGATAAGTCTCCCTTCCTCCTGGTTACACTTCTTAGATGTTTCCTTTAGCGAGTAAGGGGTTATTTTTGTTCCACAGAGCAATTGTTTGCTTATTGAATTGATATTGAGGATTGACTCAGTACTCTCTCATCTTGTATTTTTTTTCTTCCAATGATAAACTTTCCTTCATCTCGATTTGGATTTCCTTTTGAAGCAAGGCTAGTTTAGGTTAAAATTGGGGGAAATCTTAGTGGTTGACGTGAGCTAATAGGGTATCAGTGCAGACACCACCCCACACCTAGTGACAACACACTCTAGGCACTCGGGTACCGCAGCATAGCCCATTCTAATTATTACCGCTAGATCCAGGCACTCACTAAAGAACCACTTTCCTCTAAATCTTGGAACTCGAGGAGACGACGCAATCCGTCCGACGGCCGAGTACAATAATAAAAGTCAATTCAAGATTATAATCTTAATTGATACCACTTGTCGCCTCGGGATTCCCGTCAGTCCACTCATTTAGTTTTTTCTGTTTTTTCGACATCGAACTCGCATTCTCGATAATTAATTGTTTCGCAACAACACAATACATCGCGACACCTTCAACACATTCAATCCGCACTTACCTATTAGCCTCTAATTCCAGTTTCCGCGCGCACACTATATATCGATTTCCTCGAGGTTATGGACTCCGTCGGAAAATAAAGCGTTTGCGCCGTGTTGGAAAGACGAGGTTTTCGTTAATAGGGAATCTCTAAATTGGGTATTGTCGAGACACGGGCACGTTGCCCTTAACTCGACCATAGGTCAAAGCAGTTATGAAAATAGCATTTCGCCAGGGCCGCGCTACGCGCAGTCGTGTTCAGATGCAATCGTCATGGTTTCTTGCTCTCACCTCGTTCGCGTCGCTATCGGGAGCGATCACATTTAATCAGGTACCTGATGCGAATCTCGATACAAGTCAACTTGGAAGGGTTGGAATTGCTGGTGACTTTAGCGGCATTTCTGTTTACCAATATGATAGGCAGTCTGAGCTGCCTTTCAGTTCTAATGGATCTGAACAGCTCTTGACGCGCCTTCCAAATGGGGTCTTCGTCAATCTCCTGGAAGCGGACGCATCTATTCAGACAATGTGCATGTTTCAAGGGCAGGTCATCCTGGGCGGCAACTTCACAAGCTTAGGAGGAGTACAATCACCAGGCATCGCGTCTTTCGACCCAAATACTTCCAAGGTCACTCCTCTGGCTAATCTTTCAGGTCAAGTTAACAGCTTGTTGTGTGATGATTCAGCCGGTAAGGTTTATGTTGGCGGTAGCTTTAGGGCAGCAAACTCTACCAACGCGATTACGTGGCTTGCGTCGAAGAGCTGGGCAAGTTTGCCATTTGCCGGCTTCAACGGACCTGTCAACTCGATTACGAAGGCGCCTACTGGGCATATAATCTTCGGAGGAAGTTTTACGGGCCTAGGAAACACGAGCGCGCCGAGTACGCCTGATGGACAGGTTATCAATCTTTCTACCGCGACTATCGAAGCCGATCAGAGCACATCGGCCGCAGGTTTCAGCGATCCGAAGAATATTGTTTGTAAAACCAATGGTACTGACGGTTCTGGTAATGCTTGGCTCTTGCAGGACAATGCACCAGGAACGTGGAGGGCAGCTTTCAACTACGGGTTTGAACCTACCAAACTTCGTCTATGGAATACTCGCCAAGATGGTCGCGGAACTCGGACTTGGAGATTTACCGCGCTGCCGCTGAACGGTATCATGAACTTCACCTATATCGACCCTGTAACTAAGCAGAACTCTACGTGTACCAGCGAGTGTCCGCTTAGCGATGATCCTTCGGTCGAATTCCAGGATTTCCACTTTGTAAACCGGCTTGGGATGAACGCATTTAGGCTTGACATCTCCGCCTGGTACGGTAATGGTGGAGGTCTGGCTGGTATTGAACTGTTCCAGGACGATATCTTCGCCTTCGCGATCAATGATTTCAACGAACCCAGCTGCGCCAACACATCAACGCCTTCAGAAGCGACCACAACGGGAACATGGACCGTGACCCCGTCGGGACAAAGCTATGCTCAATATCTATCAGCTCAGTTACCGAAACCAGTCGCTTCCGACGCTGCTTCTGTTGTGTTCTACCCGGATATCAGAGAATCTGGAGAGTACATTATCAAGTTGTACACGCCCGGATGTCTTCAGGACAACACTTGCTCGAGACGCGGTCAGGTTAGGATATCAGGAACATTGACGTCAAGTGGTGCCAATCGAACAATGGATCCGAGAATCTTGTATCAGACTAACGAGTACGACAAATATGACCAACTTCATATAGGTTCTGTCGATGCTAGCTCGAGTTCCTTTAAGCCTAGTGTTACATTGTCACCTGTACCCGGCCAATCGCAATCTATTCCTGGCGATGATTTCGTGATGGTAGCCCAAAGGGTTGGATTTGAGCTTCTGAATTCTACTGGCGGCTTAAACGGATTGTTTGAATACGATCCTAGCCGGGCTACAGTTGAGACCTCCGATTTCGCCAATTCTGCTTTTATCAAGCTTAGTTCTTCATTCGAACCCAGATCCGCGGTAACATCGTTGGTCGCCAACAAAGATCGAACTTATATCGGCGGTAATTTCACATCTGACAACCAGGGTAACATTGTTGCGATCGATAACAATGGGAACACTTTGGCCCTTGACGGTGGCATTAATGGCGAAGTCTTGTCAATGTACCTGGATGGCAATAGCCTATTTGTTGGCGGCCGGTTCAACAATACCCGTGATGGTTCGACGCCGGGATTGGCGAACGTTGCGATTTACGACAGCTCAAGCAACCAGTGGACACCACTAGGAGCTGGTGTGGACGGAACTGTTACAAGTATTGTGCCAACAACGATGAACCTCAGCGAGAGCGCAGCGGAAGACGTCATCACGTTAACTGGTGAATTTACGCACCTCCTTGCATTCGACAATAACGACGTTGCTGAGGTGCAAGGCTTTGCAGTGTGGGTGAAATCGCAGAAGAATTGGTTGCAAAACTTGGATACTCCAGTCCCGTTTTTAAACGGTGTTCTTACGACGGCGGTAGCAGTATCAGATAATGAGACCATATATGCCGGATCGATATCCTCTCAGGCCCTTCGCGCATATGGCGCTACAACCGTATCTAATGGGTTTGGCAATTTCCCTATTAAAATCCACCCGCCAGCCAGCCAGTCTAGTACCTCTGCAAATGGACTCTCGAAGCGCGCAAACCTAGAGAACGGTACTGATACTATTGCTGGCGTCGTCACAGGAGCGTTTTACCAAAGTGATGGGAAGAACGTCACAGTCCTTGGCGGACACTTTATCGCGAATGCGTCTAATGGTTCAACTATTTATAACCTAGCTTTCATCGATGGTGCAGATTCTAACTCCGTGACGGGGCTAGGCGCTGAAATATCTGAAAGCTCAGCATTCTTATCATTGGCGGTCCAGGGCGACAACCTATATGCTGGCGGACGTGTCAATGGCACTGCTCAGGGCTCCGTTGTTAACGGCCTCATTTCGTACAACCTTGCGTCCAAGTCGTTTAATTCGCAGCCCCCCGCTCTCGCAGGCAACAGTGTAGTTGTCTCATCTGTTACTGTCCGTCCGGATACTGGTGATGTCTACGTTGGTGGCTCCTTCGAGAGGGCTGGTTCGCTTCCCTGTCCTAGCGTCTGTCTCTTTAGCACCGGAACCAGTCAGTGGAACCGGCCTGGCTTTGAACTTGGCGGCGATGTGAACTGCATGATGTGGTCGAGCAATTCAATTCTGCTTGCGGGTGGTAACCTGACCCTCAATGATAGCGGGGCCTTTCTGGCCTCCTACGACGCCTCCAGTTCTCATTGGAGCTCATACTCAGACGCCTCGGATCTGCCAGGTCCTGTAAATGCATTAACTGCTGCGAGTAGTGATTCAAAGCAGATCTGGGTTGCCGGTACGCAATCTGATGGTTCCACTTATCTGATGAAGCACGATGGCTCATCTTGGAAATCTGCTGGCGTCACGTTCGACCGAGGAACCACAATCAGCAGCTTACAGATGTTTACTGTAAACCAATCTCACGACTCATCTGATCTCGTCTCTTCCGATCAAGTCCTCTTAATGACCGGCTCTATTGCGATACCAGGATTTGGCACAGCATCGAGCGTAATCTTCAATGGTACGACGATTCGGCCTTATGCACTCACCTCAAGCATCGACGGCACAGCCGGGTCGATCTCCCGAATCTTCGTAGAGAACAACAACTTCTTTACTTCCCCAAGTAAGTCTAGAGTCCAAATGTCCATTTGTATATCTACTAACTTTGTCGTCAGCTAATAGTGGTATGCCCCTTGTATTTGTGGCTCTTATTGGATTGGCGATATCCCTAGGCCTCATGGTACTCATTGTACTCGCTGGTCTGGCATTAGACCGATATCGCAAGAAGCGCGAGGGTTACGTTCCAGCTCCTACATCCATGTTCGACCGTGGTAGCGGTATGCAGCGGATACCACCGCATGAGCTACTAAATTCCTTAAGCCAAGGTAGACCCGGACCTCCTCATGTTTAAGGAGTACCGTCAACAAGACTACTTTGATGCCATAAGGTTGCAATAATTAAGCCTAGGGCGAAGATGTTTTTTCTGCACCACCAATCGTTACACATGCGTACTGCAATTTTTAGAGCCAAACAGTAATAGATCTGACTATGAAGAGTCAGCAAATCGATGTCATATCGAAGATACCCAACCGACAGAGGCCTGTCGATGCGAAGAGATCGGGGGATTGGGGAGGAGGTAGAGAGGAGCAGAAAATATCCGCTACGGATTTACTAATCTTTGGCGACTTCATGAATGACGACAACGCCAACCATTTTAATGTTTACATGTCTAGTTATCTTCACATTCACGTGTGTTACTAGTCCTTCACTACCGTCCTTTGTATATTTCACAATTACCTTGCAGTCCCGTCCCCCGGCTGCTATGGGGTTGGTCTTGCTGGTGCAAGCTCGGAGGACAGTAAGTTGATGGTATTTTTGATAGGAAGGACGGACATATTTTGCGGAGATTCAGGGTTGAGTAGAGGGTATATCTCAGTGAGAGGACAAATGGATTCGGCCGAACTTAGCTCGACGCTGAGCAATCATTTACACCGCTCCGGTGGTAGTTACGTAGTCAATCTACGGAATAGGTGCTTTTGAATTGCTATGTGTGGTTTTTGTTATATTTGTGCACTTTGATAAATGTTATGATATTATTTAAAGGGAGTAAAATATTCCATTAACGTGAGTTTTGGTTGAACGAGACATTGCTTTTATCCGATACTAACTTAACCAATTCAGACTTGTCGACTCGGTGGATTAAGTAGGAAATCATAACCTTCTTGTTGTTTTTATTTACATCTTGTCTTATTCTTCATTAAATTGAGTAGGTAGTTTCGAGTGACTAATATAAACATGGACTGTCGCGTTATGTAGGTGTAGGAAGTATTATGTAAATGTACTAGCCACAGACGGTTTGCCACAGCTTACCCACCTTACATAAAAAGCTAAGGCGGCAAATCAAGATTAGCAACTATCAAGTACAGAGTGGAGCCTCTACAGCAACACCTTTTCGTTATCATTTGATCACTAACCATTTAGAGCCTCAACAGCGCATGAAATCTTGTTCATCTTCAACCAGCCTCTCCCATTCACGCTTTCATCTAATAAAAGGTCAAGACAGCGTCCGGCTGAACTGTTAATCATGTCAGACGCTGACTTTGACGCCGTTAGAAAGCTCCAAGCTGAGCGGAATGCTGCTGCAGCTGCAAAGAAAGGGTCGCGCGGCCGAGACCCCAAGAACCAGCGATCTGAGAGCTCAACTAAAGCAAAGCTTACCGAATCTTTCGACACAGAACTTTACGACCGTGATGGAGGTGATAAATATGCAGGATATCTTACATCTATCCCCGTTGCCGATGGCGAGGACGAAGAAATGGAAGATGTCGATAACTCGCGTCGTTTAGTTGGCCAGTATACCGCGACGCGTTCCCAGATTGACGAATTCGCCCACGGCAATGGAGTCGAAGAGGATGATCCATTTGCAGGAAGAGGTGAAAACAGCACGAGGATTGTTGACCGCGAAACTGACTACCAGAAACGTCGCTTCGATCGCGTTCTCACCCCGACAAGAGCCGATGCCTTCAACCGCCAAGGAGGCGCCACCGAAGAAGGCGATACATATCGCGATATTATGGAACGGAGAGAAATAGAAAGGGAAGAGGAAAGGGTTAAACGTGAAATCCAAGCGAAGCGGGAAGGGAAAGAAACCGATGGCGATCACGAAGCAACACTCAAAAACGGAGATAAAGAGAACACAGACGCCGGGTCTACTGAGGCAGCGACAGCTGGGCGAAAGCGCAAGAAGAGATGGGATGTTGCTTCTACTGCTGTGGATGAACCTGCATCAGACTCTGCCGAAGGGAAAACTAAGAGATCCAGATGGGACCAGGCGCCGTCGCTCCCTACCCCCGGTGCATCTGATGGTGCCAAGAAGAGATCGAGATGGGATCAAGCACCCTCTGCGACTCCTGTCGGTAATAGCGGTTTAGCCACACCGATGCACACATCTTCACTTGGAGTTGGCGCGGCGAAAGCAGACATGTCTGGCCCTGGTGGCATTCTTGGTGATGAAGAGTTGAATACATTACTTCCTGGCGAAGAGCAAGGCTTCAAGATTCTCGACCCACCATCAGGATATCCTACCGGTCATGCCCCTCTCCATAGGGTCGCGGCGACACCACTACCAGCAAACTACGGTGGTTTCATGATGCAGGATCCAGAGAGCACGAGACTGGGAGGAAGCCAGATGCCCAAAGAAATCCCTGGCGTTGGAGAGCTACAATTTTTCAAGCAGGAAGATATGGCTTACTTCGGCAAACTAGCAGATGGCTCTGATGAGAATAGCCTAAGCGTTGAAGAACTGAAAGAAAGAAAGATTATGAGGCTTCTCCTGAAGATCAAGAATGGTACTCCTCCTATGCGAAAGACTGCTCTCAGACAACTCACAGATAACGCAAGGCAGTTCGGTGCTGGGGCTCTGTTCAACCAGATTCTCCCTCTCCTGATGGAGAAGACGCTGGAAGACCAAGAACGCCATTTGCTCGTCAAAGTAATCGACCGTATCCTATGGAAGCTTGACGACCTTGTCCGTCCTTACGTTCACAAAATCCTAGTCGTCATCGAACCGCTCCTCATTGACCAAGATTATTACGCAAGAGTGGAGGGTCGAGAGATTATCTCTAATCTCAGTAAAGCCGCCGGTCTCGCTACTATGATCAGCACCATGAGGCCGGATATCGACCATGTCGACGAATACGTACGTAACACGACAGCAAGAGCCTTCGCGGTTGTAGCCTCAGCGCTAGGTATTCCAGCCCTTTTACCTTTCTTACGAGCAGTATGTCGAAGCAAGAAGTCGTGGCAAGCCCGACATACCGGTGTCAAGATCGTGCAACAGATTCCTATCCTAATGGGATGTGCCGTTCTACCCCATCTTAAAGGTCTTGTGGACTGCATAGGCCCAAACCTGAATGATGAACAAACAAAGGTACGGACGGTCACTAGTTTGGCCATTGCTGCTCTTGCTGAAGCCTCTAACCCTTATGGTATTGAAAGCTTCGATGATATTTTAAATCCTCTATGGACTGGTGCACGCAAGCAACGCGGCAAGGGTCTCGCTGGCTTTCTCAAGGCTGTCGGCTATATCATTCCCCTTATGGACGAAGAATATGCCAATTATTATACCTCACAAGTGATGGATATCCTTCTCCGAGAATTCTCGTCCCCAGACGAAGAGATGAAGAAGGTTGTGTTAAAGGTTGTATCTCAGTGTGCGGGAACCGAAGGTGTGACAGCTGGTTACCTTAAGGAACACGTTCTAGATGAGTTCTTCAAGAGTTTCTGGGTTAGGCGGATGGCCCTAGATAAGCGAAATTATCGACAAGTGGTACGTTAACCTCCTTAAACCCCATTCGTTATCTATTAGTTGCTAATTATATTAATACAGGTCGAAACAACCGTTGATATTGGCCAGAAGGTTGGCGTCAGCGAGATTCTAGAGCGAATTGTTGGCAATCTTAAAGATGAGAGCGAGGCCTACCGTAAGATGACTGTCGAGACGGTGGAGAAGGTAGTTGCCAGCTTAGGAGCGGCGGACATTGGTGAGAGGTTAGAGGAGCGACTTATCGACGGCATTCTTCATTCCTTCCAGGAGCAAAGTGTCGAAGATATCATTATGCTAAACGGCTTCGGCACGGTAGTTAACGCGTTAGGCACGCGCTGTAAGCCGTATTTGCCTCAAATAGTGTCAACAATCCTGTGGCGTCTCAACAACAAATCCGCAACGATCCGCCAGCAAGCCGCGGATCTTATCAGCAGGATCGCAATAGTCATGAAGCAGTGCGGCGAGGATGCCCTTATGGGCAAGCTAGGCGTTGTCTTGTACGAATACCTCGGAGAGGAGTACCCTGAAGTTCTTGGCTCAATCCTCGCGGCCCTCCGAAGCATTGTTACCGTTGTTGGTATCAGCCAAATGCAACCTCCAATCAAGGATCTATTACCGCGTCTTACTCCTATCTTACGAAATCGTCACGAAAAGGTACAGGAGAATACAATCGATCTCGTCGGCCGTATTGCCGATCGGGGACCAGAGAGTGTAAACGCAAGAGAATGGATGAGAATTTGCTTCGAGCTGTTGGATATGTTAAAGGCACACAAAAAGGGCATCAGAAGAGCAGCCAATAACACGTTTGGTTTCATCGCGAAAGCTATCGGACCACAAGATGTGTTGGCTACCCTACTGAACAATCTGCGCGTCCAGGAGCGTCAATCCCGAGTTTGCACGGCCGTCGCAATCGGTATTGTTGCTGAGACTTGTGCTCCTTTCACAGTGCTCCCTGCTCTGATGAACGAGTATCGGGTCCCTGAACTTAACGTACAAAATGGTGTGCTCAAGTCTTTATCATTCCTCTTCGAGTACATTGGAGAAATGGCCAAAGATTACGTCTACGCCGTGACGCCGCTCCTAGAAGATGCCCTAATCGACCGTGACCAGGTACATCGGCAGACGGCTGCGTCCGTGGTCAAGCACATTGCACTAGGTGTAGTTGGTCTAGGCTGCGAAGACGCTATGGTGCATTTACTTAACCTTCTCTGGCCTAACCTCTTCGAAACCAGCCCACACGTTATAGACCGCATTGTGGAAGCTATCGAAGCTATTCGAATGGCCGTCGGACCCGGTCTCGTACTAAACTACGTATGGGCGGGTCTATTCCATCCCGCCCGCAAGGTACGGCAGCCTTACTGGCGACTCTACAACGACGCGTACGTGCAAGCCGCCGACGCCATGGTGCCTTATTACCCGAACCTAAGCGAAGATGGCATCGACAGACCTGAATTGGCAATTGTACTATAGAAATATTTTCCCTTTTTTGTTTAAAATACATGGCTAGTATTATTCAGCTACGTGAGCTCAGGACCTCTGGCTGGCGGTGTACAGTAGATTCAAAATCAAGCAAAATAATGAGGAGTGCGATGAGGGCCGAGTCGTTTCAGTTGGGCCGTTCCGTAGCAGTAGTCAAATCGATCGGATCTTAGCGATCATGGGTATTATTAGGTGGGATAGCGCGTTGGGCGTTTTGACTGTCTGGTGAATAAAGTTATTTTCCGGGAATCATAAAGTCATGAATAGTACCTATGTAGTTTCGTGTTTAATGCATTGGTTGCCAGACGATTCCCCGTTTGGTTGAAATGTTGAGAATCTTGAAAAGGGGGAATGAGGCTATCATCAACTGACCGACCACGAACAGTGGATTTATGTCAGCAGCCCAATATGTAAAAGCAGATATCACTGGCTAATGTAAAAGAGATGAGTTAATCAGGTACAGTATACATTAATCATATTAATTACCGCCTTAAGAGAGAGAGAGTGGCGTGACCATGGGATGTTTATATATACATTGAGCTCTAAATCATCACACCAGCTCCACGGTGTTACCAACCTCTCGTTGCGGTTACTACATACATATTCATTCTAATTGTTCCCTCGCAAAATAAATCCCTGGGGACACTTCTAAGGATCTTTCCAAGTGCTATGGTGGGCTAGATAAGTCGAGTTGAAGCCAACAGATACATACATACATAAGTGTATTCTGGATCCCTACCTAGGTAGATAGGTATGTATCCTATGTAGTCGTACGATGGCGGTAGGAACACTTCAGAGAGAAATAGGATTTCTAGAACCTTTCTCCGCCGATCTCTCTACGTCTAAAGATACATATCATAATCCAAGCCGCTCGTTTGATCTCGTGCGTGCGTATGTGTATGTATTGTTTATTTTTATTATTTTTCTATCCTTAGAAGTAAGATCATCCGGCCAATTTCCCCAGAAACGCTTCGCGGTTCACCACGCGACGCGGGCCTGTCGATCAACGGTTTATCTTCTACTTCATAGGGAAAAATAACGACTAGCTTTCGAGTAGAGTTAGAGGTTCTTCAGCGCCGCGCTCCCGAGTGCCGGATCCAGCGTTCTGGAACGGCGTTCTCTTTTTTCCCTTTCTAGTGTAGGTATGTATGTATGTATGTTTGAAGGAAGGATGGGATGGGATGTGCGCACATGTCATTCAAGACTATCTAGATAGATCGGCAACACCACGGTTTCAAGGCCAGCTGCGCCATCGCATGGTCTATGTGTATAGTTTCTATCCCTATGTAATCTCCACGAACCCCCTTTTCACATTATACATACTACTACTGCTACTACTGCTGCTACTATTACTACTATGTACGTACAGACATAACAGGCATAGTGACAGACCTTTTCGATTGCGTGATTGTCCTCCCCCTTTTTTTATCCTCCTGAGGCTTAGACAAGGCTAGTAAGCGCCAAGGTCTCTCTGGCTAAACAAACCCTTTCTCCCTTTTCCCTATCAAGGTAAGCCGGGACGTACGTGAGCGAGGTGATACATACATCCTAACTACATATGTATGATCCTGACTACATGTGATGACGGTCACTTAGTATAGGTAGGGAGTTAGAGTCAATGTCTTGCTCGAAACTCCGGAGAGGCGAACTGTTACGTAGCTCAACTATCGTGCGTACATACATACATATACACACATTTTTGCTTCTTCGTAGTTGCTACATAGGCAAAGCAAAGCAAAGCAAGGCACTGAGAGCGGTCTACATACAACCGGCAGTAAGAATATGCATACTGGAGACGGGATTTTCCTTCACGTGCGTTAAACTGGGACATTGATGCTATTAGTATGGAACTTGCTTAGGCATGTATCCAGTACGTAGTGTTTAGTGTTAAGTGTGTAGTATACCTAACAGTAAGTACACATATCCATACGATACATAGGATATACTACGTCCCGGCGCGGGGGGGCAGCGGTGATGTATTGTACAATACATACCTTACCTACCTTACATACCTACATACATACATACATACATACATACTTAGATATATCTTAGTCGGTAGGTATGCGACTCTGACCACGCACACAGTTCGGCAGGGATCGGCAGTCGTGCATGAGCAGGTCAGAACACGCAGAGAGAAGGGAAGGGGAGGGGGGTGTGGAAGAGCAAGGGAACCCCGGGTTTTCTGTCGAGGGACGGACAAGCCGCGTCCCGTCCACTTAGAACCGACATACACCACACATATACCTACACATACATATATACTTACCTACCTACCTACCTACATACATACATACAGACATACACATATGGACGTGAGCGAGTAAGTGAGTGAGTTAAACGCTGGCCCTCTCCGTGCCTGCTTGTGCGTGCGTGCATTACATATCCATCTGTTGAACAAGAGGCGGTGAGGTGAAGGTTGGTTTAGGCCGGGCTGGTTAGCTAGGGAGGAGGAGGAGGAAGAGGAGGAGGCAAACAAACAAATAAAAATAAAAAGATAAAAAAAGAGGCGAACGATAATATATCATTACTATGTACCTATGCATCTACATACATACATACATACTACAAAGGAGTAATAAAAGTCCATAGTATAGCAAGGTGAAAATTATATGTAATAGGTAAAAACAATAGCAATATGAGAGAATCTGATTAATCAAATAAACGGGATGGATGTAATTAGCGAGATGATTGATTACATTTGTTATTTCGTTATATTAATATATTACTAGCATAATACCTAATATAAGGTAATAGTATACAAACGACAACGATACTTGGGAATAAGACAAGACCCCAATATGGGAATTCTCCGAGACAATTTTTTTTTTTTTTACGTACACGATAAGTAATAAGCAAAAATGTATCATTATTATTATTATTATATACCTTTTAAAGATATCATATAGGTTAGGTAGGTTATGTCAATTCCGCAAAGGTACCTAACATATTCGGAAGATTGCGAGAATATAAGTACATCACGTATATAAATGCAGGTTATTAATATAAGAAAAGCGACGATAACAAAAAAATAAAATAAAATAAACTGCATAGGGAAAAAGGGTCTTTAATGCGCAACAAACGCATTCCCATAGCTCCAAAAATGGCATTTGACCAATATCCATTATGGAGACGGGGAATATACTCTTTGATTTTAATATATATAATATGCGTATAAGTGCGTATACTACATACTACTTTAACCCTACCTTTAACTATAGTTATATGCAAAGCGTAGCTGTCTGTACCTACATAATAAACCGGCCTCCATGCGGAAGTAAAAGTAGTAGTAGTAATAGTACATAAGGTAGTAGGTAACAGTGTTCTTACATACTGATTTCTGAGTGTCCGAATTCTACCGCATCTGTACCCTCCATGCGTATTCCGCTGTGGAGAAAAAAAAAGCCAGGTACTTCTTTACAATAGTACGTGTGTAATACGTGTAGTACCGCGATTGATAACGAACGGGGAGGGGAGTGTCTCTAAACAACGCTTAGCTGTCTCATCCCTGTCAATATTTAGGCAGGCTATGGAATTCCCCTGCACATGTCTGTGTGGACCACTACCGGGGCTAACGTCCAATTATAATCCTGCACCAAATCTTAGCAAGAAAACTACTCTGCGAGATGATGTCATTTTCAACCTCGCTTGACCGCCCCCAAAGGCAATTCCCAACGACCGCCCTCAAAATTGCGCCAATATTCGCAATGCCCTCTCCTCCCCTGGCCCCCCTCTACATACTATTTGTATCTAAGTATTGTCGAATGAGCATTCCGAAGTGCCCAGTTCTCCAATTATCTATCATTATTATTACTATCTATGTATTATTGCCCTTACCACTTCTCCCGGTCGACCCTTGTGGACTCGACAACGGATAGGACACACGAACCATTTAACAATACATTTAACAATACGTTCAACACACTTGGAGAAAACCGTCGGTTGTTGGCTGTTGGCTGTTGGCTACATAGTACACTATTATCTATCTATGTATTTGACCCAGGTTCCATACATAGGTACCTACTCCAGATCCATGAAATAAGAGAAGAGCTTCCAAGAAGACCCACGGCTATCAATATGGAACCGGTCCAATCCAATCTATCGAGCCCGGCAGTGAGAGGACTTGAAACGCGATACTCCATGGGGAAGGAGAGGCGGCACCGCGGAAAAAAAAGAAGCTATCTGACTGTGGAGGTCGTCATGCAAGATACGTGCACCACAGTAAGGTAAATTATCCTTTCCCTTGCCCATTTCCCATCCCAGGACCACACACCAATTACTCCGTCCTTCTACGGAAACGCGTCAACGGATTCGAAGCAAAAAAAAAAAAGGCTTGGCATATAGCTTGGCGATTTCCCTTGGTATGCCCTATTACGGGGATGACCTACCACTTTGTCAGTAAAGGGTCATCTCAAAAGAGACCCTACTATTCCATATGTAAGCAACTAAGACAGATTCATCAAAAATTGGCGCGGGTGACGGATCATTCATGGTTTCGTTTCAAGGAATCTCATCTCATCCTATCCGCTCCGCTGTTCCAGCACCTAGTTATGCATCCTGTGAGATTGAACACACCCCCGGTCTGCCCCCCCGTTTCCAACGGGCATGATGCGGATTCGTCTAAGCCTCAATCTCTCGTCGCATAGTTGTTTATATAAACAGCAACGTGCGCACGGCACCCCCCTCTTCGGTCCCCAAGTGGCGAAAGGGGATCCCATGAATCCCATATTGCATCACTTTTCGACAATTCTTAGGGTGTTACTACAGCTTTCGCAACAGTGACCTGGGATAATCTGGAGAAAACGAGAACCCAAACCAGAAAATATTTCGAGTCCAAGTTACACTTTCCAATCACGCGAAGAACCGTGTGTCCTTTCACCAGCGAGCGCCCGTCTCCCCGCAGACCTCGTTGCACAAGGAAGACCCTGAAGATCACAACGTCCTGTACATGTGGCTGTACGATGCGAAGTCTTGGCTTTGAAACTTCACAACCACCTGGCCAATGCTCTTTTCCTTGTCGTAGCTGCGTAGCTAGCTAGCTGTTTGACCCTCTAGTGTGTCCCCATTGGCCGAATCCACCGATTTGAACTCGTCGGCCGTAGCCCGACCCATGTACTAGACCGACGTCATAAGGCACCCAACCAGCAGCTGTGTCGTCATTGGGCGGGACGTTTCGTCTAAGGATAGGTTGGCCCATTGGACCGGCTTCTAAATATCGAGACCAGCCTTCCTGCTAGCATACGACCATCCGTGATGCCAATTCTCAAGTGCCGTATAGACTGGCTTCTGTTCTACCCCTCTCCTCGCTTGCCGCTCCCTTCTGCTCTTCTCTCCGCTCCGACCTATCCCTTCGTACGCAATAGTCTGCGCTAGAGTGATACCCGACAGGAAGAATGGGGCAGCAAAAAGCAAACCAACTTCATTGGTGTGCGGATGTGGTGTCTCAGCTGTCGTCAGTGACACGTTACGTACTTCTCACGTCTACTATGGGGGGACATATCCATCGCCCATCTAGTAGTCTTCCGTGGAGGATATCCATTCTAACGTGGTCCGCTCCTCATCTTCCACCAGAGGTCCGCCCAGTGGACAGAATCGGGCCTTTAGCTGGCCTTATTCGTGGATAAAGAGTTACAATGTAGAACCATGGTCCTGGTTGACTATTAAGCGTGTAACTGATACGTCTAGGTTGGGACGACCTTCTAAGGCGGTATCGTTAGCATAGATAGAAACCCAGCACACATCAAACATCGTGCCGGAGCAACTGTGGAGGTATCCAGGCACCATCTCACGTGGAAAGGTGCCATCAGGGTCTCTCCGCTACACACGTAGCAGTTGGTAAGGATCTTCATACGCTTGTTGACGGCTACACAGCCAACAGGTCCCTATCGTGTTGTTCTATTGTCTTCAGCGGCAAAGAAGAGGCCACATCAGCAACCTTCTTTGTTTGTAATTTACCCACATATTATTTAAAGGATAGATCTAGGACGGGACTGCTGAATAACACTCCTAAATACAGTAGCACATGGCAGCGGCACAAAGGTACCGCTGACGTCGTCGTTATTGTTCGGGTCAGCCGCGCTGTCCGTAATAGGTAGGCAGGCTATCCTCTCCGGATTCCTCGTGCGGAGCCAGTCAGAATCGCCGAGCCGATCTAGGAAGGGATCGCGGCTCTCCTGCCCCCCCTAACTTGCTCGCAGAGAAACAAGCGCGATACGCAGAGCCACCGGAGGAAGCGTATGACTACTCTGTGCAAGCTAGCAAGCTTACCGACGGTAGTCGAGATACCCGCAGCCGCAAGTTGAAAGGGGACGCGCGGGGAAAATATCTAATCATCCAACGAATTTGGAGAAGACGTAGTCATAATGATACGATTTTTTAATGAATAGCCTCACATGGCCCGGGACGCTAGCAGATAGGCGGCAGACGAATGAGATTACGAGTTGCCCTGTTTGGCAGTCTTGTCGATAGCTTGATTCCGGGTTTTTTCTTACATAGTATAATATATCAGCCTTGGAGTAGGTAAGAGGAAGGGGAAAAAAAGAGGATTAAGGTATTACATTAGGTAGTAGGTATTCTAAGTATTGTACCTAAGTAGTTCTAGAAACGGGAAAGCACATTAAGAAAAGTCCACATAATATACAGTAGCGCAGGTGCACTAGAGTAGCGTCGCAGCATTAAGCGTGTTTCAAGTTTCGAAGGGGGGTGGGTAAGAGCCGCCGTCGCCCGCCCGCGATTGTAATTTGTGGCCTTTGGTTGTAGTTGGTAGACTTTGCAACTGCAACTGCAACTGCAACTCTGTAGCTGTACGTTTTATGTGCATGTGGACGGGCGGTGCTATACTAATGCTATGCTAAAAAGCTAAGATGCTAGCCCATGACGATCATAGGAAGCCTAAACAGGAAGCATCTTGGAGAAAAAACCCTTATGAAGTAATGTACTTGGGATGTGATCCCGGTTCGAAAGAGATTTAAAAAACGGGTACGTACATTATTTTTACTTGATAGAGTCTAAAATGTCTAAATATGACCGATGGAATTACGATAATAATAAATACCTACCTAAGGTAGGTAAGTACCTCCTAAGGAGGAGGTATGTATGGGCAACCCATCTCGCAGGGCATAACGATAGCTCATCTCGCAGGACCAGACAAAAAAAGAAATAGGTAGCAAAACCGAGAATAGAAAGTCAGCAGCAGCAGCAGCAACAGCAACAACAACAATGTTGTTCGCGGCGGTTTTACATGCGGATGTAGGGGGAGGATGAGATGGGGATGTACACATGTTAGGTAGGTATTAGGTAGGTAGGTTTAGATACCATGACTCGGACGGGCCCTTTTAGATCCCAGTTTTCTCGCTTTTCCGCGAATCTACGAGCACGAATGGGCGAATCCTAACGGCTCACCGACGGGGGGGGGGGGGGGGGGGGGGGGGGGAGTATAATGTGGGTTGCATGCGTCCATCGTCTTTCTTTCTCGCTCTCTCCCTCTGTCTTTGTCAAGAAATAATAATACATACATACCTACCTACCTACCTACATACGTGTGTGTGCGTGTGGGAGTGTACAACGCACGAAATAGAAATAGGATGGATCTCTTTCCTTCTCTCCTTCCGGATAGGCAGGGCGAATACATATGTATAGCAAGTTGGGCCACCAGAAGTTTTCGATAAGACCCAAGACGTTCAAGGAACAACAACAACAACAACAGCCCATGCATGTATGTATGTATATGGGTGTATCAGTGCGTTATGTGGGTGGTAACCGATGGGATGGATAATAAAGTGGGAAAGGAACCGCCAATACGTGCTTCGTGCCAATCCCGATGCTAATCAAGCTCCGTAGCGGGACGGGAGAGAAAGTCCGCCCTTTTTTTCTTCTTCTTTTGCTTATGTTTATGTTATGCTTATATATATTTTTATGTTATAAGTGGACTCTCTACCTACCTCCTATACATAGGTAACTAAGTCTATATGTATCTACCTAAGGTAATAGTACTTTGTGTATAGTGCTCGGAAGATTCTTTCGGGATACCCGAATATCACCGGAGTAGGCGAATACATACGGATTACATGCGTAGTTATTAGTTAGTATATTAGTATAGAGGAGTCGACGGAGTCAGGGTTTCCCCAGCTCGCCCAGCCGGTCGACCAGATATCGTACTATCTATACATATGCTAAAAGATAACCTACCTACGCTACTGTAAGGGAACTTACTAGCGCCTCCGGATCTGACGAAGATTCGGTTGGAACCCGGCTCCGCTCACTATATACCGGTTTTTATTTATTTATTACTATTTACCTACGTAGGCCGTCAATATCTCACGGAACTGTCTCCGAGTAGTAAATAATGTGTAATTGGGAAATGGTCGTAGTACGCGTGTCACAAGAAAATGCTGCCTGTAAAATCATGTTTTATATGCGATGTGGAATTTTATATTCGAGCCCGCAGTATACCGTAAACATTTATCTCTGTACCAACGCCGTATATATCAACAATTAGATTACAAAGGCAGTAGCGAATGTGAGGTTTCCTCGAGAGGAGACACCATAAAGGAGGCTCCCCGTACAGGGGAGAAATGCTCTGCCTTCCAGGGGTATATGCGAAGCGTAGCTAATAATACAGATTATCCTTTCTTCGCTCTCGCTCGTCCGTGTCACTTTTGGTCTTTCTCTTTTCTCGCTCCCAAGAAGCTGCCGCCACGGGAATTGTACGAAACGCCTGAGGCTGCCTGCTGCTGCTTCTCGATGTAAACGAATGCATGCGATCTTCGCCCGTCCCATAACCCCTTATATCCCAAACGCCGTCTGTGAGGGTATCTCCTCGAATGGGAAATAAAAACAACAATACAATCCCAAATACCCCCCCAGATGTGATGTGTGGCCTGACCCAACCCAATTGCAAGCCACGAGAGATAGACGCGAAGAAAAGACGATAAAACAATGCCACAAAATGAGCCCACCCAAATCTATAAGCTCATCCATGCACCCGGCGCTTCAAACTCTCCTGGATATCGCTCCAACCAGCAGCGCAAACGAATCTCGATGATGATATGATGATGGTGTCTTCGTACAAGAGACATAAATTTGCAACCCAATTTTGGTAGCATCAGATGGTGAAAAAAAAAAGATGCTGGTGATTAGTCTCCTCTAAAACCATTTGAGACCGAACCGAACGTGATTCAACATGAGGTATCCGCATAACAAGGATAATCGTAAACAATTCTAAATCGTAACTTTGAGCACAATTGAACATATTTTTGTCATGAAGCATTGACTTCTTTTTTTTAGTCGGAGTGATCGTCGTGGTGATCTTCCGATCCAGCATCGGACTTGGCATCGTTTTTATGTACCTTTCGGTGTCGACGCAGATTTGATACAACGGAAAAATGTCTCCCACAACCTTCAACTTCGCAACAGAATGCTATGCTTTTATGTCAGCTTTCGGTTCGGCTTCGCACATCTCAAGGTTTCAATACTCACGCTTTTCGCCCGTATGGCTATACATGTGCGTCTGAAGTGAGCTTGGTCGGGTAAATCGCTTATCGCAGACTTTGCACTTGTGCTTCTTTTGCGTACTCGATGAAACCTTTGAGCTGAACTGTCCCATCATTGATTGAGGAGCAGGGGGAGGCTGCGTCATTAAATTCGGTCGAGGCAACGTCCGGGAGGTGACCGACTCAATATCAGAGCCCGCCGTCGAGTAATCGCTCACGGACGAATCGACCGACCCCGCATAATATCCACTACCATAATTACTCGCCGAGGAAATAGATGAATTCGTCGAATGTGTCGAAGGGAAACCATACGAGTCGGCGGAGCCCCTACCTCGGTTTCCGGGAGGGTATATCGCCCTAGGGGTCTCTTGGCTCATCGCGAGCATACCTTGACCAGCGTCGAGAGCGTCCGCAAAGCTCCTCCGATCATCATTCTGAATACCTCTGTGATGCAAGTCAACCAACGAATTCCGGTGAGAGCGAGATGCGTCTGAGCCATGATCGACCATCGGCAGTGAAGAAATTGACGATTGGGAATACCTTCGGTTGTCGGCTTCTGGCGCGAGAGCGAACGTTGAGCGCATTGGTGCCGGCGCGTACCCGGATACGCTATCATAGGAACTCGGTGACGCCGAGTACGTCGCGTTTACCGGAGAGGCCGCCGTCGCCGTCGCGTACGCGGGCTCTCCGTATCCAGCTGACGTTGTTTGCATTCGGTTTAAATTTAAAAGATCTTGCGGCATATTGAGTAAGTCCTGCTGTCCATAGAGGTCCGCCATGAGAGTGCTACCTGCTGAAGATGCCGTCACCGGGATGCTGCCATATGGTGCCATTGAGGCACCACTGGTGCCTGTCCTGGCGGCGTGCTGCTTGGCCATAGAGTCGAGGCCACCCAAGTTGGCATTGAGCCCTTGCGAGTACATGCCGTGGCTGCCATGGTGTTGGCTAGATGAGCCCGCGGCCCAGGGGTTGGTGAAATGCGGAGGGTTGGAGTAGGAAGACATGTGTTCGAAGTTGAGGGCCCCGAGTCGTGATTGATTGTCAAGAGTCATAGTCATCTTCGACGCAATATATCATATAAGAATGGTTGGAAATATGAGGCTTTCCAACACTTGAAACCGACTCCTTATTTTTCCCTGTGTCAAAAAAAAGATAGATAGGAAAGTTTGGAATAGTTCGCTGATCAGATGCGGGATCCCGAAGGGGCACAGATTCGTGTCACCTTACCGAGGCGGTGACTTGTCTCTCAAGATCCAGTGAAGAAGATCCGTCACGAGCTACGGGAGGGGGATCAGCGAGCCTTAAGTGTGTTTGGCAGGACACTTCAGGAAGTATGCGACCAGGAACCCCCGAATAGGTGAACGAAGGTACACACTGGGGTCGGCCGGTACTTTTAAGGCCAGTCCAATCGTCTGAAGCTTAACGCTCTCCAGCAATTGGGACAGGTGGAACCAATGCCCTTTAGCTTACAGCAAGTCCAGTGACGACGGTGAACAGATTGATCGACAATCCAATGTCCCGTACTAAAGCAGGTCGGGGCAGGGTTGGACACACTGTAGGGTGCTACACAGAGCACGGTAGGGTAGGATATTGAAAAGATCGAACCGGGGCTGAAATTTGGAAAGATGGTGTCCAATTTGATAGCAGCCGTTTTAGGTCTTGACTGATCATGAGAATGTGGAGTTCGGTGGCTCGTTTCAAGACCGAAGCGTAGAAGATCAGCAGCGGCCAGATATCCGGGAGGTCAGATGTACATATAATTCGAGCGAGTGTACTTGTTGTTACAGGAGACCTAAGCAAGAAATCGCAGCACGAATGTTGATCTTTGTATGTATATAGTCCTCTATCACCTTGTTTTGTTTTGGTGTTTGGTGTTTAGGGACGAAGTTAGATGTTCCGTAATATAGACGGCGGTTTGTGCGGTTTAACCTTGGTTGGTCAACGTCGAGACGTAAGATGTTCCGTCGAAAGCGTTTATGAGGTGACGAGCGGAAGAGGCACAGGCTGAGATGGCAGGATGGCAGGCTTTACATACATAGATTGTCCGTCTTATTCGGCTACCTATGTTAGGTAGTTAGTCCTGGTAAGTTCCTAGTAGTTTAGGTGTGATGGGAGTGGCCAGCTAGTACGTCAACTAGCAGCACTAGAGAATTAAAGAAGTAGGGAATTCCAACGCGGACCTGTTAAAAGCATCCAGGGTATCAGGGTCTCCCTAACCCGCACCTCAAAGTGATAAATTGGGGCGAGTGGGACAAGAAGCACAGGGATCGAATACTTTAACGGAGGCGAAGAAAAAAAAGAGAGTTGAGGTACGGGAAATGCCATAAAAACTAGGTATGTAATAAGAAAGAGAGTGTGTGTACCGCGGTAGGTACGGTACGCAAATGAGAACATGGCAGGGTATGGTTGAAGGTAACGGCAAGGGTTCTACGGCTAAGGCTACGGGGGGTGCGGCCGCTGGGATGGCAGGATGACTAGCTAAATGTATGTACCGGTACGGGTGGACACTAACCAAACAGACAACCCTTGTCCGCTTTCCGTATAGATCATGTACCTACACGTACGAAGTACAATATACATATAGACGGAAGGCAGTACTGTACATATAGGTTAGTTACGAAGTGGTTAGTTACCTGTTAGTTAGTTAGTTAGTTAGTTAGTTAGTTAGTACCTATGCAATAAGGCTCATTCTTAGCTTACGCCACTGATGCGGAGGATGGGAGGATGGGGGTTGCCGTTATGCAGGGTCTGAAGGGAGCACAAAGCCGGCTTCAGCGCTTTTATCGCAAGTCTATTTTCTATTCTTTCTTTTTTTTTCCTTAGTTACCTAATATTGTCTCTTTATTCTTATTTTACTCCCGTCCCTGACTACTCAAGTACAACTCGAATCTATCCGATAAATTATCATATTTTCTCTAGGTAGTGACCATTTTGAATAACGGGTGGAAGGAGAAGAGTTTCAGTATTAGGGTATGTACATATGCTACACAATACTTGGACACGGTACTTGCAGTCGGGCTTCCCATCTGTCCATCTATCCCACAACATGACCCTTTCCTCTTTAGTGGGAAGGATGAAGCTAAGAGTGACCTAGCTTGGGTCTCCTGGCAACTACCTACGTCATGCGGTGTGTGAATAGTGATTAGATACAATTAAGATGCTCCACAAAAGTGGTTCCTCAAAGTGAGCGAAGAATATGCACCTGCTTTTCCATGATCCAAGACACAACATCATTGAACCCACGTTTGATGACTAAAGACAGTCGGAGGTCTCTGTCCCGGTGTCAAGGGATGATGAATAAGTAGGAAAGAAATGGCGCTGGAGAAAGGGAAATTTGTTTTGTCTTTCTTATCCGGAACTGATAATTACCACTATTTTTTTTACCATCATGCGTATTTTCTTTTTCCATCGTATCGAAAACCCAACGGCATCTAAGCCAAGTATTTTCATGTTCGGTCCCGCACTATAATCGTGGCGGCAGTGTGGCCTTCGTGTCCAGCCCACGATATCTTGGCATTTTTAGAACAGCGATTACGGCGCAGTGTGATAAGAATGGAATGAACCCAACCAGAGGACCAGAGAAATGACGATGAAATAGCCACGCCTACCATTTACATACGTATGGATAGGAGTAATGGAGTAGGACTTTACATACCAAAAGTGCTCGGGATGAAACCGAGGGTTGCATGTATGACGATATCTTCGAGCCAGTCGGGCCAGCTCCCCAAGTCCTCGAAGCTAATTAAGCGGTACTGCTTCGGGGGAAGTTGAATGGCTATTGCCCAGTGCTCACAAGACTGACGTCGTCAGTCAGGATTGGCAAGCGAAGGAAGGCCTGTACAAGTATGACGGCGGCGCCCCGACGAGGCCCTGTCTATGGTAGTCTTTAATACATAGATGGGGAGGGGCATCTGGGGCTCAATTTAACCAACCCGACAGCTATGTGGTAAGCGAATATGTAGTGTGTAGGGTGGGTATAGACTATACGTATGTTTCGTCTACTCCAGCATCTTGCACCCCATGCGGTGAAATGTTGACAGTTGTACAACATCATCTATCATATATCCTTTAGCCCTGCAAGTAGAAGACTGGGCATCTGGGCCAACATATACGATGAGTTCCAAGGTTCGTAATAAGTGACGACGACTACAACGACTAAGACGAGATGAAATATATCGTAATAGTCATTGACACGATATAGAAGTTCCCGAATGTACCTGAGGGATACTAGGTAGGTCCTGTACGAAATACTATGTACCTACTGGTCGGTTTTTTTTCTTTCTTCTTCTTTGGCACTTATCTGCGATGATGCTTGCTTCCGGGTCAGGGAGATACAGTTACATTAACCTCATTGACGGGGGAAATCTCTTGGCGATTACCGGGGTGTCGTCATAGCTTTTAAACATGTCGGGAGGAAGATTTGAGGTGTCCAATGCGAAAGGCAGTTGATTGGCTGAAATCTGGTCAACGGGAAATGCAGCATTAGCCAGTCTTTTCAAGTGCCTCCACATATTTCAAATGACACAATTGAATAATTTTCAATGGATGAAAAAAACCCTTGAGCTATGACCAATCAATATCAACAACTTAATAAAAGTGACCGTGGGCTAATATACCATGTAATATGCCCCGGGCGAATAGTAAAAGAAAAGATGAAAACCCTTGAGAACGTTTTTTTTCTTTGATTCCTGATGAAGAACAAAAAGCCATTAAAATACAACCTCATCCGTAGTAGCGAGTGAGCAATACGAAGATGTGGTACGCATGCAGCCACACTTTCCAAGTTACAGATTGCAGAATATTAACAGTATAAACTCGCTCGGAGTATACTACATATCTCCTGCCCGCATAGGCTACATATAAGAGCCACAAATAAGTACATTATGTACATAGGTACCTACCTACGTATATGTAGATTACCTACCTATATAGAGGTAGAGTTGCCCGCGACGTACGTACTCACCCTACCTCCTGCTACCTGGGCCTAATATACGTATGTACCTACGTATGTATGGAGGGTCGAAAAGGGAAAGCGTAATCAACAAAAGCAGTAGTTGAGTAGTAGTTACGCCATTGTTTAAATTACTACTTAAATGAACAAAATAAATAAAAGCGGCAGTTCACGATCTGGACAACGTCATATCTGCCAGATGAGGTTCTTCAAGGCTAAAACAAGGCTTAGTCAACAACATTCCAATTTCTTTTAAGCTTGAAGTGGAAGGGCCAAAAGCACGGCCCGGGCAAACCTTCGGTCGTTTTTAGGAATGTGTCGAAACATTAAATGAACCATTTACATACGAATAGTGTACACTACATGTTTAGAGGTAGTCTATTTACATTACATACATTTATGAGGTACATATGTAGTCAGTTTACTATTTTACATATACTATATACTAACTAGTACAAGCCACCGGCAAGCCATGACTTCCGTGATCCAGTCCAGCGGTTCCTATGCGGATCACAACGCCATCGAGAAACCATCACGGCGCCGTCTCTGGCCCGTCTCTGGCCCGGTGGATAGGTAATGTACAGGGTCAAATCATCTACATGCCCTCAGATCCTTTACATGCTTTTACCATGTATCAAAAGTCATGATACATCGTGCGGATACCCCCTAGTCTAGGGGAATAGATTTAATTGCCTAAACACGTGGTCGGCACTAAAACATCCATACAACCCATATCAGATCTAGGTACCGAATTATTAGTCTACCTTATGTATGCACGGTGAGATGACCTGCTCGTCATTTCGATCATGACAGGGCGAGTCCGAAAGTGGCGTTTGATATTAAACATATCCGCCCGCCGTCGAAACTACTGCAACTCGCACGGCTTCACCCCCGTACGCATACGGGTAAACCATGCTTTCGGGGTTCAAATTACATGCACGTGGGTAAATGGTTCAGTCATTTACTTGAGTAGCACAATCCTAGTGAGGTCTACATAGGTATCATCCGTCACATTTCGTATGTCATGTGAAGAAAGAAACACTTGCTCCTATTTTCCTTTTTCCAGCATTAATTCAGTATATAGAGTTACTTCAGAACTCTACATAA